ACCTGACGTTTTAACACACACAACATTTGAATAATTAATGATCTATAAATCGGGCAGTAATTGAGTGGTCGGAGAAAATTTGACACATTGGAAAAGAAAAAGAAGAAGAAAAGGGTGAAAAAAAAGGGGAGAAGATAAACGAAGACCAAGGAGAAGCCATATTAATACATTTTTTATGAATTGTCATTATAGATCTTTGATATAAAAAAAAAAAAAGTAAAATGGGAATAGATCCATATGAACAGAGGAGCCTAATACTCTCTTCAAAACAGAATGTGAACACCCATTAATTTTCCCTACCAAGGTCAAATAGCCCCAATAATGCTATCACATAAGAACCATGTGAAAAAAAAAAAAAAAAAAAAAAAAAAAAAACTCACGTGAAAACTGTTCAGGGAAGTTTTATTTTCATCTCCCCCCAAAGATGATTTGATTTATGCTTTAAAAAATGAGGTGTAAAACGAGGTGAAAATAAATAGCCAAATAGGCAATACTTGTAGGTAACTCGTGCAATTGGCAAAATAATTTCTAAATTTGAAAAAACATAAAGATTGTTGTTCAGGGAAAATGACGAAATTAGTTATATGCATAATATATAGGATATGGGTTATGTAATCAAAAAAATATATTTAATAAATTTTTTTCACTTTTTTCAATGTATATAAAAATTTAGAACTTAAAAATGTGCGATTTTATATTACCCACTTATGGCATATATATAGGTATGCACATACGTTAACATTAACTATTTATGAATTCAATTTGTGTGTATCTTATAAAAGGCTAATAAGCATATACAACGGTTTGTGGTGAAATACATGTATGCTTTTATTAAAATATCTCACACAAGAAGAAGAAGAAAAAGAAAAGAAAAAAAAATATGTGTGTATATTTGTTTAACTATGTTGACAAATGCTTAACTTAAAAATTTTAAGAAATTTTACGTGCTAACATAAATGTATATGTTATAACCTTGTTGTTAAAAAGCGTGATAAAAAGTTACATATATATGCATGCATACACAAGAAGCATGCACAAAATGGAAATATATAAAAAAAAAAAAAAAAATCCATCTATGCCACTTTAAAGTCCTATATGTAAAATTACCTTGACATTTTTCACCATAGACAAACCATAAAAAAAAAAAAAAAAAAACAAGAAAAAAAATGGGGGCACTTAAAGTATATGTGACATTAAAATAAAAAATTTAATAACACGAAAAAGTAGGTATAAATATATATAAATATATACATATAAATATATTTATATATATGTGAAAATGTTTTATTATTAAAATGAAACATTTTCTTCTAGTAAAGGAATACAAGTGTAAAGTGTACAGAAATATAAAAAAAAAAAAAAAAGGTGTGTCATCATATATATGTTTTCTTGAAGGGAGTTAAGGGATTAAATGTTTATTAAAATGTCATAAATTGGGTCAATTTTGCAATACTTGAGGGGGATACTTTTTTTTTTTTTTTTGATTATTTTTCTGCATACCTTTTCATTTCATTTTGAGCACACTGTTAATGTTCATTTTGGTATCACTTTTTGTGATCTCTTAGTGGTGATTTCTTTGCGCCACTTTTTTGTCATATTTCGAATCTTATGCTTGGTCGTTGCACCCTTCACAATTTTGACTTACGAATACGCAAAAGAAGAAACGACAAGAAGAAAAGTGTGAAAAACAACAAACAAAAAAAAAAAAAAAAAAAAAAAAAAAAAAATGCATAAACAAAGTACATAAACAAAATGTAGTTAATCGTAATGAAAAGCAATAAAATGTTAATGAAACTTAGTGAAAGTGAAGAAACATAATGAAAAGCGCAACGTAACGCGACATGACATAACGAAATAATGCTGAAAAAGGAATTTGAAAAAAAAAGAAAAAAGAAAAAAAAGCAGCTAAAAAGGAACTTATAAAATCCTACATTCAGGAGTTTTTATATACGTGGGTTTTTGCTTACGCAGAATGCATACAAATATACAGGCTTGCATGAACGAGGTTTTTTTTTATTTTTATTTTTTTAAATAGAGTCACTCATAAAAAGAAGCTCGAAACATGAATATATTTTATATATAATAATACATATTACATATATATTTATGTATGCTTTTTATTATGACACCTTGTGCTTATGTAAGATTCATATATATGGAAGATTTTAAGTTTGTGTACTTATTTTTTTCATGAACTGAAAAAAACACAATCAAAATACTTTTTCACCTCAAGTGCGTAATTATTACCTGCAATATAAGGCTTTACTAGTTGGAGATGGAGAAACGTTTTTTTATGAAGCAAATCGTGCGAATGAGGAGTGCCAAATGCTATCATTATGCAATACGGGAGTTGTAGTACATATAGTACTTAAGTTATACACATACATATATATATTCATAAACGCATGCATACCTGTGCGCATGTATGAAATATATATAGGATTATGCCGCCTCAATGTTCCCATGCACGTTCAAAAAACATCTACCACAACTGAGAAATAAGCCCATGAACTATTTATTATAACACCCTCAAGCAGGAAAAACTGAACGTATTTAAAACTTGCATCTTAGCATATGAACATACATATGTATTATATATATACATGCGTATGTATATTCACGCATGTTTATACATATATGTATATAAACCAGTATAATACATTTATTTCATATTCTCTACACATTCTCACGTACATGCAAATCCCCATATTCTAGTGTTTAATTTTTTTTTTTTTTTTTTTAAGTCATACTTTTATTTATTTATTTAAAAGACTATTATTTTCATCTATGAATTTATTCTGAACTATTATATAACATGTAGTATATTATATTACCATCTGAATTGAACGGACACCCCTCTCCCCTTTATCTACATTGTTACAGCACCCAATTTGCTTAATAGCAAGTTGCAAATAGAATTCACCCTTTTTATTAATATTCGAAAATTTGTACGACATAATTTTTACATACATTTAAGAATACGCATTGTTTCTTATTTTTATTTTATTTTTTTTTTCTTTCCTCATTTTTATGTGTCCAACATTAGTGTAAATTACTCCTTACGTAGAACACCGGGGGAAAAATATATATATATATATATATATACACGTGCACATAATATAATTATATATGCATACGTGAACGCACCTTTTTTTTCATGAAAAAGGCAACTGAGGGATAAACAGGCCAGGCGAATTAAATTTTTCCGTTTCCCTCTTCTGATGTTTTTACTTTTTTAACATTTTGTTTCCATTTTTTATGTATTCACTTTTTAAGTATTCACTGTTTATGTACTCACGTTTTATATTTTAACTTTTTATTGTTTTATTATTTTATGTTTTAACTTTTTGTGTTTCCATTTTTTATGTATTCACTTTTTATGTTTCCATTTTTTATGTATTCACTTTTATGTTTTAAGTTTTTATGTTTTAATCTTTTACGTTTTAAGCTTTTTATGTTCGAGTGTGTTTCTGTTTTTTACCTATTTCTGGTTTTTTTCTTCTACCCCCTTTAAATCCATAGGGGAAAAAAAAAAGAAAAAAAAAGAAAAAAAAAGAAAAGAAAAAGTAAATAACAAAACCAAGCCCATGTTTTAAGGCCACTTTAAAAATTGCAACTGCAGCTGTTAACGCGTCTACACGTCAACTATGTGAATACATATGTGTCGGCTTACTTATTGCATTTACTTTTGCACGAGCATTGAAGCTAGACTTCATAATTTTTCTTGAATTTATCTTTATATTTACATACACATATTTAACACCTACATTTGGATCCATATTTGCAGCATTTTTTGTACGTGCGTTTGGATCTATATTTACTTCTATACGCGTGGCATTAAATACCCGTTGGGGAAATTCTCTTGCCACCATCACATTTTGCACACCCTAACCTGAATATCTCCCTGCCTAAGCAGCAATCAACAAATTTAAAAAAAAAAAAAAAAAAAAAGATTCCCTTTCTCTCCCGCAGTCCTATTAATATAACTAAGATTTGTGAAATTATCATTATTTATTAGGGAGAACTTAATCTTTTTTTTTTTTTATTATTTTATTATTTTCTTTTTCTTTTTCTTTTTCTTTTTTTTTCTTTTTTTTTCTTTTTTTTTTTTTTTTTTTTTTTTGGTTTATGTGTTGTGCCCTAGGGATAGAGAGCTAAAACTTATGCATGAATCTACAATCATTGTAAAAAAAAAAAGTATTAGGAAAAAAAAAAAAAAGTGCAAAAGAATTTTGATTCAGAATTTTTTACACGAATTAATCATCATAAACACTACACGATTACACACAGAGGAAGAGGTAGTGAAACCCCGCAGGAAGCTCGACATTTTGGTGCAAATAAAAAACACATCAAATAGACGGACGCACACAATTGAACGAATAACTCATCACACAATGGAAGAAAACAATCAAGGAGAGAATAAAACCCAAACAACGAACCAATTATGTTTTGTGAAAATGCTTGTAAATAATCTCGTTGCAGGATCAGTTATAGGGAAAAATGGTTCCATAATAACAAGCATAGAAAATAAAACAGGATGTAGTTTAAAGTTATCCCCAACAAATTCTTATTTTCCAAATACACAAGAACGAGTATTAGTACTTTGTGGAAAACAGGAACAAATAAATAATGCCTTATTAGTAATTCTTGATAAAATTAGACAAATAAGTACTCAGAATCTTCAAGAAAAACAGAATATTACTACAGCACCAAAATATACATGTAGAATTGTAGTACCGAAATCAGCAGTAAGTGCAATAATAGGTAAAGGAGGACAACAAATTAAGCAATTGCAAGATACTACAGGAGCTAAGATACAGATTTCAAGTCGTGAAGATGGATTAAATGAACGAATAATATCTATCATAGGACCTTTTGAATCTGTTAGTGATACTGCTATAAAGGTAACAAATTCAATTCAGAATGATCCTAATTTAAAAGATTTGTTAAACGTTATTTATAGCAAAGATGCAAATATGAATGGGAGATCTTCACTTTCACAAAATTTCGTAAACCAGGTTCCATTAAATGGTTATGTTGTACCACAACAATATGGTGTATTTCAACATGAGCAATACATGGATGTTAACATGATGAATTCTTTAATGAGGCAAAGTCGAGATTTATTTAACTTACCTTGTGAAATCTCTATTCAAATACCAGACGAATTTATTGGATCAGTAATAGGCAAAAATGGATCAAGACTTACAAATATTATGAACAGTACAGGTGCTCAAATTAGGATAAGTAGAAAAGGGGAATTAGTACCAGGTACGGCTGATAGGAAAGTGCGAATCATGGGAACTGTTGCAGCTGTACATGCAGCTCATGTTTTGTTATTACAAAGACTTGAATCTGTTTATATGCAACTCAGGACTATGCAAGTCAAGTGTGATGCATAAAGAGTGAAGGTGAAAATAAACAAGTTACTCTTTTTTTTTTTTTTTTTTCTCTCATTCCCTCTCTATCCCACCTTGCGTTAGATCGCATTTAATGCTTAACTTTGCTATCATTCACACGTATCACCAATTACGCACATTTTTATTACTTAACAATGGCGTATGAAATTTGGACTTTGTAGAATATATACATTAATACGTGGAAACGTGCACAACACCTTTTTAGTTTGATTTGATAAAACTGGTAATTCCTATTTATGACTTTTTATTAAGCACTATATAATATTACCTTCTGTAACTATGGTCATAGTGTGTTCGTACGTGTGTGTTAGTACATGTGTATTCGTGTATAGCTATGCATACATTTACATAGAGACACATGTTTTTATATATATTTATGTGCATATACCTATACACTCTTTTTTTCATAATTATGAACAGAATATGTTTTTTTTTTTTTTTTTTTTTTTTTTTTTACATTATTAAAAATGAACATTCATATTATAAAGGCATTATTTAATATGAACCAACGTTTCAAGCAAAATAACAGCACAATGCATATTTTATTTTATTTATCTTCTTCGCTTAAATTGTTCCTCATGTGAGTTTTTGGAAGATGGGTTATGCGAAAATGAACATCGCGTGAATATTTGCTTTCTCATTATTAAAAGGTGCAGCTTAGAGGCCTATAAAAGTACCAAAGTATGGAGCATTTTCAACCTCACGGTTTTCACAATTTCAAGTAAAACATTCCATAGTATAATTCAAATACCACAGGAATAATTAGTGAGCGCAATTATAAAGACGTGTTTGTATGTGTTCTTCAATATTAATGAGATATAATAATTGCTGCAAAAAAGTGTGAAGAAAACTGGGGAGGTAGCTTTGTAGAACTACTGCAATTGTGTAATAAGGAAAACATTCATAAGCACGAAAAAGAAGAGGTCATATATGTTTGTGTCTACATACACGTTCATTGGAATCGTTGTCAGGTTATCTCATCTTGACGGATTGTAATTCCAATGAGTTTAATGAAATAACTTGTTGGATCCATCAATTTCACTTACACTTTAAAACAGACGATAGATAAAAAAATTATCAAAAAAAAGCAAGAAAAATAAAATAATATAATAATTTCCTAAATTATGTCGCGCGAAATTAATCAAGCTCCTTGCTCCCTCTTGATATGCTTATAAAATTGGAGATGCTAAAAGCATTGAATATAAATTTTTTTCTTTCGACAACGCCCTCTCTCTCTTCATATATATATATATGCGAATTAATTTTTGCTTCAACCAATCAAATTCTAGTTGGTAATGTTTTTTTTACCTGCATACGGAAAATACAAAGATACACACCATGATCATGTCTATTTTTTTTTTTTTTTTTTCTTTCTTTTATTTACCTTTTCATGTTATAATAAGACCTCTTAAGGCTTATGTACATACATATGAACAATTGTAGGGTTATGTAAAGTACTTCTTCATGAAAAAATGGGACACAGAAACTTGCAGTTGAGTTGTGAATTCTATTCAGTGTGAAGACGTGGGTAAAAAAAAAAAAAAAAAAAAAAATGCACGTTGAAAAAAAAAATAAAAAAATATGAAAAGAGTTCTATTTTAAAACTTCACAAAAGGTACTAAACATAATAACGTCTGAAATACTTTGTTTACCTTTCTGTTCTTCACAAGGGAAAATTCGTAAGGAGAAAACCTTAGAAAGCGTTGCGTTAACAAAACAAAAAAAAAAAAAAAAAAAAAAAGAACAGAAAAAGGAAAGGAAAAAGCAGAGGTATACTTGGTGATATTTGAAAAGTATCATTAGTCATAAGCGCATAATTGAAAAATGACAATACTCCAAAAGGACAACTTGTCATCCATTAGGACTCTTTTTTATTTCCTTGTGTGCGGGCTGAGTACCATATATGCCTTTTGCGCCTTCTCATGTTCGTGAATGAAAAAATCGCAAAATGTTTAACATATTCCCTTATGTGATATATATACGTCCAAAAAGAACCATGAACCCCAGCAAGGGAATACCTAAAATTACGTCACACATACATTATGCATGTATATGGAGGCATGTTGAATATAATTTTTCTTTCATATTGTCATTTTTTTTTTTTTTTTTTTTATGTATCTTTTGTGAGATCCTTAATTCATTTTTACTTTTTGCCTTTTTTCATACCCAGAAGGGTTCACCACTTCTCAGACCTAACCCATTATCAACCTATCCTCACTTTTATTTAACCTATCTGTTATTTGTGTTATTTATTATTTTATTTTATTTTATTGTTTTTTTTTTTTTTTTTTTTTTTTCATCTTAATATATTTTTTTGCATTTTTTTTACCTTTTTCCTTTTTTTTTTTTTTTTTTTTTTAGGATTTTCAATATAAAAATTTTCAATTTTTTTTTTTCCTTTTAATATAATCCTAGTAATATATTTTTTTTTTTTTTTTTTTTTTTTTTCATCATTCTTATTTCGAATTTTTACACGCAGAACATTATTACATTGTTATGTTACTGTTATTTTATTTTATTTTATTTTATTTTATTTATTTTTTTTTTCATTACACTTTTCACATTTGCTAGCTGAAAAAATGCTTTGTCAAAATATGTGCTTTATTATTGTTGTTTATTTTTCGTTTTTCTTCTTTTTCAAAGTTCATTTTTTCTCCTTTTTTCTAAACTTGTGTTTATATGTGTTTGTTATTTTACTCTTTTTCACAAACGTTATCGCATTCTCTACGACTTTGAGGTACTTGTGACCAATGCTTCATATTTTGTATGAAGTAATCATTACGCTTACAAGCATGCATATGTATATATCATGTACACAAATATATATAATGATATGTTTAAATATATGTGTAAACATGCATACATATAGGTGTACATATACCTTAAACACGTGCTCCCCCCCCCCCCACACACACACACCCATTTGCTGCAGTGTGTACTGAATAGCGCATTAAGCCCCCCTTAAGTTTTTCATTCCTTATACTAAAAATTAGCAAAACTTTCCTTTACATCACTTTTCTGATGTATGCTATGTATATATTTGTATATATATATATATATATATGTGTGTACCAATTCATGATTTTTCCTAGCACCATTCCACCTCTGGCTTAAATCATTTTTTTATAATAAGATTAAATACGCTATTTGTAAACGTGCTTGATGAAAAAAAAAAAAAAAAAAAAAAATTAGTTCTATTTTATTTAATTAAAATATTTCATTTTTAACAACTGGCGCAAAGCATGGGCTTTTTTTTTTTTTTTTTTTTTTTTTATTTAGTTACACTATAATAAACATTATATGTAAAAACATGTATCCATTTATAACATTGTATAATTATATGTATAAATGTTACGCGTGCTTGTGCGTACATATATGGCCTTATAAATACTATATATATATATGCATGCGTACAAGTCGTAAAAAAAAAATAGTACGCATATTTTTTCATCGGCTACATTATTATAATAATTCATTTATCCAAAGTACGCAGAATTTACAAGAAGCTATTTCTTAAAAATTATTCATAAATTGCACATTCAGCAGTTTTTTTTTTTTTTTTAAATAATTACTTAAGGAATTTTTAGTTATAACGAAAAAAAAAAAAAAAAAAAAAAAAAAATACAATAAAATAAAATAGAAACAAGAACACTTTTTCTTTTTTTTTTTTTTTTTTCCCCCCCCATCCATGCATTGCTTTTACCTATTTACATTTTATACATAAACATGCATATGTATATAAATACATGGCATGCTTACCACACATAACATGTATAACACGCATAACATACACTACATGCATAAACATACCTTATATGCATAACTAGCATAACATACATGACATGCATAACATACATGACATGCATAACACACATTCCATACATATTACATTTACCCATGTTACATTCAACCAATTTTACATCCATTGATTTTGTATATCACATATTCCTACACAGCATAATTATACATAGAAATTTTTTCCTCCTTCCCCCGACACTAACAGGCACATTTACCCCCATTCTTTATTCATAACAAATTTTCTAAAAAAAAACCAGCAGCCATATTTCTTTTCTTTTCTTTTCTTTTTTTTTTTTTTTTTAGCTGCCCATGGTTTACCTTTCTTTTTGTTAGTGCCCATGCTTTCATGTTTTCAAGTTTTCGCTCCTTCATAATTTCACATGTTCATTCATATATACAAGTACGGACATGTTTATAAATGAATATCCATATACGAAAAAAAAAAAAAAAAAAAAAAAAAAAACGTTTATATTTGAATTTTCCCTAAGTTTACAATTAGGCTGTGAATTAATTTGTATATACATTTATTTTACGTTTAATTTAACGTTATATATATTACATTGTATTTTTTTTATTTTATTTTTTTTTTTTTCATAAAGCCTCTCATCCTTTATTTTAACACCATTTTGGGATTACGAACCATTTTCATTTTCATATTTATGTATGCTTATACATATGTGTATATACATGAGTTACATATATACAATATACCATTCCTACATTTCTGAACCCATTACCCACCGTGTTTCCTTCCATATTTAAAATTTTTAATTGCATAACCTCTAAAACATGTCACATTATAATTCTAGCATGCAGTTAAAAATATTATGTAAAATTCCCAAAACGAGTATCATTTGTTGTTATAAGGCATACCTATATCAGTGTGCGTGTAAAAATTGACAAAGTACTCCCGGCGAAGTCACGTACGCAATACCATTACACACAAATATACCTATGTATATACACATTTAAAACACTTCAAATTGCATTAACTTTCTCTTTTTTCCATTTCTTATTTGTTGTGAATAAATAAATATAGTCTTTTTCTTATTTTTGTTAAAACGTTAGAATAAGCAGAGAGAGATAGAAAGAGAGAGAAAAAAAAAAAAAAATAAAATAATAAAATAATAACAAAACAACACAAAACAACAAAAACATAATAATAAAAAAAAAAAGAGCTCATTTGTGTACACTTTGACATTGTACAAGTTTATTGTTAAAAATATTCAGGCAAAAAAAAAAAAAAAAATATATATATATACGTTCACATGCGCACAAATGTATATGTACACATGTCGCATAAATAGCGTAATTAGCATAATTAACATAAGTAGCATAATTAACTTAATTAACAAATCTAATTTATAAGGGGTCATTAGAAGGGGGAGATATATGCAAAAGGAAGCACATACATAGGTGCACAAATATATATGCTTACACGTGTTCATCTGCATGTGGTAGATAAATTTCCGTCTCTCCTTCGTATATTGTGTTTCCAAAAAAAAAGATAAAGGGAGAGGGGGAAAAAAAAAAAAAAAAAAAATGGACATTAAGAACATGCGAAATGAATTCATTCTAGAGGAAGAAATCAACGTTTTTGAAGAATACAAATCATACATAAGCGATAGTAACAATAATGATCCAGTTATAGAAAAAAAAAATTCAAATAATTCAAGCAAAAATTATAATGAGGAAGAGGATGAAGAAGAAGAGGATAACAAGCATAGAGAAATAAAAGCAAGTTTACGAAGTTTGCACAATGATGAACATAAGGGAAAATCGAAAATGGATCAAGTAGAAATAAATTGTGCTGAGAATGTCAATAAAGTAGAAACAGAAACCCATGAGAACAACGAAGATGACAATTTAAATGGTCGAAAAAAGGGAATCTCAGCGGGAAAAAGTTCCCTTGAAAATATAGGAAATAAAAATGTATCAGTAAAAGAGAAAATGAGAGAGGATCCTTGTTATGTTCCAAAGGAAGCAAGATATTTTTTGCATGATAACAGATTCGAAAACAGTGATAATAAAAACAAGAAGAAAATGAATGATAAAAAAAAATTAGGTAATAATAAAATCAGTTACATAGATGAGAAAAGGTGGAAACATGATTTATTTTATGATTATAAATATAATGAATATTATGGAAAGGAAAGAAGTTCTAACAAAAAATATAGCAGTGGTGCTTATAGCAATGGTGCGTATAACAGTAGTGCTTACAACAGTAGTGCTTACAACAGTGGTGCTTACAACAATGGTGCTTATAACAGTGGTGCGTATAACAGTGGTGCGTATAACAGTGGTTCTTATAACAATAGATATTACGCATCAAAAAATAACAAACATGATAAAAATAATTACTCCATGTCTTACAAAAATAATAAGGATAATTATTACTACGACAATAATCGCCTGAAAAATTCAAAAGTATTCAGTTATCATAAATATTATGGAGATTATAACAAAATAAAACTTCCAAATGTTAAAAAAGATAACAAAACATACACTAGCGTGTGTGAGAAGAAGCACTCATATATGTTATCAGATAAGAAAAATGTTCAGAAATCCATTCAAAAAAACGAAAAAATTAGGGAAGAACAAAAAGAAGGGGAAGAAGAAGAAGAAGGAGGAGGGGAACCTACCCTTTCTGATACCCAGTTGCATTCAGATGTTGTTGATCTATGTCCATCAGATGATGCTCATGCAGAAAGTGCCAATTTAGAAAAAAGAACGAAGAAACAAACACTTCTCAAGAAGTGTAAGAACGAAAAGGATAATGATTTAAGTCTCAGTGGAAATAGAAAGTTAGCTAATGGAAAGAATGGACAAAATGCAGCGCTAGAACTTGATGTGATTGCTGATTTACAAGAATGTGACGAAAAATCATCAGCAAGTATCAATAAGGAGGACGATCGAAATAGTCAACATGGAGGAAGGAAAGGTGAAAAGGGTACAAAGAACAAAGGATTGGAAAATAGGGAACAGAAAAGTACATACAAAAAAGGTGTACGCAGAAGCGGAGTGAAAGAAACAGAGATGGATAAAGAAGAAGACGAAGAGGAAGAAGAAAGCAAGCGAAAAGACACAAGTAAAAAAAAAATGAACACGACGGGGGAAAAGGAAATCGAAAAAGGTACCCAAAGAAATAATGAAGGAAAAAAATCTATAACTTCTTACAAATCGAAGACAAGTTACAATAACAGTAATAACAATTATTATATGATGAATGATCGAGGTGCACAGAACAAACATCAAGGAGCACGATTCGTTTACACGAGGAATGAAAATTATGAATTCCAATCATTATTAAAAAAGAAATATACTAGTAAAAGAAATCATCTGTATGAGGAGAATTATTACAACATAAATTCATACACCAATAGTAAAGTGAGCAATGCAGATTACGCAAGGAAGAGCTATACCACGAAGAACAAAAATTTTTGGTCCAATATAAGTTCAAATAATATAGGAAGTACAAACATCAACTATGGTAACCATAACTACAACAATAGTAATATGAACAGTGGGAACAGCAATTACAATCGCAACAATCAACATACGTATAATGAGAATGAAAAGAGCAATATAAATAAGTTACACAATGATGATGATTATATCAGGGGGAAAAATTCTTATCCCAATAAAGACAAAGACGTCAGCACTGTAAGCAGAACCCAAACGGATAGAGATAAAGGTAATCAGAAGTATAGTGCTTCCAAGAAATATGCTAATAATAATTGTAGTATTATTAATTTGAATAAAAAAAAAGAAACAGATTATGAACACAACACTGAAGAGGAAGAAGTAGAAGTAAAAGAAGAAGTAGAACCAGAAATAGAAGCAGTGGCTATGAAGAAAAATAAATATGTCAATAAGCAAAAAATAGGAGAAAAATCTACCATAATAAATGCAGGAAGCAGTGATGAACGTGTTATGGACATTGAGATAGGAAGAGGAAATTATACAAAAAAAAAAAAAGGGAATCACCCAAGAACACATGAATACACAGCAAATGGATTTAAAGAAAAAGGAAAACGTCAAAGTATAGATGATTCATTCGATAAAGAAAAAGAAAAGCGTCAAAGTATAGACGATTCATTCGATAAAGAAAATGAAAAAAGTTCAAGGAAATGGGATGATAACAGATATCACAAAGATAGTAAGAAGGAAACGGAGAAATATGTATCAAATGGAAAGAATACCAAACAAGGAAAATATGGTTATAATAATAAGTATGTAAAAACTTACATGAATAAAGATATAATCAGGAGAAACCGTGTGCACGATAGTAGTAATAGCAATGATATGGGCAGCGTTGTGAATGACATTGAATCAGCGCGCGTGAAATTGAGAAGTGATCCAAAATTGAGAAGTGATCCAAAATTGAGAAGTGATCCAAAATTGAGAAGTGATCCAAAATTGAGAAGTGACTCAAAATTGAGAAGTGACTCAAAATTGAGAAGTGATCCAAAATTGAGAAGTGATCCAAAATTGAGAAGTGACCCGAATTTGAGAAATAACAGCATTGTTAGTGATAACTCAGAATTAGCACATATTGAAGACACTAACAAAGTAAAAGCTAAAAAAATGAACGGTGTCTCTGAGACGACGAAGGGAAAGGAAGATAGTAACCGTGGAAAGACCAAGGATTACAGGATTAATAAAGATGGTAATGACAAAGAATTTAATTATGTTGACGTGTATGATGATGATGATATTTATAACTACAAGTCAACCAATGATGACGAAGTAACCAGCAAAGGGGCAAATTATACTGAAATAAATTCCATCGAACATAACTACTTTGGGAAGAGCATTCCGGATGTGAGCTACAATGAAAATATTTTCAAATGTGACTCAAGAAAAAACACAGCTATCCATGGAAAGGACGAAAGCAGGATTGAGTCCATAAGAGGGGGAATGGAAAATAAAATAACGAGCTTAAATCATGATAAAAATAAAAAAGAAAACAATGCATTCAAATCTCATGGAGGAAACACATACTTAAAGAAAAAAAATAAAAATCAACAGAATTATGAAACGAATAACGAAATCAGTAATAACAATATGAATAGAAAAAAAGACACAGACAATAATAATACATACACGAAACAACAGTCTCACAAAGGATCATATACAAATATGAAAAAAAAAAAAAAAGAAGAATTTATAAATTATGCAACACAGCATAAAGGAACAACAGTGGGAGGAATAGGAGTAGGAGGAGTGATGGGAAGTGCATATCAAAATGGGAAAATTTTTAATTTTAAAAAATACCATGGTGATTATAACAATAATAATGTGGATACTAACGGATCCGTGTCATATTCAGGTAATAGAAAAAATGCATCAGGTCAACACGTAGGGAATAAGAATTATCATAATAATGAGAAACGGTATGACGGATATACAAATAGTGAAAAACAGTATGATAACACTTATGCAAATAATAATAATAATAGCTATGGAGGTACGTACGGTTGTGACACTAATTGTGTTGGAAGCGATGGAAATGTTATCAGTAATATTAATGGTCATGCGAACGGTAATATTAACGGCCATGCGAACGGTAATATTAACGGCCATGCTGACAGTAATATGAATGGTCATGCGAATGGCAATATTAATAGCAATGTCTGTGGCAACCATTACTCAGATAATGGTGGCAACAGTAATGGTAATTTTTGCTACCCGGACAATTTTTATCCTCCCAATGCTACTAGTTATGTTGGAGAATATCCTGCCTTTTTTAATGACAATCGTTACATGAACAGTCACCCATTGAATGACCATTACATGAACGGTACATACATGGGGAATGGCTACGTGAACAATCAGAATTACATAAATGACCCCAATTATATGAACAACTCGAACTACATGAACAATCAGAATTACATGAACGACTCAAATTATGTGAACGATCCAAATTACATGCGAAATCGTAACTATATAAACGATCAGAATTATATGAATGATCCAAACTACATGAACAGTCAGAACTACATGAACAACCAGAATTACATGAACAATCAAAACTACATGAATAATCAGAACTACATGAACATGAACATGAACACTCCAAATTATATGAACGACGTATATGCCCATGATATGTACATGAATAATACATATATGAATGGAAACAGTACCTACTACTATGACCACCCATATTCTAACTACCCTAACGAAAATGATTACTGTCATTACAGCGATAATAATAAATATATTAAGCAATAAAAAAAAAAATTCCCCAATTGATCCATTCTATACACATGTTTGTAAATGTGTATAAGCGCAGTAACCTTATGTTTGATGCATATTCAGTTGTCAACTGTTATGGATTTCTCAACAAAAGGGGAAGTAGTGTGCGTGGTTAACGGTGTTGTACATACATACATACATATATATATACATGCACATATGCATTTGCCGTTTGAAGAAAAGAAAGCATATTTACGTGGAACATATCATAACCCAAGGGTTCAGGCATAAGGCCCGTGGAAACCCATAATTCCCCCCCAAGTACATTTTTATCCTGAACCCGTAGGTTTATCCATTGTATGTTCAGGCGTGGGTACACAAATATACGTGCATACATATATGTATATATATACATATGTATATACACATTTACGCATGAATTGTAGCAAACTTTTTACATCCATATGAAGGCGAAAATTAATTTATACTCCCTTGTGCATATTTTTCCAAAATTGTTCATTTCCTGTTTCTTTTTTCTTGTCCTTTTTCTTTTCCTGCTCTATTTTTTTTTTTTTTTTCTTTTTTTTTTTTTTTTTTTGTTAAGAATTTTTTTCTTTAATATTGTACATGTAAATAAGCGAATACTATGCATGTCTATGCACATGTGTAACACATCACCCATATTTTAAATTCTATGTATTTACTCCCCTTGCTTAATTTCTTACCTTTTACCCTACCCCTTTTCATGATTATACCTCATACACCCCTCATCCCTTTTTATTACTTTGTGATTATTGTAATTAAAGAAAATGCATTTACCTACATGCACACATGTATGTACAAACACTTGGGTATGCTTATGTTTACATGTATGCATATACATATATGTGAATATGCAAATATTACTTGTATATATATATATATATGCATGTTCTTGTGTTCCGAATTCACCCCCCTCCAGATATGTAAGAGACCATTTGAACAGGTCCCATTCATATATTTAACAGTATTGATTTATTGTATTGTCTCTTATGTGAACATAGCGAATTTTTAATTTAAACTGTATCAAACAGCCAGTGCAACTCTACCATCAAACATTCAAGTGCATCCACCCAATCCATATGTATATATGTCTACCAACATGCTTTTTCTTTTTATCCTTTTTTTTTTTTTTTTTTTTTTTTCATTTTTGAAAGTTCATTAAGAAATAATTTTTTGAAATGTAAATTTCCTAAATTGTTTTTTTTTTTTTTTTTTTTTTTTTTTTTTTAAATAACTCATTTTACTAGTAGGAGAATTTAGGTTATTACAATGCGAGTGTATATATGTGCGTGCACAACAGAGGGCACACACATATATGTACTTCCATAGTGTGTACCACAAAAAAAAAAAAAAAAAAAAAATAAAGACATAAACATGTGACAAAACAAAATGCTCTTCTTTAGCATTTAACGGAAATGAAGAGGCACGAAAGTCATTCATGCCACATGTTTCCCATGTCTACATTTTTGTTAAACATTGTTAACAAATGCAGTGGAACACCATGGCACAACTTTTTTTTTTTTACAAATATTGGATGAAACTACGAAATTGGGGTGTCTTCACAGTTTTTTGGAACGCTCTAATGGAAATGTCCTCTTGCAAGCAGATTCAGGGGTACTCAAAAAATCCAACTTTTTGAATTTCTTACGTTTTGTGTAAAATAGCTGCACGTGAAGATGAGGAAACAAAAAAAAAAAAAGGAAAAAAAAAAAAAAAAAAAAAATGTGCATCTTGAATGAAAAACAATCCATATAAGCAAAATACTATCTTAAATACATTTTTTTTTTTTTTTTTTTTTTTTTATAAAAAATATACTACATAGAAATTAACACTGTTGGGGTTTTTCATGTGTGCGTGTAGTATGGGTGAACGAGTTTATCTTCCTTTTTATACTTACCAGAAGTATTGTAAGCAAAGTGATCACAGTTAAGAGCTTCAATGAGTGAAGAGCAATCTTAGGATACCTCCGTTGGGCGTGTACCTGAAGGGGAAATGGAAAAAATAAAAATAAATACGTAAAAATAAATAAGTGAAAATAAATAAGTGAAAATGAATACGTAAAAATAAATAAGTGAAAATGAATACGTAAAAATAAATAAGTGAAAATGAATACGTAAAAATAAATAAGTGAAAATGAATACGTAAAAAATAAATACGCAAAAAGAGACAAGATAAATGGCTAAAATATGCAAGGATAAATATATGCTCAACTCAGCAGTAAAGATGTGCTTATGTTACCCGTAAAAAGCCAAGGAGAATAAAAAGGACGAAGGTGAACAACGTCACAGGTATGTGCAAAAAGTCACGAGGTAAATGAGAGTATAAACAAAGAATAATCTTCAATTGAATTTCCTTGCGTTGGAGAATGTCTCTAGTATAATTCTCGTCCGGTGGAGTGATAACAGAAGAAGAGGATGATGAAAAGAGCATAACCACAAATGACAAAACAATGTTTTTTATACTTGTTTCATATAGATAAACCATGTTGCATAAAACATAACTGCACACTTGTTTAATCAATTTGAAACAAATATACGCATGATAATTAATATTGAGAAGGAAATTATGAGATGGAAACATCAGATAAAAGTGAAACAAAAAATAAAATATGGTTAAGGAAAAAAGGTATATATTAAAACTATCACTGGTTATAATTATATAAGAAGTAAAAATAATATTTAATAGTATGCTAGAACTCCTAACAACATTGATAAAAAGAAATAGTAAAATTAACAAAACAGTGAGGAAATAATTACAGCAATAATGATTACCCCAAGACATAAAAAAAAATACAATGGATGAAAACATCAAAGAGCAGTACAATTTAGCTATTGTATTTACAACAATGAGATAGTTAAAGAGTATGATTAAAATATGTGGGATATAACAAGGGAAAAATATGTATCTATAGGAAATATTCTCTACAATATTACTGTATGATCCTCCCATATTTCTACTCTCATTTCCACCTGTCATTGTTTTGGTATCCGAAGACGAATAAAATGAACCATTATTATTTTTTATAAATGACTGTCCTAAGGCTTCAAAATGTTCGCTTATAAAATGGAGACATCTTTTTATGATAGTTATCCATGGTATTTGTTCTTCCGAAAAAGTATAAAAAAAAAATAAAGATATCATAAAAAATGTCAAAGTGTATAGGAGCACATGTTTGACTACGTCGTACCAGTTTTTAAATATACTCTTCACTTTATTTCCTTTTCTTATTACATATCTGCTATTGGTATATGTATAAATAAAAAGAATGGGGAAAAAAAAACTCAAATTACGTGTATCAAAATATGTAGCTATAAAATAAACCACAAGTGATATGTACATTCTTTTCAGCAAAATAAAATTGAGAGTCCAGAATAACAAACCGAGAGAAAATACCGTTACATAGTTTGTATTATTTGAGTAAAACAATGGGTTATATAATATTAACATGGACGAACAAATATTTACCACAAAATTGTTGTGATTCATTCGTTTCTTTAATAAGTGCAAATTATATATCACCCCCAATGTGAAAACGAGAAATTCGGTTATAGCTAGCAATACAATTGTTAGGATATTTATTCGTGCATTCTTTTCTATCCCTCTTTCTGCACTCTTTTTTTTCTGTGTGATTATTAAATTATTATCAATCTTGTCATTCTTTGTCTTCTCAGAATTTGACCATTCCCCCTTTCTGCTTAGAGCATCGCTTGTGGTTGAGGGAGCTGATGACTCCATTTCTTTCATCATATCCTTGCTACTTTTAATTCTGTTTTCCACTGCATCCTTACCCAGTTGGCCTTTTTCTTCTTTTCCCAGTTTTTTGTTTACCCTCTTCTCTTTATCACCATGGAAATTTGGCTCCTCGTCTGGAATGGATGCAGTATCGAATGCATTTCTACCTTTACTCATTTGTGCAAAGTTGAACCTACTTAGTCGTTCCACATAAACATAGAACAACGGATGAGTTCTGACAGTCCGTGCATCATCATCTTTCAAATTCCCAAATTGTGCAAATCCATTCTTCCCTACGTATGTGAGATAATTTTGAATTTCCTCGGAATGGTATATATACACATTTTTAATAAATTGTGGAAGGAAAAAAATGAAAAGAAGGAAAAATAAATATATGTAATACTCATATTTTTTTTTTTTTATTTGAATGATTTGTTGTATGGAAGAAGTAATTTTCTCAACATTTCCAGGGTAATAATTCTTCCTTTTTAACTTTTTGTATGTATAAAAAAATTTATACAAAAGAATATTTTGATTTATGAATTCACAATTATTAATGCTGTATAACAAATTAGAATAATTTTTCTTTCTTTTCACTTTTTGTGTAGCTAATTTTTTGTCTACTGTTGCTACATATGCATAAACGAGTGGATAAGTTTCAAAGTTTACTTTGCAATTATTTTCAAAAAAACGTTCAAATATTTTATGCTTGTTCAGGTAATAATAAAAAAGATATATTTTATATTGATAATAAAAAAAAAGTTTGTGAACAAAATTTTGAGATCCTTCAAATAAATTTACTATTGTAATTTTAGGAACCCATCCCTTTTCTTCATGTAATAAAATAGATATTACATTTCTCTTATTGTATTTATCTCCTTTTAACTTCCTTTGATTTTTTTTTCTCAACAAACAAAAGGGCACGTGGTCTATATTAACGTAAGGTTTACTAAAAGGGTAATCATCGAAAATGAAAAAAGAAAACACAACACTTTCATTTATACTATAATATCTGTGAAAGAATAGTGAAAAAGTCTCATAAAAAGATTCCTCTTCATAATCATTAGAATATAGAACTTTATTTATCACCTCTCTTTGAATGTTTCTCAAATGAATTGTAAAATCTTTGTATATAATTTCGAAAAATGTATTTGTAAAAAAGGAAAATTTACTATTTTCATGGCTATCAAATGGGTCATTCTCTGTTTCATTGTTCTCACTTAAATTGCCAAAGACACGTTGCTCTTTCATGAACCCATTTTTAAAAATTTCAAAATTTTCTAAAAAATAACAAATTTCATTTAAAAAGTCTGAAAAGTTATCAAAGATGCTTCCAAAATTTAGTATTTCATAAATGTCAAAAAATGGGCATACAACATTCGCATATCTGTTATACTTGTTCAACTCTTCCAAAACGGTAGGACTAATCACATCATCATTTGTCATGTATGATCTTGTATTTATTTTTTTCTTTAAGTTTTTTACATTATTCACAAAATTTCTCAAAAAAAAGGTATCGCTTTGAAAATATTTTTCATTAAAGCTTTCTAGTAAGCACAAATACTTATTCCATTTTGTGCCCACCGAATTGTGTTCAAGCAAGATATGGTTATTATTTTCTTCCACCACATCGGCTTGATTAGCTTGATTAACTTGATTAATTGTTATGTACACATTCTTGTCATGTATAAGCTTTGATTCTTTCAAATTTTTTATTTCTTTATCTATTCGTCTGTTGTAAATGATGGTTTTCTCCTTTACCTTATCTTCTTCAAATGTGTTATTGGGGAACTTCCCCGTGTTTCGTAGCATACTGTGTTTTTTGTGCAAAATCTGTTCTTATTTTAAAAACAGGGAATTACTTTTATGTAATATTATTGTGTAGAGGTGTTTATGTTAAATGGTGAAAAGTGTATACCATCGTTGAGGCATGTACTTAGCAAAATCGAGTTTTATAAAAAAAAATTCACGACAGAACTTTCTCCTCTGCAGCCTTAAACAGATTTTTCTACGAATTGTTGTTTTTAGTTTTTGAAAGGAATAAATGTTTTCATATCTCTTTTAAACACATAAAAAAAAAAAAAAAAAAAAAAAAAAAAAGGAAAACTGGGGGAGTGAAGGCGGATAACTAAAAATTTCCACATGAATATGATTAATATTTGTTATTTCCTTTTCACAATTTACAGCTGCATTTCATTGTGTATGTATATGTGTATATGTATGTGTGTTTTTTTTTTTTTTTTTGTTTACTTCCCCTTCTACTCTTTTGTCGTGTTCACGTGGTCATAGAAAATATGTTTTCCCCCGACAATGGATCAAATGTGTCACACGCACCTTTATTTTTTTATTTTCAAGGAGAAGAGAAAATAAAAAAGGAAAATTTTAAGTCTATGTTACTTAAATTTTGCCAGTATAAGTTAATCACATACACAAAAAAATGGAAAAAAAATAACTTAAGAATTATACTTATGTGACGTGTGAAGTGCCATATAAAGTTGAACATCACATGTAGAAATTGTGGATAAGGGAATATTAAAGACCGACATAAATAATATTTGTTTCTTTTTTTTTTTTTTAAAAAAATAAAAAAAACAAAAAAAATACCCACTTCCATACACAGACATTCACAAAAAAAGCATACCATTTACATATCTAACACATACAATGAGAGGTACGTATGGATAGGATACAATTTAACAACACAACACAATGTATTGTATGTATACACGTATTTATAGACATAAAAAAAAAAAAAAAATATTCACATTCACACGTGTGCACGTACACCCATTTACACATAATTGAAAACATAGTTATCAAAATTATAATGGGTAATTTTGTGTATCATGAAAAACAGACAAAAAAATAGAAGGGGAAGAAGAAGGAGAGAATTCCATTGAGTTACAATTTACATGCGGAAGGGGTGTATATAACACGGGAACAAAAAACAAAATATTTCAGGGTTATCCACATAAGGGCATAAAATACATGCATGTGTATCTTTTGCTTTTTAAAAAAAATAAATAAATAAAATATTAAAATAAATAAAATAATAAAATAAATAAAATAGTAAAACAAATAAAATATTAAAATAAATAAAATAGTAAAACAAATAAAATAATAAAACAAAAAAGAAACACCATTCATGTTTTGTCTCGCATGTGAATAGGACCCTAAAGATAGTCATGAACATTATTAATCAATGAACGTTTGAAGCAAAAAAAAAAAAAAAAAAAAAAAAAAAAAAAAAAAAAAGGATCTTCTTGGCAAGCCGTCACAAGGACAATATAACCATAGAACGATATGGAAGTGTTCAAAATACAAAAGATCAACACAAACTGTTTGACTAATTTCTCTTACGGTGTGTTTTTTTCTTCAAATATCCTTATCAAAATATTCCGTGTTCATACTTCTGTAGGATAATATAAGTACGGATAGAAGAAAGAGAAAAAAAGGAACTGCAATCACCACTGAAACAACTACAGTTGTAAAGGATTTTTTTATTATTATTTGAAAAATATAAACTATAAGTAATATTACAATCTTCATACAGTAGCTAAATAAATAATATAAAAATTTTAAAATATAAAGAAAAATATGGATGAAAACATCATTATAATATGGAGTGCTCCAACAGCTTGAATTTCGTTTCCCTTTGTTGCTGTAATTTTCTCCGTTTTGTTCGCTGCTACACTGGCCACTATAACTACAGTCATATTCTTTACTATGTTCATCATTCGAATCATTCACAACATGTACACCCCCAGAATCAAAATCGTCAATATGCATAGGTCTAGTGTAGGTGCGGTTTTTAAGGTACATGAACGATGCAGTCTCGTCCATATTGATCTCATTACTCTTACGAGTGGTGTCTCTATTATAGTTTTGGCTACCATTGTTGTTGCTGCCACTGTTGAGATTTTCATTCGATTCCCTCTTATGAAATGTTTTTGGGGTATGGAAGCCCTGCACTTCTTGATGGGCAGTATCCGCATTTTTTTCAGATTTTTTTTTTTTTCTAAAGTTCAAAATGCTGCTTAATAATTCATCACCCTCTTTGAAGACGTACTTCTTTCGTATGCTTCGAATAAAATCATTGTCTTCTGTTCCAAATTTATCGCCATTGCTACTTTGGATTTTTTTCGTTGGTTTTTTGGGACGGAAGGGCTTGTTAGACGTTTTCTGAACGTTACCCAGTCTCATTTCATCGGCTCTCATTTCATCAGTTCTTACCTCATCAGTTCTTACCTCATCAGTTCTTACCTCATCAGTTCTTACCTCACCAGTTCGTACTTCACCATTTCTCAGTTCAGGTGTGCCCACTTCCTCCCAATTCTGCTCATCGTTAGAATTCTTCTTGAAACCATAACTGCAATTCTCAGGTATGAGATAACTCTGACTATTGTGGTTAAGGCTGGCACTACAAGGAGAACATACAACAAAATCGTTGAAAGTGTTGGCATTCTTATCAGAGTTTACGTATAACTTGCGAATGGATGGATCAGGTTCTACCTTTTTGTTTTTCCTATTCGATAATCTTCTGCTAGGAGATAGTAGATTATTCCATTTACATGATTTATCAAGATGTGTATTTTTCGATGTATATGAATTAATATCTGGGTTAATATCATGATGATCCTGATAGGTACTCTTTAACAAAGTCGATTTAAAAGAATAAGGATTTGATTCATCATTTTTTTGAAGTTTTTCTTTATGTTCTTTGGTTAGATGGGGTGAAATTAGATGGCTACTTATGGCACAGACATCATCAGTAGTATCATAGGGTTGACATTTCATTGAATTTTTTAAATTTCCATTATTGCAATACAAATTTTTAGCTCTTCTATTGGAATAATTTACATAGTCATCATATAATGTGGAACTATCATTTGAAGCATGCGACGTGGTACTGACATGTAAATGTGTGCTTTTGAAATGGTTTGAAGTTAAATGTGTGTTGTCTAAATGATTTACATTTAGGTTTACTCTCGAGTTTGCATCCAAACTTGCAAATGATCTATTTTTATTTTTTACTTGTTTCATGCAGTCTTGCGTGAACGATTCTTTTCCTGGAGTACGCTGGTCACCAAATGGTTCGATTGCTCTACCCCTCAGTGTCCCCTCAATCTTTTCGTGCTCACGGACATTTGAACTATTTTCTTTTCTTTCCTTTGGACCTTTTTTTGTCTCAATTTCATAGCTACAGAAATCATCCGAATTGTATTTAAGTATGTCATCAAAACAAGAAACTCCTCTAAATGTACTTTCTCCCATGTGGTTAGAATAACCGTTTCGTATAACCTCATTTGTCTTTTTCCCATGTGTTTTTACATAATTTTCTAAATCAGCTACATCTCCATACTTCTTTTTCTTATTATCCTTATCAACTGATACATTCTGTATATCAAAACTTGAGTTTCTACATTTGTCTAAGTAGCTTGCAAAGCATTTATCATTTGTTAGTCTTTCTCTATTTATTTCATTTTCTCTTAAACTATCAACCTTACATGATTTGTTTCTGGATCTGTTGTCTTCGGTTCCTAATTTTGTCTCCTCCGTATCTTTTCCCTCTTTCTTGTTTTTTATTTTTTCGGATTTATTCGTTAAATGAAAAAATGCTTCATATAAATAATTTTTATCCTGTGTATAATTATAATTCATTTTGTTCTCATTCGATTCTATATCAGAATATTCTTTGGTCATGTCTATTTCTTCTTTCCCTTTTTCACCTGTCGAGATAATCTTATCTGACTTGTTCATATGATCCCTACCCTTTTTGTACTTCTCTGAGATTCTATTTTCGCTTAAATATTTTTTATAGTATTTAAATTTTTCTCTACTAGCTTCTTCATGGTTGTAATCACTGTTCAATGAAGTACGAGCGATAGATCCTCTTCTGCTTCGACCACTGCCTGTGTAATAATCTCTCTCGTAGATATCGTACAGGTACCCGTTATCCTTACAACTACCATTAGTATAATTACCATGGGAACAGCCATATTGCGTATGCCTATTTTGTGCATACCCATCATGCATATATCTCCTGTGTCTGTGCTGATTCGGCTTATAACTTCTATCCACAGAAATGCTCACCTTGTCATAGTCTCCTCTACAAGTGGAAGGGAAAGCTTCACTGTTGCAAGATGGATGATCACTGATGATACTATCTCTTTTACAATAATCGGTGTGTTCACTTATTCGATTATTGTACCTTCTGAGGGATGAATTCCTCTTATTACAGTTCAACATATGCGATGCAGTTTCTGTGGAAATGCTTTGATCCTGTATTTTTTTACTTAAAAATGGAAGAGTTTGATAATCATCAAGTTTGTCTCCATCTAACAGGGTGGTCGCAGTGATTGTTGCAGCCGAGGTAAGTATGCCGTCATGGAGATCCGTGTGATTATTTTCGGACTGGAATAAAGTGCTGTTATCATAACTTAGGGTGTTGTATTTTGTTCTTGCATTGTGGTAGGTGTGTCTTTTGTCAGGATTATTATTTGTCAAAAATGTTTCATGATGTTTTTTTTTTTTATACTTCAGTATCAATTCGTCTATCTGTTTTTCAGATAGTTTTTTCCTTGGTGAATTCATAACATATTCTTTTTTAGGTTTCGAAAAATATGTATTTTTTTTTTTACTACTTACCTCGGGATTATAATTATTCCTACTGCTTACGGGTAGTGTAATAATATTACTTTTGCAATGACTATTCGTTTTATTTTTACCTTCATACAAATATTTATTATAAATCCAATTATTTGCCACCTCATCTGAATCATTTATATGTGTATTTTTTGGGGGAAATTTGCTATTAAGCACCTCTGGATTTTCCACATAGGTACAACTGCCACAGCTACTACTTTTGCTGCCACTTGTACCGACACTGTTTCTGGTATTACGTTTGCCCATGTGTAATTTTTTTTTTTTTTTTCAATTACTGTGTAAAATCTTTTTAAGAACTATTATGTGTAGTTAATATTCATTTTGTTATTAAAGTTGTGAACATTTCATGAAGCTCTAATTTAATAGCTTCTTTTCTTTTTTTTTGGCTTTTTTTTTTTTTTTTTTTTTTACACAAATTTTTCTTTCATAAGAATGTCTTTAGTTACAAATGAACCATATATATATATATATGTGAGAAGTGAGTGAGGCATTTATTTAAAATGCTGATATTTTATTTTCTCCATAGGGAATAATATGAACATTGGAAGATTAATACATCTATTTAACCATGCACATCTGCAAAGGGTACATTGGTGTATGAATGTGGATACAGTAGCATATTTTGGAAGAATAGCATGTGATGCCATTCTTTGCAAAACTGACAAATTTCCGCTGTTAAGTAAAGAGCAATGAGAATGGGGAAATGACCAATTAGGAAAATAAAAAGGAGATATGTACTTTTCTTCTCTTTGCATAAGTGCAAACACAAGTTTACCTTTGTTTGGTCTCATTTTTTGATAGATGTGCATGGCTTCTTATGACTTGCTACAATTTTTCTCCCTTTTGCCCTGTCAACCTTATTTCGCCTTTCTTAAATTTAAATTTTTTTTTTTTTTTTTTTTTTTTTTTGCACCTTTAGCAAATCCCCGCTAAGTATAATTTCTACTTCAAACAGCAAAGTAGCGCTGCGTGGTGTCACTACGAGAAGAACAGATTCCAAAAAAAAAAGGAAAATATCTATATTTTTCACGTTCATCTAATTTTCAATGCGCACTTTGAGAAATGTGAATAGCCATATTTACTAATCAAGCTTGACAAGTTATCACGAAAGTTTACGAGCTTATTTTTGCTTCTTTTTTTTTTTTTTTTTTTTTTTTTTATTCAACCCTCCCTTTGCAGCTTAGCAATGTGTATAGCATGTCACATTTCTTGTTCACATTTGCGAATGTTAAATTCATTGCACATATACATATGTATACAATTTAGTGACAGAGATGCTTATTGAGTATTAAGTAAGATATTATATATTTCTTTACATTCATAAAACGGTAGCAAGGTTCATCCACTTCAAGAAAAAAAAAAAAAAAAAATCTAGCGCATATACTCTCTCCTAGTTTCGTTATATATAAGCACACATTTTTTATTATCTTATGAAGCAAGGGTAGTAGCTTCTACCTTTTCATGGGAATATATGTGCATTTTTAAAATTAGGAAAACATGTGACAAGTGTTCATGCATTAATGCATATAAACATGTGAACTATTTGACGTAATACTTTTTTTTTTTTTTACTTTTTTAACATTTTATGTGTGCATATTTTTCCATTATATGCTGTGGTGGACAATTTGGAGGACAAAGGAAAAAAAGAATAAAAGGTATATTACATTTTTATACACAACTTATTTTTATTTTTTGTTTTCCCTGTATATGCATTTTATACAATTTTGAATTTAAATATAAGACAAGTCTACATAATATGGAAGAACTGTGGCAACATTTTCTTCATTTCCTTACAAGTGGGTGTATACCGATATGTGAGACAATTGAAATGTCTGCAAAAAATTATAGACTTAAGGAGTTCTTATGAGAATACATATCTGCAATACAGTTTTACGAGATGGGCTACATTCGCACATGTGCATTATGCATACATATGTGTACACATACACGTGAACCATTTCTTTCATCTCATTCTGTTAACCCATATAAGTGTGCAAGTCTTTTTGCTCCATTTTTTTGGTCTTACCCATTTTGGTTTCTCTCCCTAACTAAGCATGTACAAAATATGCTACAGATTTGTTTTTTTCACCCAACTTACTCTATATTTTTACTATTTTTCGTCTCTTTTTTTTTTTTTTTTTTTTTTTTTTTTTTAAAATGGTTAAACGTTTAATCAGTTAATATAAATTTTATGAAATAAAAAATGTACTTGTATATGGGGAAACAAATGAGAAATACAAATTTCGACAAAAAAAAAAAAAAAAAAAAAAAAAAAATCAAATGAAATGAAATAAAACAGGAAGTATCCTGGTATATAAAGTCCCATGTCATTTTATAGGACCTCATATATACATGGAACAAAACGGTACAAAAAAAGGTTGGCAACTTTATACAAAATTGCATAGCTTCACAATCACATATTTGAAGAAGCATATTGGCGAATATCCCAACTAATATATATATATTACTAAAATTGCACACTAAAACTCCCCTTCCTTCCCAGTTTATTTTGTGCTTCCAGTGGTTGATTATTATAAAACACCACTATCGAATGGAGAAGGTTCCACAAAAATAGTTGCATTAACCAAATCGCGAATAAAATCGTTCATGTATTCAACTGAATATGCAGCGGTCGCTGTGACTCTAAATCTGGGGAATTTTAAAGGACATGCAGGATAAGTAACTGCTGAAATCATCCATTTTTTTTGAAAAAGAACATTACAAATTTTTAGTAATCTATCAGGGTCATTTGGAAAAATAACTGGTATAACACTTGTCTCATCATCACCTTCAATGATATATTTATAACATTCCGGATATTCTTTTGGCCATAGACCCATACCTGTCTTTAATCCATTTCTTAAATATTTTGTGTTGAATTTAAGTTTTTCAATCCTCCATGGTTGTGTATCTATTAATTCAAAAGCTTTTAATGCACCACCTGCACAATATGCAGGTAGAGGTGCTGAAAAAACATTGCCTATACAATGAATGTCCATAAATTCTATTACATCATCGGAAGCAACTATGTATCCTCCAACTGCACCAATCGATTTACTAAAGGTTCCTACTATTAAATCTACAGATCCTGGCATATTAAAATGTTCTTCTAATCCTCTTCCTGTTTTTCCTAAAACTCCCAATCCATGTGCTTCATCTACAAATAATTTCGCATTATATTTAACGCATATTTTTTTAAAGGATGGCAAATGTGGTATATCACCATCCATGGAGTATACAGATTCAAGACATACCCAACAGGTTCTATATTTGCTTCTGTGTTTTATTAACAATGTTTCTAAATGGTTACAATTGTTATGTTTAAATGTGTAAGCTTTCGCACCACTTATTTGAATTCCTATTTTTACACAAGCATGCGTACGACTGTCATATAAAACAAGATCACTTGATGTAGCCACTGCTGCTATACCTGACATACAAGCTAAGAACCCACAAACAGCTAAAATAGAATCGTTTCTACCAAAAAATTTACCAACCGTTTTTTCTAAGTCTCTTAAAATTTCATTATTCCCACCTAATAATCTAGGACCATGATTTCCTGTCGACCACTCCATGGCTGCTTTGATGGCATAATTTTGTACTAATGGTTCTCTTATAAAATCTAAATATGAATATGAAGATATAGGTCTTACTTTACTATTTTCACAAGTAATGTATTCATTTTTCACATCAGATACTTTCCACATAAATGCCCATCTATTTATACGAACCATTTCTCTTTTTGCGTCTAAATAACTTTTCATTTCATTTTCATTTTTGTCAATTGGCAATTTGTATTTATGCTTTAGAACCAAATAATAAAAGTGTCTTTTCGATTCAGATTTGTATTTTAACACAGCCAACTTTTTATATAATACTAATTTATTGATCCCACTTTTATACCACTCATTTAGTAAATGTAAAAATGTACCTTCCCATACGGAACATTTTAATTTCATAAAAAAATTACATACAAATGTGATAAGTGCATATGTTTTCCTATTTTCCTTCTTAAATAATTGCTTTTCTGCATTCGTATTTAGAGAAAAAATAGACTGTTGTATTGGCAAATATTCTCCTAATACCCAAGATAACCTTGGGGATCCCGTAGATGTATCTTCATTAAATATGGCTAGTACTATTGCCAATAGAACAATGACTGCTATTAGATAATTAACTATATCAAAACTCTTAAGGGCGTCTAGACCTACGAAGTAGTTAAAATCAACTAGCTTGTTCAAATGCATTTTTTTTTTTTTTTTTTCTTTCTTCTTCTTATTCGTCTTTTAATTTCACTATTTTGAGATTCCTTTCAGCGGGTTGTATATTCTACCCTCTCTTCTGCTTTAGTTTAATATGCCTTTTTCTCTTTTGTCCTTTCCCCCTGATGTTCTTTTTCTATTTTGTTCTTTTTTGCTTTCCCTTTTCCACTTCTTCCTTACTCTTCTTTTTTAATTTTCGATTTCACGAAGGGAAAAAAATTAAAGAGATAACACACATTTATATAACTACCAATGTTTTATATTTATAATATGCACCAAAATATGTAGTGTGATTGTGTCATAATCAAATGTAGTCAAAAAAAAGGAAAGAGAAAAAGAAAAGTTTTTGATTAATAATAAATTGTGTGTCACTGCATTCACACATTCAAATTAGTAAGAAAATATCTAGTTCTATTAATCTATGTATTTATTACGTGTGTATGTAAGACTAATATGGTTAGTCTGTCCACCTTATCTCAAATATTTATGAAAACAAAACAAAACAAAAAAATAAAAAAGTATGTACCTTCGTAAGTGTGCTTATGCACGTCGGAATGTGTGTATATGTATATATGAATTCATGTAATCATATACACAATTTTGAATGTGTATCGGTTCACATGCATGTTTAAATATAGATTGCGACATACTCACATTTAAACAAGTACGCTAAGGTTACCCACGCGACTACCCACATTATAAATTGTTTATTTTATTTATATATATATATCATTTTAAAGTTTTTATTTTGAAACAAAGTGTTATATCACAAATTTGATGCAGTTTAAACAAGTGGAATGTGAAACGAAGGAACATCTCTATTTTCCCCCAATATGTCTTTTGTTATTAGAAAAACATTTGTAAGTGAAAAATGATACAGCATACGCAAAAGCTTTGCTTATTTCGTGTGTTCTGTATTCATTGTTTTTTATTAATATGCGATGTTTTAGTTTGACCTAATTATGCAGGTAGGGTAAAATGATGTAACACATGCATATGAGGAATCTGCAAAAATTTTAAGTTATATAAATATGTGTTTTCTCTAGAGTTCTAAACATTCACCTTTTATTATGAATATTTTCAACAAATTAGGTAAAAGTATAAATAGATAATGACTTGTATATAACTCAACATTTGCTTTATACTGCATGTATATATAGTGGAGGAAAGGGGGTGGGGCTTAAAACCCTTGCCCTGTTCAGGCGTTATACTTCCATAATTGTAAGGATAAGAAAGGTTATTCTGCGTACACTGCTAAATAATGTATATATACGTTATCAAGTAAAAGGTGTGTGATCTAGAAACAGGTATGCAAAGAGAACAAGGAAGAAGAAAAGGTGAAATAGGTAGGAAAAGTAAGAAAGCGTGACGTTGATAAAAAAAAAAATGCAAAAAAAAAAAAAAACGAAACATATATACTCATGACACAATACCATGTGCAGAAATTTACACATGAACTTGTCTTATATGCATATATACAATCAAATATGTTACATATATGGTGCACTTATGTATATTTATAATAGTTCAGTATTAAATTTAAAACACTAATTACATGTGTTTTCCAATTTTTTCACATGGAAAAAAAAAAAAAAAAAAAAAAAATCCAAGCTACAGCGTGTATGCATAATGCTTACATATATAATTATATGTGCTCATGAATTAAGCTACATTACATATAAGTTGTGCTTGCACTAAGAAACCTTACAAAGCTGTTAAAATGTCTAATTTGTGTGCAACTTTAAAAGGTGTAAGGAATAAGGAACGAAAAACTAAAAAAAATGCAAATGCAAAAATAAGAAGATAAGTGGAAAAAAGAAGAAATGAAAATTTAAGAAAAATACAGCACCCAATTTTTAATGTATCAATATGCGTTGTAAAGAAACGTAAAAAAAAAAAAAAAAAAAAAAAAATTTGTCATAAAATTTGCGTGGACAATCTTACAGACAGGAAAAACAAGATTACGTAAAAAAAAAAAAAAAAAAAATTTTAATACGCTTTAAAATGAAAAGAATTAAATGCGAAAAGTATAAAAAAATGATAAAAATAATAAAATGATTAATGAAAAGGGAAAACTCAAAACTTCTTTGTACGAAAACCGAATAGTCAAAAAATATGCCATGTGTTGTGTGCGTATGTATACATATATATACATGCACATGCGTCTAGTTGAATCACAAAATGAGGACTACATTAATATACCTACACACATGTCTGGATAAAAACATTTATATCAACGTTTCTTTAAATAAACACTAGCGTGCTCATACATATACATGTTTCACGGATGTAAGCAAAAAATTCAAGTGATTTATATTACTACACATGGGGAAAATATAAAGTTAATGTGGCAATCGAGCAGTTACGTAATTCAGCATGTTATATATATAAAAAAAAAAAAAAAAAAGAACTCAACAACGCCGTTAAAAAAAAAAAAAAAAAAAAAAATTACCCTTCTTTGCGTTTTTTAAATTTTTTCTTTGCACTATATCCCCTTATGCCAATGTGAGTTTAAATAAATGAGCAAAAATAATAACATAAGTCTCTATAAATGACTGCAAATCGTAAAAAATAAACACGTTAAGGGTGGTCCAAAGTAGAGATACAATGAAACTTGGAAACACGAAAAATGAGAAATACAAAAACTGAGAAATACAAAAACTGAGAAACACGAAAACTGAGAAACATTGAAAGCGGGATAACAAAATTTAGTACATTTTTCAAAATATAGTTGCGTCATTAATTAGCAATTTTTGTGTGTATATGTAAATATTCAGCATGTATACAAAACAGGAAATTGTGTTGCACGTGGTCATGAAAATACCTGCTATTATTCATATCATTTGAAAATAAGCAAGTGGGAAAAGGTCATCCTTTTTGCATGCTTAAATAGGTATGCTAAAAAAAGGGCGTTAAATAAAAATCCGAGGAAGGAAATGAAAAGGGGAGATTGCAATGGCGAACGCAAAAGTTCAAACAAAAAATGGAAAATAACATCTGAAATAGTTTTCCCGCGTGAAACATAGATTGGTGGCATAAAATGGAGGGAAAACATAAAAATTATTTACATGAATGATTTACATGAATAAATTAGATGAATAATTTACATGAATAAATTAGATGAATAATTTACATGAATAATTTAGATGAATAAATTAGATGAATAATTTACGTATGCTCATTCTACATTGGTAGTTCAGACTTAATACAACATTGTAAGAGCGTAAATTGAGACAACCTCATGTACAATGCATTTACATGTTCATGTTTTTTTGTGTATAAGATATAAAACGGAAATTTCAAAACAAACACATTAACATATTCAGATACGCAAAAGGTGAATTTATTACGTACAGTATTACATTATATTTTACGTTCTATAGCAATATAGTATGATACATGTAAAAAGGGGATATGGAGGGGAAGGTGGGGAGGTTGAGAGAAATGTACATATTCATTATGCATATATAAGGTTATCGAATAAATACGGCATATTTAAAATAAATTTAAGGAAAAAATAAGAATAGGCTTAAAAAAAAAGAATGTTCTTCAAGCAATTTATAGGTATTCTTTTTTTCATAAAAATAACATTATAGTTAATATTTTTGAAAAACGGGAAGAGTACAAATTTAAATTAAATTTTTGTTTTAACAAAATAATTCACATATATATATATATGTATACCTTCCCTAATTGCATTTTCTCATATGTAATTAATTTCTCCCTTTAAAGCATATGAGGAATTGCTACATAAGTTTATGATGTCAGAGACCTGTTCATGAGCTCATTTTATATAATCTACAAGTCGTGCACAACAGCGTTAAGAGAAATGTCTAACAAGGATGGAATTTAAGTTTTTATATGATTATTCCATGTGTTATTGATACATGTACATGTAGTAATGTAACTCCCGGGTGATAAAACTACAGTTGCAGCAATGCATTATTTAAAAAAAAAAAAAATGGTACACAACATGGCAAAATTTTAATTCCAACATGTGGTACATGCTACGTGTATGTGTCTTAATTCCCATTTAATAATATGACTTGTATTTGCGCCTATGTCACCATGTGAATTATGAAGACATATACATCAGCAATCATTTGGAAATCATAAAGTGTACTGTTGTTTAACGTCTAAGTGTTAACATACTGCATTCCACGCCTGTCTGATATCATTATACTTGCTATATCTCTCTGTACACTTTTCAACTTTGCCTTCTTTCTTATGTAACATTTGGTGAAGTAAATTATAAAGGAATATGTAAAGTACAATTTATGTGCCTGTATTGCATATATATACATACAGCTTTGGGGGAGGGGGAATGCAATATATTACTGGCTGATTGGTTCCGTACGAAAAAAAAAATATGGCATTTTCAGCCCCTTGTTTAATTTTTGATCATCCGCTATTTTGAGTGTGTCCTTCGTGTAAATTAAATGTTAGTAACATCTTACAGTAGTTTTTTTTTTTTTTTTTTTTTTTTTTTTTTTTTACTATTTGTTCGTTTTCCTTATTTTGTTACTAAAATTGTTTTTCATAAATTATATAATAGCGAAAATTAGAAGAACAAATAATATCCTATAAAATGTACAATATTTTGTAGTATGCAAATTTACTAAAGATCATAATTCTTCACAAAAATGAATTAAAAAGTGCATATGGGTATACGAGAAGAGTATATAAATTAAATTTTTTAAATTCAAAAGTGATGGTTTTTTCCACCCTCTAGGTTAACATTTCTGGGATTTATCCGTTCCTTTAATCGTACATATTTTCACAGTTCACCGTTAGGTGTTCTGTGTCAAGGTCAAATTAACATTCATTAAATTTATATTCAGGGTGACGCATGCTTCTATATACACATATATAAAAGTACATATATGTGCGTATAATATTTATATACATACGGGCTCTTATTAGATTATCATCTACCATAGGCTGCTATACATATGTTGCTATGTTCTTAGGCACTTTACATTTTGTGAATTTAAAAAATTTTCCTAGGGGATTACAATTTTTGTCGAAAAGCAAAGAAACAAGTTTGATTATTTTACTCTTGGATTTATTTATGTTTTAATTAAATTATGTTAAAATGACTATTTTTTTTTAAAACTGCCGCCTTTCTTGTTTCTGAAAAAAAATCAAGTAAAATTAAAAAAAAAAAATTATTTTATTTTAGTAAAAAATTGCTGATATGGGAAAATATTATTACTATTATTTATTTTATTATTTTATTTTATTTTTTTTTTTTTTTTTGCTATTTTGCTTTAAATGCATCGATAATTTTTGACCCACATGAATTAACGGATGAATTATAATGAACTTGTCAAACAAATGAACGAATGGGGGATTAGCTAAACAACAGATGAGTTGAGAATGAACAAATAAACACCCTACTTACATATGGTCAACCGATTAAAGCGCGCATGCTTCAGACGAATGTTACACGCATAGGCAAATATGCCGTTTTGTATAAATTCCAATACGTAGTAAAGAATAATATTACAACAAAGATGAAGATCAAAAGAGGATATCATCAGAGCGCAATTAATAAGCCCATGAGCATACTGAAAAATGTAAATGATGTTATTGGGAAAAAGAAAAATACGAACAACAGCAGTGGGATACACGGGAGTGGAAGTAGGAACATTAGTACGTCAAAGGCAAAAAATGGGAACAAGATGAACATGATATTGTATAAGAAACATGGGCAACATTTGCTTAAAAATCCAGGTATATTAGATAAAATTTTATTAGCAGCTAAAATAAAGAGTTCTGATGTAGTGTTAGAAATAGGATGTGGAACAGGAAATTTAACGGTGAAACTTTTACCAATAGCGAAAAAAGTTATTACAATAGATATTGATTCCAGAATGGTTAGTGAAGTAAAAAAAAGGTGTCTTTATGAAGGATACAGTAATTTAGAAGTGTACGAAGGGGATGCTATTAAAACCATTTTCCCAAGATTTGATGTATGTACTGCGAATATACCATACAAAATATCGAGTCCCCTTATTTTTAAATTAATTGCACATCGACCATTATTCAAATGTGCAGTACTAATGTTTCAAAAAGAATTTGCTGAAAGAATGCTTGCTAATGTAGGTGATAGCAATTACAGTAGATTAACTGTAAATGTAAAATTATTTTGTAAAGTTATTAAAATATGTAATGTGGATAGAAGTAGTTTTAATCCACCTCCAAAAGTAGATAGTATTATTTTAAAACTTATACCAAAAGAAAAGAATTTTTTTATTAATTTTGATGAGTGGGATAATTTATTAAGAGTGTGTTTTAGTAGAAAAAGAAAAACTCTTCACGCTATATTTAAAAGAAATGCAGTTTTAAATATGTTAGAGCATAATTATAAAAACTTTTGTACCCTCAATAACATCATTCCTGTTAATTTCCCATTTAAAAAATATTGCCTCGATATATTAAAGGAACAAGACATGGCTGAAAGAAGAAGTGTGAATTTAGATGAAAACGATTTTTTAAAACTGCTTCTCGAATTTAACAAAAAGGGAATTCATTTTTTTAATATTGCCAATATAGGAAACATGCACACTGCAAATATTTTCCTCAACAACGAAAAGGATGAAGATGCCGATACAGGCGATGATGCTGACAACGTTGATAATATGGACAACCTGGACGAACAAGTGTAAAAAAAAAAAAAAATAACAAAAAATAATATAATATAATATAATATAATATAATATAATATAATAACCTCAAATTAGACCAATATATTGCAATCATGTTTTAAGAAAAAAATAAAAATCAACAGTTGACACTGCAGAATTGACTACATTACACGTTGTGAATATAAAAATAAATTACAAACTCCTTTTCAAAATAAAAAAAAAAAGCATTATCTCCGCTCGAAGAGTAAATCAACTTCATTTGGCATTCTTCATCTTCATTCATTTCGTTAAGCATTTTATCGTTTTATCCTTCTGCAGTTTTTTCGTTCTGCCGTTTTTTCGTTCTGCCGTTTTTTCGTTTTATCGTTTTATCATTTTTTTCTTCTTAATTTTTTTAAGTTAATTTTAATAAAATGCACAAAAACACACACACACAAAAAAAAAAAGAATATAAAATATTTAAAAATTCAACACGGTAAAAATATAAATGAACCATTCTGAAAGAAAAGCAAAGCATGGTGTGGCTCACGAAATATAAATTGCACAGTACTGACTAAAATGGCGGAAACTATGTTGTATCATTTTGATACCTTTGTATTGGCATCCTTAACTGTTTTCCATTTATCCCCCCACAGAACATGCACATTTTCACCATATATCCAACATCTTATTCTTACAACAGGAAGATTCGTCGTGAACTTTTTTACAATTCAACGAACAGTAGTATCTAATATATGAAATTGGTTTATGTTCGTAGCATTTTAAACACTTGTATTTTCCTTCAAATCCGCAAACGATGCAAAATTTTCTTCGAGTGAGGGAACTTCTGCCTCCATTAACCTTCGTCCAGCAGTAACTTTTCGTTCTACAAAAAGAAGGAGATGTAAAAATGGGCCGTACAAATGGGTCATAAAAATTGGGTGTAAAAATAGGGAGTAAAAATGGGTAGTTGGCATAATACGTGTGATAAAATAAACTGGGGGAAAAAATAATGAAGTAAAGATGTGTACATGTGTATGTGTGGGTGTGGGGGGAGATTGTCTATATGCATAAGAAAACGTTCAGATAATGAGGGTATCCCATTCGGGAAGCAGGTTCAAGTCAGGCATTATGATAAGTAGTTCGTCGTCCGTATTCACATAACCTCCTCTTAGTATATGTACTGTACAAATGTTACCACACTCACAATCGTACAATTTCCCTCATATAGACACTACATTCGAAAAATTTTATCTCCCAGAGTCATAAATGAGCACATAAGCATGTGCATAAGTGTATGTATATATGTATACACATTTGCATGCATATATTATGTCTGTTTCCTTACTTAGACGCATCGGCTTCATCCTGTGCTAGAATCAAGTTTATGTCCACTTTTTCTCTCTGCTTAAATTTACATGATACTGCGACATTTCGATTCAAATTAACATTCATGTTCGCTATCTCAATGTCATCGTCGTCCTCTGTGTCGGAGTTCTTTTTTCTTTTTCTCTTTTTTACGCTCTTTGTGTTTTTTCCAATTTTTCCATTTTTCACGTTTTTAGCCTTTTCACAATTGATCGCGTTGTTTAGGTTTTTCTCAAGACGCCTTCTCCCCATTTGAAAAAAAAAGCAATGAAATGAAGTAAAAATCGAGGGGGCAATAAAATGAAGCAATTAAATGAAGCAATTAAATGAAGCAATTAAATGAAGCAATTAAATGAAGCAATTAAATGAAGCAACTAAGTGAAGCAATTAAATGAAGCAACTAAGTGAAGCAATTAAATGAAGCAACTAAGTGAAGCAATTAAATGACGTAAAAAAAGGTTATACAAAAAACGGACATAAAAAATATGTTACACAAAAAAATGAAACCCAAAAAAAAAAAATATTGAAAAAAGAAGGAACTTATTCTTGTATACTTAAGCGCTGACGAGATACAAATGAAATGAAGAAATAGATTTATTTGGTTGAATGTTTTGTAAATTAAAAATCACAACATAAAAGCAGGCAAAAAATAGAGATAAAAGAAGAAAAAAGGAAGGGAAAAAAAAAGGAAAAAGGAAAAAGGAAAAAGGAAAAGAAAAGGAGAAAATGAAAAGGGAAAAAAAGAATGTATAAATTGGTTAATTGACACTGGTAAGAAAAAAAAAAAAAAAAAAAAAAAAAAAAATATACACAGTAGAAAATGAACATATACATTTTACAAAAGCTAAGGGGATGAATTAAAAGTGTCCGACATTTTAAATTTTGAGGAATTGAAGTGGAAAAATAAGTAAAACAGTGGGGAATGTCACACGTTCGTCTATGCATATACGAATAAAAACACATGTGCCTGTTTACATGCATTATACGCAGATCACAATGAATAAGCAAATGGGACAGTGGTATTAAATTTTTTCGCGTACAAAAAGAGATAGGATTCCTTCATTTGTCTCCTTTTGCATTTAATTTCCCCTCAATTCTTACTCAAAATGGAATTATGACTCACTTATTCTGTATTTATCTTACATGTATGAAAAACTTGGTTCAAAGTAAGTGAGCGTTGGATCAAAGCTACATTTATCAAAAATGCATTTTTGTCTTAAGGCGACACGTGGGATATATAAAGAATGATAATTCACAAAACATATAAACAGGTATGCTGCACGCATGTGTACACAAGTGTATATTTAATTACATATTCATATGTGTAAATGTAGATTCATTTGCACCTTCACATGTATACATACCTACACAAGCATGGTAGGTATTTATTCGAGTTATGTGAAAATCCAGATCAATGGCAAACTTTTTTTTCTTTTTTTTTTTTTTTTTTATCCAATTAGGGAAAGAAAACTATTCAGTATTTATTCATAGACATTAATCCTTTTTTTAGGGGTTATTTTTCCTTAATTTTGTATTATATAAAAATATAGATTATGTAACAACGCATATTATTATGCACTAATAATACACTTTGAGAGAGAGCATGCAAATTTCTCCTACCGTTTTTTTTAGATTTATGCAACATTTTTTTTTTCACTGGTATATCGTAAAATTTAAAGGAGCATAATTGCTCAGCGTGTTACAAATTGTGTTTTATGTGAGTAAATTATTTCCCTATACATTGTGTCCTTATGAATTTAAAATTGGATAAAATAGCTTACTATGACATTGGTAAAAAGGACCCTCATTTAATAGAATCACGCGGTATTTCACAAATGGGAAATGTTATTTCTAAATATCTGCTAAAGTTTTTAAAATAAAAAAAAAAAAAAAAAAAAAAAAAAACACACACACATACAGGTATACGTATAGGTACAGGCGGCACATTTACATAAATTCAAAATGTTATTCATGCACAAAACACTATCCAGTCTATATTTAAAAATAATATAATTTTGTGGAAATTGTTTTTCCCCCATTTTATTCTTCAATAAAATAGATATGGTACTTATAATGTTAACAAAATTAGGAAGGCATTAAAATGATAACTTTTTTCTTTTTTTTTTTTTTTTTTTTTTTTTTTTTTTTTTTTTTTTTTTTTTTTGGTGTATGTCTTTCATTTGTCATGTCCCTCATAGGTTCGATTTCCACATCTCTTATTCTTCCCGATTTATTCGCTGATCGAAATTTTTCAAATGGAATAACAAATAGGATACTCAAGATAAAAAGAAAAAAAAAAAAAAAGTGATGAAAATTTCACATTCATATGAATAAAAAAAGGCAGGAGAAAACAGAGAAAAAAAAAAAAAAAAAAGGCGAAACGTGAAAGGAAGAAAGAAAAGTGAAAACAAAAACGAGAGAGGAAATGCCAACAAGAAAATTAAACAAAGGATAACGTAGCTCATTATAAAATGGATTTCCAAAGATTAGTGACTTGTTGTTTTCTCATTTCTTATCTAATTTTTTGTCACATAGTATGGAATGGGTGCTATAACATTTATTCCAGCACAGAAGATGAAGTATATAATTTGTTATACTACCGAAAGAAAGAGCACAGACCTGTCAAATTAGAAATAAGGAACAAACTTAAAGTAGACAATATAAAAAAGGTTTATATAAAGAAGGCTCCCTGTCCTGTCTTACCAAGACCAATTAGTACGCTTCTATGATGCACGTGCCTTACGTAACTGTGTTTATTCTATTGTATCTGTATACATGCATGTATGTGTGTGTGTATATGTTTATGCATGTATGTGTGTGTGTATATGTTTATGCATGTATATGTGTATGTATGTATTTATGTATGTAATTTTTACGCATGTGTGCATGTATTTATGTATGTGTGCATGTATTTATGTATGTGTGCATGTATTTATGTATGTATGCATGTATACATGTATGCACATATACATGTACCTGTTATATGTGCAACATGAGTGAACGCATGGGTACTTAGTGAAAATCCATTTCCCCATGACAACAAAACAAATGGCTCAAACAGTGAACTACCATTGTGTACATCATTCCGAAAGTAGTAAACTTGGAAATAGGAAAAGTTTTTTTTAAATATCATCCTAAAATTTGCAGAATCGATATTCCACCTCAATTGGTTCCGGAAATCATCCGATCTAGTACCCATAAGCATTCAGCTATATTCCATGTTTGATGAAAAGAATAATGTTCTAGGACTTATACTACTTTCCTCTGCAATTTTTACTCTACTGGAATGGATATATATAGTGTAAGAGAGAATATACAAGTGTGTAAGGGTAAATATACTATGTGACCTCTCATCCTTTACCCTTTGCCACCGGTCGAATAACATTTCTTTTTTTTTATCCCTTTTTTTCATTTTTGCATTTATTTTTTTTTTTTTTTGCGCACAGATATCTAGCTAGCTTGCTATTATGGGACGGAATCATCAAACCAATCTTCAAAATTTTATACCTAGCCATTTCAGTGTACCTAATATTACGATGCACAGTTATTTTTTTGCCATATACAAAGTCATATATGTCTCAAGAAAATTACAAGCACGTATCTACATGTATCTTTAGTTTTTATAACATCATCACGAAGGTAAAATACTCAATTAGGACCTGTTCTTCGCATATGTATAAGCATTCATGTACATCCATCATTTATGGTTGTACGAAGGAGCTATATTTTCAAAATTTCTTGCAGGCTGTTAGTCACGTTCTTCTGATAGTATAATTCCTTTTCGCCGTTTCAGCAAACCTACACACGTGAACACATGCACATTAGTGCATAGACTTTAGTACATGCACATTAGTACATACACATTAATACATACACGTTGGTACATACAAATTAGTACATACAAATTAGTACATACAAATTAGTACATACAAATTAGTACATACACATTATTACATAAACGTTAGTACGCACGCATGAAGACATACATATGAACACATACACATGCATGTCGGAATGACGACAAAATTTATTACCCCCCTTTCAGATTTACAAGGAGATTAACCTATTAATGAACAGAATAATTCAGGAAAATGGTACTATAAACAAGGAACTTTAAAATGGACACGAGGGAAAAGATATGTATATATATATTCCCTCGGTTTTCTATTTGAAAAAGCAAAATTGTTTTCTTCAAATATAGACAAAATAGGAGAAAATAAAAATATACCGTACGAATTCTAAGTTCTTATAAAACTATTTGACACTTTAATATGATGGTGCATATATATACTTATCTCATTTAAGGTTTTGACAAATTTTAGAATTTTTTTTTTTTTTTTGTAATTTGAAACTTTTTGTTTAACACTTGAAACTGTTTTTAAAATTACTTATTACTCGTTTTAAATCGCTCTTTTCAATTTTTTTTCTTATATATTTGAGGGATGAGGACAACCCATAACGACGTCTAGACATGTCTACAAAATGGCATATTTTAAGTGCTTTTTTATTCGTGTGTATATATGTATTTACAGCTTGTTGTATTGTCAAAGCGTCCACATGATATTTTCCTTTTGTTGTACCATTTTACTATTGCATCCAAAATGGATATGCTCATTTTTACTTTTTTAAATTGAACATACAATATACTTTGCAAAGTGCTTTTACTCGTTTTGATTTTGATGTGCACTGATGCGTTAAAAAAAAAATGTTGTCATTAAAATAAAGAGACATGTTTTTTCTTTGAACCCTCGGAATTTAAAAAGGCAAAAAGATGCTGGGCTCAAAATTTTGTTGGAAAAAAAAAAAAAAAAAAAAATGTTTTTTCCATATTCCTGCAATTTTCAACATTTAACAATTTTTCCAAAATGGTAACCCCGAGAAGGGTGTAATGGGATGATTTGACAAAAAAAAAAAAAAAAAAAAACATAAAAATAAAATAAAAATAGGAAAAAAACATATCCAATATCGTCACAACACGCATAAACTCTACAATTATGTAATCCATACAATCCAGTGCGCGTGGAGACCCGGCCTAGTCCGCCGATGATACATGTTCCGTTGCTTTACCCCCAAGCATCTGTACTTGTCTGTAAAAACCATACGAATTTTTGGCTATAAAAAATACAACCTTGTTGATGACGGAAAAAACCTCCATATTTCCATTGAAAACTAAAGTAGACAAAATAACTATAAGAGCTAAAAATAAAGGTAAGATAATATTCAAGCGGAAAAAGAAACGAGTAAAAAACAAAAGTTCGTTCCATCCAAGTATTAACAAAATAACCCAGAAAAAAAAAGGGACATTTTTTAAACTCATTTTTGCTCCTGTTTCTTGTATATATTGTGCATCTCTACACATTTCTTGTATTTTTCGTTTGGCTTTGTTTTTCCCTTTTTCAATTATTTCATCTTTTATATAATTATTTGGTAGATAATCATCAATGAGTTCTACATTAGTATTTTTCTGCAATATGTCAATAATTAGAAATGCGTAATTTTTAGATTCTCTAAAAATCTTTTTCAATTCTGCCATGGAGATATCACGCCATTGTCTTGGTTGTTCAGCTTCATCGTAATTAAAAACAGATTCGAATCTCTGAACTATGATGGTTGATAAATTTTCCGATATTTCATCTAACTTGTTTTTTAATACACCAACAATTTCATCTAAGTAGTAATTATTCAACTCAGACATTGCCTTTTTATTTTTTATTTGTTTCTCGATTTCCTCATTTATAGTGCTTATATAATTTCCTTTATTTTTAATTATGTCTATTTTTTTGTGGTTAAGGAGATTTTCATCGACATAATTATTATTTCCTTCAGCCGTGTTAATACCATTTGGCGATTCTACTTCTTTCTCTTCATCATCTATGTAGGACATGCCATTTTCATGAGAAAAACCAATTAGGTTAATGATCCCCTTTGAAATTTCTTCGCTGTTGGTTCCATCAACTTTGAGATTTATAAAACATTTGGTCAAGTTAGAATTTATGCTTCCTTGCAACGATTTAACAATTTTTAATGTGTGATTCCAATACTCTTCTGAATTTTTGGTAGTGATTAGTAAGTTATCTATATTTTTAAATTTATTTTTTATAGTAATTCTTGTGCGATCTAGCAAAATATTGCATTGTATATTTCGAATTCTATTTATATCTTTACATATAGCAGTTGATAAAATACTTAAGGATGGCTTATAATTAAATTCATGTATTTTATTTCTTTTTTTAATTTCAATAGTGCATTTTTCACAATCCTTAAAAAAATTGCATAACGTGTTGTATTCTAACTTATCAGCATTGAGTAGGAAATTCGACCATAACTCAATGCATTTATCTTGATTATTATTTTTCTTTACTTTTTTATCTTCCTTTTGAGAAATATTGTTTTTTCCATCATTTTTTATCTCTATATTGGATTCTTTGCAAAAGTGAAAAATGCTCTTATCAGATGTGCATGCATTATACATGTTATTTAATTCGTTGGAAAATTTGGTTGATAAAATTCTTTGGGTGAAATTTAAATTGTTATCGACAATTGTTTGTAATTGAATAAATAAGCTACTCAGCAATTCTTCAGACGTTTTTAAACATATGCTTTCTGTGTACCTACATGCATCAACAAAATATTCATCTAAGCTTTTTTCTACTATTTCTTTTTCAGCCCATGATTTGAAATCATCAATTGTTGAACTGTGTTGAGAAGATGATGATGTAGCTAATTTCTCCTTAATAACTTTAGTAATATTATTAAGAACATTATTTTTAATTTCTTGACATCGAAAAGTAGCCAACATTTCCTTCTGAGATGGAATATCTAACTGAGATTGTTTTACAATTGTATTCCATATATTATTACAGTATTGAGCAAAACCATCTGATGGGATATTTCTTGAATATTGTAAAGGTCTCAATTCGTATATCCATTTTTTTCTTAAATTTTCGACATCTTTGAGAAATTCTTCCTTCTTAATTATTCCATGAGATAATCCAACAACCTCAACAATAAAATAGTTGTTTATATTTGCATTTTCTGTCCCTGATGGTTTTTTCATTTCACCCCAAATTTTATTTAAATATTCTTCTACAATTTTATTTTTCACAATATCTATTGAAGCAAATTCTTCAAACCAGTCCCTCACAGTAAATAATAAAATAGTTTTAGGACAACATGTATCCTGTTGAAATAATTCAAGATTCACTTCCATAACTGTTTTTAATAATCCATAATTCGATGCTGTAAAATTACCTAAAGAATGGTACCACAAATTCACAATTACACAATCTGCTAATGCTAAGGAAAATAACGCTGATCTGTGCTCAAAGGTTAATCGGTTATCTCCTCTTTCTTTTGAATCGTTTCCTTCTACATCTAATATTAAAGTAGGACTTAATCCACGTGCATTATTACCCATTTTTTTAGTGCTACTGCTATTTATAGTCACATTTTTCTGTCCTCCATTTTCTAATCCTAGAGATGACGACTCAGAGCATGTATTCCTGTCATCCTCAAAGGTATCATAACTCAACCATAATCCCTGAGTTGTTTGACTGTGACCCAATTTTGTGTTCATCACATCGAATGATGTTTTAAACAAATTATTTAACAAGGTACTTTTTCCACTACTCTGACTTCCCAATATTGCTATCACGTTATAATTGAATCCTAGGTTTGATAAATTGTTTCTAATTATCCACTCCTTTAGATCTTCCATCATGTTTCCATCGTAATCGATAATTTGTGTTTTTCCGTCGCTCATCATTTTGTTTTCTGTATCTCTGCAAGTTATGGGTTTGGGTCCTGTTACTCTATTTTATTATTCCTACTTTGTTATTCTATTCTATTACCCTGTTATTCTCTAGTTATTTGCTCTTTCCCTTGGGCTTCTATTTACCTCTGTCTGTTGCCAAATGGGGGTGGGCGGGTACTATACCGCTAGATGAGACCCAGAATGTAACTGATGTATTTAGATGTGTACACAATTCAAACATATAATAATGAACTATGCCTTTTTGCGTGGATCTTCCATGAGTTTTTTTATTCATGAGGAGACTATGAACTTGTACACTGTTTAATACTAATGCGTGATTTACAATCCCCTTGTTTTTTTTTCTCTTCTTCCAAAAATTGTAATTCGTTAAACTCGTTGTTACATATAGTGTGGTAGTTTTCTTTCTCAAAAGTTGCCATAAATGCGAAAAATTTTGCAATTAAAACGGCACAACTCGAATGTGCATAATAAAAGATATGATTTTCTATATATATGTCACGAAAAAGAGAATAATAGGGATAAAGATACTACCCTCACATGCACAATTCATTAACGGAGGAAAACTTGGCTAGCTTTAGTTCTCATAAAATCCATTAGCTACTTCGAAAGAACTTTGCGATGAACGCAAAAATGTTGAGCACCTCCCACAAGTACCGTTTGAGATGCATAATAATGTGCCTAGTTTCATATGAAAAATTATATTCTCTAGTTTTGGGGATTATTCTAATTTATATGTGCATTTTACTTTTAAAAAAATCTCCTTAATTTCTTTTTCTTATCTTTTCTCCTCTACAGAGAATTTTTTTTTTCTGACTATTCATGCATTTTTTCTTTTCTTTTTTTTTTTTTTTTCTAACCATTCATGCATTTTTCTTTTTTCTTTTTTTTTTTCCCCACCAAACATGTTTTTTCCAAGAAATAAATTTTTATTTTTTATATACAAGATAATGCTATAATGAATATCTTCCCCGTTGGGCAGAATTTTTTTTTTTTTTTTTTTTAAAAAAAACTATTTTTTGTTAGTAATGTTACGCATTGGTAGAGTACATTTTAGTTTGTAGCGTTCATATACACTTTTCATTTCACCACAGATTGTTAATATAAAAATGATAATTGTTGAGAAGAAAAAAAACAGGAATAAATTTTTTAAAAAAATGTGAAAAGGTATATGTATGAAAAATGCACATGTATTGAGGAATACACAAGTACAAAAGATGGATAAATTGGATGAACGCAAAAAATAGATGAATACCAAACATTGATAATTATGAAGAATGCATAAAATATGCAAATGTGCTACGACGAAAAGGAGAGAAAATTTACGTGGCCCAGGTTCAGGTTTAATTTTACTATCTCTTGCCACGAAAATGATAACGCGAAACTCCTAAGCAGCAACGCCCAAATCTACGTTTTTTCTTAACTTTCATTTCCCTTTTTTTACCCTTCTTTACATTTCTTTACCCATCTTTACATTTCTTTACCCTTATTTACAATTCTCTACTTTTCTTTTCTTTGGCTTTTTATCAGCACAAAATAATAACTTGTCTCATACGTGTGCTTTTCTCCCGTTGGCAAAGCTCACTAACGGTTATGCCGCTCTGTGGAACAGCAAAAACTTATCCCCTTTTTTTTTTTCACATAAATCATGGGAATGCCTGTTGGCACGTTTTGTTATTAATATATGGTGGATTTTGCGTACAAATTTTTTAATTTACAGTTCTGTCTATCTGTATATATATATATATAAAAGTATACACATATGTACTGTACATATATATATATATACATGTTTCCCCTCCCCCATTGGGTTTATTTTTTTCACGAAATACATGCACACACTGGGATGATTGCCCTTATATTTTTTATAATTATTTCATCGACAAATTACGGCGTTATTCATTTTTACCTTTCTCATATGGTTGCATTTATAAAAAGTGAAACATGAAACAATAATTATAAATGTATAAACAAAAGGGATGAAATGTATATATATTTCCCCTCCATTTTAACATTATTTCGATGAACCAACTTTAGGGAAGTAGTGAATAGAGGGCTATGAGGATGTGACGACCCTAAAGATGTGAACGCTTATCCCAATGTGATGCTGTGTGCATATGAATCCACAAAATATACTCGACTGAACCCAATTATGAACATAAACAGGACAAATATGAAAAAAATATATATATTTTAACTACAGGGAACACCAATTTTTTTTTTACCTTTTTTGACATTATGCTTTGAATATTTATGCTTATTGTTGCTTCTCCAAAAATAGTAATACAAAAATAAGAATAAATAAAAATTTTAAGATAAAAATTCTATCATCTTGGAGTTAAGTCGTTTTGAATTTGAATCCATCTCTTGTTTGTAATGCATCCGTAAATAATTCTCGACCATAGGACGTTCGTGTTCATATATGTGTAATGTCGAATTCTTTTTTTTCTTTTTTTTTTTTTTTACTAAAATGGGTGCATATATACGCAAAAAGGATACTCCACCCCTTCCCAATTATTGTTAATATATATGCTGCTGCTAAGTTATGTTCATTTTAGTAGGGTTATTTATTGAAAAGTATAAAAAAAAAAAAAAAATCAAACAGGGGATGCAATGTGTATATATATATATATATATATATATATTTACACCCCCATTACATCATGAAAAAAAGAATTATGTTAAAAAAAGTGCTAAAATGCACTCATACATTTGCACACACAAGTACGCGTGCGTGAACCCTAATATCGTAGTGAATAGCAACTTTTTATTTGACTATTTTGCTCGGAAAAATTTTTAGACGATGCTGTATTAATCAGAGTGGACGTTACGGATAGGGCTTTTCTATTTCTGAGAGTATTTTTGTTAATTTCTTCCCATGCTTTATTAACATTTAAAAATGGGGAAAAATCCGAATTTATGAAATTAAATTTATAATTCTGAAATTGTATATTCTTTGAATAATGAACAAAATAATTGTTATTATTAGTATTAGCTCCTGGATGAATGGTATATTCTGGTTTTTGATTTAACTTTTTTAATTTCATATTTTTCACATTTTCAATTTTCTTTTGAATACGAGTTATTAAATTTTTTAAAGTCATTGGTGAAAATGTTTGATCCTTTTTTTCCAAGATATTATTTTCTAATTCTTTTTCTTTAAATTCCACGATGGACTCAATTAGACAATATGTAAACACTCCATGGCTAACGAGCACATATTCAGTCTCTTCTCCTGTCTCGTTCTCTTCTTCGCTGTATATCGTATCATCTAAATATTCATTAGGACTGTTCGTTTCTTCATATGTATGAACTTTCCTCTCCCCGTGCTCATTATCATATTTTCCATCGCAATGTTCCTTTTTTTCCTCTTCAAAAATCATTGCATTTTGTGTATTTTTCTCATTTTGACTTTTGCTTTGGTCTGTGCTACTGCTTCCTGTGCTGATCGGCTCCCCTCTGGTGTTATTATTAAAAAACATTTTTACCACATTTAGCGAGAAACTAAAATTTTTTTCATAAACATTTTTTTTGGCACAATTTAGGTCTTGATTGGTAAGTACATCATTTTCCTTCATTTGTCTTTTCTTCATATTTCCATTTTTGTTACATTTCTTCTTATTTTTTTTTTCCTCATTTTTTTCTTCAAATGTGTCAACTTTTTTTATCTGTGTAACTCGAGCAAATTCCATGATGGGGAATAAACCTTCTATGGAAATTTGTTCCCATGTGGCTGCACATAGACAATATGCCTTTGGTGCAATTGGTAATGACGAAGCTGATTGAAGCAAAGGATCAATCATAGCAGATGTGGATTCAACTTCTATCAATTTATGATATCTGGATTTACAAAAATATTTTTTCATACTACTATTATTCAGTATGCTTGCGTCGTAAACAGCTTTATGTACTTTATTAGTAGGGTTTGTAATTGGCCATATACCTTTCTGTTTACATCCTTTTATATATGACAAGGAATTTTCTGTACCAGCTGGATCCAAAATGGTTTGGCCACCTGAACAGTCCAGAATTATTGTCATTTGAGCATTTAGATTTATACTTAATAATAAATCTTTTAACTGAATAGCTGTTAATACATTATTTTCTTGTATTCTATTTTGTGGATCAGAACAAAGAAATGCTTCATCATATCCTTCTCCTTCCCATCCACTCATGTTATCTACTTGGACACTTTTCCCAGCAAAATAAAAAACATATGAACCTAATGGAACAGAATCTCTAACTAGCCAATTGACAGCTTTTAAAATATTTATTCTTGTTGGCCATAAATGAAAATTAATATTTTCAGAGGAAAAATCCACATTTTTAATAGGTAAATTTTTACACGAATTACAGTAATTCATTTCAGTACTTTTTTTTTCTTTACTACTACCTACATTGCTTGTGTTGAATAAGTTAAATACATTTTTCTTCTTTATCATATTTTCTTCATCAAGTGAGTTATAGTTAGATTTCTCTTTTATATATTTTTCTCTATTTATGTCAAAATCTTCATATATGTACGCATTCGAAGGTAAACTGTCACTTAGAAGAAGGATATTTTCAGGTCTAAAGTCAAAATATTTAACTAGTACTCTGCTGAAAATATATGCATCATTAACTGATCCGTATAACCTGTTTTCTTCTGATTCTCTCATATAATTACAGCCAATCACAACTGCCTTTTTTATAGTGTGTTTTGAGTCTGCTTCATATGTAACATCCAACTGTTCTTCTCTTTGTTTTCCTTTTACACTAATTTTTCTACCCATTTTACATGAAATAGCGGTAAAAGATTTCTGTTTTTTCAAATTCTGATTCCTGTAAGACACTGTACGATGAAAATTTGTCAATGTTTTTGTATGTTCATTTCTTAGATAGTTATATATGTCACTATTACTAATCGATTTGCATGTTGCTAAGCCATTTCTCTTTCCATCTACTTCTACCTTATTCAAATCCTGCAAAGTTGTTCCTGTATCTCTCCCATCCTTGACATCTTCCTGTAAATTTTCTATTCCATTGCTCCGATTATTCACAAAGTGTTGCTTTTGGATGGAGCTTTTATTATTACAGCTGTTTATTCGCGAAGAAATAACACAACTGTCTGCCCTCTTGCTTAAAATATCATGTGTGTTTGTTAATTTTTTGTTTGGAATCATGCTGACTTTCTTTTGGAATTGTGAATCATTTGATGCACCCTGTCTCGTCCATGCGATGTTTATCTCTGCCTTGGTTTGAGCTGATGTGTTTTGCATTGACTTGCTTTCTGATGACATGCTTTGCATTGACCCGCCTTTTGATGACATGCTTTGCATTGACCCGCCTTTTGATGACATGTTTTGCATTGACTTGCTTTTTGATGACATGTTTTGCATGGATCCGTTTGACACATTCCACTTTTCCCTTATGTCTACGACGTTACTACCAATCGTGGAAACCTTTTTTGATATGCCAAAATTGGATAAACCCACCTTACTATCCAATGTGGTACTGAAAAAACTTCTGGATGCAGGGGAAGAAATGAACATATTATTGTTCATGAGTACTTGATTTTTTGACATTGCACCACTATTATTCGCACTAACAGATTTCTTCTGGGACATGCTTGTGCCAAACGTATCGTTTATTAGTTCACTTAACCTTAGTGGAAATTTAATGGTATTCATATTTTCGAGATTATCATTTTCATTCCGTTTCTCCATTGTTACGAAATTTTGAATGGTGCAATTTTCAGGAATTACCATGTCTGTTCGTTTGATGTCATTTTTCAATTCCATCTTATTATTAGAAATGAAGATGTTATTATTACTTCCTTTCCTTTCTTTGCATGTGTTTTTTATTATATCACTTTTTGTATTGCTTGATTGTTGATACATTGTCTCATTCGGGGTGATATTATTACCCCCGATAGATTTACCTTTCCTCATTGGGACGTTTTTGCAATTGGAAGATTGGTAACTATAACACGAGCTACTTCTGGATTTTTTATCTATTGTACATTCATCCATTGTGTTGGTATTTGTAAAAGAATCTTCCATGTATAAATGTTTATAGATTTCATTGTTTTTTCCGATGGCATTCGCAATCACCCAATTGGACAATGGACATTTCATTTGCTGAACATTCATATCACCTGATATTTGGTCTAATATACTTTCTTTTTTTGCACTTAATGAATTTTCATCACATTTTATAAACTTCTCTAATCCTGCTTTACCTTCCGTGGAAGAAGTGCTTTGTGCATTGTATGCTATCACACCAGAGTCGATACTGGGGTTCCTTTTTTCACGTAAAATATAACAGTTAGTGTTTTTTATTTCGTTCATATTGTGATCTATGTATATTTTTTTAAAGCTATGGAAATTATTATGATGCACATTTATGGGATCACTTAATACAGTAAAGTTGTGCTGATTAATCTCATCAATGATGTTAATTTTTGAGTTTTCTTTTGGTGTTGAATTTGCCGTTTCATTTATGCAACTAGGATGATTTCCTTTTAGTATCATTTTTGAGGTATTGGGGGGGTAAGGAAAGGTAATTACGTTTTCGACTTTTTTCGGTTGGATGGGAGTGGGAAATGTGAAGGAAGGCCTCGTCAGTTTAGGAATAGTCCGATTAGGATTGGTCAGGTTGGGATTGGTCAGGTTGGGATTGGTCAGGTTGGGATTGGTCAGTTTAGGAATAGTCCGATTAGGATTGGTCAGGTTGGGATTGGTCAGGCTAGGATTGATCAGGTTGGGATTGGTCGGGTTAGGATTGATCAGGTTGGGATTGGTCAGGCTAGGATTGATCAGGTTGGGATTGGTCAGGCTAGGATTGATCAGGTTGGGATTGGTCAGATTAGTATTTATCAAATTCGAGTTGATCAAATTCGGGTTGATCAAATTCTGGTTGATCAAACTCGGATTAGTCAGGTTGAGAAAATTAACCTTGTGCGGATCAAAATTTCTGACGACATTACTCTTAATTTTATCACCTCTGGCAAAATGGTTTATTTTGGCTTCATTTCCCTTTTGTCTGTCATTTATATTTATATAATTTTTGTCATTATGCCATTCTGATTCAGAACGATAATATATGGCATCCTTTTTTTCGTCATTAGAAAATTTCTTAAAATAATCATTTGTTCTCGTGGCACAGCGAAGGTGCATATGTATATTTCTTTTTTGCAATTTGTGATTTGATATATCATGCACAAGGTTGTTGTGGGCAAAGGAATTCTTATAATTTTCCAAAGCAGTTAAATTTGGTGATTTTATAGTAGAACTGATAACTTTTCCTTTATAAGATCTGTTTTTCTCCTTATCTGGGACGTTGCTCATCAATTTTGACTCTACTAAATAATCGTCATTTTTCAAATCGCTTGTATCATGGACTGACATTGGTTCTTTTAATTTTCTATTGTCTTTAGAAAGACTTCTACCATCTGAATTGTATTTCGTTTTATTTTTTATTTTTTCTCTTAACATGATATCTGTATAAGACCTATTTTCACGGAAAAAATGTGTTTCATTATAATTCGAGTGAGAGGCATAATTGCAAGTATCATTATTTATGCTATTGGAAATATGCGAATGTGTGTATCCCTTATTTATGTTTAAATTTACATGTTCATTATTTTGAATTTTTTTATTTGTTACTTCTATTTTGTTGGTCACATTATTGTGTAGCACGTTGGTGAGGAGTTCCCGTTCAGTTGACACTTTTTTCATGTTAAAATCGTCGGTATTAACCTTAAAAGCACTAAAACTAGAATTCCTTTTTTCGTTCACTGAATTTTGAATATGCGGATATACCAGCATATCCCTTTGAATGTGTTGGTTATTTTTTTTTTTTTCTGTAAGAGAACGCCTGCCTTTGTCTTTAAGCAAAAAATCTGTGCTAATAATTTTGTGACTATTTATATCCCACATTTGAATAATTCTATTTTTCTTCTGTTGTTGAGAACAGTTATTAACTTCATTTTTTATTTTATTTTCTTTTAAAATTGTCATAATGTGATTATTTTCCAAATGGGGCATACAAGAATTTGTTAACTTTTTGGTAGATTTATTTCGTATGCACAATTCCATATGGCTACTCCTTCCTTCATTTGGTACACTTCTACCATTTGAATCACTGATATTTGACAAGCTACGATTTGAAATGTTTTCTTTTGTGAGGTCAGAAAGACTAGCCACTTGGGGTGATCTGTCATTTGCTTTTAAATATCTTGAAGTACTCAGTTCGGGGATAGGACTCACCATTCCATTGATGTACTCTGAAAAATTATGAATCATATTGTTATTTTTTATAGGCAATGTGTAATTTATTTTGTCATATGCATTAGCTATGTTTGTCAAAAATGGAGAATGCATATTCTGGGAAGTTATCCCCTTCGTGTTACTTATATTTGTAGTTGGCAAATGGGGCACAGCTTTTTGATTGAAATAATTGTTTTTATGCACACTTTTGTCGTTATCTTTGTACATATTTTCATCTTCTTTTTTATGCACATTTTTGTCGCTACTTTTGTGCACACTTCTATCACTATTTTTGTGCAAACTTCTATCACTACTTTTGTGCACACTTCTATCACTACTTTTGTGCACACTTCTATCACTACTTTTGTGCACACTTCTATCACTACATTTGTGCACATTTTTGTCGCTACTATTACTTTCCCATTTTTCTCTATTTTTGTTTATAGGGGACCCATAATCATCCGTCTTATTCTTACCCTTGCTCTCCTTTCCTCCTGTTGGTTGATACTTTTCACGGGCATATTCACTTGTCATTTGAGCATATTGTTTATTGCTTCTCTTTACATTTTCTACTATATCCTGATTTATGCTTTTTTTTAAAGTATTCTTTTTTTTCGGATTTGATATATTAATAACCCCAGGGGTTGTTGAAATTGCGGTTCGTTTCGTGTTACTATTACGTTCTATATATCTTGACATAGTTTGAGATCTATATGTATTATACCACTTGGAATTTATCTTGTTCAAGTTGTTATACAGTTCTTCATTCCTTTTTATGGTGATAGGTCTTTCCATGCTACTATAAGCCTTAGTATGAACCCTTTTCATTAAATACGGTTGTTTTTTTTTATCATTAGCTTTTTTACTAGGAATCCGTTTTTCACATAATTTCAGCTTATTTTCATCATCATTCTTGTCTAATTTTAAATTCTTGGATTTATTTTCATGACTTGAAAATCGTTTTAGTGATGTATCTTTCTTGTTAGAATTAGCCATACTCTCATTTTTCTTAGCTTTCCTAACGTTTACATTTTCATATAATCGCATTTATTTGCATCCAGTGAATTCATAAATTTTCTGATTTGCTACTTGAAATATATTTAAAATATAAGTGCGCAAAGGTGGAAGTTAGCTGTGTATGCATAAGTGCACAATGTAGAGGGGTTAAAAAAAAACAAGATGGTGGAAGTTAAAAAGGCAAATATATGCACATATATATATATATATATATATATATATATATATGTGCATATATATATGTAAATATGTATGCACTAGGACATGTACACAAACACTCGTAAAAATATACGCAAATGTAAAGATACCTACACAAGTGTACATGTGGAGTCGTAAAAAAATAGGTAGCTACAAAAAAAAAAAAAAAAAAAAAAGAAAAGAAAAATTCATAGCTCGACAAAATTGTCTCTCTTTTTACATTTCCCTTTTGAAAATTAGACATGAAATGCAGGCAGGGAGGAACATGGGTATCCAGAAAAATAAAAAAAAAATAAAAAACATAAAAAGAATAAAAAAAAAAATTAAAGAACCAATGTATACATGAAAAAGTTGTTAACGACACCGCACGTTTGCATTTATAAGTATGATACTTGGTGACCAGTTATCCTTTTTTTTTTTTTTTTTTCCTTTCATTCTACAGTTAGTAACTTCAATGCATTCAAGTGCGCGCAGAAATAATTATGAGCCTACATTATTTTTTACAAAATTTTGTTATTTCTTTTACCCATGTGATACTTTACTAGTTTTTACACATATACATGGGGAAAAAAAAAATAAAATAAAAATAAAATAAAAAAAAAAAGAGTGCATAAAGTAAAGAAATGAAGGGGGACATGAAAAATTGGCATCGGTAAATGAGCCCTTTACACAAGGATCAAAGAACGAAAAAAAAAAAAAAAAAAGATAAAACTTTTTAAAAATACTGTGTATATTTTCATTATCAGATGCAATATTATAAAACCTTCATGAGGTAAATTTTATATTGAGTAGACTTCTTCACTGTTTTAAGGTGTGATCAAATTTTCAAACACTGGTGTGTGTACACCTAAATTTATACACCTCCCCTCTTATTGTATATGGATTAAATAAAGACTTCACATGCATGAATATTCCATTGTTCCGTTTACTTATTCACATGGTTTCAATACTATGTTGCTGTAAATATATCATTTCAAAACTTCTTTATTTTTAATAAAGTTTGTCAAGATGTTCTTTACTTTTCTCCTTTATCCTTTTTGTGTGTTTCGCAAGGGGTGATGTCACAATTGAACCTCTGATTAGGGAATATAAACGATATTGCAACTATTTAATTTTTGTGCATAATTGGGATATTCGATCATCTTCTTTTTTTCTTTTTTTTCATTTTTTTAATTGTGATATAGAGCTATAAACCATTTGTTGCGTTCAGATAAACCTCTACAAAAAAAGAAAAAAAAAAAAAAAAAAGATATTCCTCTTTTCATATAAATACATATATGTACTAAAGAAAAAAAAAAAAAAAAACTATCACAGTACATTGCCACTCACATTGCTTGATCAGCTTAATAAATTCATTCATCACAATTTTATCCTTCTCAAAATTGTTTTTTTGAAAAATAGAGAATACATTCAACAAAGATTTTGTGACAAGCTTAGGTAGATTAGTTAATTGCTACTTTCTACATTTACATAAATTTCACAAAAAAGGATAAAATGAAACTAACATAACTCTGAAAAGCTTAAAAAAAGAAAGAAAAAAAAAAAAAAAAAAAAAAAGAATAAAAAAGATCCAATAAATTAGGTATTTATTATACCTCCTTTTTTATGACACATTTGCCGAATTACACTGAAGCGGGTACTCAGACACTTATTATTTAATCTACACTTGTTGTAAAAAAGGGAGAAAAAAATGTGTGAACAAGTAAAACTCAATCCTGTGAGAATAAACATAAAGCGGCGAACATAAACACAAAACGGGAAACGTGCTTGCACTTAACACCATACAACTGTCAGTAGTAAAAGGAGGGAAACATATACGCTACATTTTTCATTTTTGAAAATGTAAAGTAAACGCTTATTACCTTTACGTCGAATTAGAGAAAAAAAAAAAAAAAAGCATCAAATGAAAAAACTAATAAACACATTCTTACCCTATTACACCCACAACAATATCTTGACTCCAAATTTAACTTTAAAAAGAAAGGCAGATTTTTTTTTTTTTTATTTAGACCGTTACATTTATTCCCCCTTATTAAATACATTGTTGAGAAACAAAAATGTGATAGAAAAAAATAGAATAAAAAAAAATATTACGAAAATAATAGAAGACAAGTTGAATTTAACATTTCGACGTAATTACAATGTAAGTAATGGAAATGATGATAGCAGCGAATATCTTGATAAAGGTGTACGTAAAAATTATGACACAAATAAGGATGTAAATAACGATTTTGTTGTCAAAGCAGATGATGAGATAAATGCCATATGGCCAGAAGGAATTCCTTACGTGACGCCATTAGAAATAAAGAAAAACAAACAAATGAAAAATGGAAAATATAACGTTATTTATATTGGGCATATGAGTATTTTAATTCAAAGTGCAAATTTTAATATATTAGTAGATCCTGTATTGTCTAATAGAATTGGTTTATTTAATTTAGTAGGAGTTAAAAGAACTATAAAAGCAGGAATAAGTTTGGAACATTTACCAAGTATTGATTTTATATTGTTAAGTAATAACAGATTTGATACAATGGATAAAAGTACGTTAAAAAAAATTGTTTTAAGAGATAACAGTATAGTTATTGGTGGTATGAATATACGAAGATATTTATTTAAAAGAAATTTCCCCGTTGTTTATCCCTTAAATTGGTTTCAGAAATTATCGTTTGAAAATATGTCTTTTTATTATTTACCCACCATAACGAATAGTCATCGATATTTTATTGATAAAAATGTATACCTACCTGGGTCTTTTTTAATTCATGATACTACAACAAATGGTTCCATTTTTTATTGTGGTCATTCAGCATATTCAAATCATCATTTTTTGCAAATTCAAAGTTATGTGAATACTGTTATCAAAAATAACACTATTGATTTGTCGATTCTACCAATTGGCATTTATAAACCAAGTGCATTATATTCCCATTTTCACATGTCCCCTCAACAAGCTGTACAGGTAATCTTTCCTCGATAAAGTTGTGAGTAACAATGCACTTGCATGTGATGACACAGGCGATCCTAGTCTAAATGTCTATTTATTTTTTTTTTTTTCTTCTATTCTTCCTATTCCGTTTATTTCTTTCATTACTTTTTTTTTTTTTTTTTTTTTTTTTTTTTTCACCCATTTTTGGCTTCTCCCCTTTTAGAGTCACATCGAGTTGAGAAGCAAAATGTCATTGGGGGTAGGAACGGATGTTTTTTGTTTAGGTGGGGAAAAATATAAAGAATCTACCACAGAGCTTGCGAATATTTTAGCTATTTACGAAAATGAGAAAAAAGAAAAAATTAATTTTGTTACATTACAACCAGGGCAGAACATTACATTGTAGCTTCCAAACGTGTTCATGAAAAGAAAGAAAGAAAAAAAAAAAAAAAAAGACAGACAAACGGAGATAAATAGATGGAGAAAGAGAGGTATACTACTCTGCTGTGTGCTATTATATGTTAACAAACATATGTAAGGAAAGCATGCATGTATCCTGTGTATACATGTACAAAGGAGAACCTGTTCTCAAAGTAAAATGAATAAGAACGACTAATTTTGATATGTTTCCTGCATATACAGCACATAAATTGAACTACTGTGAATTCTTTTTTTTTTTTTTTTTTTTTTTTTTTTTGTACATGAACAATCCCACGTAGATATACACTTGTCTGTCTATTCATATGCCGTGACCAAGGCCTTAAAGCATAATTTCTTTCTCTTGCTGTATTCCTTTTCCTTTCCAATTATATCAGTATTCATCTTTTGCAAATTTTCTTTTATCTTCTGAAAATGGAGATATACGAAATTTGTGGTCATATATACGAGTATATAAGTGCATATGCGTACATAAATATATCACTCTTTAAAAAGAAAAATTATACATTTTATTTTTTTTTCCAAAAATTCACGTAAGCATATGAATAATATACCTTGACAACTACTTGACTTTTTTGTAACATTTCACTAGAAGACAAAATGGAAGTCCCTTCTTCATATAGTGTTATTACTTCATTCTTGTTCATGTTAATTTTTTTAAGGGATTCAATTAAAACCTGATTTTAAGGTAACATGTGTTTATCAGTTTTTACATGAATACGTGGGCCTATGCATCTGCATATATGTATTCATACATTCACGTATGTGTGTGCACGTACTAAACGGATAGTAATTTTTTTTCGCGACTTTTAAAAAAAAAAAAAAAAAAATGGGAGGAGGAAATATATACTGAACGAAAAAGTAACTTTTCTCCTTGCCCACTCATACGATTGGGATGTATTATTATTACGTTAATTTCCTTTGTTAGCAGGTTTATTTCTTTTTCCATAATGAACATCATACTTTTCTGTTTCTTTTCATATTTTTCATGAAATTCATTTCGTCTGTTTTTTTGTTTCTGCATTCAAAAAAAAAAAAAAAAAAAAAAAAATGTATTGTAGCATTGGGTTTTGCCATTCAGCATTTTGCAATTTGGCACCTTGTTATGTTGCACTTTTCATTTTCGGGAATACACAATTTGGCATAGTTATGCAAAACCTTGTCGAAATATGTTTTTCTTTTAAAAGTAGCGATGGGGAGACGTTATGTTTCACATCTTATTTTGTCTATTTTTAATGCCCAATTTTTTTACGGTACCTACCTCAACCAGTTCTTTTATATTGTTGTCTATTTCGTTAAGGGTATTAGAAAAGTTTTTTTTCAAAGTCTTTTTAAAAATTTCCTTTTTTTCATTATGTCGGGAAATAATTTTTCGTATTATGACCTCGGTGTCGCTATCTCTTTCTGGAGTATTCTTGCTTTTCATTTGATTCTGTAGAAGGAAAAATAATAAAGGAATTTTTTTTTTTTTTTTTTTTTTTTTTGAAAGAATGTTTTAAGTGTTCATGGGTTCCTTAACAACATGGAGTATATTCAATAAATGCACGTTCATGATTTCCACGTTTATGTAGAATATATTCATTAGACGACCATGCATGTAGATTTTCATACATTTCTAACAGAACACAATGGTATTGTAATTCTTTTTCATTACAGTAAGAGAAGAACGAATAATTATTATTTTTGTTTTAATTTTTTTTTTTTTTTTTTTTAACTTATTTGAACTTGCATTGTTGTCATACCTGTGGGGTGACTGTGTCTAAATTGTAATCCAAGAGGAAACTTCTATTCACTCTTTTTTGTTTAAAATCCCTTTCACTTTTGCATCCTTTAGTATAATTTTTCTCGTCTGATGATACTTCATATTTTAATTTATCCTCTTTTACACTTTTTTCTTTTTTCTTTTTCTCAACTGAATGAAGTATTGGGTATAAAAATATGTGAAAAAAACTTGTATACAGTTAGTAATCATTTTTACAAGCGGTATTGATAAACTTTGTATGTACAGTCACGAAATTATTCTCATAAGGTCTTTTCTTTAAGTATAAAATGCACGAATGTGTATACACTCCTGTGCATGTTCATTTCGTCATTGTAATACAGGGAAGATATGCATTTGCAATCTCTCTCCTTCTTAGACCCCTGCAAGGGAACATATATGTCTCTCCCCAGTAGTTCTTTAATTTTTTAGAATTTTATTTCTCCGTAACCTTCCCGTTTCAGTGTTTCTAGTGCTTTCCTTGTGCTACTCTCAATATTTTTATCGCTGAATGAATTGTTCAATTTGTTATTATATCTTGTCCATTTTTGAAAAATTATCAATATAATACGTACGAATGATATGTATTGTCACGCGCCGTTTTTGCGTTTATTATAATATTGGCACATTGGTTTGCACTTTTTTTTTGCACAATCCTGTTATGTCTGATTGCTTAAATGGCATATAAGTTCTATGCCCACACGCACATAAAGAGATGTATATACAGGTATACAATTCCTTTTTTTTTTCTTTTTAAACTGTTGAACTTTATACTTCATGCCCTGGTCCTTGATAGACATAGTGGAAAAGAATAGAGAAGGATCTAGCTTCTCCCTTGTGTTCTTTACCTTAAAAGGAATAAGAAAGAAATGAAAATTTATATGGACAATAACTTCTACTCATTTTGCTTATTAGCATTCTCTTTTATCTATTTTGGTATTACTGTAGTTCCAGATACTCCATTTTTATGGTCCTTTTTGTCTTTATTACTATGATCATCCTTCTGATGACTTTGCCTATTGTTTTTTTTTTCTTCTTTTTTTAACTTTAAAGATATTCTTTTTTAAACAGGAAAAGAAAAATGAGAAAAAAAAAAAAAAAAAAAAAAAAAAAAAAAAAACACCTGTATATCTGTATATATATGCGGATATTTATTTTTTGCCATTATGGTCAATTTGTTCTTTTTTTTTTTTTTTTTTCCCACACCTCCACCCAACACCTAGTTCTTACTTGTCTAAAAGTTTCCTCAACTCTTTCTTGATTTCCTTCGAACATTTTTTGACATTCAATGACAGACTAAACTTACTAATGGTTTCGTGATATATGGCATCTTTTATGTCTTGCCCCCTGCGTAATCCCAAAGGGGAAGCAATAAAAATGTAAAGCGGTTTATTTGTTGATTTGTTGAATGGTTGAGTGGTTCAGTGGTTGAGTGGATGATTTGTTGAGTTGTTGAGCAATTGCGCGACAAAATGACCATTACCACAGGTTAAATATGTTCGTCTGGTCTATTATCGATTTGCAGTTCAAGGTGAATAAATTTTTGTTCTCAAAATATACTGAGGAGATATGATAGTATGGGATCTCGATTTTGCATTTTTCGTCTTCTTCTACATTATCCTAGTATAGTATGTAGAACAAACACGTATGTAGAAATGTTACGACAGAGGTGGAAGGGTAAATTGTTTCTATTTATTTGTTATAATGTTTTTCTTTATGGCTCGTTCCATATTAATTTTACATAGTAGAGAAAGAGGGAACATTTCCCCAAATAGCATAGTATGAAATCCTTGTTCAGGTGTTTTTTATTTCCTCTGATTATGAATGACCCTATCGAGTAATGGAAAAGGAATACGATTAATAGATTTGAAAAAAAAAAAAAAAATGTTGATAAAATGACGAAGCGAATAGGGAAAAATAAAAAAATGAAAAATCAACATATACAGAAAAATTCACAAAATGCAAATTACACTCCCTTTCCCTATGCACAATCTTTTAAAAGAGTTAAAAGGTAGGAAATGGAAAAAAAAAAAAAAAAAATTTCTTAACCATTTTCAATGACGCACTTCCTGTTTATGTAATTCTCCTCCTTCAGCCAATTTATACACTCCTCATCGAACTTAAAAATTTTTAAATTTTTCAACTTTTCTAACACTTTTATATCTGTATGAAAGCTTTTTATGTTGAATGTCGCAAAATCTATTCTTCTAAACGATCTCCATAAAATTTCTGTGTAGGAGACCTTCAATTCTAAATCATTTTCAACTTTTATCTTTTCAAAAATTTGCTTTGTTAAGGATAATCTGACAGTGTGTTAGATAGAAATGTAAAATTGAAAATGTGATAGATCGGGGTATGTATGAACACGTGTAGGTATATATCAAGTCAAATGAGGGGAAGGTAGATTTATTCACATGGTTCCATTTGAGTACATCACCCCCTCTGCAATTTTTGTAAAAGTGGTTAGATCCATGCGTTACACCTAACACACAGGACAGTGTAACTTTGCCGTTCAGAATTGTTCTAATATGTATATAGGTATATATGGGTATATACATATATATATGCATGTGTTACAGCTCGGTTGTAAAGGATGATTCTACTTTCCGTCTGAAGGAAGAATTGCTACAATTTAAAAAGGAACTTATCACTGAGCAGAGGTGACGCCTTAAAAAACTAAAGCTAAAAAAGTACATCCAGTTATCATTATCATAATTCGTGTATGATATTAATTTATTGAAAATGAATTCGCAAAATTTTATGGAGGTTCTTAGGTCTACATCAATGCTTTTCTTTTCTTCAATGGTGTTTTCTAGTATAACTACAGGTGCAGCAGTGGGGAAAGAACGAGCACAATTGTGGAAAATATATGTAACCTCAACTTTTGCTTATGTATCTACATTTTCACGTGAATCTGTGTGATGGCTAAATGTACGCATTTATTTAAGCTTATAAGGAAAACAGAAAAGAGAGAAAAAAAAAAAAAAATAATAATAATAATAATAATAATAATAATATAAAATAAAATTTTTGCCCCTTAATTCAATATATAAAATTATAATGCATGTATTACTAATTTTATCAATCACTTCCCACACGACGGATGATAAAAAGTAATCGTTATATCTTTCGAAAAAGTAGTCTAATATTTCTATTAGTGTCTTTAAATGTTGACTGTTGATGTTTTCTAGGTCGAGGTAATTAAAAAAAAAAAAATAAAATAAAGGAAAAAGTAATGTTTGGTCAAATTTGATACAGGTGTCCAAATGCTTTATTAAAATTAATTGTGGATATGCAAAACAGTATGTATGTATGTATACATATGTATATTTATGTGCATACACACGTTCTTGCATTTCTTTATATTACCCTCATACTGGCACAAATTTTTTAACTTTTTGGTTTTTAATAAAATAGTATCCTTGCTCAATTCATTCATTATCATAGACATTTGTGTTCATTATTTTATGAAGCAATAAATGATATAGTGTTGTATTATTATACTTTATCAATTTTATATTACATATTGGAAAGTATGTCTATTTGTTAAGAGCGCACACTTTTTTTTTTTTCTTCTAAAAAAAATTGGCTATTTTTCTTATATGTCCATGTTCGAAGTGAAACGTGGAGAAAAGCTCCTTTTTTTTTTTTTTTTTTTTTTTTATTTTTCTTTCATTTTTTCCTTTTCCTAACCATAATGATTTTATTGAAAAAATATTTTTGAACAAAAAGAAAAGAAAAGAAATTGTTCTGTATGCCGAAAAAAATAAAAGGTTGCTTATCACATACCAATCGTTGTAGATACACTTTTCAGTACTTCTTTTTTTTTTTTTTTTTTTTTTTTTTTTCTTGGCTAAAAAATTGACTCAAGGAGTTTTTGTGACACAAAAATATGACACACATAACCATCCAACATTAAAATTTCCTCATAAACTTAACCCATTTTTTGCTTTAATAAAAAAAAAAAAAAAAAAACCTTTAATATTTTGTGTGTTTTATCATAGAGCGGATAAGAAAAAAAATACAAATGTGTAACTCATTAGTAGATATAAAAAGAAAATATGACAAGTGATAATTGTTCCATGTGAGAGGTGGATCAAAGCATGCATGTGTCTGTATCTGTGCACATAAATAGAGAAAAAAAAAAAAAAAAAAAACATATAATTTAGAACGGTTTACACAAAAGGAGGAGGCTAATATATATGTGTAAATGTTACAGGGAAGCAGTAGCAGTAGTGTTACATTACATGCTTTGTGGTTTTTTTTTTTTTTTTTTTTTTTTCAAGTATGCATAACGAATAGCCACAAAAGCGATTTAGGAGTTGTGAGTAATTGATGAATATTTCGGTGTTTTAATGTTATTTAACGATTTGCGTAATTATAATAAGAAGAAGGCTAGGATTAGTGGCTTACATTGGATGTAGTCCTTAAATGACAGTGTTTCGAGAAAACTAAAATTTTCCTTTTTCCTTTTTTTTTTTTCGGAGGTTATGGTTGGGGCTGTCTTCTGAAACGCTCGATCCTTATTCTATCTACACTTATCATAGGAATATTTCCCCATGAAAGTCAAAATCTACTACTTTTAAAATGTACTGAGACAAATAAATAAAAGTAAAATGAAAACTTAAATCCTGTAAATTATGCAATAAGATGCAAAAACTAATACCTTTTAAACGTAGTATAATAGAGTAAAAACGATGTAGCTTAAAAAGGAATATCCACAAAAGTGCCAAAAAAAAAAAAAAAAAAAAAAAAAAAAAAAAAAGTACAGTTTCTTAAAAAGAAAAGCATGCTTAAGTTTTTTTGTTTTTGTTTTTCTTTCTTTTAATTTTATATTTTTCCTTATACAGACGTTCTTTCTTCATGTATTGTGTTATCAAAAGGAAGGAAATGTGTATGTGAAATCTATCTTGTATAGGAAAATATATTTGTTATATAAAACACAGCACAAGGTTAATATCATTCGCGAAAGAATACACATTAGTAGAATCAATTAACTTTTACAGTCACGCAATACCCTTTTGTTATGTTGTCACTGAATATTTTGTTCACCTGAATTATTCCAAAGTTCATATTTTTGTGTTTGTGCGGGTATATTCATGCATGTGTATCCTTATCCTCATTTTCGGATATGTTATATGCTTATTTTCGTGTGTTCACAAACAAGTGCTTTCATGCTTCCGTTCTTACATAAAGTATTCATTATTTACCATACATTGTATTTTTGGTACCCTGCATTATTTAAATGTTGTTCCAAAGTGTGCATAAATTAATACTTTTAAAAAAAAAAAAAAAATATATATATATATATATATATATATATATGCATATGTTTATGTATATATAAAATGTACATACATGCAAAAGATTAAATGAGAAGAGCCTCGAAGTAGCACAAAATTCAAAGAACGAAAATATTTATAATAACACACATGCGCAACCACCTTTTTTTTTAAAAATAGTTAAGCATAGTTCATATTAACTTACACAAATAGAATTACAGTTTATTTATGATCCCCTTCCCTATAGCATTTTTCCTTTTTTCCTTTACTCATTATTCCCCAACATTTTTTTTACATGTATTGATGTATTATTCCTTTTGAGCTATTTTGTGCAATTTAACGCATTTATTTCGAGTATGTATTCATTTATAAATATATATAACATACATATATATGTGTGTAATTAAGAACCCAAGCACACTTCCCTATTTTAATCTCTTCTTTAATAAATTGTTTTAAAGCATTGTTCAGCGTTACTTTCCTTATTGCATGGTCATTTTAATCCATTTCTATAATCGTGTTTTTCTCGATTAGACAATTAGTTAAATCTTTTTATTTTTTTTTTTTTACATCACTTGGGACATTTTTAAGAGCATTTCGAACAATGGAAAAACAACGTGATCCCACAGGACGATTCATTTTGATAGATAAAAGTGCAGGAAACTATGAAGCCTTGATTGAGCAAGAAATGAACAAGATTTATGAACGTGTAAAAAAATTAGACCCCAATCAATCCGAATTTTTACAAGCATTTCACGAAATTTTGTACAGCTTAAAACCGTTATTTATGGAAGAGCCCAAGTATTTGCCAATTATAGAAATGTTATCAGAACCTGAGCGAATCATACAATTTCGAGTCTGCTGGATTGATGATAATGGCATTCAAAGAAAGAACAGGTGTTTCAGAGTTCAGTTTAATAGTATATTGGGTCCGTACAAAGGCGGATTACGATTTCATCCATCCGTAAATTTATCAATTGTAAAATTTTTGGGATTTGAACAAATATTTAAAAATTCGTTAACAGGGTTATCACTGGGAGGGGGAAAAGGAGGCTCTGATTTTGATCCAAAAGGAAAATCAGATAGCGAAATTTTGAAATTCTGCCAAAGTTTTATGAATGAATTGTATAGACATATAGGACCATGTACAGATGTACCTGCAGGAGATATTGGAGTTGGTGGAAAAGAAATAGGTTATTTATTTGGTCAATATAAAAAATTATCGAATAATTTTAATGGAACTTTAACAGGAAAAAATGTAAAATGGGGAGGATCGAATTTGAGAACAGAAGCAACAGGATATGGATTAGTATATTTCGTGTTAGAAGTTTTGAAATCTTTAAACATCCCAGTAGAAACACAAACAGCAGTAGTTAGTGGTAGTGGAAATGTTGCCCTGTATTGTGTTGAGAAATTATTAGATTTGAATGTGAAAGTTTTAACTCTAAGTGATAGCGATGGATATATAATGGAACCAAATGGCTTTACAAAGAATGATTTGGAATATATAAAACATTTAAAAGAAATGAAAAAAGGAAGAATTAAGGAATATATAAATCATTCTTCAACAGCTACTTACTATCCTAATGAAAAACCTTGGGAAGTTCCATGTACATTGGCCTTTCCATGTGCTACCCAAAATGAAATAAATCTTGAAGATGCAAAAATTTTACACAAAAATGGATGTATTCTGGTTGGTGAAGGGGCAAATATGCCATCAACAGTTCATGCTATTAATTATTTTAAATTAAATAAAATTATTTTTTGCCCTTCAAAAGCTTCAAACGCAGGAGGCGTAGCTATTAGTGGTCTTGAAATGAGTCAGAATTTTCAATTCACCCAATGGTCAAGAGAGGATGTAGATGAGAAACTAAAAGAAATTATGAAAAATATTTTCAATACATGTTCAGAAAATGCTTTAAAATATACAAAAAATAAATATGATTTGCAAGCTGGTGCTAACATAGCTGGTTTTTTAAAAGTTGCACAATCGTACATTGAGCAAGGTTGTTTCTAGTATATGGTATTAGGGTTTACTACTCATACGGTAAGAACCAATTCTTGTGTTAGGTGCGTATTATATTTTTTCACCATTTGGTATCTATTTTATGGGATAATCTCGTTAATTATCATCATCATGTTTGCCTCCCTATCAACTTCATTTCCACTTTTCCATTTATTCAATTTCATGACATGCTTTAAAAATTTAGTCGCAATTGATTCGAACCATGCCCTGAAAAAGTATATACCACTGATCGTGCATTTGCGTTAATCACATTAACAGAGTTATTGATTTTTCTCAACATCAAGTCGTGCTACATATCGTTAACGTTACTATACGTGAAAATAAGGATAAATTTATTTTCACTCGATTTAGCATGTGCATGTGTGACCCAACTTTCTCAAATTCGTATACCTGTTACATAAACAGATTGCTTCATTATTCCCAATTTAAATACACACAGTAGTAAAAACTTAGCGAAATTTGAAAAGAAGGATTAGTCTAATTTTTGCACCATTTAACCAGCATGCGTAGTACCCAGATCAGTTGGGTGTAAGCAGGCCGGATTGTACATATATAAGTAGCCTCCATCAGTTTTCTTGGCATATTTAAGAACCAAAAAAACAAAAAAAAAACAAATATATATATATATATATATATATATAATATAATAAAATTATGCAAAAATGAAAATCAAAATTCATCGTACCTGCAAAGCTCCTTTAGTTCATCCCTTTTGGGCACATTTTCTGGCAGCATTGGTTTCCCATTCGATTGAAGCATAATACCCGTGCGAGCAGAAGCGAAAGGAGTACATACAGCTGACATATATGGATACACCCTTTATCATACAATTTTTTTTTTTTTTTTTATAAATGTAGACTTTATTTCATTTTTACTTTATTTTTTTTTTAGATTAATTCATAAATATATGCTTGTGTGTGACAATTAAGGTCTTTATTTAGGTAAGAAGGTGTGTGGGGGAGAGATAGAGGTGAGAATTAAATAAAATAAGAATAAAAAAAAAAAAAGCAGTAAATATAAAATAAAATTAAACATTTATTGCAATTCAGGTATGAGAAAAAAACGAAAAGTGCGGAAAGGGGTATCATTTTGCATGTATAATAGAATAGACAAACGATTCATCGAAATGGGTTTACGGAAAAAAAGAAGCAGATTAGAGACAAAAAAAAAAAAGATAAATAAATTAAATCAAACAAATCAAACAAATCAAACAAATCAAACAAATCAAACAAATCAAACAAATCAAACAAATCAGACAAATCAAACAAATCAAACACGTCACATAGATCAGATAAATCAAATAGATCAAACAAATCAGACAAATAAACAGATAAAAATATTCGTACTTGTAAATAATAGGATGCTGCGAAAATTCAAAAATTATTGAAATGGCTTTCAAAAAAGCGAGCGATAAAAATAACCATATAAGGCGACGGAAGGTAGTGAGAAGTAAGAATGTATGCACAAATCTTGACACAAATACAGATGCATACAAGAATGCAAGCCCCAAAAAATATGTGCGAAAGAAACTCCTATCGCATGTAGGTACACCATCACAACATTTCAGTAATGCTCATGCTCCAATTTGTCACTTTGTTTTGTAACATGTACTTCATTTTTTCCCGTAAAGGAATTAAAAACATTTTCTTTAAGTTATTATTTTTAATAAATTTGTTGATCTTGTCATCTAGGAAATCATCACATGTAAAGTTAATTCTTCTCCATTTTCGTTCATCTAGCTGAATACTTAATTGAAACGATTGAGGAGTAATTGGGTATTCATTTTGTGTGTACTCTTCACAATTATCATTATTTGAAAAATTTGCACTAGTACGTTTTCCAAAAAAGGGTGAAAATTTTCTATTTTTTCCTAATAAATTTTCATTTTTTTTAAAAATGTTATTTGCATATGTACATTCATTTGCATAACATGACATAGTACTATCTTTGGACATATTGTTTACATGATCCGCCAATTGTGTACTTGTCTGTTCTATACTTTCTATTTTTCTAAAATTTATTTCATTGTATTTTAGATCGAATTTGTGGGCTTCATCATTCCTTTTTTCACATTTTACACTATCATTTGTTTGATGAAATGATTTGAAATGTGTGTGCGAATTCAGCTTTTTGTCATTGGTAAAATTCAATTTATTATTCATTTGGGGTATATTCAAAGGAGAAACATCATTTGAAGGAGGGTTATTTTTTTTTATTGACGTCTCATTTAGTAAAGAAACTGTTCCATTTTTGTTTCCTTTGATATTTTCAGTTGCGGTAAGTGAGGCTACTAATTTTTCCCCCTGATGAGATGGTTGATTGGCCAAATTTCTATATGGATACACTTTTTTCATTTTATCTTCTTCATATATGGAATTCTGTTCTATTAGACTAGCTCCAGGGGTTCGATACTCACTGCAGAAGTTGCTGCTTTGATTGGTTTGATTGCTTTGGTTGCTTCGTCCGCAGGTGTTCGAATTGCACTTTATGTCATCGCTGGACTTATCGCTTGGAACATGACCCAACTCCTTATTTGACTTATTACCCAATTTTATTTTCAGGTTTCCTTTCAAGATGGGCATGGGCCCATTAGTTGGCGCATCGTAAGAATGTTCTCCCCACGTGCCTTGCATAATTTTGTGTGAACTGTTTAATTTAACATTGTGAGACAGATTGTGAGGCAGATTGTGAGACAGATTGTGAGGCAGATTGTGAGGCAGATTGTGAGGCAGATTGTGAGGCAGATTGTGAGGCAGATTGTGAGGCAGATTGTGAGGAAGATTGTGAGGAAGATTGTGAGGAAGATTGTGAGGAAGATTGTGAGACAGATTGAGAGGCACATTTAGAGGTAGATGTTGAGACCCATTGTGAGGTCTATTGTGATGCATGTTGGGATCCCCATTGTTAGGAAGACTATGGGGCCTACTACGAGGCAAATTATGGGGAAGTTTGTAGGCCATATTATGAGCCAAATTATAGGACAAATTTTGAGGCATGTATTGGCATGTATTAACTGTGGAATAGTGTAGGGTATTCCCCATGTTACTGCCGGGAGTTCCATGAAGAATTTTAGCACCAGGAACATACTTGCAGGATTTCCCATGTATATGTTTTCCAGAATGTTCTGCATGCCCTACATGTTCAACGGGACTAGGGTTATCATTTGGATCAGTATTTACAGAGTATTTTAATTTTTCATGATTCATTTTGAAAAGTGAATAAGGATTTTCAATCTGTACGTTTGGTATTCCGTGTGAAAATAGAAGCATATCTTTTTTTTTAAGATCATCATTGGGTAATGTACCACCATTTTGTGAAGAATATTTATTATGGCCGTATGTTGTATGGGGGTACATAACGGGTTTGACAAGTTCCCTTTCTAAATAACCTTTGTTCTTATTTTTTAAAACATTTAGATTATAATTCATTATATTTTTATTTAGATTCTCTGCTTGTATTTTTGTATCACGAGTGTGATTATAACTAGGTAATTTGTTTCCATTTTTGAAATTGTAAAAATTATTTGCCACCTTTGCAGAATAATTGGGAATATTTTGTTGCATATAGGGATAAAAAAGAACGCCTTTGTTTGTACTTTTTTTTTGTTTTTCTATATGAGCTGTAATGGCTTCATCATTATAAGCGAACATGTTAATATTATTATTAACTTTTCTAACATTTGTACACAAATTTGCATTGTAAAAGTTATCACTCTTAGTTAAGCTGTATTGACATGGATGTCTATCAGCACTATCCGATTTGTTATTCGTAATGAATTTGCTTATTTGTGCATAGGTAGTACTGGGGAAATTATTAATAGATCCATAGATATTTGTCATCCCTTTTTCAGATGTAACATTCCCTTTCATGTAGTTACTTACATTTTCGTTCAGCAACGGATGGAACCTTGGAAAAAGTTCTTTATTATGAGAGCTGTTATTTCTTACGTTTTGGGAATCGTCAAAGTGGTTATGATAATTCTCATTATAATTATCTCTACTAAGGTTGTAATTATATGGAATATGTTTTTTTTCTTCGTTAGGAAAATTAATCCTCTGGTTTGGTTGAACCGGCATCTGAGGATTGTTTTCTTCATGAATCAGATTTATACCCATGCATTCCACATCTTTTCTGTTACTGTTTTTAGAACTTATGAAATTATTTTCTACCTCTTTTGCAAAATTTTCTTCATTTTTGTTTGCACCTTTTTTTATCGACACACTTGGATAATTTACACCATCCTGGTAGAACCTTAAAGGGGAACATGGTACATTTGTATATCGATCTTTATTGATAGTACACATATTAGTGTTGTAACACGATGTGGTATCCACATTCTCATATGCACATCTCACATTTTTATATTTATTATTTTTATATAATAAATCTTCTGAATTATACATTTTTTCCTTATTTGCATTTAGACCAGCATATGGGATATTTTCTTTATCACTCTGTCCATACTTATTCACAAAGTCTTTACTTAAATTACATCCCACGTAATTTTTGCAATTTACCATATTAGCTCTATTCGTTAAGTTGACTTTTCCACTAATTTTGTTAAAACACGAATCATGCATATATTTCATATTCCCCACTTCTACACATTTGGGAAATTGTAATGGTATGTTCTTATTTTGAATATTCACTAATTTGTCAAGAGCTGGGGCAGGTATTGCATTATTTTTACTGTTGTATGTTTTGCAAATACTAGACAATGCAGGAGGTATATACATACCTTTAATGGTATGAGAACTTCCGTTTATGAACTTAGTGAATTTATGAACTCCCTTATCATTTGGGACAGTGGTATTTTTATATACTTCATTGATAGAGTGACCACGAGTTTTGTTTTCCAGATTTCCACCTTTGTAAGATATCAAATTTTTGCTGTACAAATATTCGCCCTGCCGAACATCTGGAGTGTTTCTCTCACTGAGTTTGTTGACTTCATCGTGAAATATGAAATCTTTATTAATTCGACAATTGGAACTTGGAATTTCTGCTGAATTTTTATGCAAAATGTTATCCCCAATAATAGGTTCACGTTCAGATTCATGCTCATGTTCGGTGAGTAAATTTGGGTGTTTCTCTGTTTTTTCCTGACCCTCAACAAATCTGTACGTACCATTCGAATGAGCATAATTCATACCATTTGAATGAGTATAATTCATGTCCTTCTGATTCTTCACATTGTCAGTTTCGTTCAACTGGTTGACATCTTTTTTATCATTTTTTGATTGAGTTTCTTTGCGACACTCTGCATCTTCCTCTTCATTATTATACACAAATGTATCTCTTGTGAAAACAAGATTTGATGTCGAAATGGGTTCATTTTTAGCGAGATGCATGTCTTCATTTGGCAAATATGGAAAATTACTCGGAATGTTTTTTCTTATGCATTTTTCCATAGAAGGAATTTGTACAAAGCTTTTATTAATAGTGCCTTTTGCATGGTCTTCTTTAGAAGATGCATCATTTCTGTGTGAATCTGTATCATTTTTACACGAATTTGCATCCTCTTTGTGCGAATCAGTGTGATTTAGGCTCGACAAGTAGTGCTCTTTACTTTCATGTGTGTCACTTTTGTTAGGGATATGCTCTTCCTCAACAGTGTAACTATCGATGTTGTGTTTATGGCGTGCTTTTTCTTCATTTTCCTTAGAATTGACCATATTATTTGTGCTACTATCTTCATCCCATTTTTTACTTAACACTGTGCCCATTTGTGCGAACTTTTCTTCTTTTTGCAGGTATATCGTTGGAATATGTTCCTTGATATTATAAGTGTCCTCTCTTTTAATAGAAACATCCGTTGTGGTATCACCTTGAGAAATGTTATAAAAATTAGTACCTAAATTATTTTTATCTTTCTTAATGGATAGATCATTAGTAGATGGATTCTTTCTTTTTTGCAATTCTGCTGTAGCAATTTCATTCTCTTTAATATTCCTAGATATGTGAATGTTGGGAAATATGAAAGAATTCAAATTTGTGTCTTCCTTTACTAATGTAGTATTTGAAAATGATTTAAATGAGTCCTGCACATTATTGATATTTTCTATGAAAAATTCGGAACACTTTGAATTTCCCTCATTATCCTCATTTAAATATTTGACAAATTTTGATGAGTTTTTTGACTGATCCTCCTTCGTATTATTATTCGTAGTTACATTATTCATGTTAGTCTTATCTGTTGGAGCCATTTGGCGCGAATTTTCTATCCCATTTCCATTCATTTCTTTATTCTTATCATATTTTTTATGTGTTTTTCTTTTATTATAATTGTTGACATCTTTATCTTCCCTAGGAGTAGAGTTACTAACAGTGTCTTCCTCAAAGGTTTCCACGTCGACTACAAGGTTGTGTGGATCCATGTTTTCTCTTCCTTTTCTGTCACCCTCCTTGTCGTATTGAATATTTTGGAATTCATTTTTTATTTTACTTTTATTAAGTTGATGAAAATCTAAAAACTGTTCATCATAGGTAGAACTGCTATCACTACCTTCGTTAAGCTGTTCTCCATTTCTTTCACCTGGAATGACCGTTTCGGGATTCTTATAAATTTCACCATTATTGTTATGTTGACCTCTTATATATTCATTTTCACCATTTTTTACGCACCAAATATTTATATTTTCAATGTGAACGTCGCTTTCAACAGAAGAAATATCATCATCGTAGGAACTGGAAGAGTTATCTACGAGAAAATTTTCTTCCTTCTCCTGTTCCAAAACTTGATAAATCTTATTTTTTTCTGGAGAGCTTTTAAAAAAAGTAGATATATCATTTTTGCTTTTCTCAGGTGTATTTTTTTTTCTCTCCTTTTGTTGGATAATTTGTGGAGCACTTTTTAAGACACCTTTTTTTATGCTTTTTTCTGTAGCTTTGGATGTACCTTTTTCCACATTGGCACTACTTAAGGTTCCGTTTCTGAACTCCTCATTTTTGCTAAACGTGACAGATGAAGGAGTTTTTAATTTAATCTTTTCAACATTAAATTTAGTGAGATAGAAAGAAACAGATGAATACAACCATAGGCTAGACAGGACATTACTGTACGCATGAATAGTAATATTATAAAATACATCAGTTTCAGCATTTTGTAATATTACATTTGATGATTTATAAATCTTTGATTCAGTAGATTTGATAAACCCATCTATAAACTTTGTTGTAATTAATTTAAACTCTAAACTACTTTTGGGAAATTTGTGTTGTGTTCGTTTTACTAGTTCTTCATTATTTGTGTCCACATTAATTTTGATATAAATATTCTTGCATTTGTACGAGACCACAATGTCTAGAGGATATTTTTCTTTTTTGTTCCTTTTCAGCACATTCCCTTTCTTTGCATTAATTTTCTTCTCATCCGTTTTGCACATTTCCATTATTTGATCCCCCATAGGATCACTCACAATGCTGCTTATCATTTTCATTCTCGCCCCTTTGTCTACCTCATGTTTGTTGCAGATTAATGCGTCGTTATGTTTCGTATTTTTTTTCTTAAACAAAACATTTTTTTTTGCATTCACTTCACTTTTGTTGTCCCTTTTGTTGTCCTTTTTATCGCCCATTTTGTCGTCCATTTTGTCTCCCATTTTGTGGTCCTTTTTGGAATTTTTTTCGTTTAGTGGTACATTTGTGTGATATGGAATGATGGCACTTCTTAGATGTTCCCTATCATAAGAGTCACGTTTTGTCATTTGATGAAGATTGTGTTTACGTGTATATGTTGTGTTTGTCACATCTTGGTCTTCTTGGAAATGATAACTCATGTTAGAGTTGTTAAGTGAACAAATGGGACGATTTTCATAAGAACTTGAGCTATGGCAAGAAGGAATATTGTAAATTTGATTTTCATCATTCTTTTCATCGCCTTCTGTTAGATTTTCTTGATTTATATCCTTTTTATATCCTAAATTTTGACAAAAAATGGACTTGTGATCTTTGCTTTTCATATTTTTCTTTTCATAAATAATTTTTTCTGACCTGTTCAGGTTGCTATTCTGTTGACACGAATAATAATGCCTGTTTTGACGTTCTTCCTTGAGCATTTTTAAAGACTTAAATGATTCGTTATGCATTAATTTTCCACTTATAGGAATATTATTTTGTTTTGATATAAAAGGAGATTTGATCTTAACATGTTTATTAATGTCACTCTTTTTGCTACCTATTTTGAGATACTTACGAAATGTATTTGTGTTTTTTCCATATTTTTCATTTTTTACATTATTGTAATTAATTCTTGAGTCTCCTTTTTTCGTATTTTCCTGACGGTTTATTCTATTCTTGTAGTTCACCTCTGTTGATTTCAGATCAATTAATTTGAGTGCATCGGAAATAATGGAAGTGTTTATCTTCTCATCATTTATGCGCATTCCTGATAATTCTAGATTTGTATTTTCTACTAAACCTTCTGATATATTCCTAGAAGTAGTAGACACCTGTTTATTCTGTTTTTTTGCCAATTTTCCATGTCCATTTTTAAGCAACGAATATGTGTGCTTCTTTTTATCATTTTTCATATATTCCTTTTTTTTTCTGTTGTTTAATAATCTTTCCCGTAAAGAACATTTCGATAGTAGTAATAGATTCAATTTTTTATTTTTTCTTATCTCTTCATCATCTTCATTGTCTTCCACTCCTTCCTTATATGAGGAAGTTGTGTAATTCGATGCTCCAAAACGAGGTGAATAAGCACAATATTCTACATTTTCCGAATTGTTATTAATTTCAACTTGTCTTGTTTCCTGTATTTTTTCTTTCATCAAAATTGTGTGATCAACTTGTTTACTATCCCTTTTAACTTGTCTAATGTTGCTTCTACTCCTATTTAGTTGACCCTTCTCTCCAACAATATCATCATCCGTGTAACTTTTCCCCCCTAGAAATGAGCAAAATTTTGAGCTGTTACTTTCAAGCTCTTTTTTATTATTCGTAAGTGGGTTAGAATTAGGTAAGAATGGGTGTTTAAAATTTTTTTCACTGCTTAGCATTTCCTCGCTTTGTATGAGACCCACATTTTGATAGCTTTGATAATTTTCGCAATTTTGATAATTTTCGCAATTTTGATAATTTTCGCAATTTTGATAATTTTCACAATTTTGATAATTTTCGCAATTTTGATAATTTTCGCAATTTTGATAATTTTCACAATTTTGATAATTTTCACAATTTTGATAATTTTCACAATTTTGATAATTTTCACAATTTTGATAACCTTTTTTCCTATTCATGAGGCCCACATTAGCAGGAGTAAAAAGGCCATACTCTTGTGTCGCTCCCACCTGAACAGAATTGGAACCATTTTCATACTTCTGATGATTTAATACGTAATAATTTTGTTTTTCCATCTCTCCAGGTTCAATCAAATTTGTGCCTTTCACTGCATAGGAGGTAAGTTTGTTATCTCTTTTAGTATTTTCTATATATACCAGCTTGTTTGTCTTTGGATGAGAAAAATTAAATGTGTCTACAGTATCTGATAAATCATTATTATTTAGTGAGAGAGATACATTTTCATTTGATTTTCTCCCTTTAGATTTGTTAAATGGGTCTTTTAGAACCCATTTGGATGGATTGGTTATCTGCTGATTGATATTAATTTTTAAGGTGGCTCCTTTTTTTACTTCTCGAGCTTCTTTTCCCTTTTCTGCGTTATTTTTATGTTCTACTTCAAAATATTTATCCCATTTTTCTTCCAAGCTTACATGATTCATAGAAATACAATTATCTAAGCGTCTAGACATTTCTTTTTTTATAATTTTCTTAGAATTATGTGCATAGTTATCATTATAGTTGTTCATAACAAGTGGATTATCTGAACAATTTGAGCCTCCCATATCAGAAATAAACATGTCTGTTCTTTTGAATTCAGTTTCTTTAATTATATCTCTAAGACTTTTTTCTGTTTTGCTAAATTCGTGCACATCATTTTTTAATCTATCTGATTTTATCATGTCTTCTGATTTACTAGATCTGCATTCATTAATATTACTTCGAAATTGTGTGCTCTTATTCATATCACATGGGCCATTGGTAATGTTGAAATTGTTTGAATCTACTTCTTCGTCTTTATAATTTAAAATTCCAAAATGCGATAAATCTGCAAACTTTTTTTTTCGAATTGGGATACTACTTTCACCATTCCTATTGATTCCGTTGTTTTGTTTTTCATTCGTGTTCGTACACTTTTTTGTATCATATGCATTGATGAAAGTGTATTTATTTCTAGCGTACACTTCTTTTGTTATTTTTGCAAAGTCGTCAACTCTTTTATCTTTCGTATTGTTATTTTTTGTCGTTTCATTCGAATGGCTTTTCTCATTTTTTTCTATATGGTTTGTGTTCCATTCCTTTTTTATAATACTTGAAGAAAAGTTATTTGTTTTTTCATTATAGCATTTTTCTCTTCTTTTATTCACATTATTGAATGCATGTCTCACATTGTACTGACTTAGAACATCTATATCCTTTTCTTTCTCAGAATCTACATCATCGTTTTTATCGTTCAAGTAGGAATAATTTTCATTGCACAAATGATTTTTATTGAGTATTATGAGCCTTTGATGAAACACATTATCTAATGGATCCTGGTTACTAAAGGTGGGTTCTCTTTTCCTATCAGTGATGATTCTTTCTTCATATGTAATATTATCATTAATGCTATTTGTTTCTTGCGATGAGATACCTTTGTCGAACAATACTGGATTTTCCTGATTCTGCAAAATTTCACTATTATTATATTCATCACTTTTTTTTCTCAGTTCTGTGCACTTCATGTTAAAATCGCTAGGTGAACAGTTCTTCTTTGACGATGTATACTTATCTGAATGATAAATAAAATCCTTAGGTTTGTTATAAAAGAATAAAACTTCCTTATTTAAGTAACACTTTTCGTCATCTTCATTCTGCACATCTGTGCGAACTTTTGGAAAGTTCTTACAACGGCTTGATTCGTTTCTAGATTCTTCGATCATGGAACCTAGATTGTTTCTTTTTGAGAAAGATTCTAATTTGGATTTATTCTTCATCTCCAAATTTAATATTCTATTGTTTAGACATGTATTTTTTCTTTTCGGAAAAAGAGAAGGAAAGGACAGGAAGGGAACGGAAGTTGAAAAAAAAAAAGAAAATAATGGCATCAGAGAATAACAATATTTAGATTTATCGTTTATTATTATAGAAGAATATTTCTCACTTCTGTGCAATATTCTTTTTACAACTTTCTAGTTACCATCAAATTTTTTTTTTCTGCGAGGTTCTTTTTCTCTATTACTTAAGTGATACCTTTTATATTGAGCAAAAAAAAAAAAATTTGCAACAATTGTTCTAAAATAACATCAGTGATATGTTGCTATTTGAATGACTGTTCATAAAATTAGGTGTAAAATAAAAATTCTTTTTTAGAAATACACATTTATTTTATTTTATTTTTTTCGAAAAATTTTAATATAATATACAAAAAATGTGTAGTGTATTTATATCACTCCTACAATAAGAATATTTTTATGTAATTTTTTCACTTAACTAATAGTGGTTACATAGCTGCAAATGGATTGCAACATCAGCGTTGTTTTCATAAGTACTAAAATGAAAGTTGTAATAAAATGCTTGTTTTTTGTTTTTTCTTTTTTGGTTTTTTTTTATATAATATTTTTTTAAGCTTGTGTTGTCTTTTTTTTTTAATTACAGGTTATAACTTTTTACAATGGTAGTTTTATTATATTGTCATTTATTTTAATTACGTGCGTGTATTATTATTCAATCATTTTATGAAGCATTGTTAAAAAGACAGAACAAAAAGAATAGAAAATAGAAAAAAAAAGGAAAAAAAAAAAAAAAAAAAGGTTTAAATAGTGACTAAACAATTTTTTAATATATTTCTTGGTACTGCAAATTTGTAAATGAATTTGTTTTTAAAAACGTATCTTTTTTTTTCCTTTTTCCCTTTCTGCTTTCCTCTTTCTTCTTTATACTTTTTGCCTTTTTTTTTTTTTTTCTTTTAATTTCTAATATTTCACATGATATCAAATATTCCTACTTGTCACATGCACGTATGTATGTTATTTATTCCTAATCGAGCTTACGATTTTTCCTGATGCACAATTTGAACACCCGGCTTAACCATTGAGCACTCTTGGGGAGTAATATTTCTTACTCTTGTTGTGTGATGTTTGCACAAGTTTTGCTTTCATTTTTTTTTTTTTACACACTGTTACACACCATTCTATGCACCTGTGTACCTATATATACATACACATAAGGATATATATATATATACATGCTTATGTGTATATTTCTTTTTTCTGTGTGCATACATTTGCAAACGTGACAAAGGTTCTTTGATGTGCTTAATTACTTATTATTTTTTTTTTTTTTTTAGTAACCAATGTGTCCCATACTCATGCAAAGATCTAAAAATGATGTATATTCCTATAATCACTTTGTAGTAAATAAGAAAGAGGTAGAAAAGATGAAACCAACAACTCTTTTCAATGCTTTTTTTTTTTTTTTTTTTTTTTTTTTTTTTATATGACAACGTAAGGTTTAAATTAATTCTTTTGTTAAAACACTATTGTTTCATAAAAGCGGTGTCTATACGTTTGAACATGTGTACCCTCGATAGACGTGAACATGCATATATACATATATATATCATGAATGCAGAAGGTGCACACTAAATTTTTGAGGAATGAAGAAAACAACAGAGTTATGTGCATGAATGCTGAAACATATGTGTGTAAATTGCACATATGTACCTCTTGCATATGTACCATTAGGAAACATGAACAACACGATGACAGAAAAATAAAAAAAATAAAAAACGTATAGAAGAATGCTTTATGAGGGTCTTAGAACTCAAAAATATAAACACTTTCATACATACGTGTGTACAAAATTTTTTTTCTTTTTTTACTAAACTTATTTCTATTAAGAGCGTAGAGGAGGTAATCCTTTTCTTTTTTTTTTTTCTAAAAGAAAAGTTTCTTAAAATTTTATTTTTTTTTATCTTACAGAGGGGAAATAATATATATGTGTTTACATTTTTCCCTTTTTCACTGATCAAATAATTCGAAATTAAAAAAGAAAAAGAAACAAATAAGTAGATTGCCTTATTCTAATGTATGTTAGAAGAGGACTACAACTTCGAAGTACATCAAAAGGACGTATTTCACAAGGTATGAAATTTAAATAGAAAGGAAAGCATTTTCAAAATTTAGTAAATGTTAAGTCGTATGGCTGAATGCTTTTTTATTTTATCTTTCATTTCGTGCATTCATGTGCAAACAACGCTTTTAAAAAAAAAAAAAATAATATAATAAAATAAAATTAATAGACTTAAAAGAAAAAAAAAAAAAAAAAAGAAAACCGTACAGGGAGGAATATTTACTTTCCTATATCAAACCATTTTAAGCTGTCTTCACTAATTCGCATGTAACATCCTTAAGTATATTCAATTTTGTACTTTTCTAGTTTTTTTGTGTTTTTTCTAGAACCTTTAAATGGGTAGAAAAACAGACATTCGTCTAAAATATATCCGAACTGGTATATCTTATGCAGTTAATAATATGTGGACAAATAACATGAGCATAGCATAGCAAGAAGAAATTACAACAAAATGGAAAGAAATACAGACAAACAGAACAATTCAGAAGTCTATGTCAAAAAAAAAAAAAAAAAAAAAAAAAGGGCGCAAAGCAAGATTAGACAAACGGGGTTCCATATATGGCAAAAGGAAAGGAGTTGTTATACCTCATCTTTGCGGGCCCTCAAAATTTTCTGATTTTGCCTATTTCTGTAAAAAACGTTAAAAATAATATATATATGAACAAATTCACAAATGACGAAAAAAAGGCGCTTTTTGGAGATATTCATATTCTAAATTTTCCATTAGCATTTTTCATATTCTTAACTTTTCCTTCATCTTGACTATTTGAATTTTTCTCCATAAGTTTTCTTCCATCCTATTTTGCTCGTTTATGATTCGTCTTTTTATTTCTCCCTTTAAATAGGCGAAATGCGTGTGTCCATTTTTTTGACAAGTACGGACTGTCTCACAAATTCATGTACAAACAGTCTAATTCGTTAAGAAAACATTTCACAAGCGAGAGGTGATAAAATGTGTACACACCGACATGTAAATATATATATATATATATATGTGTATATACTATGGGAAAATGAGCGTTCCCCTTTTATTCGCTTTTGTTACCCTCTCTTTGTCATAATTCTCCAAATCATTATGATATTCAAGTGCCATAAGTAAATCTTTGTATCCATATGCTCTAATCGGTGCGACGAAAAAGGAAAAAGTTCATATGATTTATTCTACCTTTTTTTTTTGGCATTATTATTTTAAAAATAGATGCGGAAATAATGGGAGTGTGAAAGGAATTTACATTCGTCTCCAGTTTTCTCTAGATTTATTTGCTTATATGTGTATATGTATAAATATATATATATATATTTTTTTTTTTTTTTTACGGAACATCGTAATGAATATCAACGGGAATGGGTTCTGACGCTTGCCAATTTTTTTGAAAATCCAAGGGGTAGAGCAAAGAACTGCTAGGAAAGAAGTCCATAGGATTCATTTTTTCCTTTTTTGCGTTACTCAGTGATGAGAAAAATATCTGCATATATTAGGAAGAAGCGAATGCAATTTGGGGGCTATATCTCCTATTTATGAAGTCAATGTAATTATAACTACAAGAATGAAAATACTAAACATTTTTCTTAATTTTTTTTCATTTGTTAGGAATATTAGATATGCATTTTATACACAAACATTTCCTATATGTGTGCAAGTTCTTGTGAACAGAATAAGTAACACATTTCAAGTGAGCAAAATGAAATACCTGTTGAAAAATAATTAAAAGATGAAACAGAAGAAGCTTTTTCACGATATTCATTTTTTTTTTTTTTTACAACCACGTGTATAATATATATATATATATATATAACAAATGTTGCTATACAATTTTCGTACACACAAAAAATATAATAAATTACTATATTGTAAAAAATAAAAATTTTTAAAATGTCATGCTTTTTGTTCTACATAGTTAGCAACATTTTTACGGAGTGTCTAGCGCCATATTAACAATTTTTCAAAAGTGTCCATATACTCATGTTAAGGCTTTACTTAAATGTATATACATATGATGATCTTCCATATGAGCAAAGTAAAGCGAAAGCATACGAGCACATGAGGATAGAGGATATATGTATGTGTGTGTAGATTTGGCATTTACTCATTCGCTCGACTATGACAACTATATAGCTACAAAAAAAAAAAAAAAAAAAAAAAAAAAAAAAAAATTTAACTGAAAATGAAAGGTATCGTAATTTCACTCGAAATAACTATTTCCCTGATTAAGGCGAACTAAAAGGATTAAAAAAAAAAAAAAAAAGAAAAAAGAAAAAAACAGCGCTACAATGCACCAACTCAACAAATACCACATGTTGCAAAGCACTTCGAACTATAGTAATGTTATGATTACCTAAGCAGATGGGCTAGTTTTCTGGAAGCTGCACTAAAAACATGCTTTGCTACGCAAAGAAAAGTCAAACGATGGTAAAGTAAAGAACAATGAAAAAGAACGTAGAAAAGTGAAAAATTTCCTTTTTCACTTTAGAAGGAAAAGAAAAAAAATGCAAAAGAAAAAAATAATTCCCCATCTGTCAGTACTATTAACATTGTTATTATCATGGTATCTCTTGTTTTTGTGTAGTCGTTTGAATTGCTTTAAATATAGTAGTAACATAATAAAAAGGGGGTTTACGATAAGAAGGAAAAGCAATGGCATTAAGAATAGGAAAAGGGAATTTATTCTAAACAGTTATGGAAAGGAATTTTTTGAAAGAGTAAAAAAGCTAAACCACATATCAGATGTTTTGGGGATTGATGCATACCCATCAGATTTTATAAAAAGAACTACAAAAATAAATTATTTGAAGAAAAATTATGAGTATTTAAAAAATGGAGAAAAGGATCTTGATAAAACGCATGTTATATACGGCCGAATTATGGTCAAACGAAATAATGGAATGTTCCTCAATGTGCAGGATGATACAGACACTATACAAATATATATAGATGAAAATCTTATGTTTAAAAAAAAAAAAAAGTCAAAACCAAAAAATGATAATCGTTTAGTAAACGGACAAACGGATGATCAGTGTGACAAAAATATTTCCTATCCTTTGCCACAAACATTAATGCAAAGAACGAGTGGTGATAACAATGTCACACATGGGGAGAATAATATACAGTACTCGTACACACATACTGATAATCCACCCAACACAGACTCATTAAATGTTAGAAAAATTGTAGAAGTCGGAGATTTTGTAGCAATAAAAGGATTTATCCGAAAATCGCTAAGAGGGGAAATAACCTTACACACTCGTGAAATTTACATGCTAACAAAATCATTATTGCCTTTACCAGATAAACACAAAGGCATGAAAGATATTGAATATAAGTATAGAAAAAGATACCTTGATTTTTTAACGAATAAAGAAGAAAAAGAAAAGATTTTGGGAAGATTTCAATTAATTCAAGAAATTCGAAAATTTTTATTAAAAAAAAAATACGTAGAAGTTGATACACCAATATTACAGTCATTACCCGGAGGTGCTTCAGCGAAAGCATTTGAAACCTTTTTAAAATCGTTAAATTTAGTTCTTTATTTAAGAATAGCACCTGAATTATATTTAAAAAAATTAATTATAAGTGGAATATCAGAAAAAATCTTTGAATTTAGCAAATGCTTTCGAAATGAAGGATTGAGTACTATCCATAATCCTGAGTTTACATTACTTGAAATTTATAAGTCGTATTCTAATTATAAATATATGATAAAATTTGTTGAAAAGTTAATAAAAACAGTTGTAAAGAAATGTCCCCATCATTCAAATGGTAACAACATATTACTGCTTCAAAAAAAGTGGAAAAAAATATCCTTTATCAAAATACTACAGGATTACACATCTATAAATTTTTTGAACTTATCCTTTGAACAAGCTTATAATGAAGCAAAGAAATTAAATATAACATTTGATCAACAGAAAGAGCATTTAAATTGGGGGTTAGTTGTTCAGGAAGTTTTTAAAAGAAAGGTAGAACCATACTTAGACAATCACCCTGTGCATATATATCATTTTCCGGAAGAAACTTCTCCACTAGCCAAAACATTACGCAAAAATAAAAAGCTGTCTGAACGATTTGAAACGTATATAGGGAAGATGGAAATAGCAAATGGCTATTCCGAGGAAGCCAATGCACTAATGCAGGAAAGAAAATTTATATCTCAGTATTCATTAAAACACAAAAGTATTAAAAACAACAAATATAGCACCCCAAATAGTCGTGATGATTCTAATCGATTGGATCCAAACAAACAGAAGAATTATTATCCCCCCATTTCTATAGAGTTACCCCAAGAAGATGAAAATGTTAGGTCAAGCAAGGAACATATCGAAAATAAAAATTGTGAAATAGATTATGATTATGTAACTGCCTTGGCGCACGGCTTACCCCCAACTGGAGGTCTAGGTATAGGGATAGATCGTTTGTGCATGTTGCTAACAAATTCGAGTTCAATCAAAAATGTATTATCGTTTTCGATCATAAAACCAAACTGAATTAGACACACAAAATGTAGAGGTATAATATTTATGAGCATACTTGAATACATATCAATATAAATCATTGTATATGTTGGTACGATTTCTTTGTTTTCCCGAATAATACATAAACGGAAGTGCCATCTACCTGTAAATAAATGAAGCAAAAAATTGCATTCCTTTTTTTTTCTTTTTTTTTATTTTTTGTGTTAGATTTTATGCAGCTTTTTAAAATATACACGGTTGTATGTTTATGTACTCATCTGTTATGTAACCCAATTTATAAGACAACGCATATTTTGCAAATTTTTTCATGCCTTTTCTATAATATACGAGGCCATTGGTAATTTTTCAGTTTTAAACTATAAACATGTGTATGACATATTAGATGAAAATAACTAATTTCATTGCATTATTTAAAAAAAAAAAAAAAAAAAAAAAAAAAGGTATATTAAACCTAATAAATAAACAATTTTGTCAAAAACTAATACCATACCTCTGTGGAAGTATGTGTGTACATAGTGAATACATGAGAGCGTATAACACTGTAAAAAAAATTAAATTTTCGTAGGGGTTTCAATTTGATGGATTACGATACAAATAAAAAAAAAAAAAAAAAAAATTGAAAAAAAGGAGAAATAAAAAAGACCTATAACATGCTTGCAGATGATAAATTCTTGACCAGATTAAAACAGTACCTCAACTTTGCTCCTTTTTTATCCTTATATCTAGAACTGCCATTACTATGTTAAGGTTTCTTCGAAATAGTATCACTTGGTGATATAGGAGTTTTTGCGCTATGAAAAAGAATTTTTTTTTTTTTTATTTGTAGGTATTTTTTATAATTTGTTCATAATTTATATATTTACACATGTAAATATTTGTATCCTCATTTGTATAAATGGCGCACAAAATAGATAAAATGAAAATGCCGACATGAAAGTAAATATAAAAAATATGTTTACAAAAAAAAAATAAAAATTACTTTTTGATAAATTTGGTAAGTTCCGAGTTTTTTTCGTCTAATTTTTTTTGGCATTCAGCTATAATTTGTTCCACCTGTGAACATGTTACAAAAAAATGATATTTTCCTGTATTTTTTTTTTTTTTTTTTTTGGTGTGCATGGCTAAATCGTGTACAGTTAAAATGTAACCTACTACATCCAAATGAATGTTAGTGAAATGTTCAAATAGTTTTATTTTTGATTAATAAATGAAAGAACATGTTATGAAGTATCATACTATGAATTTGTTTATACCTTGTTTTTATGATCTACCAAAGCCGGTTTAATTTCACCCACTGTCCTTTCTACTAATATTTCACCAACCATCCTATAGCATCTTCTATCAGAAGGAACATTTTCTAAGGCTTCCAATACAAGTCTTTGTAATCATTGATAAAAGAAGTGAACAAATATATATATTAATATATAATGTAATATAAAAAAGGAAGACGAAAATACATAAACTTGAGAGAAATTATAATGCAGTATACATAAAAATTTTCTACATAAGTGCAAAATTTTTTTTTTTTATGATACTTGTGTTCGACAACATCTTGATATAATTCTTCTATTTTTGAGACTAGTTGAACCCTATCCTTTTCAATTTGTTCATATGTTGCCTTCGTTTCATTTTTCTCATTAATTTGGGGTAATTGGATGGTACTGTTGGTTTCCATTTTGTGAAATTCTCGCTGAATATTCTGTTACAATAGTATAGCTCTATGTGTTGTGCGGGCCAATACGTTCTCTTCTTAATGGAATGATCATTCGACTTGCACAAAGGTATAAATACATATATAAATGGCACACGTACATGCATATGTTCGTACATTCATAGGGAACTGCTTAAATGAAAAGAAACGCTTAGCAATTTTATTAGAAAAATGCTTAGTGATCATTAAAGATTCCTTTTCGTTATATGAATTATAACTGTTTAACTAAAAAGAAGATAAAATCAGGGTTTCCCATGATATATATGTGATATGTGCTGAATGATTAATATTGTGATGGAACGAAAAAAAAAATTCTCCCCATTTTGTGAGTTCATATTTCTAACATAATCTTTTTTTACATGTTCTTTAAAAAGGCTAAATTACTGCATGTGTCAAGGGTTATTTTTTTAGGGCACATATTTTTTGAAGTATTCTTAAGCTAGAAGAAGTTATGAAACACATGTATTTTTGAATGTCATATGTACACGCATTTTGAAGTATCGTGCAATTTATATTCCGTTTTCCGTCCACTCCAAATTTTCGTATTATCAAAAGTTGGAAATAAGCACAAATGTATTTACTATGTGTTAATTTAAATGATTGTACAGACGTTAATTTAAAAAAAAAGTACAGAAGTGTGTATAATTTGGTTATCTAACAAAAAAAAAAAAAAAAAAAAAAAAAAAATTTTTTATGATTTTATCTTTATTAAGAGTGTATTTTCTTTTTTTTTTTAACCCTCTTTTGTGAAACTCATTAATATTGTTTTTTTAACTAAAGCTTGCATTTATAATTAGGGGTGAAACAAAGAGAAAATAGAAAGTATCTCAAAAATTAAACAAATTTGTGTTTATATCTGCAAGTTACACAAATAAATTTTTTTGATTATGTCCATCACAAGGGTTATGCCACAGAAATATATTCGCTTTAAAAAATTTAAGAATCATCATGAGTAATGAATTAAAACTTCTATTACAGGACAATTTTTAAAATAACTGCATAATTACTATTATGACAGCATGAAATGACAAGTTTAAAATGAGTAGAACGAAAATTTGTCATGCCCTCTTATTATTTTTTGAAATGTTCAAATATAAATTAATGTCCCCCTTACATGAATAAAAATTTAAAAGTTCAAATAGAGGTATCCTTTGTTAGTTTATGAACTTTGTCGAGGAATAGTATATATAAAACGTTCGAATAGTGCTTTATTCGTATAAGCGATTTTTCATAATTTAACCCAAAGACATATCTTCTTTTATTTTTCCTGTTATAAGGCATTAAATATATTTTCCTTTTTCCAAAAAAATCTTCCTATTACGCGGATGTATTTTTCGACAACTGAAAAATAAATTAATCCTATAACATTTAAAAGAGACATGTTTGTGATAGAAAAAATGAAAAAAGAGAAAAACATAAATAAATCAAACATCCTTTTTGCAGATCAAATTCATTCGTTTGTTCGCTTTTTTTTTTTTTTTTTTTTTTTTTTTTATTACAACAAGCACAAGGTGGAATTAATTTAGAGCTAACCTGAAAAATGCAAAATGACCAAAATATTTTTTCTACATTCGCTATTTAAGCTTGCAGATGGCTATTTTTTTTTTTAATATAAATTGTGAATAGGCAATAATGTATTGGAGGAAAAAAAAAAAAAAAAAAAAAAAAAAAAAAAAAAAATGGATATAATGTTGCATGAGCACACACCCTATTCAGCTTTTGAGAATAATTATAAATAAACTTATTTTTAGTACATTAAAAATGTGTATACTTATACAGATACATGTTTTCACAAAGCAAAAATATGATATCCCTTACACAGGAAAAATTAAGAACAACAAAGGTTTCCCCTATGTTCATCCCTTTACCTTTACGCCTTCATTTTTACGTCTTCATTTTGTTACTTTTTTTTTTTTTTTTTTTTTTTGCTATGTCATGTTTTCTATATTTACCTGACTGTTAAGAAAAGAAAGGTTCCTTAAATTTCTACAGATTTTAAAGAAAAAATTACAAAAACGTTGTCTTTATTCAAGTTCCATACACTCCCCATATTTTTGGCCTTATTTGGTGCAAATAAGAAATATTCTAAATTGCATCATGTGCTTAAAATGGTTCTATATAGGAGTTATATTTTTTACATTCTTTAATGCTACCATGTAATTTCTCGTGCTTGCATTTTTTTTTTTTATTATGCATCCTTTTTCAATTTTTTATCATAAGCATAAATATCATGCAGGCATAAAAATATCTTTAAAAAAGAACTTCTCCTCTTTTTCCCTTTACACAAGATTTATGAACACACACCTTAGCGTTTATGCACGTGTTCTCAGGTGTATAACCTTTTTAAAATATATTCGTTTAATGAAAGACTATGCTTTCGAGAAAAAAAAAAAAAAAAAAATCAAAACAATACAATACAATACAACAGGAAACGAAACAAGATAAAACAAGAAAAAACAAGATAAAACAAAAAATTAATATGACATATCATTTAGCCATCACATATTAATTCTTTTAAGAATATTTCAATTAGCGATTGTGAAAAATAGCAAATAACACGTCAATGGAATTCAGATGTAAAAGATTAGGCTTAATCCCCCCCCAAACAATTGTTTTCCCTAAACCTGGATATAATGAGCAATTGGGATCCCTCGTTTACCCCAGCAATGTAGGAGGAAATTGCTGTTCTAGCACAATCGCTAGAAAAAGACACATTAGTGCATCTCCATTCGTTAGCGTGCCTAGATGCAGAATAGGTCATTTTCAAAGACACGCGGAAGTTCCTGTTTTTCACAAAATACCAAAGATTGTCGAAGTCCCCGAAGTGCGAGAAATAACGCGATTTGTGGATTCTGTAAAGGTAGTAGACATTCCAGTGGAACAAGTTAGGATTGTTCCTAAATTAAAAATAAGAGAAGTTGAAAAAATTAGATACGTACCAGGTATAGTAGAATATATAGATATTGAACAGGAGCAAATTGTTCATAAACCGTATACAGAAATAATAGAAAAAATTTACGAGATACCTGAGATTGAAGATGTAGAAATAGAGGTACCAATTTATGTGCCTACGCCAGTTGGCCCTCCAAAAGACGTCCATATTAATGTCCCTTTACCTTATGATGTCCCACAATTTTGTTATAAACCGCATAAACAAATTGATCAAGGGATTCGATACCCTACATTTCACAGAGTGATAAACAAAGACCCTAACCTTTATGTAGAAGAAGAACTTGGTGGCTATTCGTCAGATGTAGATCATTCTAAAAAAGAAAAAGAAGAAATGAATTCATCGTCCTATGTGAAACTAGGTGCTACATGTAGAGAAAGGAAAAATAATAATGAATATTCTAAGAGAGGATACTGCGTGAACGAAAACAATGTGGATGACCAGAACATACGTGATAAGCACATGAATGAAGAATTAAGGTGTTATTATGATTATCAAAAAAATAATTCTCATAATGAAGATGAAAATTATAGTAAACATTTTAGTAATTATGGATATAACAACAAAGGAAAAGGTGCTGCACATAACGAAAATAACTTGGATTCATCTGAACCATTTGAAAAATATTATTATTCCTATTCCGCTTTTAATAACTATAAAGGAGAATATAATCAAAACGATAATCATGAAGACAATAAGAATTATATATATGATAACGATTTTTCTAACAAAGACACTTGCAACAAGAAAAATTCAGCAGAACTTATAGTAAAACGGTCAAAAAATTCTTACTATTAAATTTCTAGCTCTTGGTTATTCACTACTCCTTAGTATCTAATTGTCCATCCGACTAACAATCTATTTGTACATTCATATATCATCCCGTCTGTGCACTCGTTCCATGCTTTTGTTTTCCTGTTTCTCTTTTCCTTTTTTTCTACGTTTTAAATATTATAAAAACCTTTTAATTAATATGTCATTAACCAATTATAAAAGCAAAGACAACTCAAAAAAAAAAAAAAAAAAAAAAAAAGAGAAAAAAAGGGAAATTAGTTCACCAGCTTACACACACATACACCATTCATTATATGAGTAAACGGATTGTTAACTCAAATAAACAAATTAAAATATTGAAAAAAAAATTATCTCTTATGATAAATATGCAATGAGAACTCATTTTAATCGTTTATTGTGTTCTGAAAAAAATAAAACTTTATGGCTGAAATCCTGGATACACTAATGATATGGAACTAAATTTGAACAGCTTATGATTTGAATAGAATTGCATCTACCTGTTCTTATCCTTGTGCCTTTTGTAACATAAGGATGTTCACATTTTTGGTAATATATGAAAAGTTGAATCATCACAGCATTCCATTTTAAAAAATTATAATTAATTTTTGAAAGCTCTTAATCATAATGCACTTTGTAATAATATAAAACGTTAGGGGAATATTTTTTTTTTTTTTTTTTCTCTTTTATTTGCCTTGCAGCAATGTTAAAATTCAAATGGCAAAACCGTTTTTTCACATGTGCATATATCTTTTTTACTAATGGATTAAATAGTAGTATTTTTACATGAATATGTTTTTTTTCAATATATTATAAAAATTGCATAAATTGTTCTAAAATAACAATTTTTTGTCGTAGGTATAACGTCTTTTTTTTTTCTTTGAGTTTTTTAAATAAATGTGTAATTTGCTAAAGGGACGTGAATAATAAAAGAAAGAAAAAAAAATTTAATAGCAAGGGAAATAACATGTTTTCCGAAAGCTACTGCAAGCACTTTGTTATAGATAGTATTGTGCAAAAATACAGTGGTAAGTACCATATGGATATGCATCCATGTGTGAATAGCATACGAGTGCACAAGCTTTGGAACTTATCAGAAGCCACAATTGCTCATACATTTTCCTCCATTCAACTTTTTCACACATTCATGCAATACTTTATAGAAGGTGAAAATTCAATGAATAAGAAAATGGTGCACATTGTAAAGCATAACAATTTTGTGCATTTTGTGCCATTAACAAAAATGAAAACCTGTTCATGATTTGTAAAATGTTTAACCAACTTATATAATTTCCCCCGTCCGCTTTTATCTCTCACAAGGGGGTATCATTACACTCCTGTTTATTTTATAATTTTTTTATTTTTTAGTATAAATTTTTTTTTTTTTTTTTTCTAACTGCTTTGCCTGCACACAAATGTATATTTGGTGACAATCATATTTTTGTGTAATTTGTTACACTTAGGTGTCATCCGTGTTTTCCCCATTACACCCTGTTCCCCATGGGGCAACAATATTTTACTTTGATTTATTATAAAAATGAAAAAAACAAAAGTAATAAATAACCTACATGAACAAGTAAAATCATTAGATGATAATAACATACCATATAAATATTATAGCGCGTCAAATAACATAAATATTCAGAATTATTTAAAAGAAAGTAAAATTATATATAAATGTCCGCCGAACTCATACATAAGTCTTAATGAGTTACTGAAATTAGTTGACACATTAAATAATTCAGAAAATGACAATGTGAAATATTCAGTCTGTAATTCCGAAAATGGAACAAGTGAAACATGCAACAGGAACGTAAGTAAAGATGAGAACACTTATGGACAAGTCAATTATAGATCGCATAATAATATAAATAATAACATTTTAATGAGCGAAGCAAAGATGTTTAATCAGGATCCTTACCATAATGCTGCGTATCATAGTTACAAAAACGAGTACATGGAATATGGATATCATCATAATTGTCAGTACTACGATAAATACACTAGTAATAACAATCACCTGAATTCTAACAACCCATCGAATAGGAACACATACATGTTTCATGATGATTATCGAAATGGAGGAAATTATGGGGGGCATGCCCATCTGCAGAATAATGGAAACGATCGAAATGTTGATAACAGGAAAAACGAAAGTAGATCTCGTGATAACAACAACGAAACCAATCATAACATTGTCAACCACAACATGAGCAACCACAACATGAGCAACCACAACATGAGCAATCACAACATGAGCAATCACAACATGAACAACCACAACATTGGCAACCACAACATGAACAGCCATAACATTGACTACCCATCTAGCTGTAGAAACGCATCAGGCTCTAACGAAGTATGCACTCTAAGTAGCGCTCCATCTAATCCCAATGAAAGGAAAGATATAATTCCCATGAACCCCATGAAAGCGCAAACCTCACCACAAGCATCTGTTAGTAACAAAGATGGTAACTTGCTGAAAATTTTGCTAGAATGCAGAAGTAATTTGTCAAAATGGAATAATATTACAGATCCAGAAAAATTAATTAGCACAAAAAATTTAAAATTGCTCCTGTTACATCGCCCCAATTCAATTGATGACATGAAGAATTTGAATTTAACAGGATTCGGGGAAGATAAAATAAAAAAATATGGGTACTATTTTTTAAATATATTTTTATCTGGTTACATCGAAGGGAAGTAATTTACAAGCAAGAAAAAAAAAAAAAAAAAAAAAATCCGAACACGTTCCACAATTCGGGACAATTCTAGGCAATTTTAGACAATTCACATATGTAACCTATGTGTATAAACCATTGTCTGTTTATAATACACAACTTTAAGAGGTCTATTTATAGTACAGATTACATATGCAATGTAATCAAATGGGCATTTTGTGCTCATCCCCTCTTTTCACTCTTTTAGTGCATTTGTTTTACAGCGCGCTAGGCCTTTCACAATGTTGTTACTTGTCTATCCCTTTGAAAAAATCTGGAAGAAGTGGGAAAATATGGACGAGGAGGAAATGCTCATCGTTCAAAACATGCATATATATATGTATGTTTATATAAATGTAGCAATTGTGCAGACTATCAAAAGAAGTAACACATATTCCTGTGACATCAGTTGAAAAAATCCTATTTTTTATTTACGTATATTTTTTTGTTTTTTTAATTTTTTTATTATGCATCGGAATTTGCATTACTAGGCTTGATTGAAGCATATACTTATTCTTATTATTTATTTCATTTTTTTTATTTTTTTTTTCTTCTTTTTTTTTCGTATATATGCCATTAAAAGGAATACTTAAGTGAACTCTTATATAGGTTCACATTAAGAATGACACCTTATATATAACATTTAGAAAAATTTAACTGAATGTTTAAATGATTGTCTACCAAATCGAAGTATGAAACTAATAAATACAAAAAGACATTTTACTCTTCTGAACTTTTAATATATGGATATAAGACCACTTAGGGTAGGTTATTAAAAAATATTTTTCATTTATAAGAACAATTTATATGAATTTTTTTTTTTTTTTCAGTATATATTATTTTCATACACCAATTTTTACCTCAGGTATGCACCATTTTGTACTTCATTTTATTTTCTTATTCATTTATTTATTAATTCATTTATTTATGCATTCATTTATATATATATATATTTTTCCCTATCCCCTTGTGAACTTCAATGTGTCGTGCTACAATGATTATATGAGATCTGTTGGATGTACTTAACAATGAGCAGTTATTCGTTTGGTATGCTTACTCTTTTTTTTTTTTTTTTTTTTTTCTTCTTATAACTTTTTGCGTTTGCAAATTACACAACTATTACACATATATGTATTTATGTTCATGATACTCATATATGATATCCCCCAACTATACATATATAGTAACGATTTTATACATTTTCTATTATTTATTTTTTTTGAAGAAGAAGAAGAAGAAGAAGACCCGGATCACTATAGAATAGCCTCAATGATTGACATTTAGGCATAGTACAATATCATGTCATGTTATGTCATGTCTTGCTATCATGATTTTCATTTCATACGTTTGGATAGCATGTGTTTTACATATTCTAACACATAGATAATAGTACGAAATTCACGCTACTTAACTTTTATATGAATGGGTTGCAAGCTGAGCTGTATATACACATTAATTTGGTGTACACATTCGCATGAGGGCCACTTGCATAATAAATTTAAGAAAAAAAAAAAAAAAGGCAATTATCAAAACAAATAAATAAATAACAATAATAACTGTGGCAATGTACTACTAATTAAAAGGTAGTGCTTACATAGTGGGAAGAATTTTAACATTGTCGTTATTATACAAACTTGTGCGTTAGTTTAGAAAATCTGAACTCTTTCCATCCACCTGTTTGTTATGTAGTAAAGAAAATATTCCTTTTCTTGGATGTCGAAAAACTTTCTTTTACAAATTTGCATGTATTGAACGAACTTGTACATGTGTATAAACCTGTATCTATAAAAATTATTAAGTAATAAAAAAGGGCTAAACATAATTTTTTACACATGCTACTGCTCCTATTTTGCTTTTTCGTATGCTTTATTTTTTATTTACTTTTTATTTTTTTTTTTATTTTAACTGTGTCCCCAAATATTCAGCCGTTTCGGCCAATTTAGAAATGCTGCGTGTGTAGCCTTTTTCAGTCGAATATAAAAAATCAGAAATAGGCAAACGTGGTTGTGCAAGAAGATACACCTTTTATGTATTCACAGGTCTCACTCGTCCTGCGCATATTCTTATATATCTTTAAAATAAACAGATTTGGAAAAAGATATATCTATATATAAAATCTGGCATCAATCTTATGCACAAAAGTATGTAAACGTTTTTTCACAGTTTTTTTGTTGCCTGCTTACTTTGCTGCTTTTTTGCTACTTTTGTTATTTATTTTATTATTTTTATTATATTTATTATTTTTAACATTTTTATCATTTTTATTATTTTTATTATTTTTATTATTTTTATCATTTTCATCATTTTTATCATTTTCATCATTTTCATCATTTTTATCATTTTCATCATTTTTACCATTTTTATCATTTTTATTATTTTTTTGTTTCTTTTTGAATATTCAACTGTATTTTTATAGAATAACCTAAAATGCGCATTTTTTAACATATATAAACGAGTGACTGAATATAAAAGTAGTATGCACTCCCTCCCTCTACTTACTTTTCAGCAAGTTTCCCCTCCTCCCATTTTGTTTCGTTTTTCTACTATTTTTATTAGGAATTTTTATTCCCACTTGAGATTTTTCTTTTTGCGCATTCCTATATACACAGCTCTCTTTTTTTATTTTATTTTTTTTAATTTTGGATATTTTCTATATATTAACTTATATTTAATTGCATATTTATTTTTATGAAAAGGGGAAATTTTTAAATATATGTTGATTGAAATGTTACAAAAAAAAAAAAAAAAAAAAAATACATTCAATATATATAGTAGAAATAAAAGGATTGATGGGCTTATAAAAAAATTCTCTGGTGTAGGTGAAATTTTCTTTTATAATTTTCCAATAAATTTACAATATTTCATGGTTTGCAAGTGCAAAATTTGCGACGGATAACATGTTTGTAAAATGGTATATGTTTTCTTTAAATGGAAAACTTATGTTATTTGTTTTTTTTTTTTTTTTTTGCACTGTTACATGTTATAATAATGCACGTATGAAGAATACATAATTTATTTATCATTTATGTAAGAAGGTACGCGTGTAATCTACATAATGAATGTATTAACCATATGTATATGTTATCATGCCTATTTCATATAATGTATGCATAAGAAGAATATGCAATTAGGGCGATCTTTAAAAGGGTTCTTGGCAAAGTAAGGTGAGTCAGCTGGAAGGGGTGAATAATAAGAATATATATATATAGATATAGATAGATATACATAATGCATGCGACATAATACCGCAGGAGTAATAAAATATGTACACAAAAGCGCAGTTATTTTTGGGTACCTAAGAAGCAATTTATATGTATTAATTATATATATGTATTTTATTACTTAATGTTTCCATTTGGTACATGTATGTACATTTATGGTACATGATAAAAATCAAATATTAGTGCAAAAAAAAAAAAAAGTATTAATTTATAACGCACAAATTTTATGTTTTATATATATTTATTATGTATGATCTCGTACGCAATTATATATGCTCATGTTCTGTATGTATAACAATGTAACATATATATATTTTTACCATTCACAATACTGTACGCAAAAGCCTGGAAAAAAATCACTTCTTCTTTTCTTCTATTTTTTCAAAAGAGGAGGAACATTATTCTTTAATATGTTTTTTCGGATACAATAAAATTATTTAGTACCCCATTTTTTGCTCATCCTCGGCTGAATATAGCATATATGTAATACATGTAAAGCTTGACAAATTTACATATAAAATTAACAGTTTTATAACTTATGCCCTACAAAATTTGAAGATTTTTATTTTTTTATTTTATACCTAATATTTTTTATATTTTAGCTTCTTCATTTTTCAGGATTCTCTTTTTTCTTTTGTTCCTTTATTTTTTTTTTTTTTTTTTTCAGTTCTATTTTTTAGATATATTTTCATGTATCTTTATTTTTCTGCATTTCCTCTCGTTTTTTATGTTATATTTTACGTGCTTCATTTTTCATGTTACATTTTGCGCGCTTTATTTTTTTATGTTACTTTTTGCCAACTTCATTTTTTACGTTACATTTTGCGCGCTTCATTTTTTTATGTTCCATTTTTACAAAGTTTGTTTTTTACGTTACTTTTTGCCAACTTCATTTTTCATGCTACATTTTGTAAACTTCATTTTTCGTGTTACATTTTATGAACTTCGTTTTTCCTGCTATATTTTGCGCCCTGGATATTTCTCCATTTTCCACCTATCTTTCATTCCTTCACCCATACATTCATTCATCCGTTCATCCATCCGTTTGTTCATTTTTTTTTATATGCATATATATTATGCCTGTTTATTTTACTCTTCAAAATTTCCCATTTCATTTATCACGATACAACCACTGCATTTAGTGCCATTTAGGAAGCCTTATATAACAACATTTAGCATAATTTAGAATAATTTTAAGATCATTTAGTCACCTTCATTTACATTTTCTTTTTTTTTTTTTTAAACAAAAGTTGGGAAACAGTAATTGTATATATATGTTTATATACATTAAAATTATAAACATTTACGTAACTGTTTCTTTTTTTTTTCTCGCAACATAATTTTTGAAGGGATCGATCTTGCTTGAGCACATGGCATTTTTGACCCACTTGTTTTTTGCAATTTTGCCGCTTAACCATTTCAACACCTCATTATTGCATCACCTTTTGAATTTGTCACATTGTTTTTAAAACATAACAGTTGTAAATTTGCAAATACAAAGAGGAAAGAGTTCACACCTGTGTTCCATATATTCGCCCATTCAGTTCTATATGCACATAAATAATACATATATACATGCATTAATACATGCACGAACCCGTACATATGCACATGCATTCACACGCACACACCTGTGATTGTAGACATATTTATGTACCTGTATTCGCATGCTTACTTACGTGACCACAAATATGTACCTTACCTTATGCACCATTAAAACATGAGAATGGATTATCATGAAAAAAACAATCATTTTACTAGTATAAAACAAAATTTTTGTTTTATTAACAAGAAAATTAGTGGGAATATCAAAGGGAGTTCAGGGCACATAAATAAAGACATTGTGGATTTTGATGATAATTCAACAAATGTTGAAAACGATGACGGGAGTGAATATACCAAAAGTAGCACAAGCAGCAGCAGAGGTAATTATGTAAATGGACACCATATAACAGACTCCAGTAGCAGTAAAAGAAATTATGTAAATGTATACCATCCAACAGACGCTAGTAGAAGTAGTAGTAGAAGTACTCAAAGCACAAGGAGTTATAACAATATAGGATCTATACGCATAGAGAAGTTCAAAAGTGCCCCTAATAAAAATCATTCAAGGAATACATCAAATACAAATTTAATGAATTATATTGGAGGAAATGAAAATAAGTTCTATGAGCCCTATTCTAATAAACAAGATATAAATCTCAATGGAAAAAATAACTTATATAATTGTGACAATAATAACGATGTAATAAATAATATGGACGAAATTAACTTTGTGAATCATCGAGAAAATAAGTGTTCAGGACAAAGTAATTCATGTATTAAAGAAAAATGTATACAAGATGGAAGTATTAGTATGAAATTAAATATTCAAAAAAGCAAGGATAATAATTTATTATATCTACATAAACATAAACAGATTGATGGGAAATTAAGGAATCATTCAAGCATTTCTGATTCAATTATGAATCCTACAAATTGTGCATATGAGCCAAGTTCGAGTTATTTTCAGGAACCAGAAGCCACACAACTCTCTAGTAATATTAGCAAATTTCAGAGTAATGATACACTTAATGACAAATTTGAAAACATTAACATTTTTAAGAGTCAATACTGTATTAACACATTAATCAATAATTCAAATGTTACAGAGGATGTGAATAATTACTTGTGTGAAAATAGTGCTAACATAGATAATAATTCTATCACTTGTGAGCAGAATAAAAGTTTTAAAGACATTGCGAAGATAACACAGGGTAATATTAATATTAATGGGATTAGAACTGTGAATGTTAAAAGGGTAGATAACGTGAGAAACGTAAACAATGTAAATAGTACAGGTATAAGTATAAATGGAAATGATAATGAAAATGTGAAGGTGAAGGATAGACATTGTAACACTTCTTATCCAAAAAATAGTGCCCCAATGTTGTATAAAAGTAGTAACTTCCCAATAAATATGCAAAATATTAGGATGGAAAAAAAAACACATGATAATATTATTGTACCAGATGATAGTTCCATATCCTCCTTTTTTGAAACAGAATTACAAACAAAGAACTCGAATATGATGTGCTACAGGAATAATAAGCATGAGAATTATAGTAGTTCCAAAAGTGGTGGTACAAACAAAGCAGGTGGCAATAATAAAGATGTTAATAATTATAGAGGAAATAGTAACGTAAATAATAGCAGTAATGGTGGAAATAACAATAATAGCAATAATAGTGGAAATAACAATAATAACAGTAATAGTGGAAATAGTGGACATAGAAGCGGAAATAACAACAGAGATAGTGGAAAGGATGATGATAAAGATAGTCATAGAGATGGTCGTAGGGACGGTTTCAATGATGAGCATAAGGATGATGAAATTGAAAGCAATAAGGAGGACGAAGAGAATGATAATAAAGAAACCAATAAAAGTAACAGTAGAGGAAATCGTAAAAATAACAGTTCTGATAGGAGAAACGATTGTACTTTGAAAGATAACAATGTGACCAAGGGTGAAAAAAAAAAAAAAATCACTAAAGATTCCATAATTATCAAATGCAGTAATGGGAAAAGCAACAAGAATAGCAGCAGTAGCATGAATGAAAACAGTACTAATAATTTAACTAAGACAAATGCGAATATTGCTAGTGAAACTAACAACAGCATGAACATCTATAGCAGCATGGAGAGCCATCAAAATAATGTCATTTCATATGCAAATATAATTTTTGGGAAAACGAAAAACGGAACGAAATGCAACTCTACATCCTCTATAAATAGAATGAACGATTTTCCAAATAATATTAACAGCAAAATGTACACGAATTTTTCCAACTCATATGATAACAATGACAGTTTTATGAATGTTGATGATAGTATAAACAGTTGTAACACGGGTAGCGTGGACTTAAGAATTATTAATCAGGATAATGGACAGGGCCTATCGAGCGGTTTAAACGGGGGATGCAATATAAATGTAATGTATAATAACTTAAATGGGATTGGAAACGTAAACGGGATGGGAAGCATGCACGAAATGAACAATCCAAACGGATTTACCAATGTGATGAACGATATTAATATCTCAAGCAGTATGAACAGCTTTTCCGATCCACAGAGCAATACAGGAACGTTTTTTAATATAGACCATAACGAATTTATGCATATATGCAAGAACAGTTTTAATTTGAATAATGATGGAAATATAGAAGGATGCAATGAAAAATACTTGCATATGGAAAATAGCTTAAACAGTGCAAATGGCATGAACAATAATAATAGTAATAACACACTATTTAATTCTATTAATAATAATAATAATAATAGTAGTGGTGGTAATGGTAGTGGTAATAGTAATGTATATGAAGGAAACTATACAATGCAGAGTACAAGAGGAGGACTAGAAGGAATCGTGGGGAGTCAGGGAGGACATGTGCACATGAATATGAACAACTTAAAGGAAGATTACATGAGCTATGGAAATAACATTATGATGCAAAACAGTAGTGGCCTTTTTTATAATGGAAATAAAGAAAAAGTACACATAAGCATGAACGAAAATATGAACAAATTTCATGAAGACAAAAAAAATAATTCATTTCATTTTAATAATAATATACCAGAAAAATGTGAAGAAGAAAGGATGATACAAAGTGGTTATCTGAAAATGAATTTAAATGAATTGAACAAGTATGAAAATGATAATTTCAATAATAATATGTTGAAAAATGAGTGTTTTTTTAACAAAGATAATATTAAAACACTGGGAGAAAGTAATATGATTATAAACATGAACGATAATTTTCAAAACGACAAACAGATGAATCAAAATTTAGAAGACAGCCTAAATTATAATGAAGCGAATACTTTAAATTTATTAAATATTGCTTTTAACGAAATATATCAAGATAAAAAAATTATGATTGAGAAAATTATTACAAAGAAATTTTTGTGTAAGCTGACCAAAATTTTAAAAGATATAAATCCAGATAGTATAAGAGTAAAGGGAAGACAATTAAAGCGATTGATACAATTAAAGAAAGAATTCACAAAAAAGGAAGAAAAAATTGTTAATAAGGAAGGGGCAGTTAGCCTGCATGGCAATAATGCAAATATATACAATAGCAACAATTGTTTGATTGTGGACGACAGGACGCATAAAATGATCAAATGTGGAAATGACCAACTTGGGAATCATGCAAAAGATGAAAAAAGTTGGATATCTAGTGATGACGTTGAGAACAGGAAAGGTAACAACGACAGCAATGGGAATAGCAATAATGGAAGCAGCAACAGCGATGGGCTCTCTGAACTGAAAAAAGTGCAAGAGCCAAAAAAAAAAAAAAAAAATAAAAAGGGTGAAAAGGGAGAAAAAGGCAAAAATAGCGAAAAGGGGGAAAAAGGAGAAAAATGCAAAAATAGAGAAAAAGACGAAACTAGCGAAAAGGGCGAAACTAGCGAAAAAAGCAAAAATAGCGAAATAAAGGAATCCCAATCCCGTGACACACATAACGCAACTGACAAGAATGATATAAAAAATAAAAAGGAAGCCGAAAATAACCTGAACACGCAAGGTGAATTGAAAAATCAAAATAAAAGAAATGATCACATATGCCCACAGGACGACAAAAGTTGCATGGGAGAAAAGCAGGGGAAAAATACGAAAAAGGGGAAAGAAGACCCAACGGAAGAAATTCCAAATAATAAGAAGAATAAGAACGATTCTAAGAATGGCATCGACAGAAATTCTAACAATGTAGAAATTTGCAAGCACATTGAAAATAAAAGTGACAGTGTTATATCAAATGAACAAGGAAAGCAAGAGGAAAACAGTTGTGTTGAAACCACAAAGAATGTAGCCCAAAATGAATCACACAATCATAGTTCAAAGGAAGAAGTAGAAAATTTAGGTGGTGAAGAATCAATGATGCAGAATAGAATATCTGATAAGGGAAAATTTGACGCAGCTGATAAAACTAATAATAATAATGGTTGTGAGGGAGGTGAAAATTCTTACATGAGTGAAAGTACAGATGTGGATTTTTACGATGACAGTAGTGAGGAAAATGAAAATGATGATAGTAAATATATCACGTGTATTAACGAGAGATATAAAGAAATAAAAATTGAAGAAGATGTAATCATAAGAAGAGATGTTATCTTCTTTAACTTGTTAAAATACATTATTAAAAAAAAAACATCAGAAGATATGTTAATATATTTACATTTGTTAAGTGCTATAAAAATTGAGAAAATATTTGATCACATTACACAATTATCGTGTGATATTTTTAATACTCTTTTAAATTCTATCGAAATGACAAAGGATTCATCAACATATAGATTATTATTAAAAAATTTAGGTGCATGGATAGGTATAATAACGATTGGAAGAAATAAACCACTAATGTCAAAACATATGAACATTAAACAGTTAATTTTATATTCATATGATAATGGATATTTAATAGTTACATTTCCAGCTGTGTGTAAAATATTGGAAAGTATTAAAAATTCGAAAATATTTAGACCACCAAATCCTTGGACTGTTGGTATTTTAAATTTGTTAGGAGAATTACATGAAGCGCAATCGTTAAAAACTATTTTAATTTTTGAAATAGAATTATTATTTAATTATTTTAAAATTAACGTTTTTGATTATTACAACAAATGTAATATTATAAAGTGTCGTAGCTTGCCAATCAATACTAATGATTTATTTGTTAGGAATAATTTCAGCGAAAATTCTACTATAAATATGAATTATTTAAATGAGAATAACATGATGAGTGCTTATTCAAATCCTGATCAAATGCACATGTTTAATAAATCTTACAATACATGTGCCAATTTTTATGGTGAAAATTTTGTACATCAAAATGGTAACACTGCTGGCAGTAGTCGAAATAGTGAAAGAATCAATAGGGGAATGGAATCGGTAGGATCCGATGCAAATGATGGATTCATAATAAATAAGGATACTAGATTTAACGCAATGAATAATTATAACTCCACATCTAATATCATTACAACAGCGAACAGCAATAACAACCATGCCAATGAATTTATGACCCATAAAAATGATATTTCCAATTTATTAAATAAAAATAGAAAAGGAGAAGATATGAAACAAGCGAGCATTATTAACGACATCTGTTCACACATGGACATGCATAACAACAACGGCCATAGTAGTAGTAATATTAATCCTAATTTGATGAACAATTTGAATATCTTGAATAGTGGAAGCAAAAATGCTTCAAACTTGACATACAACTCATCTGTAGATGTAATAGTACAACAAAATAATAACATAAACAATAACAGTAATGGTAATAGTATTGTAAATAAAAACAGATTCATGAGCTCCAGTTTGACCCAACCCGTGTCCCCAAAAGGATTTCAAAAAGGTTTAGAAAATAATTTCAAATCGATCAGTAAAAATAGTATGAATAATGAAATGATCATAAAAAATAGTAATAATAGCACGTTGAAAAAATTGTCAGGTAATATTAGCACGAAGGAAAATCAACACATGCCTATTTTTAACTACATGAACGCAGATACGAATAAATTTAACAGTATTATGTATTCAAAAATTAACGGAGGAATTGGTAGAACAGACATGTGTGTAGTAGAGAATGACGAACTGTATAGTGGAAGTTCCAACATTGGTGGTAGTGGTGTTGGTGGTGTTGGTGGTGTTGGTGGTGTTGTGGGCAGTATCAATGGAAACATCAACGGGAATATTAACAGTAGCAGTAATAGCGTGTGCAGTAAGAATTCGGATTTCCTACATCTTCTGAATAACAAAGGAGCGGGAGGTCAAAGCATCGTGAACAACAAGAGTGAAGAACTTCTAATGAATGATTTAAAAATTGCTGCCAAGAAAAAGGAAAAAATAATGGATTCAGAGTTTAAAGATATTTCATTCAAAAATGGAAATTATGTTTTGGGTAAAAATAAAATTCCGTTAAGCAATAAAAATGACGTGGCGGTTTATAAAACTTTTGATCTGAAAAATGCAAAAGTGACATCTAAAAAAGAAATATATGAATGTGTGAAAAGGGATTCCTATGTATCGTCAGCATCATCGAGTATTTTAAATATAAAAAACAATTTTGTAGAATCATCATCTAGTATGAAGAATAACAATAGCAACACGCCTCCTTTACCCCAAGCCCATATCCACTTCGATAAATTGAAGGTTAACGAGAATAGTGGTAGCATTATTGGTGGAAACAACACTAAAAGTGCAAGTAATGGAAAGTCCAGCATGCAGAATATCGACAATAGCAATAGTAACATTAGTAATAGTAACAATAATAATAGCATTATCAGCAGCAATAGCAACAATAACAATGCAGGAAATAAAACCACAGCACCATCTTCTCAACATGGCATTGGAAATGATGCTAACCAAAAAATGGTAAGCACACCACCATACCACGAGAATTTGAATAAGAACAAATTTAACGAAATGTTAAATGATGAAATATTAAACATATTAAAGAAAAATATTGTGATATCAGTGAATATTGTTGCAGCAATTAAATTAACACCAAAATGCAAAACTTTAATTTATTTAGCCTTCGATTCAGCAATAAAAGAAATAATTACATCTGTCGTAGATAGGTTCGTTTTAATTGGATGTATAACAACAAGAGAATTAGTAAAAAAGGATTTCGCAAACGAGTTGAAAGAAACTATTATGCATAAAGCTTCTTTGCTAATGGCGACGAGCATATCATCCTCTCTTGTTTTAGTGTCATGCAAAAAGCCTCTAAAAAATATTTTAATACAAAATTTAAGAAGTATTATTGAACAGAATTGTTCTTCAGAATTAAATAACACAATTGTGGACGATGTTGTGAAAGGGTTAATTAATGATAATATAGATTTAATATATTCCATAATCGAACAAGTAGCTATAGAAAAATCATCCATAGAAATTGAGGAAATTATGAAACCAATTTATTCTTCTAGAAAATATGCACGTATACATAAATTAAATATAAAGGAAAATTTTAATAACAAATACTATAACGCGTTGCCTGTTTTTTTAAAAGCTCATAACATAACCTTAAAGCATATTCAAGTGTATAAAAATTTTATGAATTTAAAAATTTTATCAAATTTACAACAAAAGTTATTTTCACCGAATTCAGTAGATCAAGAAGGTTTATCAAATGAAAATGATAACATTGGATCATGTTATCAAAATTGTCGTAGTGGTCAAAATAGTTTAAACCATCCCAAAATGTTAAATCATCAAAATGGACTAATCTATCAGAACTATCAAAATAGAAAGAATAGTGAAAACTTACTAAATTATGGCCCATTCTCAAGCACATTATATAACAATAAAAAATATATATCGAATCCATTAGATGGTAGAAATGGAGAAATTGTTAATTATCCCAAGGAGGAACAAGATAGAGAATATAGTAAGGATAATGATATCTCTTTTAAAATAGTCAGAAAAACGGAGATGAAAGAAGATAATGAGAAAGCTGCTAATAAATGTTTGGATGAAAAATATTATGATGAAAGTAATGCAGATAATGAAGAGAAATGTATCAATAATCATATAAGCATCAATGGAGGAAGCATTAATATGTCGCAACAGAAAAGCTTAACCTTGTCAAACCTGAACTACAGCAATAATGGAGTAAAATATATATCTGGCAATAATAATGGCTTGAAAGATAATGCAAATTTTCACCTAGGTAATATGAATACTAATAATAACATAAATATCATAAATAATATAAATGATATAAATTATGTTAGCAATATTAAATGTGTTAATAATGCTAATAATGCAAATTTTATGAACCATTTTAATTCATATAACACTTCTAATAATACGTATATATATAAAATTCCAAATAATTTCAACTGCAATAATTCTGATCATAATTTTAATACAAATAATAGGTATGTGAACATAGATAATGTGAACAACTCGGCTAATGCTCAGGGGTATAATAATTACGTTGGAAACTATGAACAACACAATGGCAAGAATTTCACTGAAATGGATATTAGCTCACAATCAGGATTTACTAACAGTTACGAGGACAGATGTTCCAATGGTTTAATCTCACCCAATTCTATATCCACTCCAACTTTTTCTACGACTTCTCAAGCCTTCTCCGCTTCTCCACAAACATTTACTGATCCAGCATCAATTTCTGTCACTGCTACTTCTGCACCCTTATCTACGAACACTAACTACGCATGTAATAATCCAATGACCATTAACAACCTGAATGTCAATGCAAATTCATTAACCACTCATGATGAAGACAACTTTAATATCAGTGTGAATTATGATAATCAAATGGAAAACATCACATGTAGTACCATGAATACGAATTATATGAGAAATATGAAAAATGGAAATTTTAACTTTAATGGGAAAAACTCAGTTTTATGCATCTCAGAACAAGGCATGGGTGGCGCAACTATGAATGGAGCAACTATGAATGGAGCAACTATGAATGGAGCAACTATGAATGGAGCAACTGTGAATGGAGCAACTGTGAATGGAGCATACGCGAAAATAGACTCAGCAATGTGTCGGAATGTGAATGCTTCCGTCCGCACGAACAACGGCAATCGCATCAGTTTTGACAATGTTTTGAACAGTTCATCGATAAATCATCGTGGTGTAAATAACTCAATGAAACGAAATTCAGTAATGATAACGGAAAATATTGATATAGATAAAAAGGGAACCACTGCTGGTATTTATAATTCCATCAGTGGCGTTAGTGAAAATGGATTCAATGAGAATAATGGAAATAATGCGTACAGGGCCAGTGGTGATGATGACTCCAACACGAACACAGCTAGCAAGTGGCGTGTGAACGAAAATGCAAATATGAATTTGAAAAAAATAAGGAATGTTGACATGTCATGCAAACACAAGTTTTTGTTTTTCATGTCAGATATTTTTTTAAGAGAAAATATGAACAAAATAAATGTCAAAGATATTATACCACTCTTTGAATTTTGTATGACAAACATTAAAGAATATGTTAAATATATTCTGACGTTTCCACCTATTGTACCTACGGTAAATAATTTTAATGATTATTGCAATGTTAAGACTCCATATTTTAAATTTGAAAAATTAACATGCGCTGAAACTCCATCCCTTTTAATATTATCATGCTTATCAACGAATCATGAAATTTTTATTCTTTGTAAGGTAATTATATACATGTGTGAAAATGCAGTAGATAAGAATGATACATATAAAATTATAGGCACTAAGCTGTATAAATATATTCAGGAGACAATAAAAGAGATAATGATAAATTTAACCAATGTATCACAAAACGCAGGTGAATGTATTGATACATTGAATAATAATCGAAACGATAATGAGATGAATAGTAACTCATTTTTATCAGCGAGTGGTAGAAGTAGTAAGAATGAGAATGGTGCTAATAATGGTAAGAATGATACACATAATGAAAACATAACAAATGGAAAATCACGTGAGGAAAAATGTGTACAGAACAGAAGAGGAGTGAACGAATTGTTCATTCTAATAGAAATACAATTATGCATATTAGAACGTATGTGTAAAAATAATAAAGAACTGAAGAAACTAGTTACTTCTTACATGCTAAATTCTCTTGGTCATAATTTAGGAAACATAACTTTATTCACACGATACAATATCATTGATCACAAAAATTTAGATAAAACTATATCAAAGTTTTTGAAAAATGCCACTAACATGAATATTATCGAGTTTTGTAGTGATTTAATTAGATGTGTAGTTATTAAAAAGAAATATTTAAAATTAGAACATTTAAAAAAAACAATTAATAAGCTAATTAAGATATATAAAATGATGTCCAGTGATAATCAGTACATTCATATTCCTCCGGTGAAACAAATTCTGATACAAAATGTAAAAAACAGTTTAACTCAAATGATTCAGGAGCTTAAGGTGGCAAAGAACAAACGCAATGAGCTTGAGCGGGAAGAGGAGAAGAAAGAGGAGAAAGAGCAAGAAGAAAAAGAAGAAATGTTCACAAAAAAAATGTTGAGGACCCTAACTGAGTATATATATGCATCAAAGGAATATGGGGAAAAGGGAAGAAGAGAAAATTGTGACATGATAATTCGGAAAGAAGCAATTCATATCCAGGGGAAAGCTAGTATACAAAAAGGTATAGAAACGAGTGAAGAATGTCAGGTACATCTGGGAACCATAAACGAGGAAGAGAGGGAAAAAGAGACTTCAAAAGAGACTTCAAAAGAGACTTCAAAAGAGACTTCGAAAGAGACTTCGAAAGAGAATACAAAAGGGAATTCGAAAGAGAATGCGAAAGAGAGTACGAAAGAAAGCGAAATGAATAGCCAAAATCTTGACCTAAAAGAAAACCAAAGTAACAAGAAAAAAAACACAAACTCAAGGAATAAACACAAAAATGAAAACAAACTGCCAAATGAAGAGGAGAAGGAGCCCTGTGATAAGAATAAACAATCGACTCCAAGTTGCACCACAGGGGAAAAGAAGAATAACAAATGTGAAAACAAATCTTCACTCAGTTCTATGGAGGAGAAGAATAATGCTGTTGTTAAAAGTTGTGAGTTCTTTTTTCTAGGTAACTTAAAAATTCAATATGACCATAATAATGTAGATGAATGCACCATGTTCTTACTTGAGAAGCTTAGCTTCGAGAATAAATCCTTTAATATGAAAGAAATTAGAAAGAATGAAATTTTAAATACGAATGTGCACCAGGAATTGAACTCTGAGAAGAAAGAAATTGGCAACTCGGATGAAACGAACATAAGTAACAACAAAGAGAAACACGCAAGTTATAATTTAAAAAATATTTCCACGAAAAATATAAATGCAAACATAGTTAAAAAGGAAGATGAAAATTTGAAGAACTCCACAGAGTGCAGTGAAAATGGTAAAAATATTTGCAGTGATGAAAACAATTTTAGATGTTCTTCATTACACTCAGTTGAATCGAATAGTTTGGAGTTGTCAGGTTATTCCTCCTCCAACTCCTCAAATTCATTTTCCTCATATAGTGAAGGAGGGGAAGATGACGATGAAGAAGAAGCAGAAACAGACTTTGATGATGGCATGTCTTCATCAAGTTCCTCAGGGTTGGATTCCTCCATATCAAACGGATCTGCGTTAAGTACCTTGTCATCCTCCTACAATTTAATGAAGTCAGAACTACAAAAAGAGATAAATTTTAAAATTCAAGATATTCCAAAGAACAATTTAATAAATTACGTTCCAAGCGTAAAAGAAACCAATAATATGAATAAAAAGTTGGCAAAAGAGTTCACACATTATTTATACGTACACGACATATTAAACAAACCTGTAAGATGTAAATACTTACCAGCGCCACCATTAATTAGCGAAGAAAAAGGGATAGTTATTGCATGCCTTTTTGCAGAATGGTATTTTATATATAAAAATTATTTAAATGTTTTAAAAATGAGTATATCTAATGATATGCTCGATGTTATCAAGCAACAACATAAATTGAAGTGTGCAAAATATTTTCAAAAGGTATCAAATCATGGGTTTTTAAATGTAGATCATGTGACAGATCAGTTTTTAACACACACAATTAACATTGCGGTTAACATAGCTTTGCATAATTTGGAAAAGAGTACTATAACTAACAGAAACTGTACCATGCTAGTGCTAGAAGAAAAAAAAGGTGAAGAAGCAAAAGAAGGTCAAGAAGCAGAGGCGGTGACAAAAAGGAATAATATCCAGAGCGAGACCAATGCAGGGTGCCAAGAGAAATCGGTGGAGGTAAACTCTGCATATCAAACGAAAGAACCAGAGGAAAGAAAAACGAATGAAGATGCAGTGAATGTGGAAAAATTGTCTGAAAAAAGTAATTGTCAGATGAACGAAGTTAGTGAGAGTAAGAACGTGATTAGTGATAATAAGAACATAGCTAATGGGAGCAAGAACGTGATTAGTGATAATAAGAACATAGCTAATGGGAGCAAGAACGTGATTAGTGATAATAAGAACATAGCTAATGGGAGCAAGAACGTGATTAGTGATAATAAGAACATAGCTAATGGGAGCAAGAACGTGGTTAGTGATAATAAGAACATAGCTAATGGGAGTAAGAACGTGATTAGTGATAATAAGAACATAGCTAATGGGAGCAAGAACGAGATTGAAGAAAACAAAGACGATTGTAACTGGAGCGCTCTAAATGAACCAGAAAATGAACACGCGAAGAACGATTTTATAAAATGTAAAAAAAATGACGAAGATTTAAGAAAAGCACACAAAACTAGCGATTTGTTAAACTACAATTACATAGATGCATGGCCAAAAATGGTTGTAAGTCTGATTAAGCTAGTAGATGTAGAAGAAATATCCCCAATTGTAGTATTTCAAAAGGTTCTGCATGTTATATGTAGAGTCATACACAAGAAATGTGAAATCGAAAAGGAGAAATTTAACCAGAGACCTTATTTTAGATTATTACATTGTTTATTAGTAGATATTTACGAAGGCTGTGTACATTCAAGTGATTTGTATATATATATGAATTGTTTTGCGAAATGTTTTTCCCTTTTATCACCTTTGAGAATTCCTGTATTTTGCTTTTCGTGGTTAGAGCTTATATCATCAAAGTATTTTATGCCAAAAATGCTAGCAAAATTTTGTGGTTGGGAAGCTTATAAAAAGTTACTGATTTCTCTTTTTACCTTTTTGAAGTCCTTTTTAAATAAAATACAAGTATCTAAAGCAGTAGAGGCATTATATTTAGGAACTATAAGAATTCTTCTTGTGTTACTACATGATTTTCCAGATTTTTTATCGTGCTACTATGTGACCTTTTGTAATTTATTTCCTATTAATTGTATCCAGCTAAGGAATCTTGTTCTTTCTGCGTTCCCAAGAAACATCAAATTACCTGACCCCTTCATGTCTGATGTGAAAATTGACTTGTTACAAGAAATTAAGCTAGTGCCCAAAATTATGACAAACATAGTTTTCCCACTTTTTAAAAATAATTTTAAAAATGTAATTGACGAATATTTTTGTAAAAGAGATATTAAATTACTTGTAGATATTAAGGACATGTTATATTTATCAAAAAATAAAACTTATCAATATTCTGTCAAGTATGATGTAGATGTTATAAACTCCTTGACGCTGTATGTAGGAACTAACATTTGCAAAGCTAAAGTAAATAACATGTTTAGGTTTAACAGTAATTGTGATCCAATACTTTTAGTTAAATGTCAAGGCAGTAACAATAATAACCCAGATGATGTGAAAGATATCATGTTACAAGAAGTTATTATAGATGATAACCGTGAGAAGAAAAAAAAAGAAAAAAAGAAAGAAAAAAAAAAAAAAAAAAAAAAAAAATTATCCAATGCTACGAAACTGAGTAAAGTTCAAAAGAAAGATAAAAAAATATTGGAACAACATTTGCCTAAAAAATATGTAGATCTTATGAGAGAAAATAATGAAGAGGGTGCAGGACACGAATTTCTAGGAAATTATGATGATGAAAATGGAGAGGCATTGGTAAAGGATCTTCTAGGTGATGATGGCGATGATAATATTGGAAGCATCTGCGGGAATAAGAAAAAGAAAATAACTGTTACAGTTGTTAAAAATAATTTGGCTTATACGTTATTTCTATATTTATGCAAAGAATTAGATATGGAAGGAAGATATTTGTTATTGTCAAATATAGTGAATCATATAAGATATCCGAATTCGCATACCCACTACTTTTCTTGTCTTATATTATTTTTATTTTCTCAATCAAGCGATGTTATCATTCAAGAACAAATAATTCGAGTTCTCTTGGAACGAATCTTAGCACATAGACCTCACCCCTGGGGATTGTTAATAACTTTTATTGAATTAATAAAAAATGCCAAGTAAGAATAAGATACACTTCGATATTACAATTCTACGTGTGTGTAACTGTTTATATGCACACATCTTGTGTACGAGAAGAAAAGAAGTTGCATATACTTACATGCGTGACTTTTATTTTCCAAAGTTATCGCATACAAAAGTTGCATATGTTATTGTAGCCCATCACCTTGATAATGTACACATATATATAACCGTAACCTTATTTTCCCCTTGCAGATTTCACTTTTGGGAATGCCCATTTGTCCACGCAGCAATAGAGATTAAGAAGCTGTTCCAGTCAGTAGCTCAAGCATGTCTAGGGCGTTCCTAACGAACTTTGTTATTTTTTATGAACAATCATTTTAAGTAACATTTTTAGTATTTTTCTTGTACATTTATATTACTACCCCTATTTGTATTTACTGGTATTATATATACATATGTACACACATACTTGCTTGTGTGTTTGTGTATAACTTCACGGAGTTTCACAATTTTTTCAAACCTCATACTTTTTTTTTTTTCCGGTACTTATGAAATATTTTTATTTATGTTTTCAAAAAGTATCCACATAAGGAAAAAAAAAAAAAAAAGAAAAAAAGAAAAATCAAAGTATGAAAAAATAAAAAGCTTTAAATTAAAGCAGAAATTCCAAGTTTCTAATTAAATTGTTAACCTTTGTGCATATTTTTATGGATATACACCTTTTGTTTGAGTATTGTACTGCTTTTGAAACTTCACTAAATAATCCGCAGTTATAATAACTTGTACTGTAGGTGTGTATAAGTCTTCTGTGCATGCCATATGTATGTAATAGCATAGTGTGTATGTTTTACTACCTTTCTTTCTTTTTTTTCTTTTTATACAACTATTTAGTAATCCTTTTTTTTTTTTTTTTTTTTTTTTATTTTATTTATTTTTATTTATTTATTTATTATTTTTTTTTTTTTTGTTACTTGAAAGTTCAATTTCGTATTCATTATTACCTTGTTGCATTTTTATATTTATATGATACCTTTTTTTATTTTTGTTTTTATCCTTTTTGTTCGAAAACTTATTTTATATTTTTTAAGAACACATTTTTGGTTTTTATTTGATAAAAATTAAATTATTTAATAATTCCTTTAACAGTATTATATAATCATTTTAATGCAATTTTAGTATTCATTCTTTTTCCTATAGAAAGTTTATAACCCATGTAAACACAAAAGTAAACTATACAGACATTTCCATTACATATATAATATTTATATACGTACGAAAGCATGTGTATGCCGCATGCACATTTGTGTAATGTGTCTGATTATGAACAAGGACTAACAAAAATTATATGTAGACAATATTTCATTAAAATGAGAAGGAAAATAATACACATATAAAATTTTATTCTGTAAAGGTTTCAATATGTATATTTCACAGCACGCAGAATGTAAAAATTTCTAACCATTCCCATAATAACCGTATTATATGTACACAAAATAAATGTTCACTCCTTTATCATTAATGAAAAATATAAGTTTATATTAAAATCTCGTAGGAAATGAAAAATAACAATATGTCTTTAATTTAAGCAGTTTTTCAAAAAAAAAAAAAAAAAAAAAAAAAGCCAAAATTCTTAGATATTTCGTTATAATAAACGTTTTACAAAATGTAAATATACTTATGATTTCATCGATTTTAATTTTTATAAATTTCTATGTATAAAAGTGCGCTTATTTCCTGTTCACTTTCTTTACATTTTTTTGGACTTCAATTTTTTTTTTTTTTTTTTTCTTAAAACACTGCTTAAATGCACAACTTCCACAATTGCAAATTATAAAAGGGTTTTAATACATTGTGTATGCAAAAGGCTATATAAAAAAAACAATTGTCAAAAAAGGAGAAGAAAAAAATGTATATCAAATAGAGAAATTTGGAACAAGTAGGAAATACACCATACCAATTACAATAAAGCGTAATAACTGTTGCTACCACAGTGATGTTAAGCAAATGCAAACACGCATTTGCATGTATGATTACACGGAATTGTTACAGCTAAGTAATTTAAATGTCTATTCTGTTCTTCCAATATGAGAGAGATTACAAAATGAATATTTTTAGGGATATAGTTTTTTTTTTTTTTACTTTTTTTCTGGTTATTTTTTGAATGTTCCAGGAAAAGTGTGTGAATACTAAAAGTGTAAATGTTTTTGGCCATATTGACACTGTATAGAGATATATATAATTTTTTTTTTTTTTATTCCTCTAAAATTAGTTTCCTTGGGCATTCCGCAAAAATGGAAAAAAGCACAAATTCATTGCAACATGGGGAAAATGTGATATGTGAAAATTGTTCTAAAACAAACGTTAATCATAATAGGGATAGCACCTTCAATGAAATGGTATTAAATGAAAAGGACAAAAATATCAATTACTTCAACAAAGCAAATAATGTTTTAAAAAAGAAAAAGAAAAGAAATCAAAGAAAATGTAAAAAGAACTCAATAAATACAACAAAAAAGGACAGTGAGGTATATTGTCACCAGAACAAATCAAAATATAAATTAATAAATTATTTTAACAGTATTAAGTATAATTTATCTATTAAGAGATATTTTAAGATGCTTATCTCTGTCTCGATTTTTAACTATTTTCCATTAAATTTTCGCAACATATCAAATAATGCCTATATGTGTGGGAAACGTTTTAATCTTAAGGATTCAGAATCATTTAAACTTTTTTTAATTTTGTGCAAATCGAAGGTATTGTTTACGTACAGGTCAAACTTCCTCTTAAAAAATAGCAATAGAAGCAGTTTCGATAGTAATAGTACTGTTACAACTACCAAGAATGAAGATGTTCTCAATATGGCTAGTTATACCACCCAGGTCAACACTGTAACTAGTACAACTACAATTGGTACTACTGCTACTACTACTGCTACACCGAATGAGAATACCCAGAATAATGATACTCTTTGCAATCCTAAGGATGAAGCATTTAACTGTAACATGAACAGTTACGGCACCCAGTTCAACAACACAAGGAAAGCAATAGAACAAATGTTGGATCTTCAAAATGGAAAATACAAAAGAAGAAAAAAAAAAAGGAAAAAAAAAAAGTATTACAAAGAAAGAGTTATAAATTTCACAGATATACCAGAACATTTTCTAAAAAAAATTTACTTTGATGAAATGGAATATTTTTATATGAATTTTGAAAGTGTATCAAAATCTAACCATCATGGATCATATTTCAAGAGAAATAATTACAAGTACACGAATAATCATTCATTTTGTGGAAAAAATGATTTAAATAATGCTTTTTCAGAAGATGAAAATAACAGAGACACCTATTTATATAGTACTAATGATAGTAACAAAACAGTTTTATATGTAGAAAACTCTGGAAGTAATTCCGATTTTAATAAAGGAAATGTAAAAACTAATGGGGATTCTTGTATTTCTGACGATGAAACAGTTAAATGCACCAATCTGGACACTTGCACAATTAATGATAAATTGCATCTGGACAAGCAACAAGAAGATATAAACATTAGTATGGAGAAGGAATTTCCAAAAAGCTCAACATCTGTGGATTCTAAAATGTTAACAAATAACGAAATATCTGTTGAATGTAACATGACTTACAGAAAAACTGATAAAAAATGGGAAAACAAAAAATTAAAAAGTTCACATTTGAAGAAGGGCAAAAATACGCTTTTACATAACCAGATTATGAAAAACAAATATATGAAATATAGAAGAAGGAAAAAAACAAAATTTATCACGGAAGACAACAATACAACATACACATGCATGAACGATGTTGGGTGGGGATGTATGATAAGAGTCGTTCAAATGGTTCTAGCCAACATATTTGTAAAGTACAAAATATCTAAAAAATATGCTTTTTTTCACAATATAAATGATTATGTAATGTTTAAAAATTATATGAACAAGTCGTTAAATGAACAGTATGAGAATAAAGAAGAAGATCCAACTATTATTAAAGATGAGGTAAACAAAAGTACATCCAATGAAAATCGCAATGTAGAAAAAATGGTTACTCAAAATTGGACACATAAAAATTGCAGTAATGAGGATATGAAGGAGTCAAATTTTTTTATAACGAATATAAAATCTGGATTATCACACTGCTATGATAAAAATTCGACTATGAGCAATAATAGTAATTGCGTTCCTGCCAATAATTTTGAAATATACACAAGAACAAAAATGGAAAATACTAAGGAAGAGGAAACAATGAATGAAAGCCAATGCATGCATTTATACTCATCTGAAGGAATCCAGAAAATTCATTTTAAAAAAGAACAAAATTTATGTCACTATTTTAAGAATTATGAAAATTTCCTAAACATGAGTGAAGACAATATTCTCAGCATGAAGATCGACAAGGTTGAGCACATGAAAATCAACAATTCCTTAATATATTATGTGTTACTACAGTTTAGAGATATGGAAAATGCTAAATATAGTATCCAGAATATCATCTACGAAACAATGAAGTATAAAAAAATTAATAAAAAAAATATGGAAAACTTTCTTTATGAATGGTTAGGACCTACAAGCAGCGCAATAATAATATCTAATTTAATTAACAGAAAGAAGGTTCGTTTTTTGAAAAAAAGAAAAAATAAAATTCCTTTAAATCATAGAAAGTTTATAAAAGTGACTGATGAAATAATTAACAAAAATGATTCTGTCGAAAAGAAAAAAAATGAACAACCTGACAACACCGTTATAAATAACACAGATAGCTGGTTTGTGAAGAGAAAAAAAAGACATGCATTCTTTTCAGTAGCATTTGATTCTGGTATAATATACAACAATGAAGTTTTAAAATTTTTTCAGATTAAGCAGAAAATATTCGTAATAATATGGATATGTCTAAAACTAGGGACTGATTCTATTAACATATCGAAATATAAACAGTCTGTACTTTCCTGTTTTGGACTAAAACAATTTCAAGGAATAAGTAGTGGTAATGCACATACCAGTGCTTACTATTTTTATGCAGCAAATGAAAACGGTCTTTTTTACCTGGATCCTCATGTAAAATGTCAAAAGGCTTTCACAGATTTAAATCAAAATCACGATTTCGAGTTTTTCACTGAAAAAATAAACTTTTTACCATGGGAATATTTGAATTCATCCCTATCCATGATATATGTCGTTGAAGTAATGTCACATATCAATAATGTATCCAGCATACACCCATATGGCTGAATATATGTGTGAATGTGTTCTATCGTACAAATATGTACACACATACATACATACTTGTATGCGTAAATTTATGGACATAAAAAAAAAAAAAAAAAAAAAAAAAAAAACGTTAAAAATATGTCAACATAATAAAATGAACCTTCTTGAAATTCTGCATAGAAAACGAATTCTATCAATTCGTATCTTAGAGACGTTGAGTGATGCTTAACAAAATAGTGGGTTTCGTTTTGTATATTCCACAATGATTATTACGCAATATATGTAACACGCAACTGTTTTTTTTTTTTTTTTTTTTTTTTTTTTTTTTTTCTCTTCCTTTTTGTGACTTTAGTCTAAGGAGGACTATTTCAATTTAACCCACAATTTGAAACTAATTGATCCAAGCATATTTGAAGTTTATGATGAAGAACCACAATATACCTTCAGGAGTGGTAATTTTTAAAATAATGGGAAAGAAATTTTTACTTCATGAATGCAGGAACATTAATAATTTATCACACATGTACATACAACCACATTTGCATGTACTCGATATATTCCAATTGCCCTTCACAGAACTAAACTTTGACACAGATGATTCCGGATTGATTTTGCTTTAATGACCCATTTTTAGACCCTTGAAGAAAATATGGAATTTTTCTTTGTTTTCGCAACATACAACTGATAAATAGTAGTAAATAAAATAAGACAGCGAAACAATTGTGAAGGTTTAACTATGCAATTTTATGATTTTACGTTTTTTTTTTTCCACGCTACATATTTTTTCGTGTAAATTTTTTTGTTATTTTCTTTTTTGAACCCATCTGTGGCATCAATTACTTTTTTTGTTGTCTACCCATGTCTGCCTGTGCTAACACCACATACATATAGATTCGTTTATTATATCGTGCACTTTTCTTACATGTGTTTAGCTTCATTTGTCAGCCTGATTATAACTACATTTTTTTAATTTTTTTGGTCCAAATTTATTCATTAAATATCTATTTTAATAATTCACAAAAGAAGTTTTGTGAATATATAGGTCTTTACATAATTTACAATTTAGTGGTATAAACACACAAATACAATTTGAGCAGGATTTTTGCCTGCGAAAATGTTTACTCATTTCATGCGAACGTATTTATTTGTCAATGTAAAAATAAATCATGAATTTTTTCAGAATAAAAATGTGAACTCTTCGAGCAAGGGAAAAATTTCTCTCTTTAGCGGCGAAGCATATGGGTATTTACTTATTCGTTTATTTATTTGCATATTTTTTTGTTCGGTTAGTTGGTTGCAATTCATTTCGTCATGCATCATTTTGCCATGTATCATTTCTGTCACGCATCATTTTGTCGCGTTCACTTTATTTGACTTTTTCTGTGTGCGCGCATATTTGTTAAGAGTGCATTTAATTCGACTGTTCAACTTCTGTGCCAAAAGTTAACATGTGTTTTTTTTTTTTTTTTTTTTTTTTTGTTTTTTTTATAGACATGCAAAATGGAACAAAAAGGAAAATTAAAAGGACAACCAGTTAAGTGAACTTTTTTCATTCACGCGAAATGAACACTTGTATTTTCAATATTGTATGTACATTGCATTGCTATTGTTTAAATTGGCGCATTTTTTTTTTTTTTTTTAAACATTTAAAACATTTTAAACGTTCCAATTATTATAAACACACTATAAGCTTTTTAATCATTATGAATTCTTTAAACACACAAGGAAATCTTTTAACTTTTTTTGATGATTCCTTATTCTGATTGATTTTAAGAAATTTTGAATGTTTTCACCTGTGTAACAGAATTTATGATGACTCGATTACAATTCCAAAAAGTGGAATTTTACACATTTTTTTTTTTTTTTTTGTTTTCTACAAAATTATTTGTAGAATAATTTTAAAAAAAATATACTCCTAATGGTTTGAAGTATTTCAAGATGTAAACAAAGTATTAGGAAGAAAAAAAAAAAAAAAAAAAAAAAAAAGCCATAACGAATGTAAGACATAAGAACAAAAAACGGACAACGGTCTTAAAAAAATGGATGATCTGGAATTAGGAGCAATAGAAAACATTCATGATTACCTAAAGGTTCATCTACATAAATCTATTTGCAAGACTAAATCGATGGAAGAGCAAAATGACATAAACGATGTATCATTAATATACAATTCGCTAAAAAAGTATGTCTTAAGACTTACCAACATAAACAACTTTATTAAACAAGAAAACAATTTTTTAAGGAAAAAAAATGATGAATTAATTAAAAAGTGCAACGAAAGGGATATATCAAAAATTTTCCAAAATAAAAAAGGGACACATGGAATGTACCTGAATGAAATTCACAAATTGAGCAACGAAAATGAATTCATGAAATATAAACTTCAAAAATTGTTAAGAAATAATATTTCCTTAGAAAAAAATAATGTGGAATTGAACAATACATTACTACTAAATAGAGATAATTATGCTCTAAATGGAAATATAAAAAGTGAAAAAATAAAATTAAAATGTATGAACTTAAATGAAAGCCCCAATAAGTTTTTATTACACCAATATGGTGAACATGTTAAATTGGAATATAGAAATGAAAATGGCAATTTAACCCACCTGGTTGGTGTAAATTCCCATATGTTTGGAGAAAAAATAAATAGAATCCATAAGTGTGCAAAAATTTTAGAGGAAATCTTAAATATTCTTAATAGCAGTTTAAAATATGACGATCCAGTTATATTTCAAAAAAAGGTAGATACTATGAAAATAGAAAAGGAAGAACTTATAATGCAAAATGAGTTTTTAAAAGAAAAAATTTTACAGATAGAAACGTTTATTCTAAGTGATCCTTTTTTAGTAGAAAAATTTAATTTCTTTTACAACTCAAATAATATTAATTGTGATAAATCGATAAGAAATAATTCTAAATTATACAATAATAATAATATAAAAATGATATATCATAATTTATGCTCTTCAGAAAATAAAAATATAGACCTAAAACAGCAATTGTCATATGAAAAAGAAAGGTCACATATTTATAGAACATACATGTATGATATGAGAGATAAGTTAAAAAACAACTTAAAAGAATTATTCAGATTATATAATGAAGAAAATATAAACTTTCATAACATAGATCAATCTTACGATTCAATTGACTATTTTAAGAAAAAAGAAAATTTAAGTTATGCGAATAATTACCATCATGTTAATAATGACAAAAAGAACACAGAACATGTTTCAGAAAAAGATCATTGCAAATACAACTGCCATACGGACTTAAGTAATTCAGAATTTTATAGCATGTTTAAAGTGAATAGTGACAAAATTGATTATAACCAGAAAATGCTGAAACATGCATGGACACGGATTAAGGAACTAAACCAGGATACTGACAACCTCAATGTATGCTCAAAAATGTAAAAACGTAAATTTTCAATCTGTGCTCTTCTTCTATCTGCGTATATTTGTGTTGTGTAATACATTAATAAAATAAATAAAATAAAAAAAAGAAGGAAAGCATGATAACAATATTTTCTTTTTTTCATGAATCTTTCATAAATCCCTTCATTCCTTGGACATGTGCGTGCAAATCGTGATTTCTTTATCAGTTTTATTAATATCACCTGTCTGTGTGCTGTAAAAACGTGAATATATGTGTTACATTACAGCATGCATTTTTCACAGGAAGAATCAAATTTTAATGTATTATTATGTACATCCTTCTATCTCGCTTATACTATATCCGCTTGAATATGTGGCTGTTGAAAATTGCCAAAAATATATATTTATATTTTATATAAACCTTTTTCTTACCTAATTATATAATTAATTTAATGTTTCAATTTAATGTTTCATATGCAATAATAGCAGTGTAAAACCTTTCCTTTCTTTTTTCTTTTTTTTTTTTCCATTTGTTCTGTCGTTATGTATTTTTCTTCTGATTAGTTTTTCCTGCCCATTTAATTTTACGATTTTTATATACCCGTTGTACAATGGGGGAGAATTGATCTACATTGTCATTTTTTTATAATTGGACAAATATGAGTCTTGAAATGGAGAAATGCATGCACAGACACGTGGATATGTGTACGTAAATATGCATTCATAAATGTGTATTTGTGAACATGTCTTCAAATATATATGGGGTTATATAAGCAAACATATATGGACATGACTCACATAGTTACTAATTAATCAAATTAAAAATATTCAAGTTTGATTAAATGAAAGTGAAAGTGTCTATATTAATTTAGTTCGCTTTTTTTTTTTTTTTTTTTTTCTCATGTAAAACATGATGCTAATTAGGCACACATTTTTGTATTCTTCTAGATTTTCCTTTTATATCAAACATAATTTGCTGTGGCATTTATATCTTAATTATACTAATTAAGAAAAAAATTTTTGTAGAAAAAAGCATACTTGTGGCATCTTAAAATGTTATGTAACTGCTCAAGGAGATTGAGACATTTTTTTTTTGTTTTTTCTTCCCCCACCCCTTTTCCTTCTTGCTAAAGATAAATATCTGTATATGCGCAAATCAGCTGTTTGTTTGTTATTGAACAAATGGTAATATACATCCTACGAAATGGTGTGTATGTATGTGTGTGATCGTATTAATAAAAAACCATTTCATGGGAAATGTTCTACAGAAGCGTACTTATATACAGTACACATTTTGGGCACTTTTTGTTTTTTTTCATTATGTTTTTTTTTTTTTTTTTTTTTTTTTTTTCCGTCCGTTGACCCCTTTATTAGAGTAAAATGGGATTCATATTATTTCTTTTTTTGAGGTGTCAACATAATATATATAAATGTTGATACAATAACTTCACGCACGTGAATAGATTTATATAGATAAGCATAAACGTGTTTTTGCAAATTCATGAATGTGTGGCATGGTTTCTACCCATGAGAAACTATTTTATGATTAATGGACTACAGGAGTTTGTTCCATCCCTCAGACTCCAATTCTTCGTGACCATTTTTTGATGACATGTTTTTCCCTTTTATATTTTTACTTCATTTTATTCAATCATTTATTCATTCATGTATTCATTTTTTTATTCATTTTTTATTACCTTTTTTTTTTTTTAATTAGAAAAGGAAAAGTGAAAACTCCTTCAAACGACGAGGACACAACGCTATTCTGGATCACATTGAAGAATGTATGAAAGATGAAGTATACTACTTTGAAATAAAAGAATTAATCAGGCGAAGAAAAAAAGAATTGGACGAAATTTTAAAATCAAACATAAATCCACTGGATTATCCAAAAAAGGACAATAACAAATTAGAAGATGTTTTGCTCATAAGCCCAATGAAAGACAAGGAAATGTTACGTGAGAGGTTAAGAAACCATGACCAGAAATTACGTATGAATAATCTTCAAGTTGATAAACATAATGACATATTTAGACATTACATTAATCGTAAAATTATTTCTCAATATATAAAATATAAACACATTTATGATTTTTATGTACAAAATAAGGGTGTATGGAAAAATAAGATAAGCAAAGAGAAATTTATGAATTTTTTTAAAAAGCACATTTTGAATTTTAAAAATGATAATACTTCACGTTATAATCAGAAAAATATTCCTTATGAAAATCAAAATAGACCCTCTAATTTTCATTATAATAGAAAAGTTCTGAATTCCATTCAGGTAAATGAAACAAGGGAAAGTGCATACATGCAGGTGGGTAATGATGAATATCATGATGTTACATTAGACGATCCTGCTAAATGTGTGAACCGTCATTCTGATGATGGTACCTTTAGTAGAGTTATTCAGAAGGAAAAACGAACAGAAAGGAGGAAGGAAGGAAAGAGATGCAAGAAAAAAAAAAACTATGCACAAGAGGAAGGAAAGGGAAATAGAAGAGGAGCGGAGAAAAGAAATAGAAGAGGAGCGGAGAAAAGAAATAGAAGAGGAGCGGAGAAAAGAAATAGAAGAGGAGCGAAGAAAAGAAATAGAAGAGAAGAGGAGAAAAGAAATAGAAGCAGAGAAAAGAAAGGAAATAGAAGCAGAGAGACGAAAAGAAATAGAAGCAGAAAGACAAAAAGAAATAGAAGCGGAGAGGCGAAAAGAAATAGAAGAGGAGCGAAGAAAAGAAATAGAAGAGAAGAGGAGAAAAGAAATAGAAGCAGAGAAAAGAAAGGAAATAGAAGCAGAGAGACGAAAAGAAATAGAAGCAGAGAGACGAAAAGAAATAGAAGCAGAGAGACGAAAAGAAATAGAAGCAGAAAGACAAAAGAAATAGAAGCGGAGAGGCGAAAAGAAATAGAAGAGGAGCGAAGAAAAGAAATAGAAGAGAAGAGGAGAAAAGAAATAGAAGCAGAGAGACGAAAGGAAATAGAAGCAGAGAGACGAAAAGAAATAGAAGCAGAGAGACGAAAAGAAATAGAAGCAGAGAGACGAAAAGAAATAGAAGCAGAGAGACGAAAAGAAATAGAAGCAGAAAGACAAAAAGAAATAGAAGCGGAGAGGCGAAAAGAAATAAAATCAAAGGAGAAACAAAGTAAAGGAAATACCAAAGTAAACTTGTCCTCTAGTAATAAGGACTTAACCTATGAACATTCCAGGAGGAGTATCTACAAAGACGAGAATGAAAAACAGTATGAACATGAATCTTGTGATGAGGACGAAATTAACAGTGTAAGGAAAGAAAGTTTTAAGGAACATCAAGAAAATTCAGAAAATTTCTACGTTCGAGCAGAGTATCCAAGGAGACATGACTCTTCACTAGAAATGTTAAGAAATACTATTGAAAATATTAACAAAAAAAAAATAGGGAAAACTATAAGTAGTGATGATAAAAAAGGCCATTTGTCTCTCCCTAATTCAGAAGATATTAAAAACATGCCATTCAATGAAGTAAGTCAAAGTAGCTTTATTACTATGTCTTCTCAAAATAATAAGGACATATCGAATTTATTAGAAAAAAAAGACAGTAACCAAAATAGTATAAAACCCATAAGATTAAGTAAGGAATTTGGAGAACACACCGAAAACGAAATTAAAGAAAGTGAAATGAATGCAAATCAAAATGAAAAATTTAGTTCAGACGAAATCGAGTTAGATATAGACAAAGTACCTAACAAGGAAAATGTGAAGAAAAGAACAAATTTTAATTTATTAAGTGATCATAAAAAGGAAGAATATATTGAAGAAGGAAGTAGTGTACATAGTCCCTATGAAAGTATAGAAAAGCAAACGAATCCAAGTGGAAGTGAAAAAATATTGCACAGGGGGAATGTCAATCAGAATTGGAGTGAAATCCGTTTAGGTGCCGAAATGGTTGTTACAGAACGGCGAAATGTTAGAAACAAGACCATGGTAGGGTCCTCAGAAACTGTATACAAAATTAGAAGTAGGAATGCGATGAAGTCTATGAAGATGCCAGAATTTGCACACGTGGATGGGAATGTACAAATGAAAGATGATAATAACGAATCAGTGGAGGAAATGAACCCAAATGAACAAATGAAGGATGTGAACCCAAATGAACAAATGAAGAATGTGAACACAAATGAACAAGTGAAGGAAGTGAACCCAAATGAACAAGTGAAGGATGATGGCAGAGGTACAAGTCATAACCCTGATTTGATAAATAATCATGCAATTCACGGAACTAAAAAGAGGGAGAAACTACTCTCCAAGAATTACAACGATGGCAATTTCTTCGAATCGGAGGATGAGTACGATGAACAGGATTTTTTTGATAATAACAAATATGCTAATGTGAAAATTCAGGAATTCAGACAAATACTTGACGAGTACGATAAGAATGTATATGCGTTTTTTATGAACCTAATTTTATATAGTAAGATTAATTTAATAAAATCATACAAAAATAAGGTTTTTAATGTACATATAGAGGCAAAAGATATATTGCAGTACCTTTTGAGCAACTACTTAGAACATGATAAGTGTAAATCTAAAGAAGAAGGGGAAGATGATAATTCTTACATCAATAATCAACGTTTGACAGAAGTGGAATATAAACATATTAATGAATATATATGCAATAATAGCAATACATCTTCACTAAAAATATTATATCATAAAATTAACTTTATAAATAATGAAAGTTATGAAAGTTTTAAAAATAGGTTGTTAGAAGGTGGAGCAATAAACCTAATTAATCTTTTTCATGATGAAGATATAAATGATTTTGATAAAATTTTTGATGTTTCTTTTGTTAATTTCTGTGACATAGTAGGAATATCAAAAGACTCATGCATATATCATTTTAAACTTATGGACAAAAATTATAAAGGGAAAAGATATATTTATTTAAAGCATATACTTCAATACCTGGATGTGGAAAAGACCATGAAAGAGGAATTTCATAAGTACAATTTTTTCCCCATGCATAAGAAGAATTTAATTTATATCCACATCAGCGAATCTTTTGACAATTTAAATGAATTTTTTAAATATGTGAATAAGAAAAATAAGTTATATATAAGTTTGAATGAGTTTATTTATTTTTTTTCACAAAATGAAAAAATGGAAAAATACAATTACTCAAAGGAGGAGATAACTTGTCTTTATTATTCCATACTTTTTTATGTATATTATACGAATAAAAACAAAATATTACAAACATTGCAGTTTTTTAATGATGAAGCAGGAGAAAAAGTAAATGTTCAAGACAAAGATCAAATTCTGGAAAATGCAATCGACAGGAACGAACAAATTAGTACTCACCCTACTGAGGGTCTAAACCGATTAGTAAATGAATCTAACAACGGAAAATTAACACCAAATGATGGTCATAATTATAGTAACTATAATTTATCTCTGTATAAGGAATATTTTTCCTTAGATGATTTCAAGTTTGCTATTGAATTGAAGGATCTTTATTTTTATTTTGAAGGATTTGAGTGCCCATTTTCAAAAATCAAAAGGAGAATTGTGGAAATATATGGATCTGTGAAAAAAGGAATTTTAATTAATCAGGAAATTTGTAAAAGGGAAACAAATACCAATGAAACTAATAGCTCCGAAAGTGATAAGGATATGATGGATCTGAATTTAGATGTCCAGATAGACTCATTTCATTTGTTCACAAAGCATAAGTACAGATATATGCACTCTGATAGGGTTTTTTTCTGTGAACGACAAGGGTCTTCTGAAAATATGGATCAAATGGAAAAAATGGAAAAAATTGGAAGTGTGACAAAAAGGACCTTCATGAGTCTAATGTATAATATTGGAATACATATAGATCATTGCTTAACTCTTTGGGATGGTTTCTCCCCGTTCTTAGAATGTGATGTGTTAGATTACAAGATATTTTCTGGATTTTTAAACGGGAAAATAAACATATCTAATGAAGAAACGGAGGAAAGTATAAAGAATATTAAAAATATGCTTATGAATACACATGAAGAGAAAGAAAAGGATTCTATTTGTCATCATAAGAGCAGATTAGTAGGAACCATATGTTCTGGTTTGTTAAAAAATTTGAATGAAAAAGATTACTCAACACAAGTATTAACCGTTGACGAAATAGAAGTAGTAGCACAAGTTCTTAACAATGTCATACCATTCAACTTTTTAGATAAAAAGGAAAAAAAAAATTTCATACAACAGTTGAAAAAAAAATGTTTTAAAAAAGGTCATAATTTTGCATCATTAGGAGAGAATGTTTTTAAAAATAAAACAGAAATAACTCAAAATGAATCATTACCACAGATGGAATATCAGAACAACAATGTTGTTATTCTGTTGAATGGAATTTTAAAACATAGCACAAACTCTAGTTCATTTATAAACAGTATAAACGTAATTGATAGAGATAATATTTGTTTCTACACAGCTCATACAAATGTTGCTGTGATAGAAATAGAGAAAGAGCTGTATACCACTGATTTTGTAAACTTAGTAGAGAAAAAAAGAGAAGTATCTAAAGAATTTCTAAATATTATTGACAAAATCCCAATATTTAAAAATTTTCCACATTCTTTAAAAAATAGTTTATCTGTGAACATTCAGAAATGTGAATATGAAAAAAAAAAAGTTATAATAAGACAACATGATGACCCTAGTAATTTTTACATATTGAAAGAAGGGGAAATACATTTCTATTGTAATAATGAGAAAACACCAATAAGTGTCATCTCTAATTGTTCCTTTTTTGGAGAAATAGCTCTCATTTTCAACACACTTAGAACCTGTGATGTGGTGGTAGAATCAGATGTAGCTCATTGCTATTGTATTTCGAGGGAATATTTTCTGTCCTTATTAAATAAACAAGTTGTTCAAGAATTTGTAGAATACTTTCGTAACTATAAGCACGGTGTTCAACATATAATAAAAAATTATGAAAATAGTAATCCAAATTTTCACTCAATCTGTCAAGAGGGGGAATTTCATAAGTTAAATGAGAAAAATTTCAATGATGCAGATATAAAAAGTTGGAATGATAAGGAAAAGAATGGTACTTCGAATTTCTCACATTCGGTTGAACTTAATAGCTCGAGAAGCGATTTGCAAAATGGATTACGAAATAGTTGGAGAAATTCTCTAAATAATCAGGGGAAAATGGGAAATAAGGAAAAAGAATTGCATTCTGAAGGTATCACAAATAAAGAATCCTCAATTAGCAGCTTAAACAGAGAAATTTCTCGATCAGTCCTATCAGGTGATAATGTCACTGTAGATGTAGAATACATCAATCAACATAATATTAGCTCATTTTATAGTGACTTAGATAAAGTTCTTCTAAAATTTTTCAACACAGAACAGAAATATTTTGTAGAAGAAATGGAATCACATTTAATGAATGTTAAAGTTTTAAAAGACATATTAGAAAATATGAATGATAAGGAGAACTTTTTGAAACATTTAAAATGTGAAAAATACCCAAGAGGTAAAAATGTCATATTGGAAGGAGATTTTTTTGAAAAGTTTTATTTTGTTAAAGAAGGGGAAATATCAATACAACAATTTAATCAGTATAAAAATATGTATGAACAAATATATATTTTAAAAAAAAATCATTATTTTGGTCACCAGTTAATTTTAAGTAAGACAAAATCTGACTTTATTGCTGTAGCGACAGTAGACACAGAACTATTTACCTTAGAGGCATCTCTATATGAACAATATCTTTCTCCTTTTATTGATAAACTTAATAGATTAAACGATATTAAACATAGTGATGTGCTAACCGAATGTATAAATCATCATGTCGAGAAAAATAAAAAGGATGAAGATTTTATAATTAAAGTTATAAATATTTTAAAAAAGGTAAGCATAATTCAAAAATTAAATGATGATGAAATGTATAAAGCTGCTAAAAATTTCAATTTTAAATTTTTTAAAAAAGGAAAAGTTATAATAAAATACAATGACACTCCTGACCATTTCTATATAATTAAAAAAGGAATAGTTTCTGTTAAAATGGACGATAAAGAGACTACAGACACTGTAGCAAATATGAACAAGTTGCAAAGTAGTGATAATGATACAAATAAAATTATGCATCAAAAAAGTTTTAGCGCAAAATCCGTGTATCTACACAAGTATGACTATTTTGGAGAATTATCAATCATAAATAATCAGCTAAGAACTGCCATTTGTATGGCTGAGACAAATTGCTTCTTACTAACTATAGACAAATTTTCTTTTATCAACAATTTTGGAACATTATTTAATGACTTGTTACAAGAAGCTGATATAAGATACACTCGAAATTATTCTCTACCTCCATGGTTAAAATCTATGTATGGAAATAACGAATTTAACAATGATATGCATTCTGTATCTATAAAGATACCAGACTTGGGGAGTTCCATTAGCAGCATTTCGGATGATAGTAATGAGATGTTCAGCTTTGAAAAGGAAATAAATAAGCAGCTCAAAAAAGAGAAGAAGGAGAAGAAAAAAAAGGAGAAGAAAAAAAAAGGGAAAAAGGATAAAACAAATCATTCAGAGGAGACCAACACAAGTACAAACAGTATCGACAGAACAGATAATGTTGATAGTAACGAGAACGAAATTGATCGCTTGAAGTCTAGGTGTGTCTCCATTGAACGAAGCTTAACAGTTGTAAACAATGAAGAGAGGATAAAAAAGATTAAAGAAGAAAAGGAAAAAAAACTTAATGAAATTAAACTGAACGAAATGAAGATATTCGAAAAGATAAAACTTAAGGAAGAAAAAAAAATGAAAGCTTTTATGAAAAAAAAAGGGGCTTATCTTCCAGATAAAAGTTCTAAAAATAATTCAAGACCTAGTCATACACAAGTTGATAGTAACATAATCGATCAAAACAAGAATATAACAACTCTGGATAGCAACAATACAAATAATACATCAATGTCAGATAAAGACAAATGCAGTAGCAGAAAAGTAGGTGATGCTCCTCCGAAGGACACAGCAGGGGAAGGGAATGAAATAGATAATATAAAGGAAGAAAATAGAGAGCAACATTTAAAAAATAAAACAAACGAGGTGAAGGAGAAATACAAAAATTCTGTTCAACAAAAATCATCCAGCATTTTAAAAAAAAAGATAAATCCATCAAATTCTTCCGAATTGAATATAGACAAATTGGTAAAAAATTTAATCGGGTTCATATGTTCAGAATATAACTCAATTTTTCATTTTTACGAATGCATAGATAAATTTAATATTGGATATATAAAATATAATGATTTTTTAAATTTTATGATTTGTCAAAATATGGAAGAGCTATTTGAAGGTACGGAGAATTTAGAAAATTTATTTAAATACCTTTGTGATGGCAAAAATATTTTAACGTTAATAGATTTTTATAAAAATGTATACAGAGATAAACAAATTGATAAATATGAACTGAATTTACGTTTATCCGAAGTGTATGGTAGTAGTATGTTAGCATTTAAGAAAATCATCTCTCAGTTCAATACACAAGAAGATAGCCTTTGTAATTATGAGAATTTTCAAATAGTGTGTGAAAAAGTAGGGTTGAGTAAAATGAATATAGAAAATATATGGAAAGAAATAAACATAATGAATGAAGAAAACATACCTCTAGAAATTATAATTTGTATTCTGAATGGAGAATTATTTATTGAACAATCATACACAGCATATAATGAGAAAAAATCATTTTTAAATCAAGTTGTTAATTTCTTCCAAGGAAATGATGAAGGTCTTACAAAAATGAATACAGAACTTATAGAAACAAATTTTCAGATAAATTATGAAGACCCAATTATAATTAACAAATGTCATCATAAATCTTGTTCTAATGAATGTGCAGAAATGGTTAAATTATTGGAAACAGATGTATATTTTAAATTCTTAACATTATATCAAAGACACTTCTTTGCAACATTAATGAACCGAAAAATTATGAACAATGGGGATATCTTAATTAAACAAAGTGATGTGGATTCACCTATTATATACTTATATCAAGGAAAAGCAAATTTAATTAGCTACAACATTTTTGGAATAGAAACTATAACAAGAGAAATTGAAAATAAGGAAATTTATGGTTGTTATGAAGTTATTAATGAAATACCAGCAGATTATGAGGTAAAAATATCTTCTGATAATGCCATAGCTTGGATTTTAGATAGATCATCTTATATCGAACATTTAAAACCAATGCTAAACGAAAGGAAACAAAACTGTGTACATATTTTGTCCATACTTAAAAATACACCCATATTAAGATACATGCCTGAAGAAGTACTTGACAATATTTCTTATGCAATGAAAGTGGAATTTCATGAACCAAATCATACAATTATACAAGAAAACACATATTATGATAAATATTATATTATATGTAAAGGTCTTGCAACAGTTGAAAAAAATTCCGAAATTAATAAAAATAAACTTATTTTGTGCACTCTCAGAAAAGGAGATTACTTTGGAGAAATGGCCATAATAAAAAATGAAAAAAGATCAGCCAATGTTATTTTAGATACACAAGCTGTATTATTATCACTTGTTGATACAGAATTTCATAGATTGCTAACTCCATATTTCGATCAATTTCTAAATAGAGCCAAAGCCAATTATAAAAAAATCAAAATAAACAACGAACCACTCCCCACGGAAATCGCTAGAATTAGCAGTAAAACGAATGTTGCTAATATCGCCTCGCTTAGAAGTTCACAGAAAAAGGTAACTATACAAGAACTGGACGAGAAAAATAAATTCAACACGGGATGCAGTGCATAAAAAAAAAACAATGAAATATGTTTTTCCCACGTGGAAGAGAAGCAACCGGAAGAAGTACCACTCACGGGAAGTAATTATAGACATCCAGAGGGTGACGAAAAGGAAAGAAATAATAAAAACATTGATGAGGAAAATGTTCAAGAGAAGAATATGTAAAAGAAGACGCAGAAACTATGATAAACAAATTGGAAAGAGATTATGATAAAAAGGAAAAAATTACTGAGAAGAAGAATGAAAAAATTAAACACAAACAAAATGGTGCAAAAAGGGGGAATCATAAAATGCAGGGATAGCATAAAAAAAAAAAAAAAAAAGGAGATGAAGAAAATAAAATTAGAAACTTGGGCATATGTTACCCCTTTCATTTAGCATGAACAACTTGGTATAAAGTTCGTACGACGAAGCATAAAAAATATTTTTAACTTTGAAGACTTATTTAAATGTAGACTTTAAGCATACTCCATGTACCTCTCATTAGTAAACCTCTTTTTATACAACTTCTGAGAAGCGTTAAAACTTTATAAAAACGTGTAATGAAAAGATATTTTACTCCCTATTGTCATTCGAGAAAAAATAGAGAAGCGATAGGTCAGTTAAATATGTTTTTTCCTATTTCGTCCTTTTGACATGTTCATACGTGTATATAAGGTATAAGTATAAATGTGTATATATATATATGCATGTATATGAGTGCATATCCATGAATTTTTTTTCGATATCTCTAAAGCTTCATCGGATCTTTCCATTCCAGCATCATAATACAACACATAATTTGTTTTTAAATTTTATCGCACAACCTTTTTTTATTTGAAGCCTTTTTTTTAAAGGTATCATAATTTTTAACACTATTTTTTCGTTTTCCCCTCGAACTAGGAACTTTGTGTAATTTTTTTTAGAATTTTTTAAAAATTTTTTAAGTACTAAATTTTATGGGCTTCTTAAAAATACGCGGTGCTACAAAAACGAAACTGTGGTATCAATGCAATGATGCAATAAAATCCTTTTTCCCTACACATGCATGTATGGAAAAACAAAAAAAAAAAAAAAAGAAGATATAATCATAAAAATTATGATTCTTCAGCTATTAGTAACTAGGTGTTTCATTGATGTCGACTAAAATTTTTTTTTTTTTTTTCCGTATATCCCCTTTCTCAACATTTATCATGCATACATTTCACATGTATAAACACATATGATTGGCTAAAAAATATTTTTCTCTCGAAATGGTTTTACGTTGTTAACTTAAAAATGATCAATCTCTTCTTTTGACTTTTTTGACAACTCCCACTGTGAGAAGTTAAAGATATAGATGGTTTAAAAAAAAAAAAAAATAAGTGCTGTTTTATGGATTATTTTCAACATTAAGAATTCAAATTTTTTAAATTTTTAAAAGGAGCATTTTTTTTTTTTCTGTTTTTGTGTGTGTCTTAAAGATTATACAAAATGTAGTAGTAGTATTATTTGGAAGAAAAAAGCAAAATAACACACCATATTTTATATCACACTCTTAGAAGCACCCATCAGTTATGCTATTTTATAAATATACTAATATGTACACATAAAAAATTATCTTAAAATTTGTGCATTCAATATATATACATATGGGGTATTTAAAAAAAAAAAATTTAAAACGATTGATCACGGTTGTTTTATATTAAAAAAATAGCTCCAAACACATACACAAAAGTGCAACGCCAAAATGAATGTGTAAAAATGGCCTACAGTTCTGTAGAACATAAATGCATATACAAATGTGTATACCTACAAAAGGCTACAAATTTTTTAATAAAATTAGTGTTATAAAATATATATTTAATTTTTTTTTCTTTTCTTTTTCACCACTCCTGATTCTGATTGCTGATCAGCATTGTTTCCATTTCCCCCCACGAGCTCATTATCCTTTTTTTTTATATTTTCATTGTTGGTTAAATTAAAAGTAGAGTTCGTTCCATCGGGGTTCATTTTTTCTTGCGATGTATCTTTTGCATTATTATCTTTTATACTACTGTTACAGTTATTACTATTATTATTATTCGTAGTGATATCTGAATCGAGTGTGTAATTAGAGGAGTTACCAATCAATTTGGGTGTGTATCCTTCACTTTTGATCCAACTTAGTGGGGTTTTTTCATTTGGTTTTCCATACTTATCTAAGAGTCCTGCAAGTATCAATTTTTTTTTTTCCATGGATCTGTTTCCAAATCCCCATTTCACATCATATGTATCTCTATCCATTATAACTCTTTTGGTTAATGAGACGATTCCATGATCAACTGTGGCAATAACAGTTGAGGTCATTTGAGCAATAGCTAATGCAACTGCTTCACCTTTTGTCGTCATTAAAACAATTTCCGAATTTATATCAATGTTATTGTCAAATCTCAAGACTCCTGGTATGGTCAATTTAGCACCATAACAAATAGCATTTACTGCACTATCTTTTATAACAATTCGTGGAAAATTGATGAGAAGTTTTTCTAACGGTGTTATAATTTTTCTTAGATATGTTTCATCACCTGTTGTATCATAAATATACTGAGCATCCAGAATGTCATGTAATGTACACATATTGTCATATTCAGTCATGTTCCCTGATTTTACTCTTCTCAATTCTTGCATATGTGCACCTACCCCTAGAAGTAATCCTATATGTTCGCACAAAGTTCTTATATATGTTCCTGCTTGACATTTCACCCAAAATACACATATGTTATTAGCATCATCATAATCTAATAATTTGGAATCATATATTGTTCTAACTCTTAATTGTCTTTTAACTGCACATATTAATGGAGGTCTTTGAAATATAGCCCCTTGAAAATTATTTAATACTATTTTTACTTCTTCTAAACTTTTAGGTTTTGAATGAAGTTTACAAACACAAACATATTCCTTTCCCGATTCTTGTTGAGATTTCACCAACCTAGTTGCTCTATTTAAACATACTAATAACACACCTGTCACCTTTGGATCTAATGTACCACTATGTCCTGTTTTTTCACATCTTAAAATTTTTCTTATCCAGGATACGACTTCATGAGATGATGGGTTACTCGGTTTATCTAAATTGATAATTCCATATTTTAAATATTCTTCCAAATTTCGTGAATAAGGAGAATTACCCATTGGTAGGGGTGTAAAATGAGACGTTCGGATATTTAATTTATCATAATTTTTCAATAATAATGGCCAATTCGATGCATCTATAAGAGCTTCTTTTTTCTCCGGTTCTATTTTATAATCCACTTTTCCTGCTACTTCTCCCATTTTCTCTTATTTATTTTTTTTTTTTTTTTGAGATCTCGGAGAATTTTTAAAGCGCCCGTCTTTATCTCCTCCTTATGTATTTGTGAGAATGTTGCATACATAAGAATGTACTGTAGATAAGTGCTTGTGGTTATATGATGGGGACTGGGTAGTCTTACGGTGGTGATCAGGCATTAGCATGTATATATATATATATATATATATACATATGTATTGGTACAAAATATATGTAATTGGCTGACAATTTCGCAGACTTTAATGTAAAAATTCCCTTATCATTGTATCATCCAAAATTAAATAAGAGGGGTTGTGGAGAGAATACACAACACCTGATTTGCAAAATGTGTTTGTTTTATTTTTCTATTTTTTTCCACATGCCAGTTTTTAAGCGTTACTACTGGGTTAATTTCCCTTATACTATTATTTAAAGGTAGTTTTGGTTTTTTAATGATATTTTTTTTTCTGGTTTTTTTTTTTTTTTTTTTTTTGTGTGTTAACGAAATGATTCTTCAACTGATAGAAGGGATTACGTTCTTTTTATTTTATTTTATTTTATTTTTTCTGTTCAATAATTCATAAGCTATAATTTACAAAATGGTTCTTTTTTCGTTTCCTTTTTTTTTCCATGACATATTTGTACAACATGTTTTGTTTGTTCATTAACTTATGGAAATGAGAAATATTTGAGTAGTAACATATAAAATTTATTAATTTTTTTTTTTTGAAGTTTCTATAATGTTCAGGCAGTGTTACTTACAAATTTAATTTTATTTTTTTCAAATTTTAAAAAAAAAAAAATATATGAGCACGACTTATTATTTTTTTTTTTTTTTTTTGTAGCAATAATATAATGTAGCATCATTATTATACTAGCACAAATTTGAGAATCATGTTGAGGGACAAATTTCACTTTTTCTATTTTAATTCGTCATGTTATAATACATATTTATATACATATATATGTGTTGTTGAAAAAATAAAATTTAGCATACTTAGGTAGTACGAGAAGCTAAACCATTTCATTTTTGTGTATAAAATCTACAACACCATTGGCATAGGTGCGTAAAGCCTGATTTTGTCAATAGCATGAATGAATTATCATAATATAAATTTTTTTTATAAGAGATAACAAAATACAGCTTGCACATATATATATATATATATGTACTTAGCTACTCTTGGGTTACATGAGGCCCTCATTAATTGTTCCATTTTCGTAAATGTATTTAAAAAATAAAATAATGCCCCAAGGATAAAAACCCACCACGTTTTTTTGCATGTTGTAATATAGAATAGGGTAACGCACACACATACGGTTTGCGAAAAAAAGTGTATTCCCTCTTTCCTTTAACTTTTTACACATTTTTATATACTCGAATACATGTTCAATCGTAAGTAGGCATATATGTGTATACATATAATTTATGCGCAAAGACGTGTAACATATCTCCTACATTGTGCTTTTTTTTTTTTTTTTTTCATACCATATAAATTTATTCATTTTTCATTTATAAAGATTTAAAAAAAAATGTAGACAACGAATCGTTTTGTCAACAAAATTGTTTATTTAAAAAACAAAAAAAAAAAAAAAAAAAAAATAAATAAATAAATAAGTAAAATAAAATAAAATAAAATAAACAGGATAAAGATTAATAATAGGTGAAGTAAAAAATAATATAAATTAAAAAACTATATATTTTAAATATTAGCAAAATCAGAAAAAAGCGGCAAGTAAAAAAAGGAAAAAGGAAAATGAGATGATGAAAAAAAAAAAAAAAAACTCTTGTGTGGTTTCATAAATACATCCTTATATAAATATGCTTAACATGCATATGATAAAATATATGCAACTCTGTGTTGCTTCCATATCCAAATGGGTCAAGAATTCATAAGTTCATATCATATATATACAGATAGATGCAAAAAAAAAGGACAAAGGATTATGTAAATTCATATTAAAAAAAAATGTACAAGACGTTTAAAAATTCTACATAGAGCAAATAATTTTTCTGCACATCTAATTTTTTTTTTTTTGTTTTTTCTCTTAAATAATATTCAAACAAAATTTAAAGATTATATATTATATTAAAAAAAATTAAAAAAAAAAAGTATAACGCATGTCTCTTCTTTTATTGCTCAGAATTTAAAAAATTTTGAAATAAAAAATATATATATATATATTTCTGCCTAGTTTAATTTGGAGCCCCATGTTTGTTCTGTTGTAATACATAACCATGTTGGGATATTAGATTAGTAACTTGTTGAGGCAGTGAACAGAGGTGTAAAGAACACAATTAAAATTCGAAGTTACATAGCACGTGTATGTACATACACATATACACGTATAAATCGTTAAGGTGCCCCTTTACAATATACAAACGATATTTTCCCGATACAATGTCTGATCTTGGCCAGAGTCAACACCTATTAGTCATCTAATATAGGATGCATAAACATGCGATTATCTTGATAAATCCATTAACTATGTGTAGGCATAAATACTTAACATATATATGTATACATATCCGCTCGAATTTGTGTATATAGAACATTATAAATATAAGGAGTTCACAATCCTTTATACATAGATATACATACCACTTTAAATCCTGAATTTTGTTTTACTGTTGTTGCTGGTTATTGTTCATTTTATTTTTATTATGATAATTCAGCTTATACGGAGAATTGGGAGAAATATAAGGAAACAAATTGTTCGATAGAATATGTGGAGATATACTGTTGTTACATATATCTCTCGATTGGGATGGATTTAATAAAATATTATTGTCATTTATATTTTTATTGTCATGGATTCTCATATCTTTTACATCAATTTTGTTAGGAGGTATAGAATGCTGAAATGAATCGTAATTATAAAAGTTTTCTGAGTTACTTAGATTATTTGAATTATTAGACATTTTTCTATTTATAATATATAGTGCACTTTCGTTCAAATTACCACCCATGTTGCCACCCATACTGCTTCCCATATTACTGTTTATGCTTGGGCTTACATTAGTCCCTATATTGTTACTCAAATTTTCCTTCAAAACAGGTTCATCGTTGCTATTTATTTGTTTTAAAGTGTGCATGTTCGGTACGTGGGAATTTAGAGGTATGCTAATTTGCATACTATGCTTTTGTTTTTTTTCATTTTCTTCACTTAACAAAATATTTTGTTTTATATTATACAGGTGCTGCAATTTTTGTTGTGATATGGGAATTTTTTGTTGCAATTGTTCCATATGTTTCTTCAACTCCTGTTGCTGATACTGAAGTTTCTGCATTTGAATTTGCTGCAACTGTTGATTGTGCATTTGGTGCGGATGCATCTGTTGTGTGTGTAGCTGTTGTGCTTTCAAGGGTGACGATGATTGCTGAGAGTGCACCTGTTGCTGTATCTGATGTACCTGGAACTGCTGCTGAGAATGCAACTGCTGAAGCTGTTTTTGTATTTGCTCTTGCTGAAAATTTTGAAGTAGTTTTTGCTGTCTAATTTTATCACTTTGCATTAAACTGTCAGTTGGGCACTGGCTAGGTGTTTCCTGAAATGCTGATTGTGGGGTATTTGAATGATTATCTTTGTCATTATATACCTTCTGGAACAATTCTTGTTGCATTTTTTGTTGTTGTAATTTCTGCTGCAATAGTTCCTGTTGCTGTTGCAATAATTTCTGTTGAATCATATCTTGTGATGAGAACATATTTTTTTGCGACATTTTGTGTATTATATTTTTTGACAGGTTACTCTTTACACCCATATTTACCATATTTGGGTTGTTTATATTATTATCGCTAAATACTTGTTTGGCGTTCTTTCCTTTTATACTTGGGGAATCATATGGAGGCAAATTCATGTTCTTATTTCCATTTTGCGTAGTATTGTTGCTTGGGTGACAAAAAATTGGTGCCGTTAAATTCTGTTGGTTAATGTTGGATTGGCTCATAATAGGGTGACTCATGCTCGGTTGACTCATGCTCGGTTGACTCATGTTGGGCTGACTCATGTTGGGCTGACTCATGTTGGGCTGACTCATGCTGGGCTGAATCAAGCTCGGTTGACAAAAACTTGGCTGGTTAACACTTTGGCAACTCATATTTGGCATGTTCATAATGGGTTTGCTTGACCCGGGTTTTTCTAATGTTGTCTTCCCCGTTTCTGGGCGATTCACGTTTGATGGAATGTGGCTTTTGGAATTTGCATTTAACTGATTCAATACTTGAAGAATGAAATTCATCTGGTTTACGTACGAATTAACGCTCCCTCCAGTTTTTCTATTTTGCAAATTTCCGTTATTATGTTTCATATTTGGACTGTTCATTTTGTTCAGATTCAAATTTTGCTGATTTAGGGGTTGCTGACTCAGCCCTTGTACATTCGCTCCTGGGTTTTTCAGGGACGTGTAGTTATTTGGGTCTCTTTCATTAACACTAAAAATGTAATTATTTTTTTGATCATTCACATGTACATGAGGATGTTGTAATGTGTTTTGTGCATTGGGTGATACAGTGGACAAAGCGTTAGTATCGACGTAATTGCCAGCAACGCTAGCGATGTTGTTGCTAGTTACATTGCTAAAACTGCTACCAACACCGTTACTATTATTTGCATAGTTCTGTTGTACTTTGTGATTATCAGGGATTGCGTTTTGCATATCAGTTTGGATCTTCCTCTGTTGCATGGTTTGAAAGAGGTGTGCACTATTATCTGTAACATTTTTTGCTACAACAGAAGTAAGATTTCTTTTTTCACCATTATCATCATTTATTAAATTATTCTGATTTAGGCAAATGGTGTTTTTGTTAAATGAATCATTAGAAAAGTTCACAAGTTCTACATTATCTAATGTGTTGTTGTTTATATTTACTAAATTTGATATTGAATGTGTAGGTTGATGTACAAATGCACTTCTTCCATTATTTGGGGAAGAGTTACTTTTATTATGTATTGGATTGGATGGTATGTAATTCGTGTTCACAGTTGAAAAATTCGGATGACTATAATTTAAAACTATATTTGATCTGCTATCACTACTCATTGAATTCATATTTTGTAAATTATTGCTAGAATATCTTGATATGGTATTATAACTATAATTTGTCATGTTACTACTTTTGTTATTTATATCAATAAAATATTTCTGATCAGAATTTAATATATCTTGATTATTTGCCATTTGTTCATGTAAAATTCTTGAGTTAGCATCCATTTCTTGAATTAATGCTTGATTTGTTCCATATCCAATTGAGTAATTGCTTGGGGTTCCTGATTTTATAGAAAATGAATCGTCATTTATTTTACTTATTGATGATGACGGTGATCCTGATGCTATAGTTAATCCTCCTCTTGCTTGATTTTCCAAATACGTAGAATACATTTTGTTTTCTGTATTTAATGTATTATTCATTGTGTTCTGTATCTTTTTAACTGATCCATTCGACGAAACTTCCATTTGTCTAGAATTACAACTACTGTTTATTAGGCTATTTGTTGATGCTTTCATTGAATTCATTTCCATGGATTCACAGCATAAAGAAGAAGGTTTATTATGAACAATCTGACCTTTTGTGTCATTGGATGGGATGTACTGTCTACTTTGTGGAGACACATGTATAGGAGATAGGAATTTCTCTTCTTCGCAATTTGGATTAGATATAGCAGGTAATCCAATATAATTAAGCCCCGTATTATTACAGCTGCCAGTACTATTATGAACAATGCTATAACTAAGGTTACTGTTCTTGGAGGTCCTACTATTCTTTGAGTTGTTACTCTTTTGGCTGTTACTCTTTTGGCTGTTACTTTTTGAGTTGTTACTCTTCGAGTTGTTACTCTTCGAGTTGTTACTCTTCGAGTTGTTACTCTTCGAGTTGTTATTCTTTGAGCTGTTACTCTTTGAACTGCTATGTATAGTTTCTCCATTATTTACCCCAATAATATTACAATTATTTGAATCATTCAGGTTGGGGGAAGGTCTCAGTTGGTTGTTGCTGATGGAAGGAGAATCTTCCTTTGTGGGGAATTGTACGTCGCTCCAGCTTTGTGTTTGTTGATGTGGAATTGTAGAAACATTTGATTTTATGGACTCAACATTAGATAAACATTTGTTCCATTTCGAAGGGGATTGGTTATGCATATAATAATCTGTAATAGGAATTGCTGTAATAGGATTAGATGTAATAGCATTGGTTATAATAGGATTAGATGTAATAGGACTGGCTATAATAGGATTAGATGTAATAGGATTGGCTATAATAGGATTAGATGTAATAGGACTGGCTATAATAGGATTAGATGTAATAGAATTGGCTATAATAGGATTAGATGTAATATGATTAGATGTAATATGATTAGATGCAATAGGGTTAACTGGAATGACTGATTGATTTGCTAAGCAGTTGGTTAGATTCTCCACTGTTGTATTTTTATTTGGAGTGCTATTAAATTTAGCACTGAATAATTTTTGCTTCCTGTTTGAAAAAATAACTTTATCATTATCATGACTTAATGTGTAATGACCATTTGAGACATTCGGCAGAACAGTCATATCATTTGAATTGTTATGCACATTAGCCATTTTTTCATGTGATACATAATTCTTATTTTCTATATTTGTATCTCCTTCTAGGAAATATGTTCCATTTTGTTCCTCCAATGAAAAGTTATTCATAGGTAGATCATTTTTCATTTGCATTTTTTCTAGTGTACTATTATTCAGTAATGCATTGTTTCCACTGGGAAAATAATTTAATATACTATTATTACTCTTCACTATTTCTCCAGAAAAATTTGACACACCTATGGACGTTTTATACTTGGTTATTTTATTTGTCTTGACTATATTTTTTATTGGCATAGATTTTTGTCTGTTGCTAAAGAAATGTTCACTTTTCGTGGAATGTTGCATTTGTTTATCAATATTGCAAGTTTCGTTTGAGATTCCATTTAACGATTTTGTTTGAAACATGAATAATTTCTTCTTCTTGATCCATTCTTTGTCTGTTTTCTCCATTTCTTCATTTATCATGGGTACAATGTCCTTGCTATTGTCCTGGTCACTGCCTTTGCCATTACAACTGCCACTACCATTGCCATTAGAACCACCACTTCCACCACCATTGTTATTGCCACTGCCTCTAACACTAGCACTACCTTTACCATTGCCCTTTCCATTGTTATCAACAGTAGTGTAATACGGATTGTAACAAATGTTGATATCATTGGAGCTGGAGGGGTTTGTTCCTATTTCAATTTTTAGTTCTTCATCCTTTGTCGTGTTACCCAACGACCTGTTATCATTATGGGTTTGTGTATTTATCACCTGACCACTGATATTTTTCCCCATAGTGTTAATTAGACTGTGATTTCCTTCCTCACCTTGTTTTATATATTCCACTTGTTCATCATACTGCCGTTGCAAATTTGTTTTTTCCATATCACTCTTCATGTAGACGACGTCTTGGTTGCTATTTTTAGTATACTCATCTTTGCTTAAGCTTGTACGTGTCATATTGGATACATCTTGCACATGCTTAGGTAACAATACATTTTGATTATTTTCATATTTGTTAAAAGTTAATGTTTCAGTTGAGTCCTCATTTTTTATGTGTACATGATTTGTTGCATGAACTTCACCATCCTGACGACCCTTCCACATTTCTACGTTGTCGATAATTTGACTATCTTTATTAAATAATAAATCCGTATGTTCATAGTTTCTGCTTATTTTTATGTCATCTTTCTCTTGTGACAATTCATCCAAAGGTGCATTACTGTCATTCATATTTTTTATTTTGATATTTGTTTCATTTTGATAATTAACAGTATCCATATGTTGGTTCAGTAGTAGTTCTTTATCCTTCTGTTCTGGGTAAATATGCGTACAGCATTTCTCCATTTTAGATATATTGTTATATCGTTGCAAATTTTCACTGATATATTTTTTGTATGCCTTTAATCGTTCCTCTGAAAGTAAATTATCATATACTTTGCTATAGGTGGATGGCATATATGCATTCTTTATTGGGAAATTTTTTAGTTCGTCTAAAATATAGTCAGCTAATAATATTTGTGAAATCAAATTTTTGCACTGATATCGCTTTCTAATTTTTTTAATATTTATTTTTTTTTTATCGTCCACATATGGTATATAGTTAAGTATCTGTTGTGCAAAATCATTTACTGTTTTGTATGATTCATTTGGTGCATAAATAAAAAATTCATTCAGTTTGTATGTCTCATTATTTATTGACAAACTATTTAACTTTTCTATGCTTTTATCCTTTCTTTTTTTATCATAATCAATTATTTTTTTAATAAATTTAACGAATTCCTTATCTATTTTTTCTGAACAAAACCCATTCATATGCTCATTTTTTGGAAATTCATAACTACATTCGTTGTTTAGTGAGTCCAATAAATTATCATAATATCCTACAATAGGTTTAATTTTGTTTAAAAAATTCTGAATAATTTTATAAAAATTTTTATTCTTAACAAGATAATCATTTTTTAGCAAAGATAAAAATTCATCCACGTTTTTTTTGTTGCTACAAATAGAGTTTAGCCACTTTTTCAAATTGTCAAAACCGTCTGACTCTTCCTTTTGTGTAATGCTCTCCTTTGCGTCTTTATCATTATATATTGAGGAATATCCCAGGTTTTGATTCCCAGAATTTTTACATATGTTTGATACATAAACATTGTCCTTATCATCAAAGTCCAGCAACAAGCATCCGTCCGCATTAAATATCATTTCATTATTTTTATCTTCGATATTTTCACTCTTGATTTCGATACGCAAAGGAACATTATTTTTTTTGTGGTTGTTATGATATTCCACATTTATACTTTCATCATTTGTTCTTTCAAAATTTTCATTATCTCTTATCTTTTCATTGTATAGCAATAGATCAACTTCTTTAGTCCCCTCTGAACACTTGACATTATCATCCATTTGTATTATATCCTCTTTTTTTTCCTTTCCTTTCATTAGTTTCTTCTGTGCATCATGGGTATATTTATCTTTCACATTATTACGCATTTTTCCCTCAAACATTTGTTCCATTTGAGCTAACCAATCGTAGTGTTCATCTTCTCCTGATCCTTGATTTTGTGTTTTTTCTAGCAATTTATCACTATCATCTTGATGATCCTGCTGATTATAATGTTCCTTAAAATTTTCGAAGAGATATTTATTTTCCATATTATTTCTTAAATGTTCTGACATTACAGGTGACAATTTTTCTAGATCCAAAGTCATCGAATCGTCCAAATCACTGGGGCTAAAAAAACTATCTTTTCCACAATCTGTGTCTTCCTCAGATGTTTCGTTGGAATTGCTCGAAAGTTGAGTAAACAAATTATTAAATATATTTTCATCTTTAATTAAATTAGTACATAAATTTGTATTTTTACAAAAAAGTGTAGTGCCATTTAATTCTTCCTTACATTTGTTTATCCTGTGATGTGTATTTTCTTCTGTACAATTGTTGTTGGGATTACTACTCAAACTTGTGTTAACATTCAGAAGGTCATCTTCTTTTGAAAATTCATCTAATATTCTTTCATTTAATAGTTCGTATTTTTTATTTTCATCAAATGGAGTAGTAGTAGATTCCCAATTTTTGTCATTCAATTCTGTTTCTTCTCCATTGTTATCTCGCATGCCTTTTTCACTTTTGTTTGTTTCTTTCATTTGATGCAATTCTCCATTTGTATCTTTCCTTGGCGAAATTTGGTACACGTCGATTGGTTCCACCTCAGGGTTGACAACAAGATTATTATTGTTACATCCACTGCTCATTTCCTTTTCCCTTAATCTGTGCCTTTCAATTGTTTCACTCATATATTTGTTAAATGAACCTATTAAACTGTTAGCATTTGGAGTGGGAAATATGGACATAAATTTCAACCGTTTTGAGGACTTTTTAAACTTTTTTATACCTTTTAAATAATTTTCTTCATGGAGATTAGTACATTTTACGCTTGTATACATATTTTCCTTAATAAGTGAGAAAAATTTATCTTTACAATCTTCCGCCGTTCTTATTATTTGGTAAACGTGATTTATTTTGTTGTATGAGGTTAGTGCTAATGATATGATATTCCAGTTAATGTTGTAAATATGGTTAGTATTTTTGGATATATCGTTTAATGGCCATTTTGCATTTTCCATGTTCTCTGTACTTTGGACCCTAACCATCTGATACACACTCTTGTGCTCCTTGCAAGGATTGGAAACTGTTTCGTTCAGTTTGTTCATATGAATTTTTCTCTCTTTGTCCAATTTTCCCGAGCTTTCGTTATTAATTTGGTTGTCATCCTTTGTGTTGGCCTCTCGATTTTTATTGGTACCATTGTTATCTTTGTCCTTATCATCTGCATGTGATGTACCCTTTGGACGTGTGTCAAACGTTTGTGTTACTTCTTCACCATCCAATGTTGAGCACCCATGTCTCACACTTTCTGCATTTTCTGAAGATTCTACATGCATCATAATGCCCTCTTCTGTGCAGTTGGTTGCTAATTTTTCTCCTTTCTCTTTGAGGTTCTCTTCCATATAATTTTTCTCAGTGACAGTGAGGTTGTTATTACTATCCACGATTGGGTAGTAATCATCACTATTGTTCCAATTTGTCTTTACCCAATCTATATTTATATAATTCATATATGTCTTTGTGAGAATGAGAAGAAAATTCACTTCGTCATTTGTCCACTCTTCCTTTTTGCTCATCCATGTTTTCAAATTGTGTTCTTCCAATTCCTCTGCAAAATTGAGTCCTTCCTTTGTTTCTTCCACATGTGCATTTTCCTCACCAAGAGCATTATTCATGCCATTCGTCTCATCAATATTAATTTCATTCATCTCACCATTATTAATTTCATTCGCTTCACCACTATTAATTTCATTCATCTCACCATTATTAATTTCATTCGTCTCACCATTATTAATTTCATTCGCTTCATCATTATTAATTTCATTCGTCTCACCATTATTAATGTCATTCTTACTACCGCAATCAGTTGTGAGTCTTAATTTTTTTATACTTACATTTTTTTTCTCGTCCTTTTTGGAAGAAAAGGATTGGTTTTCATTTTTTGCTATGTAATTTGCCTCATTTAATTGAGACATATTTTTTTCCTCTACTTGTGTTAGCGCTTGTTGTTCATTTGTTGGAAAATTTTCATTTTCTTCAATAATTTCTGCTGTCTTTTCACCTTCCACTTTATTCAATAATCTACGTTTTGGCGTCCTTTTTTTTGCTGCAGCACCATCTGTGAAATATTTTTTACGTTTTTTTTTTTCTTTTTTAATTTGCTTTTTTATAATATATGGAGCACTTTTTAAATAAAATAAATATAAAAAAAACGTGTGTTCATCATACTCTGAGAGGTTCATTAATGGTAAATGGATATCCTTATTACACCTGTTTATGTGCTGTAATTCGAATGGATACGTTTTTGCTCCATATAACTCCATATTATTCATATACAGATTAACGTTTCTTTGTTTTATTTCGTTTAAATGTTCACTTAAATTCTGTTCAGACATGGTGTTACTACTTGTTTCTTTATTTATTATACTATCAACAGTTGAATATGGTATCACAAGGAGATCCTTAACATCTATACTGTTTCGGCTGGTGGTCACTGTAGTTAACATGTACTTATGGCCATGCTTTACATTGTCGTGGTAGTAATCCATGTTATTCATATTATGGGAAAAATAATTTCCTTTTCCTGTATGATGAAAACCATCTCCACCTTCCATTTGCTGATATTCACTAAAGTTCATGGAGTATTCTTTGTATACATCTTCGTCATATTCTTCCACTTCACTTTTACACTCTTGCTTAACAATTTCCAATTTGATTGTTTTGTTATGTTTCCTTTGATCCTTCGATTTTGCGTGTTCCTCACCTTCTCCTATCCTTTCATTTTCTTGGAGATGATATTTCTGCTCCTGCGCGGGTTCTTTCTCTTCCAGCTGCTCGTACACATCAATGGTGTTATTGTAATAATTATTATTTTCATTTGCTTTTTTTTTTCTTCTTTTTTTCTCATGTTTGGTATAGACCAATTTGCCATTCAGTTCGTCATTCATTCTGCCATTCAGCTCGTTTTGCCTTTTCATCAATTTGGCCTTTCCTCCAAGTGGGACCCACAACTCCCTTTCAGCATCCGAGTACGCAGAGTTATCATCATTTAGAAGAATTTCATTTTTATTAAAAATGTTTTCATCAACTTCAATGAGAGTGATACTTATAAAAAGTAAACAATAAATATACAAATGATTACTTAAATCAAGGTAGTCGTTGCTACAGGAATAATAATCCATATAACCATCATTATAATTGATTATGCTACTGTATTCATTTTCACAAAATCTGAAATTTTCTGAATAGCCACAAAATCTCCTATTATCATATTCGTATCTGCTTAACAATTCTCTGTTCACATTTTCCTCTAAGCGTGTAAGACTTTCTTCATATTTTTGATAAATCATTATCCTTGTTTCATCCATTCGGATTTGATTAGTATTTGATTCAGCTTTTTCTTTATCAATGCTCGGGATCATATTAGTGGAATGGGAACTTGGAGAATTTCCGACATTTTTTATGCCTTTCTCTTCATGAGATGGCTCATAGGAATCATCATTTTTGTTTTCCTTACTTTTGGCTGAAATTATGGGATCATTTTCACCGTTACTGATGTTGCTGCTATTGCTACTGTTGATGTTATTGCTGTCACTTTGATGATCTTTCTTTTTACTCATAAAATTTAAGGAGAACATACTACGAGCTACGTTGAATATACTGTTCGAATTTGAGTCTTTCGCAGTGATCTTATTACTCTTATTCTGTTCAATGTCGCTAATCTGATGGATAAGTTTTTCATTATCATTTTCGTTACATATATCATTGATAGAAGACGAGATTTTTTCTCTATTGTTGAGAAGATTTTTTTCTTCCATTTTAAAATTTTTCTTGATGGATGTGAAAAATTTTTTTTTTATAATATTTTTATTTTTCACCTTGTGATCTACATCTACTGGAACTAAATCAGGTCTGATTTCGTTTAATATGAAAAACCAAAACATTTTAATATCATTCGATATTTGTGATGATATAAAATGTTTATCATTTTTTTTCCTTTCTTCAAAATGATTATTCACTTGATAACTAAATCGTTTCGACACATTCTTTTTCCATCTTCTTTCTTCATAATAATCAATGCTCATCCACATCATTTCTTTTAATATAAAAGTTTGATGTGTCTGAAAATTAAAAACTGGTTCAGTTTTTTTATACACTCTTCCATTTTTTATAATTTTATATGCATTTTCTGCAATAAGAATATTAAGTGAATACTTATCATTTTTTTCATTATTGCAATTTTTTTTTCCTATTTTATTTCCCTTCTTTCTTTTAATAGTTTCTTTCTTTTCATTATTTAATACAGGAGAATCGTTATTAATCGATACAGTATCATCCCTTACAGCATCGATTTGATTTAACAATAATCCTCCACTTGGATTCTCTCCTTTGCTTTTGTTTTTATTTTTCCCTTTTTCCCCTTTCTTATTTTTACCACGAGTTTCAGTATTTCCATTCATGCTTCCATTCGTGCTTCCACTGATATCTCCATTTGTTTTTCCACTGATATCTCCATTTGTTTTTCCACTGATATCTCCATTCGTGCTGCCACTGATATCTCCATTCGGTTTTCCATTTCTATTTCCATTCGTTTTTCCATTTCTATTTCCATTCGTTTTTCCATTTCTATTTCCATTCGTTCTTGCATTCACACCCCCCTTCTCATTACCACCGTTACTACCGCTCCTCTTCTTGTCATTTTCCTTCGTGTCATCTTTCTTTTCTTCCTTATCATCTTCGTGATTTTTCTTCTTATCTTTTTCGTCGTCCTTATCATCTCCGTTGTTACCGCTGCCGCCTCTGTTTTTCCCATTATCACCACTTTGGCTCTTATCAGCACTTTTTCCACTGTCACCACTTTGGTTGTTATCAGGGCTTTTTCCAGTGTCACCACTTTGGTTGTTATCAGGGCTTTTTCCACTGTCACCACTTTGGCTGTTATTGCCACTTTTTCGATTATCACTCCCTTTGCTACTATCACTAGTCTTTTTCTTATTTCCATTACTAATGGGACCTACTTTGACAATGTTGATGTATGTCTCCTCACTTAACCCTACACATTGCGTTTTCATGTGTACATGCTTGAATGCTGAAATATCACAATATTTGTATACCAAAATTGATATATCGATTTGGTTTCTTATTAAATTATAGCAAATTTTACCTTTGACATGTGTTTCTGATATGGGAAGAAATTCAATAGCTCCAGCTGTTACTATGTCAATGTTAATCCCTACCATGTTCATTTGTTTTGTTGTGTTATTTATATGATTTTCTTTCCTTTTCTTCTTTCTGTATACAATGAAATTATCTACACATTTTAAAGGCGTCTCCATTATTATGCAGTGTATTTCTCCCGTAGAATACTTCAAATTAATTTTTACAATATCCCTTTTATGATTGTCTTCCATGAAAACATTTAGGGGATCTTTTAATCTTACTTTTGACGAAATGGGTATAAATTTTATTTTATAATGTCGTTTTATGTTTAACTGAATAATGTAAATGAATAAAAGTCTAAAACTTTTTGAAAATTTTCTTCTTATTTTTAAAATACATTGATAGGGAAAACTTCTTGAGCTTTTAAAACGTTTTCTATTCAAAGCGGGGAATAACATTGGGCATTTAATTATGCACAAAATTAAGTAATCAGTTTTTTCAGAGGAAACGTGTGAAACAACAGGAAAATGATTCAAAAATATAGGAAAAAGGTTTTTATAACGGTTCATGTAGCATACTTCTGCCACCTGCGACACATTTAAAGACGTGGCACTTTTTATCACAATATACAATTTTAATATGTTTAAATTATTAAAACATATATTTTTAATAATCTGCAGAAGAATTTTCCTAGTTCTATCACATTTTAATACATTTACTTTAAAACATAGATCGAGTATAACAAAAAAATTAAGGATTTTTAGCTTATGAATAATTATTTTAAAAATATTAAAACATATAAGAAAAATCGTTTCACTTGAATTGCAGTGTTCTTTCATAAGAACTGCGGAGTAAATATTATGCTTATAAAAATCCTTTGTTATTTGACTAAAAGGGGGGGGAGTACTCCAATAATAAATAATATTTGTCTTGATAGTTTTTTTCGTCAATCTATCAATAAAAAGAATGGTGTTCCTTTCTATGAACACCTTTGATAAAATATGCTTATTTAAATTATTGAATGGATTGTAAATAATATCATCATATACTTCTTCACTATTGCTAGATGTCTCATAAGAGTTGTTATCCCTTTCTTTTACACTTAAATTGAGGTAGTTCTGATTGCTATTGCTGATGTTAATTGAATGAGGGTAAATTCGACTACTTTTCTTTATTTCATTATGCCAGTTGGGATGGTACAATAAGCAATTTTTATTATTCTTTTTAAATGTCTTACTTTTTTTGTGCTCACCATTTTTACTTACCAGATGGGGGATTATTGGCGTTTGTTCGTTTTCATTTGGGCCACTTGTGTATGATTCCTTTGTTGCATATGGTTCATTATCATTACTTCGCGTAATGATACATGGAATTTTTTCTTTAACTCTTTTAATACCGATATTCACGTGCATATTATTAATACAACCAAGGTAACACATTCTTCTGAATTTTTCTTCACGGCACTTTGCAATATTCCCCTTTGTTGCATTGACATGAACGAACTGATCTATGCACAAAAAGTTATCTATATAAAACTTACTTGAAACAAAATAAAGATAATAATTTTTTTTTAATAATTTTGTGAGTTTATTATTCTCAACCTTATAGTTGTCTAAAATGCATCCGGTTTCGAGAGTTTTATTTAATTTTCCTGCACATGTTTTTTTGTATTTTCCTTCTTCCTTTCCTATGTCTTGTATAAATATGTTTTTAAGTTTTCCATTTACTTTATTTAAAATGTTATGTATGAATATTTTGGCTACATAAGTTGAGCATTTATATAATAACAAACGATATAATAACCTAAAACTGATTAAGTAACTATAAAAATAAATGTATATTTTCATATAAAATATAAATATTATGCGGTGTATCATTTGAAATTTAGGTAATTGCACCAGTGAAATTCTGTTCCTATAATTTCTGTAATTTCTGCAATTTAATAAATAGATAAACCATTTGATGAAATATAATGCCTTCTCCCTACGTATGATTATTATATATGTGGTTTTTTCTCTAGCAGCATAATTCACAATGGTCATTTTAACAGCTTTAATAGGATAACTGTCACATTTTAGAACATTCCTTTTGTAGTTATTACTCCTATAATACCTATATCTTTTAACAGCGTTTTCAGTAAAATTTATTATGTCTTCGTCAATATTCATCGTGATTCGTTAATTTTCTGTTCTACCTTCTTTTCTAATTAATGCATCCAATGGTTTTCTTTTAATTTTTTGTGTTACTTAATTTTGTTTGATTAAACATTTTTTTTTTTTTTTTTTTTTTTTTTTTTCCAATTGTTTTTTTTTTATTTTTTTTTTTTTTTTATTTTTTTTTTTTTAAATTTTTTTTTTTTTTTTTTTTTTTTTTTTTAGCTTTGTTCAAAAAGTTTATTTTCCTTATTTGCATATTACGCAATTTTTTTTATTTTTATTTTATTTTTATCTACTTAATTTCTTATATTTTTACCATGGCATAATATTTTACATTCTGATAAAATTGCAGATGAATTTCCCTTTTTTGAAGAAATGTTAAAACACATATAATATGATAACAAATATTGTACCAAAGGCAAATAAGATATATGAAAAATTATATATAAAAGGTATAAAATTATTCAAAAAAAAAAAAAAAAAAGTTTTACAAAATGTGTTAAGAAAAAGGGTACAAAAATGGGCTACGAAAAAAAAAAAAAAAAAAAAAAAAAAAAAGAGTGAAGAATGACGAATTAAGAAAATATTTCAAAAGAAATCGTGAAATAAAAAAATAAAAAAAAAAAAAAAGGATTTAATTACATAGAATGAATGTTTAAGTGTTTACCTTTTTAGATTAAAAATTATTTGGAATTAGAAATTAATCGTTATTGCAGTTTCAATAGTATAAAAATATCAAAAGGTTATGTAATCATGAAAATATATTTCAAGTCAAATTTATGTCTATGTATATATGTAGTACATATAACAAAGTTTAGCCACAGTTAGGCTCTACACTTTTTCCCCTTTCTTTTTCATTTTGTGTGATTATTTTGTGGTTATTTTGTCGTTATTTCGTGATTATTTTGTGGTTATTTTGTCGTTATTTCGTGATTATTTTGTGGTTATTTTGTGTGTTTTTTTTTTTTTTTTTTTTTTTATGGTTTAGGTTTGCCCTATTTTTGCATTTTTTTTGCCCTCTTCACTTTTTCTAATGTACTAATTTAAAATATTTATATTCTTACAGCAACATATTGCTATTTGTGTTACATTATAATTAATGTAAAACCTTTTGCACATTTTTTCCATGTAGAACATAAATGTTTACAAGCGCTTTTTTAGGTACTGTTTTGAGTAATATTATACAATACTATATGGAACTCTGTATTACTTAATAACGGATTCGGGAAAAAATGTATGTTATATATGTACATATATATTAATGTACATACTGAGTACTCTCATTTCTCCAATGACTTTTCCTAACCTTCATTTTGCAATAATTTTGTAATTAATAAAAACACAAGTTAACAACTACGAAACAACCCATTATTACTACGCAAGCTTGTGAATCATTTCAATTTTGTGTGGTTAAAAATGTATTATACCATGCCTTTTCTTGTTAATCCAATTACAATGGTAAATTTGCATTTTTCCTTTTGCAGATCGTTAATTTTTCACTGAAAGAAAAAAAAAATAAAATAAAATGAAATATACAATATTTTCTTGCTAAAAATGAATAAAACATTTGCTTTCATAAGAGAAAGATGAAAAAAATATATAATGCCAAATATTTAAAACTTTGTACGAAAACTTAATTGTTTATATGATATTTTTAAGCTGTTTTTCCTTTTACCAAGTAAAATCCATGTATACACCTTTTCAGATATAGCAAAAAGACTAAAAGAGTTCTACTTTAACTGATGAGTTATCTGTCCAATCCCTAACTTTGACCTTTAATAAATGAAATAAATGTATAAACTTGACATATATATATATATATATATATGTGCATATTTACATGTTTGATTAAAGTTACTCTTTTTATTCCCTCAATGAAATAAGTCTTTACTATGCGTTAATCCGCTTTTTATTTTTTATTCCTTAAAAATAATTTAAAAGTGTTTAGACAAACAATTTTATTTAGATATAAAAATAAATACAAAAGAGAGGGGAGGTTTGAATTCTCTTGTTCCACTTAAGTTCCATTACTTTGTGGCAATTTCATGGATGATAATATATTTCAATATTTGAATTTTTTTTTATGTTCCAAATAATAATGTATAATGCGCTCGTTTTAATAATACAGCGGAGTAAGTTGTAGTGTTTGTTTTTTGCTATCTTTGGCTATTTTTTTTTTTTTTTAACGATTTTTTCACATTAATGGCAATAAAAAAAAAAAAAAAAAAGAAAGTTGCATCAACTGGAGCAAAGTCTATCTTTATTTCCCCACACTAACTTAAAAATTTGCGATATATTAATTATAAAATATTTTTTTGTTTTAATAAGAAAAAATATGTACAATAGCAGAATATTTTAGCTAGTTATAATATTGCATTCTTTAATAAAGGAAAAAAGAGTAAAAACGAAAACATGAACAAATGAAAAAAAAAAAATAAAATAAAATAAAAAAACCTGGGTTTCATTCCCTACAAACGCAAGGGCATTATGTTGAATCAATGCATTTTTAAAATATAAAAAAAAAAAAAAAAAAAAAAAAAAAAAAAAACCATTAAAGAATAAGCATTTCTTTAATTACACACTTATTAAAGACAATATTTATAATTTTTTTTTATGCACACAATAAAACATAAATTAATGTTTTCACAAAATGTACAGGCTCATAAAAGAGTTTTACCCAGATTCATATAACAGTAACTACCCATCAGTGTATATGGAAAGAGGAAGGCGTATTATGAGGCATAAATGGTGTCATTTTTTTGATAATTATCTTTTATTTTGTGTTTTTTTTAAATATATTTTTGGCTTCCCATTTTGCTACATCGTTTTGTAAAAATGAATGCATGTTTAACGCAAGATTAATAATCATAAAATAGCAGAATGTCTCTATTTAATTGTTTACACATCTTTGCACAACAGTAATGCATTACAACAAAAGGGTTATCCTCAAAAAAATGAAAAAACAGAAGGGATGTGTTGTGTATATATTTTTTCTACACGTGCATATTTAAATCTCTATAAAGTGAAATACACATAAGAATGCTTATACGTAAAATGTAATGCATTTGTTTTTAATTTTATTTTACACTATTATTTAATTTATATGGTATTTTCCCTCCATCTCGAAAATTGATCCAATAAAATTTCACAAAAAATAGAGAAATATATTGTGCTCATTTGGGGTGTTTTTTTATTTATATATATTTTTATTCTCTTTAGAACATTACCTTTAAGTGATTACATTTGCATAAAAGAAAGGAATAAAATTTTTTTATATACATCAAAATTTTATTTTTATGCTTTTACACACTGGTGTTGGTGTGACCAAGTGTGAAAGGTTCATGCAGTTTTTAAAATTTATTCTTCAGTGAGACTTTTATATAATGTAAAAAAAAAAAAAAAAAAAAAAGGCCAGTTCTTTTCTGTTCTCGAGTGTTGCATATTTATATGTGAAATACCTACACATATATATACTACACATGTCAAATGGGGGAAGTTTACAGAAATTACATTTTATTATGGCCTTTCACATTTATTTTTCGATATCCATTAAATGAATGTGTACTATACAATCGACATGCTTAAAAGAAAATATCCGTTCTTTCTGTGGTTCCTTTTGCGTACATCAAATGTAAAATTGCTTGGTATGTCAAAAAGTTTAGAATTAATAAAAATATTAATTGAAAATTTCGTAAGAAATGAAAATTTTAAAGCTTTATATAACTATTCTCCTTATTTTTGTGAGTTATAATTTTGCGTACAGATTTTTAACGAAAGAGCGAGAGACGGAGAACGAAAAAAAGAATTTAAGTGGTCTTGTAAGTAATACTAATCTTATACTGAAACGGTGTATTTAATAAAATGGACTAACGGATAGTAATCTACATAGAGTGGCGGAAAAAAAAAAAAAACACAGTAATTAATAGCAATAAACGGAAAATTAAAAAGAAATAATATTTGCGATATGAATTCATGCCAAATAAAGGAAACTCATATTTTGTTTCTCATGTTTTCTCAAAAATTTTCGATCCCCTATGAAATAATTGATTTTCTTCGAAATTGACGCCTTTTTCGATTTTTTCCTCTTTAACATAAAAACCTTTTTTCTTTTTTTTTTTTTTTTTTCAAAAGTATTTTTAAATGTTTGTGATATATGCTATTATGTTATTTTTATTCTTTTTTTTATTGTTTTATTTTTTCCTGTTCGCGTATGCCATATCCTTTCTCATATTTATTTACATAGTTGAATAATTTTAAATAATTCAACTCCAAAGTAACTCACTTGAAGAAGCACAATTTTCATGTGCCTACGTATGAAACATTTTTAATATTGTGTTGAAAAGTTAAAATTTTCAGAGTTTTTTTTTTTTTCTTTGTTGTTCATCTGATTAAATTCCTTCAAAATGGGTGTTGAAGACATAACTGCAGAAGACCTAGAAAAGGCTACAAAGTAATTTAAAAAATGAGAATTGAAAAACAGTCTTAATTTTATTCTTACATGGACCCTTTACAACTGTTCATGTTTTATTGTTACGAAGCGTTCTTTTCTTTTCTTTTTATTTTTGCCACACAAGTGTATAAAACTTTGAAATTATTTACGTGTGCATTTTTATTTTACTTTATTGTGTTTTTTTTTTTTTTTTTTTTTTTAATAGTTTCTTTCATGTTTTGAGAAAAAAAATTTCCTTTATTTTATGTGTTCATTGTGAATCATTTTTGTAGATCATTTGTATCAATAGAGTCGGCTAGTCAAATAAGCAGGAGATATGTTCGAAAAAAACTAGAGGAAATTTTTAACTTGGAGGAAAATTCTCTACATGAGAGAAAAAAAGAGATTAATGACATAATTACAAAGGTATTGACAAACATTCTTGAAGAGGAAAACAAGAAAAAAAATAATGACTTGTGTGAAATTGACGGAGATATGAACACGGCAGAAACGAATAACGAAGGGGAACAATATAATAAACAATTGAATTACAGGAAAAATCATAGCAATATGGTAAGTGTGAACAATTTTTTTTATATTTATAACGAGCAATATGTTCACATCAATGCTTACCTCTACAATGCCATATACCTGGATAACTCACATCCAAGTGCGCACGTTGGTAAATACACATACATATACGCGTGCGTACACATACATACATATATACACACACTCTACATACAGTGTATTTTTAATGAGCATGAAAATTGCATCATTTGCATGCATTTCTGTCATCATTTTATTTGCCCAGCAATATATGTGTTTATCACAAATATGAAATCGCATATAAATTTTTTAAAAACATGAATACTTTGTAGAACAAGACCAAGAACGAGATTATTAAAAGCGAAAACATGAATGATGATAAATTATCTAGTGCACAGTCGGATAACAACGATAAAAGTTCGTCCAAAAAAAGAAAAAATAATGACAGTGAACCACTTTCAGCTAGAAAAAAACAAGGTATTAAGTTGACACCAATTTTTTTTTTCTTCACATTGTGCATAAATTTTAAATGAGCTTTACATTTCCCGGTTTTATTTTCACCTATGCTTATTATGTAGCGTCTATAATACAATCCTATATATATAGCTTGTAACCGTGTTTTGTATATTTTGATAAAGATATATATATCTATGTACCTATATGTATATACATACATATATATATATATATATCAATTTTTTGGCTTAATTGTCCCCCTCCCACCTTCCATTTGCCATTAGCCAACATTATGACGAAGGATTACTTTTTAAACAATGCCGAATCCTTACTTTGCAATTTATCGAACGACATAAAATTAAAATTGGAACCAAGAATGTTCAGTACAGGCAGTTGTGGATGGTACATACATTTATTTTAAGTTATTCGGCTTTATTCGAATGTATTTTAATTCATTCTGCTTTATGCTGATTTATTATCATTTGTTTTAATTTATTTAAATTTTCTTTTCTTTTTTGTATTTACATAAATAGCACAATTTTAAAATTACAATTTTTTGACTTAGGCACATGATGGATAAGGTTTATCTATTAGTTGGGGATCAAAATGTCCTTTGCCAACTTTGCATTAACTGTTCAGGTAAATTGGCATAGAATTTGAAAAATGTACATACGGTCTGATGTATATTGGAATACATAATAAAATCATGAAAAAGTATGACAACATCTAATTTTAAATATGATGAAACTTTTTAATTTTTTTTTTTTTTTTCATATTAATTTTTGTGTACAGTTATCGGAAGCAAGCAATGGAACTAAATAATTTTTAAATGATATTGCCATCAAAACGAGTATAAACCCAAAAATTTTTGTTGCTGTTAAGACAAAAGCTGTTAACAAAACACGAGACCTTTAACACTAATTTAACTTAATTTATCCCTTAATTGTTTATGTTCTTAGGGTAAAAGACCGTTAATTTACCCATCCCCCTCCCCAACGCTATGCACACACTGAATTCATATATATTTTTTTTTTTTCTGTTTTTTAAATATTTTAATTAGGGCATTTTTTTTTTTTAATTCCTTTTTAATGAATTTCTTATATCATATTGCCACTTGCTTCTTCCCCTGATTTTTTTTTTTTTTTATGTAGTTTGCTCAGAAAGTTTTCTTACGCTTTCTTACGTTTTCATACATTTTCCTACTTTTTCTTACGTTTTCTTGCATTTTCATATGTTTCTCTGTCCACCATGTCTCTAAGGTTAGGTGAAATAAAAGAGAAAAGAGTATCAAATTATGCATAGTTACATTGCTTGTGGATACGTGTACTTGTAAATGTACATATGTATGATTTTACCTGAAAATAATGTTTATACACCCGTTCATGTTTTTTTTTGCACGTCAGTTCATCTTTTGCGAGCGCAATACACTCGATTGTACAGTTCAATATTTTCGTAGTTTTCCGAATTTCACCTGGAGGAAAAGCAAAAAAATTGTAAAGAATGTGCACCAAAAAAAAAAAAAAAAAAAAAAAAAAAAAAGAAATGATTCTTTAAATTAAACTTTTTTCCCAAAAAGCAAGTTTTACGAGTTCTACCAAAATTGATCAAATGACATTTATGTGCATTCAGTTTTTACAATTGGAATCGCAATAAAAATGTGTAAAAAAATATATTTTCCACGAATACATTGAACATCCATGTATACATATGCACGTATATATGTACGTGGGCTAAACGTTATAATCACAATTTAAATGTTTATAACATTTTCTCCACTAAACCAGAGATCGAAAAAAAAAAAAAAAAAAAGGTTAATATTTTGTGCATTATTAGCAATATATTTTAAGACACCCTTTTTTTTTTTTTTTTTTTTTTTTTATGTCCTTATTTGCATACATTTGTAAATATCATTATTTTTCAGCATTATGAAAATAAAATGTATCATATTAAAATAATAATTAAATAATCACTTATCACTAAAAGTGGGGAAATTCATTTTTACTACCCTTATTTTTTACACACTTTTGCTTTCAATTCACATAAACGTTTTAAATCAATTTTGAAGTGCCCAATCCAGAGAATGACAAACTTTTGAGCGTGTGCAAGAAAAAAAAAATGTAATAAAATAAAAAAAATAAAAAAATAATATGGTAGGATAAAAAAAAAAAAGGTAAAACTTTTTTGAATAGGGAAAGTAACACAAATTTGCATAAAAGCAAAAAACCGCAAAGCAAGTGTCAGAGTGATGATGCACGAATAAAGAATTAAGAACAAGGCAGTGTAAAAGAGGGAAAGATAAATAGAGAAGAAGCTGAAGAAGAATATTACAATAAAGAACTTGTGACAATAAAGAAAATGTAAAAAAGTGACCTCATTTTGTAATTCTGTGTCACAAGATTACTTTGAGTGCACACCTTTCATAAGTAGGAAATAAAACGAAGAATTATTTATTTTTCCCTATTTTAAAACTGTACCACTTTTAAATCGAAAAATTTTGTTTTCTTTTTTCTTCTCTAGTTTTTTTTCCTTTTTTCGTTTCTAGATTTTTTTTTTTTTTTTTCCCCCCCCCCTTCTCTCCCCTCGTTTTTCCTTTTCCATTTTTGTCCCTTTTCACACACAAATGGAGGTAATGCAGAAGATCTCGAAAAGTTGCAGTCACAATGGAATTTATGACTGTACATGTTTTTATGCATTTCATTTGCATTATTTTGTACCTCTGTATAAATACACACACGCGGATCTAAATGAATGATATGATGACACATTTTTTACATGTGCGAGCTTGCGTTGAGAGGGTGTACATAAAAAATTGCAAACCTGGAGTAAGCAAGGTCGTGTAATTTATGGTATTTCATAAATGTGACTTGTTTTGGGTTCATGGTTCATGGCTGACATATGAATTCGTTTTTCTATTTACCACTTCATACAGGAGAAGAAAAAGGTAGAAGAAGACTTAGAGTCGAACAAGTACGATATTGATGAGGAAGATCTTCTTGAGGATGAAGGAAGATTGAATGAAGATGAGAGACAAGCTGAATTAGAGGGGGAGAGTTTATTTGAAGAAGATGAAGGATTCATATTCGGAGTAGATGATGAGAAAAAGGAAATGCAAAAGCTTAGAAATTTAGGGTTGGATAATGATGAGTATGATGATGATTTCATTGATGATGAATTAGATTATGAAGATAATTTGAAAGCAAGAAGAGCAGCAGAAAGACATATACAAATGCAAAGGAAACAAGAAGGAAAGTATGAAAAGAATAAGTTTTGGAAAACTTTAGAGGATCAATTAGAAGGAGATGATGAAGAGGAAGATATTTTTGATAAAGTTGCTGAAAAAGTTGCAAAGAGAAGAGAAAATATGCATTTATCAGCTGAAGAAACAGATATTCCTGATTTGTCTAACTTGGAGAGTGCAAAAATTTGCCTATCTGTAAATCCAAAGGATGTGATATTTGATGAAAGATATCAACAAGCAGCAGACACATGTTTTCGTTACTTTTTGCATAAATTTTCTTTAAAAGATTCTATGGGAATACACCTTGATCAGTCAATCCAATCAGAGACAAATGAAGATGATAACATGAATAATTCTTATCAATATTATATAGATAAAATAGAAAAGATGATTCTAAATGATAAGCATACCTTAATTGTGTCAGCAAAACATATGATTCAGTTTCATTGTGAAAATTTAGTACAATGGATTGAGTTCAAACCAGAGCAAATATTAGAAGTGTTACACGAATGCTTAATGGTAGAAGCTTATAGAATTTCTCCAAAATTGTATAAGGGAAGATTATGTAAAGTCGTTTTGAAAGATTGGCCATATTCTACTCAGTTAAGAAATTTAAGATGCACAGAACTGAACACATTAATTAAGGTAAGAGGTGTATGTATAAAGAGAGGTTATGTATTACCAAAGTTAAGAGTCATGTATTTAAAATGTAATTCATGTGATACCACCTTGTCTGAAGTCCCCATTTATTTTACTGATGGTAAGAAACCAGTACTACCTAGAAGATGTCCACACTGCCAATCGGCTACATTCTCAGTTGATAGGGTTAAAACGGCATATACAGATTTTCAGAAAATTACATTACAAGAATCACCAAGCTCTGTACCTGCAGGTAGAGCCCCAAGGCAAAGAGAAGTTATAGTAACGGGGGATTTAGTAGACAAAGTAAAACCAGGAGAAGAAGTAGAAGTGTTAGGTATATACAAAACTAAGTACGATATTGGACTAAATATAAAATATGGTTTTCCCATTTTGCAAACTGAAATTGAAGCAAATAATATAGAAAGAAAAGAAGATATTCAACTTAGTGAATTGACAGAAGATGATATAAAAGATATTTTGAAATTATCAAAAGATCCTAATATAAGAGAACGAATTATCACATCTATTGCACCAGCTATTTGGGGACATAAAGATATCAAGACATCCATTGCGTATGCATTATTTGGAGGTGTACAAAAAGGAGGTGATAAAAATAATGTAAAAAATAGTGATACTAACAATTTCGGAATACAAAACAAAGATATTTTAAATAACTTTAAAGGAGGACATACTATCAGAGGAGATATAAATGTGCTACTGTTGGGAGACCCAGGTTTGGGAAAATCACAAGTGTTACAGTATGTACATAAGACAAATTTAAGAACTGTTTATACTACTGGTAAAGGTGCTTCAGCTGTTGGTTTAACAGCTGGGGTAAGAAAAGATCACACTACCAACGAATGGACATTAGAAGGAGGTGCATTAGTGTTGGCAGATGAAGGTATTTGTATCATTGATGAATTTGATAAAATGACGGACAAGGATAGGGTTAGTATACATGAAGCCATGGAACAACAATCCATTTCTATTTCTAAAGCAGGTATTGTTACAACCTTAAGAGCTAGATGTGCCGTGATAGCTGCTGCAAATCCTATATATGGGAGATATGATCCTACCTTAACATTTAAAGAAAATGTAGACTTATCAGATCCCATTTTAAGTAGATTCGATTTAATTACAGTTTTGAGAGATATACCTAATGTGGATGAAGATTTTTATCTAGCTGAATATGTTGTCACAAATCATCAGTTAAGTCATCCAAAATTGGAAAATACACAAAACTACCAAAAAAGGATTGAAAATTTGAAAAACGTCATTGTTTCTTCATCTGCATATGAACCGATTCCACAAGATTTGTTACAGAAATATATTATCTATGCAAGAACCAATTGCAAACCAGGTTTATCAGATGTACCTTATGCAGAAATCAGTGCCAAATTGTCCAATTTTTATAGTAGGGTTCGACAAAAAGCTAGTGCATCTGGAGGATATCCATTAACATTAAGACATATCGAAAGCATCATTCGAATAGCAGAAGCGAATGCTAAAATGAGATTATCTCAACAAATTGTTTCTAAAGATGTAGATTATGCTATTGCAACCTTATTAGAATCCTATGTATCCTGTCAAAGATTCGCAGTAGCAAAACAGTTAAGTAAAGAATTCGCAAGATATCGGGCTCTATTTAGAGGTGGTCATGAAGTCTTATGTGAATTAGTTAGAAGAACTATTCAACAGACTATTCAAAGAGAAAACTTAAAGAATGCATCTGCAAAAGATTTTCAAAATGATGCAGAATCGGGAACAGAAAATGAAACTGAATTTTTAAATCCCAATAACGTTTTTTTACCCCTCCAAATTTTCATGAAAACAGCTATGCAGAATAAATTCTCAGAATACCAAATTGTTAATTGGATGAAGTCAAAAGTTTTTAATGAACATTATGCGCTCATAAAGAGAGACGGCGTTGAGGGAATAATAAGCAAAAAGTTTAAGATGTAAAATGGACCGTATATGTTGATGAAGTAGAATATGTTTCCAAGGAATATACATGCACACATTTCACAACACATGTATCTAATCAGTTGTGAACATTTTTACAGAGGCAGAGAATACAGAGACTGTGATGCCCATATAAATATATATCGCCTACTATGCTAATAACCCTGGCCTTAGATAGGGTATATATAGCTCTCACAAGGGGTGATGGCACATGAGAGAAAATTGGTATCCCTCAAATAGAGATATTATTTTATTTTTTTTTTATTTTATTAAAGGAATATTCACAGCATTGCATATTATTATAATTTTTGCTTAGACAACAAGGTACAACTTGGTGTAAATAAAAAATATTTATTCGCTAGATTTTTTTTTTTTTTTATTTATTTACCCAATTTTTGCGTAATAGTAAAACACATTGTAATGGTGGATATATATCGCGTCCTAACCACATACTTGTGTTAAAATTTAAACAAATGTTAAAATGCTTTCATTTGTGAACCTATTTCCATGGGTTCCTAATTGCTCAAGTTATCAAATGGGATACATCGTACATTTGTGCAATCGTTTATTGATAGAACTGAGGTTAAAATATAATGGCCGTATTTACCCTTGTGTGTTTTAAAAAAAAATGTTCAAAAAGGGTTATAAAAAGGGAAAAAGTAAATAAATAAAAAAAAGTGAAAAAAAAAAAAATTAAATAAGAGTTGTGGAAGGGAGCTTCTCACAGTTGCGTGTTAGCGTGTCCTCCTATTCACCATTTATATGCAACGAATTTTTCCTTAAAATTTTTTAAGTGTAAAGTTTCTTTCATCTTTTCTAGAAATTCTGCTGTCTTGGTGTTGTTCCTTTCTGGTGCATCTACAGGTCCTATGGTTGCACTGTTCACGTTGTATTTTTCCAAATGTTCTTTCGCGATTACATATTTACCGTCCTATTCGTTAGAGGAAATGGGTGGGAAACAGGGGGTACACGTGTGTTTATATGCAAATCGTGTATATATGTATGAATGCAGGAGCAATCACTAGTATGTGCAAATAGCCATATGCATTTATATGTGTGTATTTTTTTTTTTTTTTTTTTTGTGCTTCTTTTCAAGTGACTTCAATTTGCATGTGTGGTCCATCTGGCCTGTTACATTCTCTGAAAAGAAAAAACTCCTTAGCACAAATTGTGGGATCCGGAAGCCTATTAAAATGTTGCAGAACAAAAGGGATTAATAACTATTGTATATAATTCGTTACGTTACAAAATGAGAGAAAAAAATAAATGAAGAATGTGTACTCAAATAATTGTGTTGTGTGTACTATTAAGTTATAGGAATGTGCATTTTTGTTTTGGATGCTTCCCCTTTTTTTTAGGGAATGTACAAAAGTCTACCTGGAGCAATTCATAAGGTTATTAATTTCGTTTATGCAGTAAGACTCGCCGGTTCTGTGATAAGTGTAATAAAAAGAAATATTATAAGCTGAAGAGTTGGTAGAAAAATTTGCGCACTAAAGAAAATTATTGAATCTTTGTATGGGAAGAAAACATCTGTATGACTCTATCGTTTAATAAGTTTGTAAAGCAAACGTTGATGACAAGTAATGGGAGATGGTTCATATCTATCGATCTCTCTCTCCATGTATCTATTTTTTTTTTTTTTTTAATTTTCTGCTTAAAAAAAAAAAAAAAAAAAAGCCGAAGCGTCTCTTATCTTTCAAGCTAATCATATAAAATGATTATTTTATGTACACATATATATATATATATATATATATATTCTCATTACGTTTTGGAACATTCCCTCAATTCGGCTTCTATATCACTGCACTTGCTTGGGTTTCTCTTGCTACCATTTAAACATGTATAATAGTTTAATTTTATTTCTTCACATTTTTTGTTCATTTTAAACAGTTCCCTGATTTTATTGTGGTATATATTTGATTAGTATAATGGGAATAGCGATGTGTTGGCTACAGGATTTTGCATAAAGATCTCTGTATATCTCTTTATCGTTAGAAATGTATGGGCATATAGCTTTACTTATCATTCGCTTGTTCAGAATGTTTTGGACCTGTTCAACATGTATTTCTCCTTTTTCTTTTTTTGCTTCTGTATTGAATTGATTCTTCCCACTTAATCAACTTATGATATTTTTTAATCTACTTAAATTTATTTAAACGGCTCATTATGTAAACAAGTAAGAAGGAGCCTTCTTTTTGCATTCAGAATGAATAGCAAATGTTATTTTAAAAATTTTTTTTTTACACTTATCTCGTACCGTTCATGTACCATTTGTTACATTACACTATTTATGTTCGTAGGAATGTTCATAATGTGTGTTTTGTATAAGATTGTGAAAATGTATTTCAGAGCATATATTTATTTACATTTTTTCTTTTCTATATATAGAACTATGTGACATAAATTAAAGTAGGATATTTCCTATTGCACATTTCATGGGGAGATGTTTTAAATTATTTACTTTTTACTAAAAATATTTTTTCATTTTTTGAGGGGGGGAGATATTTTATTATGTTTCGGCATTTTTCATTTTTCGTGTTTTTTTTTTTTTTTTTTTATTTTTCAAATTATTTGCTACATAAAATATAATTTAACAAAAAAAAAAAAAAAAAAAATTAAAAAAAACTACAAAAATTAGCAAAGTTGAATTAATCTTATATAACAAAAGGTTCATGGGAAAAAAAAAAAAAAAAAAAAAAAGCATTGGGAAGTTGCAAACTGAGTGGGGAACGTGTCAAATAGTATCAAAACATACATTCATATAGGATAGTAAAAACGGGTTAGAGGTGACATACTACTATCCCTTAGGTTTTTCGTTCCTTGAATTTTCCGATTATTCCAGGGATACGGCCTTTTCTTAGCAAATCTTCATACTCGGAACATTTGGTCTAAAAAAAAAAAAAAAAAATGGTAAAATGTCTTAGGAAATGATTTTTTTTCTTTTTTTCTTTTTTTCTTTTTTTCTTTTTTTTTTTTTTTTTTTTTTTTTTCTTTCTTTTTTTCCTTTTTTTTTTTTTTTTTTTTATATGATTCGACACAATTAACATTTTTATATGATTTCATTTTTTAAAAGATTGTTCACTTTTAGCATAAAAAAATTACCCTGACTCCCCCAACTAATTTATCCTTCCATGGTTCCACATTTTCAACAATTTTCTGTTTGACTTTATCCTTCTTACTACTTTTACAAACTTTTCCATCCGTTCTTTGTCCTTTTCCTTTGAACTTCTAAAAATGTTTACGAGTTTATTTGTGTTATTCGTGCAGATGTGCTCGGCCAGTAAAAGATGTGCATGAATTCCACATGCGTAAGTGTATAAAAATATATACATATGCGTATATTTTTATACACGTTGGTATAGCCTCCAAATGACACTAGAGACGAGTGACTCATGATTCCTTTAGTAGACAGAAGAAATACAATTCACAAGCACGTGATCACATTTCACTGTTTTTCTTCTTACGGTTTCTTCAGCGGATGGGGGATCTTCTACATATTGGACACCTAACATGAGTGTATAAATAATGTACATATAAGTATGCATTTTTTTAAAAAGAGAGGAGAGATATAATATATACATAAAAATACATTCAGGCAAATGTGATTACTTTGAGAGTAGTCTACGGGTTCTTCAAACTCCACTTCAACATCAGTTTCGATAATCGTGCAGGCAAAAGCGGGTTTCAAATCCTGTGTACCATAAGAAAGTGTAAAATGAAACGGTTAAAACTGCACAAAGTAAAATTCAGTACATACACATAGATAAACGAATAAACATAAATCCATGAATGTGTGTGAATTCATACATAGGAAACCCTGAGCTGGACAAAAAAAAAAAATAAAAATAAAAAAATAAAAAATAAAAGTATACCACAATTCTTATCTCGTAAGTTTTTCCCAAATAATGAATTACGATATTGTCACCAATAGTTAGAGTAGCATAATTCCGTAAAGCCGTTTCGAGTCTAGATTGAAATAAAAAAAAAAGGCGAAGCGTTTTAAGATATTTTTTAAATAACTTTTAAATAACGCTTAAATAACGTTTTAATAACGTTTTAATAACGTTTTAATAACGTTTTAATAACTTTTACGCATTGATCCCCCAATAGATGTCTACGTACAATAATATACACATTTTAGGGTTCACAAGTACAAAGGTAAACACGTGTTCGTGCATATAATTTTACACAGCTCTATGATTAGACAATTCCATAAAATCCTTAGAACATGGTTTTAATTTAACAAATGTGCCCTTTGGTAAACTGACACTTGTGACTCTAACGATATCTCCTTCCCTCAAGCATAGCTGTTGCATCATCTGTGTGTGGTATATCATATGGACACGAAATGGTAAAAGCGTATGTATGTTTGTATACATCATCACATGCACGTTCATATATATATTCACATGTTTGTTCGTATACATCATCACATGCACGTTCATACACATCTCCACATGTATGTTCATAAATATCTTCACATGTACGTTCGTATATACATATTCCAGTGTACACGCCATTTCCGTTCGATGTCTGCTGACTTGTCTTTTTTTTTTTTTTTTTTTCCGCGTCTTACCCAATATGGCATGTGACATGTTCCCTCATCAGAAATAAATTCCAGAACTCCACTATGTGTTCTTTTCTCCTATTAATTTTTAAGCAGAAAAATTGGTTGTCCCATATTTAAGATAGTTATCAATGAAAAAAGGTTGTCTCAAATATGTGAAACGAAGTCAACTGCTGGTTCATTTAAGTTCTACAATCAGTTATGTTCTTTCTTTTATTTTTTCGTAGACACGTTTTGGAAGAAAAAAAAAAAAAAGGAAACATACCGTGTAGGGGTTAGAAACTTCAAACAACATTGGCCATGATATATGCCTTCTTGCTAGGGCATTAAGAGCAGTTTGTGGTAGTATAACTTGGGTGGAAAAAATAAATGGTAAAATATGATTCACTCGAAAAAAAGAAAATGATGAACTCGTGAGGAGGAAATTATTCCAACTACCACGTGTTGTTAACTATTTTCACGATAACTAAAAAATCCTTTTTTCTCATTTCATTAAAATTTATTTCTCATATATTAACTACACATGAACAATGAACAAAAAAAAAAAATAAAATAAAATAAAATAAAAAATAATAAAAATGAATGGTGTTACTTTTATTTCCATTCTCCATGTCATCTTTCCCAATAAAGGAAACCGGATAACATGTGTATTCTTCTGTAAAAGGTTCGGATATATTTAAGAAATCTCTTCCAAGGAAACTATTAAAATTTGTAAAACTCCACTGCAGAAACGTGAAAAAGAAAAAAAAAAAAAAAAAGACAATTTTTTCCTTTACCTTTCCACTTTTTTTTTTTTTTTTTTTTTTTTCATTGTTTTGCTATTTAGTAAATAAGTCTTGCAAATATGTTTTAATTTTTACCATAATTGTCGTTATAACGGTTTAGAAAAAAATGGCAAAAGAAATGATTGAAGATTTTCTTTTTTTTTTTTTTTTTTTCTTTAATCATGTTATGTTTTTTTTTTTTTTTTTTTTTTTTTTTTTTTTTTTACATTTTTTTTTTTTTTTTTTTTTTTTTTTTTTTTTTTTTTCTGTGTACCCTTTATTATTTATTTTATGAAGCGTTTATATAATCATTTGGCTGAAAAAAAAAAAAAAAAAAAAAAAAAATAAATAAATAAGCGATATTTCATTTCCGGCTGAAACTCTTATTTTCAATTTATGAAATAAAAGCAATCCTTATAAATTAGGTGATGTGGCTGAATGTGCGTACTTTTCAATAAATAATGAAAATGCATAATACATTTGGTTACATTGAATTTACATTCGTTTGTGTATTTCTCTTGCTGAACGGCCAGAAAAAAAGGTTTTTATTTTATTTTTTAAAACCTCTAAAATTGGAGAAAGACCCTTCTTTTTAGCATGTTATAATTCCAGTATTTTCTATTTTAAATGAATTATTTTTTCATTTTTTTTTTTTTTTTTCTTTTTTTTTTTCGTTATAAAGATGAGATAGGAAAAATAAAAAACACTGTGTTGTGTATATATATATATATTGTGGTTTTGTTACAACAATGTGGGACATTTTCTTTTTTTTTCCTTTTTTAACGCAGAGTATATAAATATATCTATTCCATTTCTTTTTTTTTCACATATTACACCAGTTTTGTAAGTGAAACAGTGGAGATGCTTACAGTTTTATACCATCTTTAAGAGGTTAACACGGATTTTTTTTTATTTTTTTTTTTTTGCATTAGAATGGAATGGCAAATTTTTATTTCATTTCATGGAACAACACGCCTAATAACATTTACACCTTTTTATGTTATATTTCAATTCTTGTATGAACCAATGAGGGGATAGCTGAAAAAACTATTGAATTATTTATCCCTTAATATATGGAAAATATACAGGATTATTTTTATTATATTGCATGAAATGTGTTTTTATTTAAAAAAAAAAAAAAAAAAAAAAAAATCAGGTTTATATGATATGGTATTCTAAAAAAGTGTTTATTTTTAGAAAGTTACCATAAAATGTTTTTTTTTCCCAGATCTTGCTTGCTTCATCATTGGGCATGCAAGCTGAAATGGTACTTTGGATGTATCTGTTTCATTTTTGAGTTAAATGAAGTAATACATTTGGATCGTGTACACATCCATGGAAATTGGAAGAATGGCAACATATGTACAGATTTCTCTAATGTATAGTACAGTTCTCCCTATTCGAAGATTCCAGATTATATAAAAAAAAAAAAAAAAAAAAAAACTCTTTGGGAATTAAAAGGACAAGAAAAGGGTTGTGGTGAAGAAAAGTGACAATGTGCTGTTTTTTTCACATAGGCAGACTAGAAATGGAGGGATAAACATATTATTATGTGTTCATGGATTTAATACTTCAGGTTAGCTATTGTGGAGTGATTGATAGGAAAAATCAATAACGACTGATGAGAAATGATTAATAAAATCATCGTAAAAGTTTGGTTTAAATATTTTAATTTTGTCTAATTGTAGAACAAATCCAGCGTTGTAGTAGATGCTGTAAAAACTAGACACTGTAAGATTTTTTAGAATACTTGAATTGAGTTCATGTGTTTTTTTCGTTATATGGTTTTCATTGACAATTACTAGGTTAATTTCAAATTCATAAAATTTCGTGTGTAAATTCTGTGAAAGTTCGAGTCTTTCAAAATAATCTTTAAATAATGTGAGGACGTATTCTTTTATCGATAAAATTAAAGTGCTGGAAGGAACATTATTGATAATTATTTTCTGCACCGTTGAGTCTCTAAATAGGTTGTTATTTTCTAACGGCCTTAGCTGTAAGTACATAATGACTTGGAAATTGTTTTGACTCAAATCGACAAACGAGGGGTATGCGCTCAAATGCATTTCTGGCACATGGATCTCTGCAAGACGCTGGCTGTTACTGCTATCCGTAATGTTGTCATTGTCATTGTCACTTCTCACGTCATTGTCATTATCACTTCTCACGTCATTGTCATTGTCACTATCACGTCTCACGTCATTGTTATTGTCACTCGCTTTGTCGCTAACTTTATCACTCACTTTATTCGTGTCCTTCTTTTTTAGGATCCTTAAAATAAAATTGGACTTTGAATGCTTCAGGACAATGTCGTACACATCTTCTATCGATGCGCTGGGCGAAATTTCAAAAACGTCCTTGCCTTCAAGAATATACACGAGTTTGTAGAATGCAGAAATTTCGTTGTACTTCAGCCCATGAATGTGATGTCTAGCTTTGGAGAGCTCATTAATGAGTGTAGAGACAGTCATATCTCTGTATGCATTTTTGATAAATACACGAGTGCCATCTGCATTGTAAAGGAAAAATTCAACAAAGTGTTGTTCATGTAAATTTTGAAAGGAACGCACTTGATTTATGTCAAAAGATTCGACTCCTCCTATTTGGAACCCATAATAATTCTCTAATTTGTTATTGTGATGTAAATCGAAATAAATACTAAGTCCATGCGATAACAAGCATTGAATATGTGGTATACTATTTTTTAGCTCTTTTTTAAAACTAATTCCTTTCTTATCAATATGTGTTAATTCAAATAATTTATATAAGAATGGGGATAAATTAATATGGCACAAAATATTTTGAATTAATGTTTTTTCATTTACTCTGAAATCTATATATGGTAACATTAATGTATTGTTATAATTATCTCGTATGACTACAGATTTCGCCATAAATCCAAGGGAACTATTTCTCCAAAATATGGATGAGGTATTTAGGGATGATAGCATATCTGTGCATTCTTCCATATCTTCTTCATTTTCTAACTTTTGACATTCTATGTTTAATTCAGCGGACGTGAGATCATTGATTGTTTTTACGTACTTGTTATCTTTTTTTCTTATTCCCATGATAAGTCTCATTTTTTCCCTTTTATTTTCGTTTTTCAATGAGTCTTGCAAAATGGAATTATTCTTTTTTAATTCTATAGATACCTGTTGTTCATACAGATTTTCTTCGTTATAGGTATCTTCGTATGAACATCCGTAGAGGTCTAAATATGTTTTTCCTATTAGTTTAAAAAAATTATATTGCAAAATGGTTAGGGTAAAGGCTGGAGTTAAATAAGCTGGAAACCCATACAGTTTAGTGGCATTGTTATGAAATCCGCTTATACTCGTTATTAAGGAAATGTATTTTGTTTGATAATTGATCATAGCTGGTAGATATATAATTCTGGATATTAAATAATCATATATGTCACTATATTCTGATTTAAAGATAAATGTAATTTTCCCTTCTTCATCTAAATACTCCTTAAATGTTTTTACCTTCTTTTGCTTCGATTTTTCATGAATATTATTCTTATATTTATATGTATTAGCTACCAATGTAAACATGTCATTCCACTTATAATTTCTGGTTGTTATAGAATGAAATACCTTACTTAATAAATCATTAATGTCTAAGTTTATGTTGAAATTTTTTACACGAATAGTTCTATATATATTTGGAAAATGAATATTCATATCAAGATTCATAAATTCATCAGACACTTCTTTTTTCTTATTTCCTTTGATACTGTTATTTTTATTCTTCTTCGTTTCGTTAAAGTATTGTGACTTTTCAAAATTAAATTCAAAATGACTCATTTGACTGTAAAAGTTTTCAAATGACTCAACTGTTGTCAGGTAAATAATTTTCATCTTAGCAATGTGGTAAGATAGTGAAGTGATGAATGCAAGTTGTCTTTTTTCCAAGTGAACATATACAGGATCACAATTTGGATAGATACATATGGAAGTATTGTCCTCCATAAATTTAATTACTTCCATATTTTTTGTTAAATAATTCAACAAAAAGGTTATAAAATTATCTTCTGTAATAGAGAACGGGATATTTTTTAATTTTATATTTTCCAAATGGTTCCCTTTTTTGATATACAGTGGTATATCTTTTTTCACAAAGGTGTCATTTTTTATATCTATGATTGTGTTGTGTAGAGATAAGTGAACCATATTTAAAAGTTCATCTTTTTCTGATAGTGAAACGATGGATGGCGTATCGATAAAATAATGATTAATCACATATTCCATGTTTAATTCATTCGGTATTGTCAGATAGGATTCTTTAAAAATCACTCTTAATTCTAAGTCATCTATATTTTTTATCTTTGTTTCTTCTTTTAGTTTTTTCTTAACATAGGATAACACATCTGTTACAGTGTAATTTTTTGGAATGTTGCAAATTCTTGATGCACCAAATATGTGTTTTTCGTACAATCCTGCATTGTATTCAAAACATACAATTGATAGATCCAATTTTTTATTATCAATTTCTTCTGAAAGTAATTTTTTTCGTAATTCTTTTATTATGATACTACTTTTGTCTTTACTTTCTACGTTCAATTTTTTCATTTTATTACTTGAATCATGGTCTATTATTTCAATATGCAACGTACATTTATCTCCCGACTTGCACATTTTAAATATCTCACTTATGGTTCTACCATATTGCATGAAATCTCTGTTATCATTTAAAATATATTTTTCATTTTCTTTGATGAGGTAAAAGTTTATGTATTTGTATATCCATTTTCGTTGATATCCAACAGCAAATCTTAAAAATTCTGTAATGTACATATTATACGGAATATTATGAACAGTTAATATTTTTTTTTTATTTTTATTAAATATGAGGTTAAAAGTGAGGGAACCCTTTTCATCACTAATATTAAGAACTGCATTTTTTTCAGATTTAAAATCATATTTTCTGCCTGCAACATTTCTAAATATATTGTCTAGATGATTAAACAATGGCTTATGAACAAGGTATAATTTTGTTCGATCTAGATTAATAAGTTCTGTTAATTCTCCTATAAAAACAACATTTTGCTCTACTATCGGTTTTGTCTTAAGCAATATAAATGATTTTTCATTTAAAAGTAAAAATTCGTCTACGAATTTTTTTGTATTAACATGATTCGCTTTGATTAATAAAAAGTTTATAATGTCTTTATTCGTTGCACTTAGAGGGACATTAAAAATTGTGACTTCTTTGTATGAAAATCCATCATACACAAAAATAGAAATTGTGTATCCACTTACAGTAATGTTATTGTAATCGATATAATCTTTTACTAAAATTTCTCTTAACACATTATCATACAGCTGAGCCATCTTCAATTCTTCATCTGAAATGTGTATGGATTCTACTTCGGATATTTTATCTAAATCGACATAATTCTTTTTGGAACTTTTATGATCATTTTTTTTTTTTCCTAAGGAAATAAATGTACGCAATTGTGCACCGGAGCCTGAATTGATATACTTTTTCACATCTGTTATTTCGTCATTGTCTTTGTATAGAGAGAATATAATTTTTTCATCCTTTGGAAGTTTCTGCCACTTTGAATACATGTCTAAAAGGATCGACTTGAGCAGTTTATCTGTTGTTATTTTTTCAGGAACATTAATAATGTGTGTAATTTTCTTCTCATTTTTGTAATTTACATAAAAACTTAAGGACCCTACTGGATTATTAAAATCGATAACAGAGGGTAAAGAATCAAGCGTGAACATCAAATAAGAATCGAAATGAGCACTATTTCTAATGTGATGTAAATGTTCTGGATAAGCTTTCATCAAAAGTAAGTTATCTTTTCCTATAATTTTTAGCATTTCTTCTATGGTATATCCTGGAACAGAGGTAAAATAATAATCATTATTTTTCATTTTGTCTTTATCATTCTCTACAATAACAAATAAGTTGTATAACTTTTCTTTTTCTTCTACAGGGATGTTAAAGGATCCCCTCATTAGAATGTTAATAAATTTCCATATTAGTAATTCCAAAGGAACATTTTTTATTAATATTTTCTTCAAATTATTTCCTACGTATAATTCTAAATTTTTGATTTTTTTCGATGATTTTTTAATTTCTACTAATGGGTTTTTCTCATTTAAACTTTTCCCACATAATTCTAGCAATGAAGCCATGACATTTTCCATCATTTTGCTTGCACTAAATTTGATTTTGTAAAATCTGCTTAGCATGTTTAGAAGAAATAAATATGCTATTTTTTTATAACTACCTTTATCCTTTTCATCATTGTCAATGTAAACTTCATCATCTTCATGACATTCATAAGTAGGAGATTCACAACATTTTTTCGTGGTGTGTCTTTTGTTATACACAAAATAAAATTCTTTCAAAAATGAATCCGATATGAAAGCATTTGTATTTTGTAATAAGAGATATTTCAAATTGTTTGCAGATATATGTACAGGTAAATTGTATAAAGTATAGGGGTTAAAATTGTAATTCATATAAATGTCTAACTTTTTTATGTAAATGTTATTATCTGCTAAATCGATCTCTAAATTTGATAATATTTGGAAATTATATTTTGTCAAAAATTTATTTTTAATAAAAATGGTGTACAAATTATTGTGATTTAATTTTAATTCACTTACAGGTAGATTATCTTCTACATTTTTCCATATTTTATCTCGTATTGTATATAGTTGTAAATCTTTCAGTGTAATTAAATTGAAAGACACCAATTTAGTATTAATTATGTTTTTTAATGAGTTGCATAATTCTAAAGTGGTCATATTTTCTGGTACATTCAGTAATGTTAATTTATCATGATAAAAATGTGCCTCTTCATCTAAATGAAATATTGGTATTTCAAGGTGTGTAATTCTGGAATCCATTAAATTGATAGACTCTGGGATTTTAATATCATTTAAATTTTCTACATCTGAACATTCTTCATTTTTTTTATTTTTTATCAATAAATGTTCTTCTATTTCTCTAAAATGCTTCAAAACTTCATATAACGTAAGAGATTTTTCATACATTAAAGAACTTATGACATTTGTCTTTTTATTAAATGAATAGTAATCCAAACATGTGTGTATATCTAATATAGATATTCCTTTTTTATAAGAATTGGTATTAATAAATATTGATGGAATGTGTATCATTTTATTCATTATATCTACTATGAATAAATTCAATGTATAAGTTTTTAATATAGGTGCATTAAAAATATTCACTTTTCTGTTTGGATTATCTATATATATTTCGAAAAAGTTGTAATAACTTCCTTTTCTATATAAATTTTCATCTTCCAAAATTGTTATCTCTCTATTTATGTACTCTATTTCGTCATCTTTATTCTTATATGGAGGAAGTAAATCTAATCCTTCCTTTATCTTATTAGATTTGTTTAACGTATATCCATGTCCTAGTTCTATACTCTCCATCATACCAGTGAGTGTGTTTTCTTCGCTATTGTCAAATTCGTGTTTATCAATCAATTGTGTTTTTTCTTGTTCAGATTTTCCATCCTCTAATTCGTGGCCAATTTGATCCCCCTTCGATGAATCTCTCTCCCCAGGAACGCTCAAAAATTCTCCTTCTTTCTGATCTAAGAATAACCGGTCGGTATCACTATTAGACTCGTACAAGTAATCAAAACTCCTGGGTTTGATAATATCCATGTCTTTTTCATCAATCGATGTGATAAGTATTTTTCGTCCTATAGATATGCTGTATTTGTACAGATCTTGAATATTTTTAATGGATAATGGAATTTCCTGAAATTTATTCACGTCGTAATCTTCGACATCCTTGGGAATTAGGACGAAATTAAACTGATCTATAGATTTGTCTGTAATATTACAAATACCTAGAATGCTCATTTTGAGCATATCTAAATCGAAGTTAATATCTGATGTAACATAAATTATATTTTTTGAGATACGCTTATCTTCATAATAGTATATTGGTATATTGTGTGCGCTAAAATATTTTTCCATGTACTTTTTAACTGTATCGTTAATTGCATCTATTCCTTTATCTCCATCAATGGTGATAGATTCATAATGATCATCATTATTTTCGCTTTCTGTTTCTATTCCATTCATATTTGATTCTTTTTTTTTCATTATTATTTCTGTAACATTTCCTCCGTTTATTATCCTTTTATCCACTATTATATTATTTATGTTTTCTTTGATTGTACTTATATCCTCCTTTGAGAGAATATTCCCATAACTTGATAGAATTTTCAGTAAATCTAAATTCTGAGCATGCAGATCCTTTTCCTTTCTTTTTCCCTTTCCTACTAGAACATCGTCTGTTTGTTTTGAAAGTTCGCCTTGCCTCTCTTCCTTATCCTTCGTTTCCTCCATTTTCTGTTTCAGTTTATATGACTTTTTTTTCGACTTATCCGATTTGTGCTTAGTCTTTTTCGGCTCTTCTGTCAGGTTCTCCACTTCTGTCAGTTTCTCCTCTTCTGTCTGTTTCTTCTCTTCTATCTGCTTCTCCTCTTCTGTCTGTTTCTTCTCTTCTATCTGCTTCTCCTCTTCTGTCTGCTTCTTCTCTTCTGTTTGCTTCTTCTCTTCTGTCTGCTTCTTCTCTTCTGTTTGCTTCTTCTCTTCTGTCTGCTTCTTCTCTTCTGTTTGCTTCTTCTCTTCTGTCTGCTTCTTCTCTTCTGTTTGCTTCTTCTCTTCTGTCTGCTTCTCCTCTTCTGTCTGCTTCAACTGCTCTGCCAATTCTCCTTCAACATGTACACCATCACTCTCTCTGTACATTTTGAAAAAACTTTCATTATCATCTGCATCCCCGTCCTGCGTTTCATCTGATGAAAGTTCCTCCTTCGTTTCCTCCGTCTGATGAGATCTTACAAAATAATCATCAGAATCGGCATCCCTTTCCTCATGTATTTTTCTTATGATATCTTCCAATAGAATATACTTTTCATCTGGTCCTATAAAATAAATGGTCATATTATGTATATCAAAAACGGAGTGTCTAAACATGTTTATGGATCCAGCATAATGAGGTTTAACTTTCCCAAAATCCATTTCGAATCCGGTAATATCAGGCTCCATTTCATCATCATTTTCCACTACAGGGATCATTTGTACTAATGATTCTTTAATTTTATAATCCACATCTTTGAATATTTTAATAAATAAATTTTTAAACAAATAAAGAATTTTCTCCTTATTATATGTAACATCCAAAGTAGGTGTTTTTAAAAAAGCATTTACTTGTGTTTTTTTTCTTGTAAAATATGTAGTTTTGTATACAAATTGCAAATTTAAAAGAAAACTTTTTTCATCTTTTTTATTCTCATCTGAATCTTTATTATGAACAGTGCTGTAATACAACTCTTTAAAATAATTCATATGTTTATCGTTCTTTATCATTTCATTAAATTCATATATAAATGAATCATCTAAGAGGACATTATAATCTTCTTCTCCTTCTTCACCTCTAATTTCGATTTGGTCTTTTCGTTCTTTGTCTCTTTTACTTTTTTCTACCTCATTTTCAGCATCTTTCACTTTATCTTTACTCATTTCGTATCTATTCTTATCATACCTGTTGTTATATCCTCCTTCTTTACTAGTTGTCTTTTGCTTTTCCTTGTGAGCACTCTTTTCTTTTCCTTCTTCTGTCTTTTTCCCCTCCTCCATCAGCTCCAAATCCTCTTCTTGCTCCTTTTCTTCATCGTCCTCTTCATCACTGGATTCATCTCCCTTTCTTAAATTCCTTTCATCAAAAAATTCACTACTTATGGGGACCACACGACTGTGTTTTATGTTGCTTTCTTCATCATACTCATTTATAGAAGCATCTATATTGAATGTATTCTCATTATTCTTTTTTGTTTCTATCTCTTCATCATCTTTTTGTGCTTGCTCAGGTTGCTCACCACGATCGATTTTCTCCCCAGCAGTCACTTTATCCTCATTTTCATTACTCTCATTATTTTCATTACCCTCATTATTTTCATTGCCTTCATTTATTCCCTTGTTCAAACTTTCATCATTAAATTCAAGAATATTAAATTTTGACATGGCTTGTCCGGAGAACCCATTCTGCGCAGATGTAGATAAACACGAATTTGACGTTTGGGTATGACTTCCCTCCTGTTCCTTACATGGTATCCTAAATTTACAATATGGACAAATGGAATTTTTTCGAAAAATGGTGAATGATTTTTCATTGGAATTACAATTGTTACATACATTGTTGTGCATAAAATTTTTGTTATGTACTGAGTGTACAATAAATTCTGGTTGTTTTACTGAAATTTCTTGATTTGCACCGTTCATATTATTTACGTCATCAAAACAATTATTATTGAGGGTATTAACTGGCGCACAAACAAGACAATTGTTTCCATAATTCAGATTGATAAAATTTTTCTTGTATCCACATTTATCACATAAATTTTTATCATAATTGGAACAAGGTATACAACACATACTACCTGTTGGATAATTAAAATGAATTAAAGGAACAGCATAAAAAAATCCATCACTCATTGATTGTGAACATTCTGGACATGCTTGTGCAATTTGTTCTCCAGGAGCTAGCTGTGAATCTTTTAGCACTTGTTCACTTTTTGGTATCACTTCACCATTTTTCACTTCTTCTCTTTTGGGTTCTTTATGTAAAAGTTTTCTAATTGTTATTTTTTTTAAAATATTGTTCTTTTGTGTTAGGGGACTGGATACCGTTATGTGTTCCTCTGATGTGTATGTTGTATCCGTATCTGCACCTGTGTCTGTGTTTAATCCATTGCCTTCGTGTGTAATTTTGTTTAAAAATATATGATATTCACATATATTTTTATTTTGGCCTTGGTCAAAATTGTCATTTCTTTTTAGAAATAATTGACCAACTTTCACAGGTGATTTGACCTTAATTTGAACTTTATCATTTACACCACTTTTTTTTTTTTTTACAGGAATTTTTACAATTCTTTTAAATCTTTTTGGTTGAATTCGCACGGGATCTTTTGCATATCTACCAAGTATGTACTTATCAGTTGATTTCTTCGCTTTTTCCAATTCACCACCAGAATAGCTAATAATTTTGTTATAATCTGTTATTTCTTTTTTCATTTCATCATTAGGTTTTGCTTCTGGTAGTGTGCTCATTGGGATGGTTAAGATAAACTTTTTTATTTCTCCATAATTTTTGTAACTGTCTCGAATAAGGTAAAAGAATTCCTTTTTTGATTCTTCATATATTTTCAATTCATATTTGAGGGCATTTTCTAACAACTCTAAGTTGAAATCAAGAACAGGTTTGTATAGATCCAATAACTTATTAAATTTAAGCGATTCATATGAACTATTATACGAAACAAATTCCTCATCGCTAATAGTTTTATTATTGATTCTTATAATTAGTGGATTATCTATTTCTTTTATACTACTGTCTGACAAATTAATTTTCCCCGGTGCCCCATATAAAAACTTTTCGCTAGATATACCACATAATTCGAATTTTTTTTCCAAATATGATTTTCTCTTAGATATATCTTCAGATATTTTTTTAAAATTTGCTAAATCTCTTTTAATGTAAGTATTTTCCAATTTTAATAAAAAGTTACTTTTATTTAATTCTTTCGTGTTCTCATTGTGTTCATTATAATTATTATCTATTTCATGAAAATTATTTTGCAAAGCTTCTTTAATGTCAACTATGATATCTGCAATTGCTCTTTTTTTAGTTTCATCATCAATTTCTTTATATTTTTTATCTAATAATTTAAAAGTTTCTGTTAAATTTTTCTTTGTAACCAATTCTTTATTTTTTATTTTATTAAACATGCCACTGTCCACTTCTAACAACAGATCTTTATACTTATCTTTTGCTAAAAACGAAAGGCATTCAACTAAGTTGCTATTCTTTGATGTGCTTCCAAGTAATTTTCCTTTTTTTTTGCTGCATAGTACATTATTCGTTGCAAGGAATATCAAACTTAGTGAACACAGAAATGTAATTCTCATGTTTTATCTCGAAAAAGATAAATATAAACAGATGTTACGTTAATGGTGCAGATGGAAGCAGGAAGCGTTGTGACAAAATGGAATAGAGGAACACAGAAGGGTGCGGATGGTTATATCTATCTGGTGTAATCTTATAAACCTTTCGTCTTTTTTTCGTATCTTACTTGGTCTTATTCTATCTTTTCTTTTTTTTTCTTCTTTCAATTTTTTTCCGTTTCTTTTTTAAATTCCCCCTAGTTTCTCCTTTAATATAAAAGGAATAAAAAAAAAAAAAAAGTTAACGCAAAAATATATGTCACGTGTCTCCAGAATTTTTTTTTTTTTTTTTTTTTTTTTTTTTAAAAAGTTTTATCCCTGTTGCATATTTAGCATTAATCTAAATAATGACAAAAACTGACTCAGTAAGGAGTGTGCATAAATATTCTAAAACGTAAAAATTTTGAAAAAGAAAATTAGATTTACAAGTATGACCTACACGGATTCTCATAACACGTTGCATAATTTCGTATTTCCTTTTTTGACTGTGCAAAAGTGAGTATTCATTTTAGCATACACATTCACACCAACATGAAATGTGATTGTTTATTCAAGTAGCATACGTGCATAACCACATGTACAAGTAAGTAGTTCCTTATTGTGGGAAATCTATATTTACTTTTTTATACATTTACAAATGTGAAATAACTGAAACTTAATCTATTTCTAATCATATCTTAAAAATTAATTCCTCTCAAAACATTATTTTTAGTAAAATAATGTTGCTTTTTTTTTTTATATGAAATTAAATGAATAATTGTGTAGACTGCTTTTTATTTTATTCTATTGCTTTTTATTATTATTATTTTTTTTTTTTTTCCCTTGAAATATTTGGTTGTCGATTTATTCGATTGTAATTTTTCAAAATTTGCATGCCCACATGAGGTCCCTATCTTAAATTTGCGTATTCAATGATGAATGCCCTTTAAAGAGACATTTAACATGCACATGCAAAAAAAAATTAAAAATAGAAATTTCATTTTTTTTAAGTGGATCTTTAAAAAATACAAAATTTGAATTTCGAAATGCAATAGATTGCCACCAATACCTGTTAACACCTGTACGTTTAAAAAAATATGTCACATTGCAAGTGGTTCTTTGTTGTTTTTCGGAAAGACCGATCCCTTAATTTATTAAGGTGCTCAGTTCAATGGAAATTTTTTTTTTTTTTTTTTTTGTTAATCATTGTTTTTATTCGAAATAAAGTCACAGTTTGACAAACTTTAAAAAACATATTTAATTTGAATTAAAATGATCCACTATGATTTATGAAAGTATGTGCCGAAATTACATGACAAAAATTGTGTAGACGATAACCAACAACTAACCAACTTCCTTCTTTTTTTTTATTTTTATAATATATCGAAAAAGAATTGGTACATTAAAAAAAAAAAAAAAAAAAAAAAAAAACACAAAAATTTTGTGTATGCAATGCTCCTCAATCTTCAGTATTTAGGCACAAATTTTTCTTCACAAAAGAATGACAACACGATCTTAAATTTTATATGAACCCAGTTCATATGTCATTGTTGCGACGTTTGTATCAATAGGGAAAAAAAAAAAAAAAAAAAACATGGTGTTCCAATTCCATCACATAAAAAAAAAATATTACTACGAAATACGCGAAATTTTGTCGGGATTGTCGCATTAATTAAAGTAACAAAATGCATTTAGATATTGATGAACCTCTTTGATATTCCTTTGCGGTGTATTATTATTTTTGGTCCATATTTCACACATTGAGTGTGCATAGTGGAAACCTTACGAATGAAGAAGTAAACCATAGAAAAAGAGGTTGCTCATTCAGTTATATAAATATGTTCTTATGAGGCATGTTCAACAATAGTATACCCCCAAATATACAAATTCTTACATATGCGAACGTGTGTATAGAATGAACACGTTTTACAACAAAACTATTCCCGTATAAATATTACACACATCAATTTTACGTGTAGATTTGTTTTTTCCAATTTTCTTTTTTTTTTTTTTTTTTGGATGTTGAAAAAGAAAAACACTTAAACTTCATCGAAGAGTTTACAAAAATGACATAACATTTCAATTTTTTTTTTTTTCCTACCAAACATAAGTATTAAGAAATTATTTATTATATGCCAGCAAACATATATTTTTTTTCTGCAAAAAATGAGAGCTGTTCTTATGAGGAAACAAAAAAATGAAAAAAAATAGCAACATAATCAATTTTTTACAATAATATCATTTAATCATATAACCTTTTAGGAAATAAAAAAAAAAAAAAAAAAAAAAAATCCTACATAATTGTTGGGAAAAATAGTTCCGCAGTTAATGCCTTTTCAAATTAAACGAACATCATAAACATTAATAACATTAGCAATTATGAAAGGCTCGATATAATACATACAATTGCGTGTTCGTAAAATCTCTCAAAAATGCAAGTTTTTCCACTAAAATAAGAAAAAAAAAGTCAAATGTCCGTTTATGTTCCTTTAACTATTTTTAAAAAGAGAAGAAGTAAATTTACTCTTTTTTTTTTCTTTTTTAAACTTAAAGTGATAATCGACATTTGATTTTTTCTTCACATTATTATTGATAATATGAGCGAAGAGCATATAAACAATGGGAAAGAAACGAATAAGTCTAAACAATCGAGAGAAAGCTTATTAGACGACCAGTTCAAAGGAAGCACTTCAGATAAGTTTCTTTTGATTAATGGAAAAGAAAAAGACCATACTAAACTGCAGAACTCTCTCGCAAAACAAAAAATAGAAAACACAAAACCGCATATTCACAAGGGTTTAATAAGCACATCATCCTTAGAAAAATATAAAAATTTCTTGACAAAAATAGAAAAATCCAATGAAGACTTAAAAAATATGGATAAAGAAAGTGTAAGGGTAGACATGGACATGCTTGATCAGTCCTGTGAGGATGACGGCAAAGAATGTGTCATCATGGGTAAAATATTACATATTTATTTTTCCTCCTTTCGTTTTTTTCGAAGAGAAGATATCCCATATATATATATATTTAAAACTTTATTTTTCTCTCATTCCCCATATAGACGTTTCCATGGGTATTTTTGATGTGCACAATGATAATTTAAATGACGAAAAACTTAAAGACATGAACATTACAGTGGCTGATGTTGTGAATCAGGTATCAAATAAAAAAATTTGGATAAAAAGATCATTTTGCCTATTTGTACTTATTACGAATTCGTAAATGCTTAAAAAAAAAAATGTGCAAATCTATTCCCACGGAATTGAAATAATGTACACAATTTCATTTTATAGAGAGAAACTTATAATTGTATATTAGCAAAAAAAAAAAAAAAAAAAAAAAAAAAAATATTATTTCTTGTTCAGAAAAAAAAAGGAAAAAAATGAATTTACGCATTAATATAAAGATTATAGCTATTAAGCATAATACATGCAGAAAAAAATTTATAATATTTTTTTTTTTTTTTTGGATAATAATGGCTATATATATATATTTTTCTGAATGTTCACGCAGGAAATGGATGAACAGTGTGCAAAAGATCTAATTGAGGAAATGTGAAAAAAAAAAATATATAAAGTAAAAAGCTAGCTACATTGGTTAAAAACTATGTAACTTCCTTTCCATTCAGAATAAAAATAAAATAAAAATAATATAAGTTTAAACAAATTAAAGCAATTTTTCAGAAAGTTAAAACGAAATGTAAAGTATATTCCCGAGTTTCTTTTCAATATTTTTGTTATCGAATGTAGCTCCAATTATTTTTTTTTTTATGAAATTCTTGTAGATATTACATAATTAGTTTGTAGATTTATTCTGTTTATTAACGAAAAGTAAAGGAAAAAAATGTTTTTTTTTTTTTTTTTAGTCCGTTTTTTCACCTTTTCCATGTGATATTATATATAGTTCTTTGTTAAATTTAAAACTAATACTTGGGTTATTTTATTTTATTTTTCTTTCGCAAATATATATAGACACGTAATACATAACTTACATTTTCCATTTTTGTTGTGTTACGTTTATTATTCGCCTTATTACCATGTCTACCACAAGTGCTATAATTAATGAGTCATTTGTCATAATGGACAAAGATGCTGATGGCTCAATAACATTTAACGAACTAGTGTATGCCTTAAGATTCGTTGGAATTCCATCCGATTATAATAAGTTGTATAAAATTTATAAAAACAAATATACATTAAAGGAATATTCAAAAATAGCAAGAAAGGAATTAGGAATAATGACTCCTAAAAATAAAGTAATATATACGTTAAAAAAATTAGACAAAAACAATAGTGGGTATTTGAATGTAGACACAATGATATTTCTAGTTATGACCATGACTGATGTTTTATCAGATGAAGACTGCAACAATTTTAAGAAGTTTGTTGACCCTTATAATAAAAATTTTATATCCATAAATGAATTTGCGGAAAAAATTTTTTCTTGATCCCTATACTTTGAAAAAATTGGGTTAAAATATTACTTTTTAACTTTACGTTTATAATATATTAATGTGCACACGTTATTTACATTCACATAGAGAAGCAATCATTGTTGTTTTTTACCTATTGTTTCTTCTTTTTTCTTCATTTTTCTTCATTTTTTTCCTTTTTTTTTTTTTGCGTATATTTTTTCATGAATACCCGAGTAGTAAAATCCTCCTTTTATTGCACAAACCTTTTACTTTTGGATTGTTTAAAACGTCCCATTTAATTAAACCATTTTATTGATAAAAAAAAAAAAAAAAAAAAAAAAAAAGCGTTTCACGTGTTCATTGTAGTAATGAACTACTAAGCATAAAACACAAAAGAAGCACATTTGTAACTTGCCTCATTTGTGTCAAAAATTTAGCTGCAATCTTCAGTTAACTGATGATGCAAAATGTTATATCAAATGAAGATTAGTTACTAACAAATTTCAATATAACAAGGACAGAAACTTACATATGTGCATTCTCCTAACGCTATGTAAAGAACCAAATGTGTAGTATGCAATTTTGTAGATTAATTCAACATTGTAAAAATACTGTACAAAAATGTACACAAATACATGTTGAAAAAATAGGATAGTATAAGAAAAGAATTTTATGTGTTTCTCAAATTTTGTAAAAAAAAAAAAAAATAAAATAAATGTTTCTCTAATATAAAGAAATAATAAAATAAAAATTGTCTTTTTAAATACATAAGAAAAAATATATTTTTTCTTCGACCTACAGATTGATAATTTTTTCCTCATTAGGTATATCATTTTCAAGTATTGTCATATACCTTAACACATTTTAAAGGAGCTATTTTCTCTATTAGAAGTTGTAATCATATGTACCTCATTGTTCACATAAGATTATCTGTTTTTTTTTTTTTTTTTTTTTTTTCCTAAGAACATCTTAACTTTTCTGTTTTTAATGTGATGAAGTGCTTCATATATGTTTCGCCTTATTAGTGTTCATTTTCAATGTTCCCTTCTTTACTTATCAAATGGATCGAATTGTTTATACACGTTTTTATTTTGCTAATGTACTTAAATTTTATAAGTGCAAATATATAAATATATATACTTAAATATTTTTTTTTATATGCAGGAATATTCACTGATTTAGTGCGAAAGAGCAAGAATGTTTAAAATGAGGCTACTTAGTCTAGTGGTATGATTCTCTCTTAGGGTGGGAGAGGTCCCGGGTTCGATTCCCGGAGTAGCCCCTAGTTAAATTTTTAAATTAGCATTATATATATATTTATAGTTCATGAGAATAAATAATTAATCAAACTCAGGAAATAAAAAAGATATAGGTGTTTTTTTTTTAACTTTTTTATATAAACTTAGATATACATGTATATACAAACCATATTTAAATCTTTTATGTTAATAAGAAGAATGTACAAGTAGACTAATTTATTGTGCTCAAATAAAAAGAAATTAAATAAAAATCTTAATTTTTTTTTTTCCAATGGCTCTATAAAAATTTATCATTTACACAAATTCGATACATAAAAGCATGTTTGTTTTTATTTATATAAAGAAGCCTTATTACCATTTTGGATATTACTGAACTGTTATCATTGAAAAAGAGTACTTTCCTAATTTAAAATTTCATAAGTATTGAAATTGTTATAAAATGGTAAATTTTATTATTTTACTTTTTTATTTTTTTTTATTTTTTGTAAATTCATGGATGATGTGCCAAGTAATCAGGATGCATTGCTTGTTAGCTTACATCATAAAGCAAGGGAAAACATTATACATATGTATATATATATATGCTTTTTCATTTTTTAGCTTTAAAGATGAAAAAACATGTTTCTATTATCATCATATAAATATTATGGCATATAGTTATTACATTAACACACATGTTTAGGATTACTATATAGGCATTGTCATAAGCTATCTCTTCTACAATGTTTTTTTAAGATGTCTTTTTTTTTTTTTTCCTTTTTTGTGTAAACGGAAAAGATCCAATTAAAAGAATACACTTTATTTTACATAAGAACAAAATGAAAAAAGAAGAAGAAGCATATGTAGCAATATCAAGATTGATAAGTTGTAGTTTTTAATTATTTATATAAGGGATATTACAAATCGTGTTCCTCATAAATTAGATAACTCTTTTATATATGCAATAGGGGTGTCACATATTATTGTGTTAACTTTTGTTTTATCCCTAATGTTTTATCAAAGTTTCATGAATATATAATTAAAGCGGTAATATAATTAAAAATTTTGTGTTCACTACTTAATTTCTCTAGTCCCGTGGTTTTGCAGCCGGTGTTAACGTGATTTGCTATGAAATGTCACCCCAAGAAAAATTTTATATGTGAGAGAATTTCCCATGAATGTTGTTTTTTGAAATAATTCATAAGAAAAAAAAGTATGCGTAAATTTTGAGTAAAAAAATTTACAAAAAAAACCTGTATAGTAGATTTAATTGTCCCTGTGAAAAATGTTATTTAAAGATAGCATTATTTATTGAGCATTTTTATAAACATATTTTATTAATTCTAACGGAATTTGCTCATTTTTTTTTATCAAAAATAGATATATTTTATGCGAAAGGTAATAAAAATCATTACTTCCAAATCTTTATATTTTAAATTAAATTTCATTTTTTTTAATCGCAAATTAATATACTCTGGTGCTTTTAACAGGGACGGAAATGTTTTCACAAGATGCTGTTATTTTAATACAGGAAAAGAATAATATGACCATTCAAGTAGGTGTAAAATTTGACTCGTTCATACTACAGTGGCCACACCAGATCCCATCAGAACTCTGAAGTTAAGCACTGTAAGGCTTGGCCAGTACTGAGGTGGGAGACCGCTCGGGAACACTAGGTGATGAGTCAATTTCTTTTTATCCCAGCAGAAAAAAAAATTTATGCTTTTTATCCTATAATAATGAGAAGTTTTAATATAAAAATGCAAAAAAATATATTTTTATAATAAGGGATTTTCTATCCTCTATAATTTTGCTTCCTATTTAAAAAAAGAAAAAACTGAATTAAAGGATACAAAGATAATAAAAGCTTTAAAAATTTTATGTACTGTTGGGGTACACATAAAAATATCCCAATTAAAGCAATGATAAATTTTCATACGTTAAGAGGAGGAGGAATAGATTTTTATCACCGTTCGGAAATAAAGATGCATCATGGAAAATGGATCCCATATTTTTTCTTTTGGAAAAACGCTGACTTATTTTTTTTTATTCACTTATCCCAACAAAAGAAATTGCAATGTGGTAATTTTGAAATTGAAAAAAATATCTACTTATTAATATAACGGTTGCAGAATTCAAGTGGGCACTTATGTAGGGTTTAATTTTTAAATATGTTTTAAGGAAAAAATAATATGACCATTCAAGTAGGTGTAAAATTTGACTCGTTCATACTACAGTGGCCACACCAGATCCCATCAGAACTCTGAAGTTAAGCACTGTAAGGCTTGGCCAGTACTGAGGTGGGAGACCGCTCGGGAACACTAAGTGATGAGTCATTTTTTATTTATACCAGCAAAAAAGAATAAAATATATTTTTTTGTACTTATTGTTTTTTGGAATTTTTTTTTTATATTTTTATTAGAGAATAGCCTAATAGCTTCATATTAATATTTTTAAAATGTGAACAAAAGCTATAGTAAAAAAAAAGGAAAAAAAAAAAAAAATTAGAAAAAAACTTCTTGCGTTTAAAACTTATACTATAAGGATACAATACGATGACTTTTACACTTGTTAAATATTTTGTGAACAAAATTTAGTCACTTTTTTCTCTAAAATGAAAAATAGTTTTTCGTATGGTCCCTGAACCTTTTAGAATGATACCTAATGTTACTTCAAGTTATTTAAAATTTTCGTATAATTATAATTTTCCTTGATTTTTGGTAATCATAAATGGCTTTGGAACATTAAAGTTCTTATAGGTAGATAAATGCATAATATTGAGGGTATTTTATAGGTACACAATTGTGTAGTTCAAATTTCCATACATTAACAATGTCCCCACGTGAAAACATTTAGAGGACGAAAGAACCCCATAATTTTTTTAGGAACATGGTTCCAAAAGGCTGTTCTCCATGTATTCCATTATGATATTCAGAACAGTTAAACTGTTTCTCAGTTATTTAATCATTTTTCTTGGAATGCATGTTCTTGGTAAGATCATATCACTTATTCGTGCGAGGAAGTTTAAAGATTTTTTTTTTTTTTTTTATCAATTATATAATATTACAGTGTGATTAATTTTTTGATATTTGCCAACTTTGGGTTCATTTATGAAGCCCTTTTTTTATTTTATTGTTTTTTTCTATTACGCGATATTAAATGGATTTGACTAGTATCATTTTGTGTGGTTCAAAAAAGTAATACTAATTTTTCCGTTTAGATGATATGGTATACTAAGAGGTTTTATTTTTTCGCAGTGTGGTTCACGATACATAAATAAATTACTAAAAAGTGGGATAGGTATGATTCAACATATGCATATGGTTATGTTAATTATATGCACCCTTGTGGATATTTATACATGAACACGTATTTCTTGGATGAAAATCACTGTGAGCAGATTTTATTTTACTTATATATATAGCCTTATATATGCAATATGACCATTCAAATAGGAGTAAGGTTTGACTCGTTCATACTACAGTGGCCACACCAGATCCCATCAGAACTCTGAAGTTAAGCACTGTAAGGCTTGGCCAGTACTGAGGTGGGAGACCGCTCGGGAACACTAAGTGATGAGTCAATTTCTTTTTATCCCAGCAGAAAAAAAAATTTATGCTTTTTATCCTATAATATAATGAGAAGAAAATATTATTATTCTTACATTATTATATTTATTTAACATGGGAAAAACTTAAAAAGTTTTCTATTTGTTATATATGTATGTTAATACGGGGAAAATATAGAAACAGCGCGGCACCTTTTTTTAACCCCAAACCATTACACATACAATAGTTATATTAAAAAACAGAAATAATATATATATTTTTTTTTTTTTTTTTTGGCACTAAAGTGAAATATACTTTGCTTAACTTTTTATGGAATGGTCATTTTTTTATATTAACATCATGTTGCATTCACGAGTATTTATTTTTTGGTTGACCTTTTTTTTTTTTTTTTTTTTTTTTGTGTGAACAGAATAAGCAATCTATAAGATATGTACATTATAAGAATATTATTATATTGTCTAAAACAAATAAGAAATAAAGGGGTTATAAATATATATGCATGTTCATATATGTTACATATAAATATGAGACACTTTTATGGATCTGCAACTTTGCAAGAATCGAAGAAAAACGTAGATGTAGCGCAAGGCAATACAAGAAGAAATGTGTTCCATTTGTAAACATACTATAGTAATGTTAACGTTGTTCTAATTGCTTTGGAGAAGGCCAAAAAAAATGGGAGACATATAAAATAAGTATACGAACATGTACGTTCATATTGGTATGTATATATTATGTATACATCATGTATGTTTTTTTCACTAAGTATAAAAAAATTCATAAAAAAGGTAATCGCTACTGTAATAAGATTATGTTATGTTAATATATTACGGAATAATTCTATATTATATATACATGTACATATATTTTGTATATATATTTTTTTTTTTTTATATGGTGCTCTTTCTCTTGGGTTAAAAACAAAATCTAAGCACTTTCCTCTCTTCACGTGCTCTGAGAATACACAACTTTTAGCAGCATATATTTTTCTTCCATTTTATTTCTGAACATTCAAAATATATATTAAATCCACATAAAGTAGAGAATATATATTATTTATTAATACAAACTTCATATAACAATATATAGGGTTTATATCATAATACCGCAAAATATGGTTTAGTACATATATATATATATATATATATATATATATATATATGTAATAATAAAATAATAACTGACGGGTGGGGGCGGTTGTTTTTTACTTATACACCTTTCCCAATCTGCACACAATCACCCCCTCCTAACTCTACCCGCGTAATTATAATTAAGCCTCCTTAAATTACCTCTTTACCTCTTTCTTCTTTCTCTTTCACTTGAAAAAAAAGAATATATGGTGTACATACTTCCATGCAGGAGAGGATTCTGAAATATCTTGCCTAACTCAACCGTAATCTTCGCACCGTAAACATCAGCGACCACTGACCCTGCTCTGTTTCCAGCCTGAGGCGGTTTGCAGTTCATTATTACTTCAACATGTTCTCTTTCCAACAGTACATGTTCAGTAAACTGACACCTTGCGATAGACGGGAATTAAACTTTTGGATATTGAATATTCTTCTCCACATTGTAGCATCCCATAATATTTTGCAAATAAATTTGCATGTCCCTGATTGCTCAGTTACAGCGACGAAACCCCTAGAGGCCCGCAGCCGGACATATTCTTAATCTAAATCATAATATATGTATATGCTAAAAAAATTGCATTATGGTTCTTATTTTTTTTTTCGGCGGGGCGGAGGAGGAAGGAACTTAATTTTTTTTTTTTTTTTTTTTCCTTTCTTTTTGCAACGAAAATTAGAAAAATATTATTTTACATTGTTTTGCTATGTTGCGACATACTATGCTGAGTTGTGCAAAATTATTTTACTTATTTATTTTTGTTAGTTTTATTTCCAATTTTATTGTCACTTATATCGCCAATTATATTGCCAATTTTATTGTCAATTTATTTATTAGTTATTTATGTACTTACTTGTTTAGCTAATTTTTATATACACGTTTATTCATTTTTGTGACATTCGCGATTGCTACATCACAAAAGAGTATAAATTTTTCCTATTTACAGTTTTTCCCCCAATGCTGAAATAACTTTCATGTAGAATAAATGAAACGGAGTTATTTCTCCCATTTTGTATGCTTCATGTAAACGACATTTTTGCACATTTATAAATCATTCTTATATGACCATTCAGCATAACAACTTCATCAATAAGAAGACTGCTTTTATGACTATAAAATGCAACTATATATATATATATATATATATATGACAGTTACCATATATATATAAAGTGCCCTTTTATTAACCTTATTGTAAAGTTCACTACATCGCTACATAAACCTCTTTGCAATATCGTTTTAATTTTTTTTTTTTTTTTGCTTTTTTGTACGTGTTCATGTAAAGGATATAATACCACACAACATGTGGCAATTTCCAGGTGCACAGATACAAAAAAAATTTGTCTATACAAAACGAGCACAAACGAAAATATTGCATTTATTTTTATTTGGAAAACTCAATTTTTAAAAAAGCGTCTTTTTTCAACATGCCAGCAATTTTATACATACAAAAGGGCATATATATGTATGTATATATATATATATATATATGTATATGTTTAGCAAACTTCCCGAATGCACCACCTGAACCATCTGCACATAGGTAACTTTTTTTTAAAACTAAAATATTCACATAAAAACTGGCAATAAAATGTTATCACATTCACTACATATATGTGTAGGTGGAATCGCGTTGTATCTACATAAATATGTTCACGGGATTTGTAGGTCTAAAATATGTGTTCTTCACTACACTTTTGGGTAAATTTTCTTTACTGCATTAAATCCTCGATTTTCTTAATTCGTAAGAATTTAAGGAGAAATAGATTAAAAACCTTTTCATTAATTTTTATATTTAACAGAGTTGTAAAGATCTGTACATGTGCATATAAATAAATGCACATGTACAACCATAAAAACAAAACTATACATATCAAAGATGGAAAAATTACAAAGAGCAAGTTTTAAATGACAAAAAAAAAAAAAAAAAAGATATATATATATATATCTCTAAATCTACGTGTTTGAAGACGGTAAAATCATTTCCATGCGGAAAATGTGTACCTTTACAAACATTTCTCGAAATGAAAAATGTTATGTTGTATGCTTAACAAAAAAGTTAACATAGTATAGAGGAACTCAAAGAAAAAAAAAAAAAATCAGTATGCTTTCCTGGGAGGGGGAGACCGGAGTAGGAATCTACTTTATAAAAATTGCATCACTTTACTTTCCAAATCGGATATATCTTCTAAAAAAAAAAAAAAAAAAAATGGTTGATTAATTATTCATATATGTTGTGCCTCATCACTGAACATGCAAAATGGGGTCAATGCTAGGTCTCTACTACATAAAGGCATGTATATCTGTGTAAGTCGCGTATATATACACGTATGTATATATATATATATATATATATATATTTGCACGTGTGTGAGTACGGACAAATGCTTGCCGCTTTACCATTCACGTTTTCCTCCGGAACGGCTTTCATTTCCCCCTTACTTAGGATTTTCTTTTTCTTAGCTGCTTGATCATCTTCGGTGCATTCCGATTTTTCACTTGAGGTACCTATACTGTCTGAACTTGATGATTCTCTACTTTCATCAGTGGATACATTTGTCACATCATCTGAATATGATTGCCCATCTGAGGTAGCTGTAGAGTCCTTTTTTATTCGTATACATCGATCCTCATTTCGTAGTTTGCTAATTTTTCTTTTTTCATTGTCTCTTTCAATCTTTTTCTTTAACATCTGAATATACTTGGTTCCACTAGGGCTATTATTACTCTTACTATTATTACTCATCTTATCGTCTTCGTCATCACATTCTACAACTTCCACATCTTCTTCTTGATTTCCATTCAATTGGTTCACTAATATTTTTAACTTCACATTGTCGTCATTTATTTCATTTCCATAGTCATCGTACAAAACACTGTTGCTTAAAGTTTTCAGTACCTTTACACGTTTCTTCCTTTTTTTCGTTGGTAGCATTATTGGGGTGTGCTCTTCATATTCGGCTTCTTTTTGAGTAAATAAATTGTTATCCTCCTTTGTGTGTACATTTTGGATTTGTATACAACTACTTGTCCTCTTCTGTTTGTTATATTTTGGATCGTTTTTATATGTTCCTTCAATAGAGGGAGCGTTTTCGTTTTTATCATTTGTGTTATAGAGATCATTATTGTCCTGTTTGTTAGAAATTTGAGCAGAATTTTCTTTCCTCCTTTCCTCTTCGTTTCCTGCCCCCTCCTCCTCCTCCTCCTCTAGTACATGTTTTTTTCCCTCCTTTAACTTCTTCGCCTTGAGTATTTCCAAAAATTTTTCAAAACGTGACCTTTTTTTTTTAACTTGAACTTCTTGATTATTATTTATCCTAAGCTCATCCATCATGGAGGAAGAGAATTCGATGAGTCCATAGGAGTATGCCAACTGATTTAGATTCAGTTCTGTTATTCCTTTAAATTTCATCACAATATACAAATGTCTTAAATAGATTATTAAAGCCTTTTTGGCTAGATATTTTATGTCAACAAAAGCTGCATTTAGTGAATGTATTTTATTATTTATATCAAATAATTTATTTTTTTTAATAAACTTTTCTTTGATATCTATGTTATTTTCCTTAAGAATGTTTAAGAAAATTTTCTTGTTGTCAGTTTCTGTTGTCAAAAAGATAAGACTATTTCCTACGTTGGTAAATCTACCTGTTCTACCTGACCTGTGAATAAAAGTTTCGACATTTTCTGGGAAATCAAAATGTATAACCCAATCTACTGAAGCAAAATCTAATCCTCGACATGCAATATCTGTTGTGAATAGGCAAACAAAATTTCTTTTTTTTGAAAAGAAATGATATGTATTTAATCTAGATGTTTGTTTTAATTTCCCATGAAGTTGTAAAAATTTCATTACACCAACTTTGATCTTTCTGAAAACTTCATACATAAATCGAACTTGTTTACATGTTGAAAAAAAAACAATTACTTTTTTATTTTTCTTTGAAAATAAAAATGTATACAAATAATTAATTTTATTGTAAATATCACATTCAATGTAAATCTGTTTCACATTGTTACTTTCTATATATTTGTCATTGTCATTTATACTTACATATTCATAGTCTTTAATATTGAAGGTTCTCAATATTATGCCTAAAAATTTACAAATTGTGGCTGAAAATAAGCATATCTGGCAATTTTCTTTTGGCTTGTATAATAAAATATTCTTTAAATTATCATAAAAGCTGTTATCAATTAATTTATCTATTTCATCAATTATGAGAGTGCTTAAGTAGTCCAAATTGCAATAATAATTGTTTTCTAAGTGGTATAACAATCTTCCCGTCGTACACACAATGATATTTGCATAACTAAAAATAGATTTTTCTCTTTCTTCATCTTTTCCACCTATTGCACAACATATATTTAATTTGTGATATTTATTTAACATATTTAAAACTTCAAAAATTTGAAATACCAGCTCCCTCGTTGGAGTTATTATCATCCCACCCAAAATTCTATTATAACTATCAATACTATTTCTATACATTTTTTCAACCAAGGGGATACAGAAACATAGTGTTTTCCCAGTTCCTGTTTGTGCTTGTGCATAGATATGCTTATTTAACAGTACGATGGGGATTGATACAGCCTGTATGTTTGTCATATGCACAAAGTTGTTTTCACTTAGAGTTCTTAGGGTTCTTTTACTTAATGGAAGTGTCTTAAACTCATGCGCCGTCAAAACATTTTTGTCAATGATTGTTAAATTATTTTTAAAGCCATTTTTATTTTTGTCATTTTTCTTGCTCGTGCTATTGCGACTGGTGTTATTTTCATTTTCACCATTCCTTTCTCCATTTTTAAAACCTTTTTTGAGACCATCACCACTATGCTCGTCATTGTTGATATTGCTTTTCCATCGTTCCTCGTATTGTTTTCTTTTATTTTCTTGAACAACAAGTTCTAACTTTTCATCTATCTCTTTCTGCAGTTGGGCTCTTTCGTCCAGTTGGTCATACCCACCGTTGGTCTTCCCATGGTTTCTTATCTTATTCTTTTTTACTTTGTTTCCATAGTTTTTGTTAAAAATTTTTTTGGTTTGCATTGTCTTCCCATTTCTGCTATTTCCTGTCATGTTCAGATTTTTCCCCTTTTCTTTCTTTCTTGTTTTTTTTTTTTTTTTTTTTTTTTTTTTTTCTAGCTATTGGTATTATTCTAATAATATTTGCAATGTGGGCATCCTAACGTTTGTACGGGAAATAGGGGCGTTACAACTTGGGGGAGAGGGTTCATTTGGTGATTTGATTTAGAAACATGTGTTTATGTGCATATGTATATATGCATATATGTAAGCGTACGTCTCTTTTTACATGTGTCGGCATATGTGTTTACATATATATACATGTAAAATGATGTGATGTTTGTATTTTAAATAAATAAGTCCTTGGATTCGTTCGAACAAAAAGGAAATTACAAAAACAGCCTCCAAAGTAGTATATATAAATACTTTAAAAAATTTTCCTATGACTGAGCTATTTTTATTGAACACGTATGTCAGTAACTAGTTAATAATGGGGATGGCGAGTTATTTTATTTTTATATTTTTTTTCTCCTTATGATGTTGCATAAAAAATGGAAAAGGGGGGAAATGCTGAGATAAATAATTCGTTTTATTTTATTTTATTTTTTTTTTTTCTCCTTACTACTAATAATCACCTGTTAGAGATCAATTTAAATAAGTATTCTTTAAGATTTATTCTTTAAACTTTTATAAGGTGAAAACAGATAAATGCTTCTTATTTTTGCTTTGTTTTTTTTTTTTTTTTTTTTTTTTTTTTTTTTTTTTTTTTTTTTTTTTTTTTTTTTTTTTTTTTTTTTTTTTTTTTTTTTTTTTTTTTTTTTTTTTTGTTTTGCTTTGTTTTTACTTTTTTTATATTGCAACGGCACGATTCCCAAAAAAAAGGGGCAAAAGGAGTGGCTCTTATAATTCTGTTTAAACAAAATAAGGATATAAATATAGTTCATTTATTGAAAAATTTACAGAGGAATCCTTCCCCCCTCTTTTTTTTTTTTTTCTTTTTTGTCAAAAATTATTAAAAAATGTTTACGACCAATTGTTATTTTATGGTTCCTCATCTTTTTAAAAATAAATAATTCATGGGTAACAATTAAAAAAAAAAAAAAAAAAAAAGCAGTTAAAAATAAAATATTATAAAGACTATAATGTGATATATATATATATATATATATATATTTATATGTACGAGGAAATGTTAAAATATATGAACGTACATAACACATAAGTTCAAATTTAGGGAACATTAAAAACACTAAAAATATAAAGGTGATATACTTTCCTTTTTGCAGAAAGGGGGATAATATGGTAAGAAATTTTCCTTAAAAAAGCAGTGCCCCATGGGGAGAGGGAAGTGTGGCCATATAAAAAATAAAATCAAAGAAATGAAAGAAGTGAAGGGAATGAAAAAAGAAAAAAAAGAAAAAAAGGGCACACGTGATCCAATTAAAAATACTCAAAAATGTGTACACAAAGAAGCCAAATGGACAAGAAGTAAACAAAAAGCGAAAAAAAAAAAAAAAAAAAAAAAAAAGGTGATGCTTTAAAACATATTTAAAAGAAACGAATTGAGGAAACAAAAAAAATTTCATTTTGGTACATCGTTAAAATGTATGCATGCTGTATACACACATAATATATGTGCACCTATATTTATGTGCCAAATATGCACTAAATGTGTACCAAAAAATGAACAAATATGAGCTAACCTGTGTATATATGCAGCACACTTTCGTTGTACACCTGCACAGACAGATTTATAAAAAAAAGAAAAAAAAAATTCATCCAATACATGAGTGTACTTGAGCGATTTTATTCCTCGTCATGCTTTATAAATAACATTTTTTTCAATTCAATGGGTTCCACAGTGTCCAAGTGTGAAAAATTTGTGCTGTCAATATAATCCAGGTGCAATGCTGAGAATTCTGCAAACTTTGATTCATCCAATTTATCAGAAAAGGCATTTAAATAAATCGAGTATTTTTTTGTAGAAATGGATTCATATTTTAAGGAATTCATTTTATTAAGAGTTGTAAGTTCAATAGACTTGTCCAGAAGTTTTAAATCTATATTATGTTTAATAACTGATAAAAGGGTGTTCCTTTTTACCTTTAATTCTCCGATAACTTTGAGATATCTTTCTTCTCCTTGTTCATTTTTTAAACATAAAATGAAATCATTATTTGTACCATTTGATGTGTTTTCACTACTTTTGGAATATAAAAAGGAGTATAATTCCTTTTCTGTTTTTTTTATAAATTCACTTGATTCAGAAGTTTTTATTCTCTTATATGTACCCTCATTCCCCACCTGTTCATCTTTGCAATCATAAAACATTACCTGATTGTTGTCTGTTACTTTGCCACTTTTTGTCGGGGTTACCATTAAATTCTCATTAAAATCTGTGTTTAATTCTTTGTTTTTTTCCCCTCTCCCCCTTTCAATTTTGTTCTCATCTTGTGTGTCCATATCTTTGTAAGAAGTCTTTATAAGATGATGTTCTGTGGGTGCTTCGCAACAAACACTATTCTTTCTAATGTCGTGCGATTTCAAATAACATATTTTATCATTTTTTCCACTTGGCCCCTCTTTCTCTATAATATTTTTTCCTTCATGATTTTCATTACTTGCAAGCATATTCTCCTCCTCCGCCTTTTCAGTCTTCTCTGCATCCTTTCCCTCTTCCTCTGTTTTGTGCAAACTCGATTTCACATTTTCTGAATTGTAGTGATTCGTGTGCAAAGCTTTCTCTTCACAAACGTTGGCTGCATCTGGACCTTCGGGTCGAATGCCATGGGTGAACTCCTTATTCTGTATACAATTCCCGTAACTGCTCGAAGTTTTATCTTTTTCCTTTTCTGTTACCACTAAACTTTTGGTACCACTGATCCAAATGCTTGCCTGATCTGCATATGTTTTTTGATGACTGAGTGGCACATCCACGTCATGTCGAATGGGTGAAAAACTGGTGTTAAAAATGTTACATATATGGTTCATATGGTTCATGTGGTTCATATGGTTCATGTGGTTCATATGGTTCATGTGGTTCATATGGTTCATGTGGTTCATATGGTTCATGTGGTTCATATGGCTCATGTGGTTCATATGGCTCATGTGGTTCATATGGCTCATGTGATTTATTTGGCTCATGTGGCTCACATGGTTCACGTGGCTCATGTGATTCATATGCTTCATTTTGTTATGTTCACTTTGAGCGAGGTGAGATGGTTTCAATTTTTGTGGTGTGGAAGTTGATGATGAGTTATTCAAAATTGGAGTACCAGCATTAATGTAAATGCTCCGTTGAGTAGGACATTCCTTTGATACACTTTTATTTATCTCTTTACATAACTCAACACAAGCATTTAACAAGGTTACTGGTAGTTCTTTTGTATGATTGATGTTTTTAAATATTCCCTTGACTTTTTCTTCTTTTTTAATTGAATCCTTTATGCATAATGGAGAAATTCTACTTTGACAAATTTTGTTAATTTTTTTAATACTTTCATTAAATTGAGTATTGGGAGAATCTTCTTTTATCATTTTATTAATAGATGTAGAATTTTTAGTAATTTTTGTGTCTTCCACATTATTCTTTCTAGGAGTAATATTTAGATTAGCAAAGGAATTCAAATTATTCATATAATATATCGACTCATTCGATACAGAATTATGATTAATAATTAAAAATATCAAAATAGATATATTAGATTCTGCTTCTTCATTTTGATTATTTAGAGAAAAATTATTTGACACAATTTTACTGCGTTTTTCTTTTTCTGAATTTGTAATTGTCATGTTATGTATACAATTGTCTTTACTATAAATACATAAATTATTTATATTAAAAATATTCGCCATTTTGTTGTATTTAATTTTATAAATATATTTAGCATTTTTTTTATTTTCGATGTTTTCTATACCTAAGAATAGACTATCTTCATCTTTTACTTGGTCAATATCAACAACTGAATTGTTAAGAAAGGTAGAATTGCTTCTTGATTTATTAATAATAAATAAATTATATTTATTAATTTGTTTGTTTATATCACTGGAATGATTAATATTTTTTTCTACACATTTGCAAATTAATTCACATTGTTCTCCTTCAATATTTCCTCTTAAAACTAAATCACATTTTCTACTCGAAGAACCTATAACAAATTTTTGCTTTTTAATATTTATAACTTCTGATATTCCATTTAACTTTATTTTATTTTCTTCAACATTTCGTTTATCATTTCCATTACTTGTCATATTGATTCTTTCTAAAGAGTAAAATGCATTTTTCCCCCTCCCATAACTGTATATATTGTACTTGTTATTGGGGGTAAAATTACTATTATTTAGAGTGTTGTTTTTTATGAATTCATTTATGGATTTTTTTATTTGCTTATTCTTGATTACGATCATTTTTTTCCTTTGTTTTTTAGGATTATCCATTGTACAATTCATTTTAGTTACATCATTTTTTCCATTCGTGTATGTGGTTGCATCCCTACATTTTAATTTTTTCTGCAAAAATATTTCATCGTTTGAGTCAATCTTTGTTCCATTTTTTATTTCATCATTCATTTGGTTATCATTCACAATTGACAATTTTCCCTTTTCGAGTTTATTTTTTTCCTTAGCATGAATATTATTTTTAATTCTCATTTTGCATGCCGTGTGAGAGTTGTTATTTTTACTGTATTTTGATTCCTCTTTTTTATTGGATAAGATAGTTGACTTTTTTATCATAGTTTGACATTTTTTTTCTTTTATCATCATTGTATTGTAAGAATTCTTATTGTTGAATTTTCCCTTTATTCTTGTCTTTTTTGAGTTCATACTACTCTTGTTTATCAGTACATTTTTTTTCAGATTTAATAATTCTAGTACTTTGTTATCAATTTTCTTATTGCCCTCTTTTTGACTTTTTTCATGTTTACTAATTAGTGGACTATTTTTTCCAAATATTATTGTATTTTCTTTTTTATCATTTGTTGCTTCAGTTCTATTCACAATAATGGGATCTCTACTACTTCTGCTTTGCATGCCTGTGTATTCTTCACTCCACTTTTGAGAGCTCCTTTTTTTCCATTTGTCTTTATCTCTATCTAGAGCATTTTCCTTAAGTTTAACCTTGAAAATTGACTTTAAGCTTGTATTTTTTCCTTGAGTTTTATTCCCATTCCTGTTGCTATTGTTTAATTTATCACTACTAGTTGTATCTCGAATAGACGACCTTTTCTCATTAAGTGTGGTTTTATTTCCATTTCGATTCAAAAGTCTGTTACTTCTTCTTCTCTCTGTAGAGTAATTTCCATAAATTTCTTTTTTTTTTTTTTCTCCCTCTTCATTTTGCGTGTACTTATTTTTAATATCTTTGTTTTTTATCATCACGTGGTTTTCATTTTTTTCTTGGCCCTGTTTGTCACTATCTAGCGTCATGTTTATATTTTCTGTTATGTTCGTTCCTCTGTTTTTGTCTACACACGTCGTCAATTTTTTTTTCTTTATATTGAACTCGTTCTTGCTAGCACTTAAGTTTAGCTAACTAGTCACCTGATCTCTTCTGTTAAAATCTTGTCCTTGCTAACCCCTTTTTTAGCCCCTTTTTTAGTCCCTTTTTTAGCCCCTTTTTTATTCCCTTTTTTAGTCCCTTTTTTTATATTTTTTTTTTTTACTCTTTGTTTCGACCCGTACTGATGAACTAAGCTTATTTTTATTTTGTACTCCCTGTTGTATTTTGTCTTTCCTTCCCTTTTCCTTCCTTTCGATAGTGCAAAGGTGTCAAGAATTAGCAGCTTTTTCAAAACGCACACGGGCGAATATACGCCTCAATTTTGTTCATACCGTGTGTGCAGATATAAACCTGTATAAATAACACTCACATCCTTGTGCATATGTACTATATATATGTATTAAAAAAAAAAAAAAAGAACAAAAAAAAAATAAAAAGATGAATGAATTCTTGATATGCTCACCATTGAAGTAATTTCAAATTAAGGTGAGGAGGGTGTGTGTACGTGTGTGAGAGGTCATGTGTGGTTGTGACATTTTACACTTGTGCAAAATACAGATAAAACATGCACAAACATGTTACGCCTTATGAGTGCAAGGCTTGAGGGCGTGTGTATATTTGAAAATTGGTGTTACAATGGGTAAATAGTTGACAACAAAAATTAAGGGGAATTGAACAAGTTTGGGTGGTAAATTTGTGCTGGCTATGTTTTAAAATGTTAAAAAAGTAAGGAAAAATGAGTGCAACTTTGAAACCAAATGGATGCAAATTGGATACAAAATGGATGCAACTTTGAAACACAATGGAGGCAAATTTGATACAAATTAAATACAAAATGAAAGTAAACAGAGCGTATAACAAAACCAAAAAAAGAAACAGGAAAAAAAAAGAAAAAAAAAACTGTTAAAAGCTAAAATAGCGCATATTTTTTTTTTTTTTTTTTTTTTTTCACCGATTTGACACTTCTTTTTCACGAGGCAGGAAGGTGTGTATGCTAAAAATTATAAGATAAAAATTTAAAGACGAGAATAAGGGTTATAAAACCCAATAAAGCAGATTAAAAAGGGGAAATTTAATGGGAGAATTAAAAAATGGAAAACGAAAAATGATTGTGAGGTGGTGAATGAAAAACATAATTTTCAGTATAGCAAAATGGTACGAAAACGTGTTCGTTTCTATCAAAAAATGTAGCAAAAAATTATAAATTTTTTATTTCTTTTTCTTTTCCTCTTTCACTTTTTTTTTTTTTTTTTTTTTTTTAAATTGACAATTAACACTCAACTGCTCCGTGTGCCTAAAAAGTTCCATTCCATTAGTTGCAACTTTTTTTTTTTTTTTTCCCATTTATGCAAGAACTGTCTTTTTGAAAGAACTCCCTCCGCTCTTTTGGCTACTGGGATGGAAATATTCGTACACAGAACTCGCACATGTCCTTTTATTTGTTTTTCTTTTTGCTGAACATGTAAATCAAGCCATAAAAAAAAAATATTTTTTACAATTTGTGATATGATAAGTACATACAAAAATAAAAAAAAAAATAAAGAAAAATATTAAAGGATTTAAAAGTAACATTGATTTTCTCCCAGGTATACTCCGTTTTGTTAAACATTATTTTGTTTTATTTCACTACACTTATTCGTTCTGTGATTCTCTTTGCTGCGTACACTACTTAGAAACACATTTGAAGGGATCCTCCCAAAAAATGGAACATTCAAAAGGGCATTACCAAGTATAGAATTTTTAAGGGTCAAGTGTGTAGAAAAAAAAAAAAAAAAAAAAAAAAAACATTTAGGCAGACAGATAACTAGCTGAACTATGGCCAAACTGGCAATCCCAGTAAAAACCAAGTAGCCAATGAAAAGAACAAATCGTTTTGTTTACACATGTTAAGAATAGTTTCTTCACTTTTTTCTCTTTTGCACACAAAAATACATAAATCGTTCAAAAAGCTGAAAAGCAGAAATATATCACATTTCAGTGGATTATTTACCACTTTCACGTTTATTCATTATACACACGAATTGGCGAGGCATATAAGAAGCACTTATGCATGGCCGCACAGACAATTATCAACATAACATGTGAGAACAAGCTCAAGATTTGCAAGCATAACATGCATATTCACTCTTTTGCATTTGTTGAAAAAAATGTATTTTATTTGTACAAATGAAGCTAACAAAACCGAAAGAGGAACATATACACAGTTTTGTAAAAACTAGTACTGTACAATTTTACCAGACATTTTACCCCTCGTCTTAAGTCCCCATGTGATAAGCCAAAATTTTGGGAAAAAGAAAAATTTTCATTTCAACTTAATATTACCTACATTTGTAATTATCCGTATTATGTACAACTAAATATAGGAATAAGTAATGTTTATTTTTTTAGTCCAATGACACAGTTATATATGTTGCGATTGAAGAAGGATAGAGGAGGAAAATTTATTTTTTCACAGGGGTAATAATATTAACTTTGTTTTTACTAATATATGAATTTTATATCATTTTAGCTTTTTACCCTTAACAAGTGTTTCACATTTGCGTATAAACATATTGACAAATTTTATTTTGTAACCTTTTGTTTAATATTTTGCAAAAAATGATATGCATATGATCTTTTCATCAATAGTGAAATATAAGTGGGTAAGGTGATCAATTTTTTTCTTTTTTTTTTCTTTTCCCTTTTCCCTAATCCTAGGAGAGTTGATCGAACAATGCAATACATAAGGAGGAGGAGGCGGATGCGATTTTTTCCTCCGAACAAAATCCTTCATAGTAAAAAAAAAAAAAAAATATATAAAATAATAAACTAATAATAAATTAGGATTGGGTGGTCATACATATTCTTATATATATACGTCTATTTTATGAGAGCTATAAAATGAATAGTCTGTTGATGACAATTTCGCAGCTTTGATAGGGTTTTCCAACGCTCTTCCACTGTTTCCTTGTGCCCCTGTAGACATATGAACGTCAACACGAACATAGACATTTATATAAATTTTTCATAAATAAAAAAAAAAAAAAATGAAACGATGAAGGGGTAAAATTTTCAGAATAAAAACAATACAATTTTGGCTTAACATTTTTTTTATTACCACGTTCTGTTCTTCCCCTACCTCATTTACCTATCTTGAAATAATTTCGAATATGCCTCTTCTTAACGGACATAAGACTGTTGTTTATTCTGCATATATAAAAATAGGAAAATGGTATGACTTCAAGTTCAGGGTACCAATAATTTTTATAAAAAAAAAATATATATATATTAAAATAAAGCAAATTAAAAACTTTAAAGTAGGGGCAGGGATATAGTTTTCCCTGTTTTTTTTTTTTTTTTTTTTTTTTTTTTTTTCAAATGTGTTAAACATATACCCTATCTGCACGTTAAGATTAATAATAAGAAAAGATGACTCCTAAAAGTTTCATATTATTTCCCGACATTTAAAAGTGCATACAAAAAAAGAAAAAAATAATAATAAACTCATTAGCATTACAACAAAAATAAATGCAGTTGTTTTGGAAGGAAAGAAACGGAAAAAAAAATGAATAGAGGTAGAAGCAATTTTTTAGTATTTTCAAATTGAAAACTGAAGAAAAATAGTACTAATGTGAAGTTATAAAAAGGATTCGAAAACATGTGACAAAAAAAGTGATTTATTTGATTAAAGAAAAAAAAAAAAAAAAAATGAATAATTGGCAAATTTTTTTTTTCTTTTTTTTTTTTTTTTTTTTACATGTAATGAGCATATCACATACATGTTATAAAAAAAGATTATGAATTAGATAATTCGCAAAATGCATCAGAACGATGAAGAAGAACAAAGACGTGAGGAGGAATGCCAAAAAACTCCCTTCACACAGTTAAACTTGGATGAGTCTATAATATTTTCGTTGCTTATTCAAAAGTACCTTTTTTGTGCCAGAATACAAGAAAAGGCCATACCCCATATTGAGAAAAATAGAAATGTTCTTCTTCATTCCGAAACAGGGAGTGGGAAAACCTTATGTTTCGTTATTCCCATATTACAAAATTTTATAAAATCTAAAGTGGGCAATATACAAAGGGAGTATTTGAACGCACAGAATTATAGGGAAGATAGAGAAAAAGACGTAGATAATGATAGTTTTTACAATGAAGATAGTATGAAATGCATTTACAAACATTTTGAAAATGTAGATGTAGAAAAGGGGTTTCCTCATATTGACATAAATGTGGAAATGTTTATTCAGTACAGCAAGAACATTTTGGAAAGAAAAGAAAATGGGGATAAAAAAGAAAGTGGAAAAACAAAAGTAGGTATAGGAGGATGTAACAAAAATGAACTTCAGATAAGGAGAAATAACCTATACTACGAGAGAATAAAAGACGACATAAAAAAGGCTATATGTTGTAGTCAAAATGAGAATAAGAAAAATCAATTTATACATGTGAATGGAATTATTGTTGCCCCTACGAGAGAATTATGCATCCAAATTTATGATGTAGTAAAGAAATTTTTATTCTTCATAAGATTATATTTTGGTAAAAAATTCAACATAAATTTGAACGAATTAGATAAGGACAATTTTTTTATAAACACATTATTATTTAGAGGTGCAATCAAAATTGACGAAGATTTAAAAATCATAAAAAATGAAAAAAAAAAAAAAAACAGATATCAAATTATTGTGGCAACTCCCGGGAAATTATCAACTCTGCTTAATGAATATAATTCCCATTTTGATACCAGTGAATTAAAATATTTCATACTAGATGAAGGGGACAAATTATTGGAGGAAAGTTTTTTAAATTATGTGAAGGAAATAGTTAGGAATATTGTCTCAAAGGATTATGCCACCTGTATATGCAGTGCTACATGTCTTCACGAAGAGAAGTTTTACAATTTATTTTCTAATAAGAAGAAAAATTTCACAAAGTGTGTTATCGGTGTTGATATAAGTAATTCAAAAAAGTCTACAAATATTATCAAGTTAAATAATAGCCCTTGTGATAAGAATGAAATTGATGACAACACTAATGAAGAAATATGTGACGCAAGCAACACATTCCAATTGCCAACTAAAATTGAGAACTATTACATCACGGTTAGAAATATAGATAAGAGCTTTTTCCTTTTCAAATTTGTAAACACAGTTGTGCAAGAGGGAGAATCTGTAATAATATTTTTCCCTACCTGCTTTTGTGTGGATTATTTTTTTCATTTATTCAAAAATGTACTAAACACGGAGAATAAAAGTGTAAGAGAAATATTTAACAATGTTGTAAGTCTTAACAGTAGACATAAAAATATATACAACGAATTTGAACTTGCTTTATTTTGCAAGATGATTTGTTATATTCATAAATATATGGATAAGAAGAAATTTTCTCTTTTAAGAATCCACAGAAAGATGAAAGATAAAAAAAGAATAAGTGCATATAAAAAAATAAAAGAAAATAAGAATAAACGGAGAATAAAAATTATTTTGTGCACAGACATTATGAGCAGAGGAATTAATATCGATATTCATTGGGTCATAAATTATGATGTTGCAAATAAAAATATGACTTATATTCATAGGAGTGGTAGAACAGGCAGATTTGATAAAAGGGGGAAAAATATTATTCTCTTAAACAAAAAAGAAAAAGAATACATATACTTTTTGAAAAATAAAAAAGTGAATATAACAAATTTTAAAAAGACGCACATGTTTCAAGGCATGTTAAAATATGAATCTCTTTTAGCTCAAAATGAAAATGTTTTGGAAGTACAAGCTTTGAAAATGATGAACAGAAAAAAAGAGGATCTCATAAAACCTAATACTCTTAATGTTTTTTCCTTCTATCGAAATGGTAAGGAAAAACATGTACAAAACAAAGGAATAAAAAAAAAAAAAAAAAAACTCATCGGTTGTACTAACGGTAACTGTGGTAGTAGTAGTAGTACCCCCCACGCCCAAGGCGACGGCAAAGGGGATATATCCAAAGTGTATAATTTGAATAAAAGAAAGGAAAATATTATTTTACTGAACAATATGGTGAACTTATTTTTAAAGTTTATAATTTTTTTCATCATAGAGAATAGAGAAATATATCTACTCTCAACGAAGGCCTTTTTGTCCTACATAGAATTTTATAAAAACCATCAGTTAAATTTTCTCTTTCCTTTTCACAATTTAAATTTGGCTCATTTGTGTTACTCCTTTGCATTGGTCAAGATTCCTAAATTTAAGGAAAAGAGCAACATTAAAAATTTCAAAAAAATTAACCTGAATACATTTGACATACCATACAGGAATGAACAAAAGGAGGAAGAACGACAGGCAGCAATCATAAAACGTTTGAAACGTTTGGGGAATAAGGACAGTGAGGAAATTAAGGAGCGTATGATGGATCACAATGCGAGAAATGAAAGAAGCGGTACGAGCAAGACAAGCGAAACAGGCGAAACAGGCGAAACAGGTGAAACAGGCGAAACTCGGAGTCATCACTCGTCCACTTATCACCAGCCAAAGGTTCACAAACAAAAGCACGAGAAAAAAAAACAAAAAAAAAGAAAAACAATTGTTCAAAAAAAACACGAAAAAAGAGACATGGAGGAAAACGAAATCGAGTCTTTATTTTTTGAAGAAAATTTATATAAAAAATTAAAAAAAAAAAAAATAACTAAAGAGGAGTATGACAGATTATTGAACATGGAAAATGTGGACAAATTATTTACTGCAACACCCAATAGGGGCAAAAACAAAACTGTTCACTATAAAAACCAAGTATCGTCATCAATAAGGAAAAAGAGTAAAAAAAAGCAAAAATTGTATAACGTGAAGGTGAAGAAAAGACGAAAGAGTGCTGGTAAACGGAGGTGACTCGCAAGGGTGGGGGGGGGGGGAAAGGCAGTAATAACACATGAAGATTAGTCAGTCCCTATTATGCTTTTTTTTCTTTTTTTTTTTTTTTTTCATATATGTGCACATTATGTGGGGTAAATCGATGATTTATATGCCCAATTAGCGTGGCCTTTGCATATATACATTACAACTGTACAAATTTGAAGTTTTTTTTCTCGTTTTTTTTTTTCGTCTCCCTAAAGTCATAAATATACACATGCATACGTTCATTTTACGTATGTTATGCTTTTTTTTTTTTTTTTTTTTATATTAAACAGTTTAAATGGATTTATAAGGGGAACGACCATCTTATGTAGTTCATTTCTTACCCCCATGAGTAACTTTTTTTTTTTTTTCTATCATATTTGGAACCAGAACAAGACGAGATGATGTATAAGTGTAGATCTTCATATATCCATTCTGTCTAACAACTGACATGTTACGGTGGAAAAGTAATAATTTTTCCTTACATTCCCCGTTCAGATGCACAATTTTGTATAAACTAAAAAAAACCAAGATGTTTTTCTCTCCCTCTCTATATCTATATCTATATATATATATATATATTAAATGTAAATTCAAGTGTCACCAGATTATGCAATAGGTGTATATCCGTAGTAGCCATTTTATTATGAACTGTTCAGAATTTTTATTTTTTATTAGAAAAAAAAAAAAAAAAGGGAAAGGGAAAGGACGTAAGAAAGGACGTGAGATAGGACGCACGAAGGGACAGAAGAAAGGCAAAAAATAGTAAATTGTGTCAATTTAAAATATAACAAAAAAATATTGTTAAATAAAATAAATTCAAAAAAGGAATAGTAAAAAATTCATATTCTTAAATATGAATAAATGTGAGAGAAAGTGCTAAATTTATAATGTATGTAAAAGAAGTGGTGTGTACATAGGCCGTGGGCTAGAGTGTTTGAAAATATTATTTTATTCTGAATGGTCAGGTATGTGTGAATGTACACACATACATACGTGCATGCACACACACACAACCACAAACAGGTATACATATAATACAAGTCACTATGAGGGGAAAATGACGCACACTCATGGGAATAACACGTGTGTGGATAAACTAATTGATAATATTAATAAACAAAGTGGATAAATAAATGCGAATTAAGTTCAAAAGAAAGCCAGCATTTTAGTACAAGGAACACACACATAAAAAAAAAAAAAAAAAAAAAAGAATAAAAAGAAAAAAGAAAAAAAAAAAAGAAAAAAAGAAAAAAGTTACAAATGAGGGATATATCTACAGAATAAAAAAACACAAATGTATGTATATAACATTTCGAAGTACATAAAACCCCATTTTAGCAGAAATTTTGTAATGTTGGAAAAATGAAATTGGCACAGCTCTGGATGAGGGATCATAATGAATTTCATATATGGCAGTTCTATGTGCTGCGCACAGTAGAAAGTTCATCTAAAGAAATTTGTTTGAAAAGAAATACATATGTGCATGCAAATATTCATACAAACTCGCATTGAAATCACTGCACTACGCTTCCCTAGATAAAACAATGGTAGAGGCGTACAGATCATCGCTATAATACTTGTTTACGAAGGTGAAAAATTTATCCTTGTTAATTACGCCTTTTCCATTAATGTTCTGTATTATGTCAAGGTTGTTTACCTTATCTTTAAACATCTTTTGGTTAAACAAGTCCAATATAACAACTTCTGTAGTGCTGTTAACTGTGCATAATTTTTTTAAAGCCTCGTACTTTTTATCATTATTGAGCAGAAAGTAGAAATTAATTTTTTTTCCCTTTCTGTTATTATTATACTCACCAATTAATTCGTTATACTGTTTTAGCAAATCGAAATCTAGCTTTTCACTGAATAAAATAAAAATTGGTGCGAAAACATTTAAATTGGTTAAATTGCTAATATTATCATATTTAAACATATAGTTTTTTTCATTAACTTCTTCCTTTAAGCTTTTATGATTATTTAAAATAAAGCTAGCTATTTCGTTTTCCTTTTTCTCTACATGAATGTATTTAATTATAATATTCCCCTTCTTATTCACCAAAATGCAAACAGGTTTAAATGTCACATCAAACATATCGTACAGCAAGAGTTTGTAAATTGCATTATTTTCTTGCTCTCCCAAATAATAAACATCATCTATGTAATTTTCCATTTGATCTTCTTCCCTAGAGTATTGACTACTACTGCGAATAGGGGTGTGTTCTTCTCCCGTAGGATCTTTTTTTCCCTCTTCTAATTTTTCTTCCTTTTTATTTGAACTGGATAAGCTTTTGTCGTTGTCACTTTGATTAGAAACTTTTTTCTCATCCACTTTTGCATCTTCCTTTCCATCCTTTTTGGATTTCATTTTTTCCATATCTTTTACAAAAATGATATCTATCTTAACATTTTGGGAGGCTAGTTTCTTCTTTACCTTTAAGAGGGACTGGATGTCTCCTTTATTCTCTTTGTCATTGTTAAAATAGAACAAGACATAATCTGAATTTAATTTTTTAAAATCGTGTTTTTTATTATTTTTGTCATATAACGAATTGATATAAGTCAAATGGTTAACATTTTTATAGGGAAAATGTTTACTCTCATACAAGAGTAAATAATTTATATTATCGTTTATTATATTCATATTTTTATCTAGTAAAACCATTGTTGGTATGTTCATAATATTATAATTTTTAATTAATTTTAATATATGTTTCTTATCGTGAAATAATATACTATACCAATTATTCATTGTGCTAAAATGTTTAATATTAAATAATAGTTTGCTATCTAATGGAACGTACACAACATTGACGTTATTTTTTTTGTTAATGTCCTTATATATTTCCTTTAACCTTTCAACATAAGTTTTAATATTTCTTGCGTGTAAAAATTTATCCACATTATACGAATGAAAAAATAATATGGTGTATTCATTTGTGCTATTTTTTGTGCCTACTTTTTTTACATTCATGTAAAAATTTATCAAGGCTAGTATATTATTATATACACTACTAATAATGTAAAAAATGTTATATGGCTTTTCCTCATCGTAGTGGTTTCCAAGTTGTAAATTTTTTTCATGTTTATATAGATACTTTCCCAAAATTTTTTCTGATACATTTAAATTTTGATTATCATTTTTTATTTTGTTGTATATCATATAAGTCGCTAAGAATAAGGGGATGGATAATCCAGATACTCCCATGAGACCTGCGAAAGAGACCTTCCTCAGTGGGCACTTTTGTTTCCTCGCATTTCCGTCCAGCAGATTTCTCTTTCCTTCTTTGTCTTTGTTTCTTGCCAGGTCCACATATGCAAATCTAATATGGGTTAAGAAGAGGATTAATCAGTTGGGTGTACGTGCTGTGTCTAAGTGGTGAAATCAAATGGCATTGATAAGACAACCCTATATAACATGGCAATGTAAATTAATACACATAAATAATGCACATAAATAATGCACATAAATAATGCACATAAATAATGCACATAAAAAATGCACATAAATAATGCACATAAAAAATGCACATAAATAATGCACATAAATAATACACATAAATAATGCACATATATGTGAACACATACAAGGATACGAATTCTTTTTTTTTTTTTTTTTTTTTTTCATCTTTCATACTTTCTCTGTTGGTTGGACTTCCACGCTGTTGGTGCATTTGCGTGGCTTATGGTAAAAAAATTTTTATGGCTGACCTAGGGAGAAAAAGGCAAAAAAAGGAAAATTACGAACATGTATAAGAGTGTGTTAGGGTTATATATTCCACGGGGTAATGATGGGTAAGCACGTCTGTCTGATGAATCTAAGCATATTATACATATATGTATACGAGTGTTTATATATACACCCTTTTTGCGTTATAGTGTGCTTTCTCCCTCATCTTACCGCATTCACATTATTTAAACAAATTGTAAAAACTAGGAAAATAAAAAAAATATATATTCTTATCATTCTATGGAGAAAAGGAGTAAAGATGTTCGACTAAATTTCCTACTAGTGCCTTTACGTCTGTTTTTCCTTGCCTTTTTGTTATGCTTTTCTAAGTACGGTTATTGATTGTTATTTTTTTTTTTTCTCCCCTTAAAATTTTCAATTTCTTCTTCTTCTTCTTCCGTTCTATGTTCTTATTTTGTTCCCTTTTCAATTCACAACTTTTCCCCTTTTTCTCTTATTAGCACCTTTGTAAATATATATGTGTTCGACCACTTTTCTCGTTGTTTGCATACTTTGTCTCTCCTCCCGTTCGCGAGCTGATTGGTTTCACCCCTCCTAACCTTCACACTTTATTTGCATATGGTTACGTAGCCACATCTACTACTGCTACCAGTGCTGCTATCTTGGCAACCTCTACTACCTTGGGTGATCCCCTCTTCAATTCGTTTTTCCCCAGTTTTTTTTATTTTATTTTATTTTTTTTTTTTTTTTTTTTTACTCTTTCGTTAAACTTTTTATTTTGAACTTAAGTTCTGGTTTTATGCTTGAAAAAGGTTCAAATGATTGTAAGTTGTGAACAAACTTGATAAAAAGATATTAAAAGGTGCTTTTATATTTTAACGTCAAAAAAGGGAAAAAAAAAAAAAAAAAAAAAAAAAATTTCAATTTGCAATTCCTGAAAACAAAATTGGTACGATTATTTTTTTTCATTCTAAAATCACAAGTGAACTCAAGTGAAGGGTAAAACGGTAAATGAGAAGGTGCTCCCTTTGTGTTGGTGCATATATTTATGTAGGTATTATATATATATATGTATATGCATATGTTCGTGTAACATGTATATTCATAAGTACAGTATGCTCAACTTTTTAGGTATTCTAAGTCATGAACACAAGAGTATGGCACATAACACCGTCACTGTAGTTAGGGTGGGTTAACCTCTCTCTTCATGTTCTTTGCTACACTCTCCCCTCATGGAATCGGAGTTGTATGCACATATATGTTTACATAATAACATTTTACTTGTGTACAAAGTATCAAGTAAGGGCAATGGAACTTGTAAATTTTTTTTTTAGAACAAATTCAACATCAATTTATTGTGAAAATGGATTATATGTGCTGCTAAGAGGTGTAATGTTTTTTTTTTTTTTTTTTTTTGTTTTCTTCCCTTTGACGTGTGTAAATTAATTTGCACAATTTAAACGGCAAAAAAGTCAAAGTGGTAAAGTGCAAAAAAAAAAAAAAAAAAAAAAAAAGAATAGAATGTTTAAATGGATCAATTGAAAAGGGAAATATTAAAGTGAGATATAACAAGGCATAATTTTTTTCACCACTTCATTTATTCCTATGTATCTATATTAGTGTCCGCATGTGTTGTGCAAAATGTAAGGGAATACCAATAAATGGTATAAGGTTGCGTGTATGACGAAAGTGCCAAAAAAGTGAGGTGAGAATTTCGCTGGGCAAAAGAGGTCGATCATGTGAATAAAATTTAGTTCCGTGTTTATGCTAATTTAACAGGACGACCAAAAAAGAAAATAAATAAATAAAATAACGAATCAGAGAAAGAATAAAAGGAAGAATGAGAGGAAGAATTAGAGAAACGATAAAAGGAAAAATAAAAACAAATGTGGATTCAAGAATGATGTGCTTTTTTTTTTTTTTTTTACTTTATTTTTTGTTCCTCAAAAATGTATGCAATATACAGTACATTACAACGAGGTGATCACTTTTCAAACGCTTTTTGTACAAGGATGTTTTTTTTTTTTTTTTACTTTATATTTTTTTTTTCATTTCATTTTATTTTTTTTCAAAGTATACATTTAAAACGCCTTATCAAATTCCGATGTACTTATAAATAATATCATTTTTATATGTAGCAAAAACTAGCATAAATGTTTAAATGTTTTAAATCAGAGCACGTTATAGAACTTCTTCATTCATCATCAGGGGAATGCTACATCATGTAGTAATTGTTTTGTTACACAGTTTCTTTTCAATACCTTACACTCAAATAACTTCATTAAGAGTGAATCATTTTTTTAAAGCTTTATTATTTCTACCCAACATCACCAACCAGTTTCTTCAAAAACACACAGTTGTTCACGTCAAACTGGACCAAAATTTTTTCTCCTTTTCTCTGCTTAAATTGAAATTGCTGCTATTTTATGTTTATGTATATATTGTGCCTATGCCTCCCTTCCTCAATAGTGTTTCATTTTCTTCTTCATTTTTGTTTTTTTCCATATCTTACACTAAGGTGTTATTGGCATTAAGTGTGTTTTTTTTATTAGTGCACACTTGTCTGTTTATGTTGTTCAGCGAGCGCATATTATATTTTTTTTTTTTTTTTTTTTTTTTTTTTTTGCGACCATTTCATAAAATTCAGAACGTTGCATGGGATGTCAAGGAAATACACTAACTGGAATTCCAACTAAGCACATAACTGATTTGTTTAGTTAAATTTATTTTATTTTATTTATTTTTTTTTTTTTTTGTTCGAGATCCTTCACATCACCCACAACTGAAAAAGGACCTTAATAGATATATATACACAAAAAGGAGGGGGAGAAAAAAAAAAAAAAAAAATTAAGTAAGAAGGGTAGATAGCCATCCAACATATGTATCAAAATACATGTACAAAATTTTTTAGCAATTAATACATGTACTACTCTTGTGCTTAGAGATAATCTCAGTGTATTATTTAATTCGCTGAAGGCTATCCTTTATTGACAAATTTCATTACACATTACATTTGTGCAAGCGTCTCACTGTAGTTATAGTGAGAGAACAGATGAAAAACTTGTGCTAACTTTTTTTTTTTTTTTTTTGAATACGTATGTGTAGATCTGTCAATATATAATTGTGTGTGCATAAATATATTTTTTTTCTTTTGAGAATCTGAAAAAGTTCTTCCAGTGTTTTTCTCACCACAGCAGAATGCCGGAAGAGATAATCCTATACTACTTCGACGCAAGGTAAGAATGTGAAAAAAAAAAAAAAAAACAGATAGTAGAGGGTTAAAGAGAGATAGCTAGAATGAGAACAAAAACAAGTACATACGCATATACACATACGTGCAAGATAATTATATGTTCACAAAAATTTTTGACGCTTGTTTTGTTATGTATCTTAAGGATATGTTTCATAGACACATACACATTATACATGTGTTCCACCACCACCCCGTAACTCACACGTAGAGGGAAGGCTGAGCTCATTAGGCTTATTTTTGCTTATCTAGGAATCAAATATACAGACAAAAGATTTGGAGAAAATGGAGATGCATTTATCGAATTCAAAAATTTTAAAAAAGAAAAAGAAATTCCGTTCAACCAAGTGCCAATCCTAGAAATAGACAATGTAATATTTGCACAAAGTCAAGCTATAGTTCGATATTTGTCAAAAAAGTATAAAATAAGTGGAAATAGTGAACTGAACGAATTTTATGCGGATATGATATTTTGTGGGGTACAAGATATTCATTATAAATTTAATAACACAAATTTATTTAAACAAAATGAGACAACTTTTCTTAATGAAGAATTACCAAAGTGGTCAGGATATTTTGAAAACCTTTTAAAAAAAAATAATTCCAATTATTTCGTTGGTGATCATTTAACATATGCAGATTTGGCTGTTTTTAATTTATATGATGATATAGAAATTAAATATCCAAATAGTTTAAAAAATTTTCCACTGTTGAAAGCACACAACGCGTTTATTAGCAATTTACCGAATATTAAGAATTATATTACAAACAGGAAGGAAAGTGTGTACTGAATTTTTTTTTTTTTTTTTTTTTGAGGGAGTCTCTAGAAAGCTGCTTCAGGAGAAGTGGGGCAATGGTAGGAGTTTAATAAGGAGAAAGGTTCAAATGAAGTAAAAATGGAAGAGGAAAGTTTTAAAACATTATATATTTCACTATTTCATCATTACACCTCATATGGACCCAGATTGGTTTGAGAAACAAATGGGGTAGAAAATCATAAGGTGAGAGGGTGGTGTGTGTGTGGGGTGTTCTTGTGCAAGCTTTCAATGTAGGAATACTTGTTTATTTGTTTATATTCCTTCATGCCTTTTAAAAAAAATTCCCCTTTTACACTTTCAATTTTTGCCGTAATTTTAATTTTTATATTATCTTATCTTATCTTATCTTATTTTAGTTTTTTTTTTTTTTTTTTTTTTTTTTCTTAATATTTGCCCATTTCATTTTTTATATCATGCATCACTTTTGGATTTCCCACCTTGTGTGGTATATTTTTTCAGCCCCGATTTCACCGCAAGTGCGTTTCTCGTTCAATTCATCGTTGCATGTGTACATGTGCTTACAATTCAAGGTAATCCCATGATGTAACACTGTCCCCTCCCCCCTATTTTGTATATTGTGTCCAATAGTGGAATTGATACATATATTTATATATAAAATTGTGCACACACATATGTGTCTTTTTGTATACACAAAAATGAAAGCAAGTACGAGTAATAATAATTATTTTCTCTTCTGCACCTGCTCGTGCATTTAAACACATATTTTGTGAATATCCCAAGAATATATAGTACATAGGAATGCACAACAAGATCTTGTGATAATATATATACGAATTCAGAAAGCAGCCATCCCATTGTTCCATACACCCATGTGTGTGTACCACCGCACGTAATACAAACTTTTTATACAAGAATAAAATAACCTGTAAATTTTCCTTTTTTTTTTTTTTTTTTTTTTTTTTTTTCTTTCGTTTCCACTTCTACATAAATCAGTATAAACTTATTACGCATATACACCGAAAAATTAAGAGTTTACGAGGTTCGAGGAGTACACAAAACCTATTCTAAAAATATATTTAAAAAAAATGGATAACATAAAAAATAAAACGCTTGCAAAAAATCATACACAGTTTTCAAAAGTCTGTGTTGTCCTTCAATGATTGCTTCTTCTTCAATGATTGCTTCTTCTTCAATGATTGCTTCTTCTTCAATGATTGTTTCTGCTTCGATATTTACAACTGGTTCGGTTACCCCTGTTCATATCTTCACGCATACACATACTTCTGCTTCTTCTTCTTCTCCTCCTCTTCTTCAATAGGCTTACATAGCTGTTTATCAAAATATGGGGGACAAAAAAAAAAAAAAAAAAAAAAGAAAAACCAATAGAAAAGAACGAGGTGTCCGAATCGAACAAAGTGATCAAAGTTGAACTTTGTCATGATAACAATATAGAAATTCTGGTAATTTCCTGAATGTTTTTCAAACACGCAAGCAAGCACAAACGAAAATGAAAGCGAAAATGAAAGAAAAAACAAAGTGAAAATACAAACAAAAACATAAATAAACATTATTTTTTCCAGTGCATAAATCAGGACAGATGTAACCATGAACAAACGCTTTATTGAATAGAATAAAACAACATGTGAACAAACACAGAAAGGTGTCTCCATGACATATAACATCATCGTCGCCTCCCCCCCATCAGCATCCCCATTTGATGTGAATCAAACTCCAGTAATCAAAACTGATGCTCATTCTAGAAAATGTCCGCGCGCTCCTCATTTTTGGATGTAATTCAATATGATCTTTACGATGGGATTTTTGCTTAAATTTCTGTCATTATAATAAAATATGTAAAAGAAAGAAAAGGTAAAATTATGAGGAGTGAATTAATAAATACAGTGTAAAATGTAACGCATGGGAAAAAAACACATTAACTATAAGTTGATGTGGAGGGATGGAAAAAAAAAAAAAAAAAAAAAAAAAAATGATTCACACATCAGGGTCCAGTAAAAAAAAAAAAAAAAAAAAACAGAAAAACAAACAAAAATATTACACATAATTCGTGCAAGCCTAAACTCTTGACATGTTTTATCAAAAATTTATAATGTGGATTACTTACTCTAGCATGTGTGATATTTCATCTTGATAGAATTTATCTTGGTGAGTGTAACTACACACACTCTTGTATACAATTTTGTAAAAGTTAATTTCGTTTGTCATGTTCATTAATATTTTAAAGTGTTCTTTAGATTCAGTCTCTTTGAATTCTACTTTCTCTTTCTTCATGATGTACATAAATATGTTACAAAGAATGTAAAACACGCTGTGCAGCACCGAGTAGAGAAAACAAATTATGAGGTTTCTACAGAGGAAGAAGGGGGTGGTGTGATGAATTTTTCAAAAATGAAAACAAGCATAATATAAGATAGCAAAATGGAATAGTCGCACAATAACATAAAGGTACAAACTGTGTAATAATTTTTATGTATTCATGTCTACGCGATTCAATTAAAACTGTATTGCTGAGCTTGTGCTCATTTTGTAAAAAGATAATGGAAAAAAAAAAAAAAAAAAAAAAAAAAAAAAAAAAAAAAAAACGCTACCTGTCAAACTCCTTAACATAGGGAATAATTTTAACTAAGAAAATAGTTATGAGAGCGGCTCCACTCTGACGATAAAAAAAAAAAAAAAAAAAAAAAAAATCATGTCAAAAAAATGGTGTCATAAAAGTAAGAAAAAATATGTAAACATATTGTTGCGAAAAAGAAGATAAAATATGATTTCACAAAAAGAGTCAGGTATGTATACATACGAAGGAAGAATAAAAAAAAAAAAAAAAAAGGAGAGATGCCCAAAGGATGCAGTAATAGAAAAATATAGAATAGGTGCTACAGTTACAGGGTTAGGGACTTACCTTATAAAAAAGAATCTTCGTTATGTACAAGTGGATGTAATTATAAAATAAGAGTAGAGACAACATATTTTGCATGTATCGAATTCCTATATCAGGTGTAAATAAATAAGAAAGCGATACATCCAAGATGTATATGTAGAGGGAGGTATATATATTACTACTGTATAACTTGCATCTGATGTTAATAAATTTGTGTGTTCCACTATTTTGAATATGTGCTTCATGTTCATTCATAAAAACCCTATTTTGCATCTTTTCATTTTTAATAAATTTGTTTAAGGTATTTATATTTGCATTCATATGAAGTAATTGCAATTTCAAGAACTCCTCATATTGTAACATATTTTCGAAACAGTAATCAGCATGCGAAAAGAGGAAAAGCAGTAGGAGATAATTACTAAATAGAGTATACATCAAAATCATTCTTTTTTTTTTTTTGATAATTTTAAATATTTTTTTATATATACATGCCCCTTTTTTTTTTAATAAACAATTAACAAATAAGCAATATATACTCTTCAATTTTAACAATTCGACATTAAGATGATTTGTATCCAAGTCCGTTTTTTTTATTTCCTTATGCACTTGCACATTGCTTATGTAGGAGATTGTATTGATATCTTCAACTGTTTTATTATTAACACTTTTTTTATTATCCCTTTCCTTAAAAAAAAAAAAGGATTTTTGTTTTTTTTCCTTTAGCACTACTGTTGGTTCTGCTGGAGTGAAAATGTCATAATTCTTGTAACTCTCAAAATTGTAATAACAATATTTCTTGTCGAAACTTATGACTTTTCCAAATTTTTTAAAATTTTCTAATTTTCCCAAATTATCATCGTAAGGGAAATTATACTCAAATATTTTGCTAATGCTTCCAATGTTGTCATTATTGATATCTATAACAAATTCGTTTGTATTACCACGCAAATTATAAGCACTTATATGTTCCTCACATGTAGGTCGCTTAACACACTTTGACACATGTTCTTTATCGAAAGATAAATTAATTAACAAATCAGGAATATTTGGATACACAAGGAATTGAAAGTTTTCATTTGCGTTTCTGTATAGTGTTTCTGTTAGATATAAATAAAGATGTTTATTTAAAATAATGTCAACGTTACTTATATTTTTTTTTAAAAACATGTTATTATGAGTGTTAATAAAAGAATTGCATGTCAGTGTATCGTCCTTTACATTATTTAAGTGTATAAGGTTATAAAGTGTGATTTTTTTCTTCTTTATTTCTTCATTATATTTAGAAATCGTTTCAATATGTGTATATGGGCATTTATCTATATCTTCATATATGTTTTTTACATCTATGTAAATATCCCACAACATTTCCAGCATCTTCTTTATCACAACATCTTTCATGTAATGAATTTCGTTTGGTGATATTAATTCATTTTGCATACAAATTTCTCTTGCCATGTTGGTAGTATCCTTTGAAAGGGAGCTTTTGACGGAATTGGCTCTTTCTAAAGGATTATCGAAATCCAATTTTTTTTCCTTCTCTTTCTTCTCTCCCTTCTCTTTCTTCTCTTCCTTCTCTTTCTTCTCTTTCTTCTCTTCCTTCTCTTTCTTCTCTTCATTCTCTTTCTTCTCTTTCTTATTCTCCTCTTCGTTTTCCACTTCTCTCATTATTATATTTTTAAATTTTTCCAATACCTCATCATAGTTATCAAAGGTTGGGTTATTCTTCGCTAGGGTTATTAAATTTCTTGGTTCATGTACAGTTGCGAAAACGAATTTACCCAATTTATTTGTGATATCATATTTAGATGCATTGTTTTTGATTTCACCTTCTGCTGGACATGCATATGACGGCAGTTGTTCATTGTGTTTATCGTCACATCGATCAAAAAGACGCTTTGAATCTATTAAAAAAGAATTTTTCTCGTTTTCTCTTTTCTCTTCACGCTCTTTATGTAAATATTTATCACCCTCATTTGCGTTATCTGAGATAGCACTATTATTCTGACCTCCTTTTTCATATTGAGATGAATTTTTTTTTTTCATATTCATTTCATCATTTGGGGCTTTGGATTCATCAGCATTTAGTTCTTCTTTGGTTTGGGATGGAAAGTTTAATATTTTGTTCAAATCTATGTTAAGTATATTTTCATTACGGAAATCGAAATTTTCTTCCTTCAACAAACTGTACAGCTTGTCCTGTTCTTCATTTGCATACAGCATACTAAAATTGTTCTCATTTAAAAAATAATTTGATCTTATCTTTTCTTCCATTGCCAGATTGTTGTGGGTTTTTTCTTTTATCATGCATAAATTATCGTGTTCATCATTTTCCTCCTTGTTAAAAAAGTTCGCAAAATTATGGCAATTATTTATGCCATTAAAAATTCCATCCGCAAAATCGCTTTCTCTGATTTGCTCTTTCTCACTCCTGCTCGTATGGTTTATTATTTCACTATCATCACTATCGTCGCTACCACCTTCCACACAATCGGTTTGGCAATGGCCAAGTGCATGTTTCCTTCTCCTGTCATGTCCACAATTCCCGCTTTTGACATTCAAATGGGTGAATTTGTCTTGTTCATTTTTACCTTCACTATTAAAGTTCCATTTTCCATTATTCTTTTGGATTGACGGGTTTATTATCATGTAGGATAACTGGATCCTCAGAAGTTTATCCTTGTCACTCTTTTGCATAAGGTTTCGATATTTAAAAAAATAGTTAGTGTGTTTAATATTTCCATTTATTTTGTTCATAAATCTATAGTAGTTATACATGTCCTCATTCAAATCATTTACGTTAACATTTTTATATTTCATTTTTAGAAAATTCGTTAATTTAAGCATGTGCTGTTTTTTCAATCGAAGAATAAATTTTTCACATACAGAAACGTTTATATCACTTGCATGATAGTGGTGAATTTCATGACTCTTCGTGTTCCTTAAGTTATGAATGCATCCTATTCCAACATATGCTCTTCCTCCCCTTCCACCTCCACTGTGTTCATGCGATAAAGAATGACTAAGGTGGTATGCTTTGCTAGTGCTATTATTTTTTGTCCTATCATTACTTTTATAAAAATAATAGTGTTTCTGTTCATATTTTTCCATATACCCATTTGAGGACGTACTCCTATCATATTTATCTCGTAAATTATTGTTATGAACGTTCAGGTAATTCTTGTTGGACATGTTGTTTTTCTCCAAGTTGTTACTATAGCGACTTCTATTCTCTTTCGAAAATATTGGCCCTCCTCCTTTTGTCCTTTCTGCATTTCCTGCATTCATTGGAACCCGTTCATTCTTTGGAACCAGTTTATTAATTGGAACCAGTTCATTGGGTGGAGGTTCAATGCGGGCCTTCTTCTCATGCAAATGTCTAACTCCTTCTAAATTTGCATTTCTCCCTTGTTCATAACTTTCCTCGTGATTTTTTTTTATAAACAAATGTGTATTATGATCCTCTCCCCCTTGATAATAGGTATGTCGATTATTACTAACTTCTGGTATATGTAAAACTTCAGACACATTTAATTCACGCTTGGGGAATGATGATGATGATGAATTTTTATTCTTTTCCAATAACATAAGATCATTTGTTTTATCATCTAAATAATATTCATTTAAAATTTTCAGAGCGTTTATATCTGTTGTCACATCTAATTTAATATCCTTATCTTGACTAAAATATAACAAATCTTCCTCCTTAAAGTTATTTAATTTTTCATTTAAATTATCGTAATACTTCTCCTCTTGCATTCTGTTTCTTAATGAATAATTCTTATGGCTTGGGATAATGTCATTATATAGCAATCGTTCTTCTATACTCATAATATCATCTGGTTTTTCCATTTCTTCATCATTCCTGATATGCTGCTTCATACTCATGTCTTTCCTATAATCCATTTGGAGTAAAAATTCATTTGACATGTCTTGTTCAGGTAAAATAAAAGGTTCTTCTTTTGGATATCCTTTTCTGCTATTATTTAAATCATTCAAAAACTGGTAATGCTGCTGCGGGGGTGGATTAAATTTGTCATTCTTCATGTAATAATCATCTCTCTTCAGAAAATACATTTGGTCTTTTCCGTTCATATTTTGCAAAAAGTTTTTATCCATCTCGTTATCCATTCGATTGCATAAATTGGAAAATTTTTTCTGTGTATTTTCAATAGAATACAAGTATTCCTCCTCTTTTTCCATCACATGTTTTTCTGATAGACGTTGTTGTTCAGAGAAGAAAATATCATTTCCATATTTGGTGTTGTTCATCAAAATATTCCATCCTTTCTTGTCCTGAATATTTCTTATATCGTCACTCACATTTGTGTTAACATTTTTATCCATGCGATTGTACATATTTGTAAGACTATTTAAGAATTGCAAATTTTCATCAATGTCTCCATTTTTAGGATTTACCATAATTTCGTTCATACCTGGGTGGGATAAATTATTGTCAAAATTGTTAGTCATTTTTCCATGTGTTAATATTTTTTCCTGTTTAGATTCAATTTGTTTCCAAGGGTGCGTTTTTATATGTTTTTCCATGTATTCCTTATCATTTGCATTGTTAATATTTTTTTTTTCTGAAACATGCATATAATAATCTATATCCTTAAAATTTTCATTATATATCTTCTTGTCGTGACCTTCTTCAAAATTTTTCCTCATGTACATTTTTGTCAATTCATTTTCATTCATTTGGCATGATGGATCAATTTTTATTTTATTTACATGTTTATCATATTCTTCTTCTTCTTCCTCGTCTCTGTCTAACTCTTTTTGTTCACAATATAAATGTTTTTGCATATACTCTTTTTCGTTGAAGTTATTATCATTTTCACTTTTCTTTAGTTGTCTGTTTTGCCAGACATTTTTACCACTAGTTTGGACAACCTTCTTATCAACACTTTGAATGTTCGTGAAATTAAATGGGTCAGCACTTTCAGACGAGTTTTCATCATTGTCCATTTGGCTCTTCTTCTCATCATTTTCATTGTCATAGAAAATATTTTTATTTATAAAATTTGTTAAATTTGATATTTTGTTATCAAAATGGAAAAGATCATCACTTTCGTTACTCAGTTGTGCGCTTTCATGAAAGAAAACCTTCTTAATGTCTTCATCATTATGGACAAACTCTTTCGATTGCATTTTCATTTCTTTGATTCGATAAGAATTATGATCCTCCTTTCTATTGCTAAAAAAGTTATCACTTTCATCTTCTCTTTTCATAAAATTTACAGGTATGTGTTGTTCCAATAGGGCCTTTCCTTCTTCCAATCGCATTAAATTTGGACACTTTATGTTTTTATTATCTAACTTATTTAATTTAAATAATTTCTTTTCATTTTCGATTAAACTGTTATTCATGCTGTATGAAAAATCACATTCAGAGTTATCACTATGCCCAAATGTGATGCTATTAATCTTGTCAACTTCTTCCATAATGTCATCGTTTTTGCTAGTACAAAATAGACTTACGTCCTCCTTCCTTTGGACGCTACTTATTCTGTTGCTACTCATTTTACCGCTGCCCATTTTGCCGCTGCCCATTTTGCCGCTGCCCATTTTGCCGCTGCCCATTTTGTCGTTGCCCATTTTGCTGTTGCCCATTTTGTCGTTGCCCATTTTGCTGTTGCCCATTTTGCTGTTGCCCATTTTGCTGTTTCCCACTTTGTCGCTACTCACAGCGCCTTTGTTTTCCTCCTCACTTTTACTCGTTTTCCCATAAACAATCTTCCCTTTTTTGTCTCGTTGTTCCTTTATGTATTCATTATCATAAGGTGCCCCTTTTCCATATTTCAAGTTATTTTTTTTCTTATGGTAGGAAGAACTCATGTTTTGGTAATAACCTCCATAGTAGTTGTAGCTACTGTGAGTATTATTTTGGCCTCCACTATTGGTGGTACCGTGGGTTCCACTATTTTCGCCCTTGATTTTACTTCTAAAACTATTTGAGTTATAATTTTTCATTTTCTCTGATGGACGACTTGTTGGAGTTTTTTTATCGTGAGGTTGATCTTGTTTTTTTTGTTTATTCATTTGGAGGGACCTGATACAAGTTAGTTCTAATTAAGTAATGTATACAAGTGTTCGTCTGGCATATGTATTTTTCTACGCATAATCGTGGATGTTTAATGTGTTCTTCCTACACGTCTTCATATATATATGTCTACTCAAATGGTCTAAATATATAGTGATTCTATACTTGGTGCACTTTGGAATATTATCTTCTCCACGTTTTCCTTAATGCTAGAAAAATATCAACCTTCCCAAAACGATTATGTAAGAATAATGATATTGGAGTTGGTTTTAAAATGTGCGATTTTAATTAACAAATCATAAAAAAAAAAAAAAAAAAAAAAAAAAATAAATTCAGGTGGCTATTACTCTTGTTATAGCTATCTGAGTTTTCATCATTCGGATAAGTGGGTTCCCTGTGGTGACACACACCATTGCCCTTCTGTGATTCAAAAAAGAATGATTTTTTGAAGTTGTATAGCAATAATTGGCCGTTTCCAAACTTACGTGCCCAAAGAATGGGAACGTACGAATTTAGCCACGTGCACAAATAATCAAGGTATATGCACGAAGAGTATGCAATGAGAGGTGTATCTGTGTAAGAGGCGGGCATGACATACAAAAAGGGTGCTTAAACGGTGTACGTACATGTTTCTACTTAAATAAGGAATTGGTATAAAAAATGTTGGTTTAAAACAAAAGTGCCTAAGGGCATATATATATTTTTCTCTCCTTCTTGTGCATTATCAAACATGTTCTTACGCTTTTTCAAAAATGCAAAAATTGGGGCTAAATTGTTCATGCAGTTGAAAATGTTGGAAGTGTTTGGAATGCCGGCAATTTTGGAAGTGTTTGGAATGACGACAATTTTGGAAGTGTTTGGAATGACGACAATTTTGGAAGTGTTTGGAATGACGACAATTTTGGAAGTGTTTGGAATGATGACAATGTTGGAAGTGTTTGGAATGACGACAATGTTGGAAGTGTTTGGAATGACGACAATTATGGAAGTGTTTGGAATGACGACAATGTTGGAAATGTTAAAAATGCGTATATGCATTGCACAGATTTATGTAAATGCAAATGCATATGCAATATTTTTTGCTTTGTTTTATGATTTTATTTTTGCCCCATTGTTCCGCCGACTATTTGTCGATTATTTGCCACTTGTTTTCCAATTGATTACTGGTTTTTTTTTTTTTGGTACGCTATTATTATTTGCTCTGCTTTTTTTGGCTTTTCCTTTCGCCGCCTTTTTGTTATTTTTTATGCATATATATATATATATATACATATATATATATATATATATATATATATATAACATATACATTTAAAAAAAAAAAAAAAAAAATTGGAAAATTTCTTTTCTTTGTAGAGTTATTTTTTGGTATAATATGAGGAGGTGATAAAAAAACAAAAAATGTATACTAATAAAATACGTCAATTTTAATCAGGCCAGAAGTTCTATTTTTTTTTGAAAATTTAAAAATGCATTTTTTGCGCAAATCTTAATTGGAGCACTAAATTACACACGAAGTTTTTTTTTTTTTTTTTTTTTTTTTTTTTTTTTTTTTTTTTTTTTTTTTTTTTTTTTTTTTTTCTTATGTCAGTCAGTCACCTAGGCGGAAGTTTAAGAATATGTCAAGAGTGGTCAATAAATATAATTACATGCAGAATAATAATATATGCGCGTTGCCTTCCCAATTTCTTTTCTTTCTTTTCCTTTCCTTTTCCTTTTTTTTTTTCTTTGGAGAAAAAAATGAAATAATGGAGGCAAAAAAGCAAGAAAAAAGAAAAAAAAATTTTTATGTTAATTTTAATGAATAGCAGAAAAAGAGATATAGACCCTATGGAGCTAGAGTTTTTTCCCAAATGTGCTGCCTCAAACAAAAACTTTTTTATTCGTTGCACTTGAACTTTTTTTTACCCACCCCCTAGGAGTAAATAATCCACCACAAGTGCACAAATCTCCTTATTCCTTTAGTTGCATATATATATATATATATAAATACATATCTATATCTTTTTTGAACCTTTCAAATGGAGGGGAGGGGAAGGTATATTTTTACTTATTCGTGTTTTTGCTACATATACCTAAACGTATTCGTTTCTACTTCTTGAATAAAAAAATAAATAAAATAAAAATTAATAGCACCAACGAGAAGAAAACTACAATTATACAATTTTCTCCCGATTTGAAAAAAAAAAAAAAAAAAAAATTAAAAGTAGATTAAAAAATGGAAACCTCTCTTTCGCGTATTAATACACATGGCACAACAACAAAAGAAAAAAAAAAAAAAATTTACATAACTATATACCTTAGAAGGAAAAATTTACAAGATGATTTGTCACACCTAATTTGAGCAAAACTCCTTTTATCAATTTTTACACATTTTTATGTTATTACCCCAAGGGGAGAACACATATATACATGCATGTACATGCATATATTTTTTTTTGTTCTGTTTTTTTTCGCGCTATAAACGAATGCGTTGTAAACCCGTGCAATACACTGAGCTATGCCTTTTCTCATTTTCCACACTCGACATGAAAAATGATGAGAAGGAAATCCAGACGTTTCATCCACATGCACTATGCAAACATATAAAAAAATGGTCTCTTTTTTTAAATAATATGAAAACTGGAAATATAGCATCACAAAGGACGTTTGTTTTAGCGAATACGAGATACATTTTTACACATGTGTAGAAAAAAAAAAAAAAAAAAAAAAAAAAAAGAAGAATATATAAAAAAATAAACATTGTTATTGTAGTACCCTTTTATTTAAGTGACGTCTAATCGTGTAGGTAGCACTAATTATATTCACAGTTATTCATAGCTGTAAATTGCTTAAACCCACCTAAGGTGTACTTTTCTCAAATGTAGTATAACATTTGCTGCTGTTCAGAAGAGAGGTGTTCCTTTAAGGAAAACACGTACCATATACTTTTATGATAAAAAAAAATACTTAAAATTTAGAAAAAAAAAAAAAAAAAAAAAAAAAAAGTTGATACAACTTTTTAATCTGCCATTGTATAAGTTACCAGTTTAGGGCATCTGCACTTGGACCTTGACTGATTACGTTTTAGGATTAGTTCCCCATAACAAAATTAAAGCAATATTAAATAAAAAAAATGCACATTACAACTGTCAAAGTTCGTGTGAAGAATGTTCATAAAATAAGTGAATCACAAGCCAGTTAAAGAAGTTTCTAATTGTTGATAAAATCGTTGGAAAATATTGACCACTTGTTTTTGAAAAAATAAAGAATTTTTTGACAGAACGAATAGATCAGTTAAGGCATTATTACTTATCGATTTGAATAATAAATCAATTTCTTTTTGTATACTTAAAAATTTATGAAAATATGTAATCGATTTATTCTTAATTTTGTTTATTTTTTCAAATATGGACTTAAATAAGAATTCTCTTTGTACATTTAAAACTAAAAATGTTTGTTTAACTTGATTTGTAAATTCCTTTACGAAATGAAAATTAAAATGTTTATGTAATAACCTGTCATTTTTTTTTTTTTCTTCTTTTAACAATTTCAATTCAAAAAGCATGTCTCTTTTTATACCCTTTACATATTTTCGTTTATTGTTGCAATTCTGTTTTTTTTGCAATATTTTCTGTTCAAGTGATTTATTAGCATTCACCAATTGTTTGTTTATTCTTTTCTTCTTCAATTCTTTTACGTGTATATCTAGTAGTTCTATATCATTTTTTACTCTTTCTATTTTGCATAGCTCCCGATCTCCAAATTTCTGAATCTCTTCTTCAAGTTTTTTTATTTTTTCTTCCACTATCTCTAAGTCCATGTTCTTCTGGGGAATTCACCAATATTGGTTTTATGTCTGTGCAGGAGAATCCTCCCAATTGTGTATGTTCTTTCTACATTCATATGGGGTTTCTTACACGTGAGGCTTCTTAAACATGAGGCTTCTTAAACATGAGGCTTCTTAAACATTCGTGATAATCAATTTTATTCACTTACGTTTGACTTATGTGGATACAAAGTAGACCCAATTTAAATTTACGAATGATTAATAAGCTGCAATGATCAATACTTTATATTACCTTGCTCGTATGAGTAGGATTTTCGGCTACAAAAATGTGTATTTTGCTGTATTGATATTTGTTTTCAAATTAGGCTTTTAAAATGAAAAGTTTAAGTCAAGCCGATAAGATAGGTTCGTGTTCGTGTGCATGATATAAGCGTAGTGTACACCCCACCCCCCAAAAAAATAAAGTATGGACACAATGAGAGATCTTTAATGGGGTTGTAAAAACAAATTCACACTTTTATATCTCTCCGAGTTGTTCATAAATTTAGGGAGAAATTTTTTGTCTTACCCGCAAAAAGCGAGGTGCAAAGTTTTACAAATAAAAAAGGGAAAAACAAAATGTAATAAAGTTAACTTATATGCGTGCACAAAAAGCTCGGCGGCACATAAATACACAAAAAAAAAATAAAAATAAATAAACGAATAAATATATAAATGAATAAATAAACACATATAATTAATACATGGGTAAAAATACATCCATGTGCATTAAAAGTCAGGCAAAATGGGACAAAATAAAGCAAGCATAGTGAAAGACAAAATAAAATGACCGGAAAAGGATAATAAAAAAAAAAAAAAAAAAAAAAAAAAAAAAAAAAAAAAAAAAAAAAATAAATAAAAATAAAACGAAGCAGAAAAAGAAAAAAAAAATAATTTTCATGGGTAAAGCTTCATCATTTTTATAAAACCTTATCTTCTCTGGGTACTTAAGCACATATTATCTGCATGACTCAATGTGGTATTATATAAAATTAGAGGAATGGGTAGTGGTATTAATCCCTTTCCATTTCTATTTCTGTTAAGTTATTCCATCGTTTAACACATTTATCATGTGAAGACATATCTCCGTGTGTCCTCCGATGTGACATTGTCCAGAATTAGTGTTATCCGTGTGACATTTAAGTCAATTTTTGTTTTGAACATTTTTCATATAATCCTCCATGTAGGTATGAACCAACTCATCAGTGATTATTGTCTGGTTGGACTTCACCAAATGGGAAATTTTCGCAGTCTCTTTTTCATCCTTATTTATAATTGGTTTTTTAACCTGTGTGTGATCTTGTGCTGTTTCACGATTCCCATTCGTTTTGTTAAGATACTCATGTTGTGATTCATTAAGAGTTACGGTCAATGGTTCATATAAATGTGGGAAGTTCATAACATGAGATTCATCAAATTTTTCGATAATTTTCAATTTGTCACTTTGTATTAGTTGCAGTTCCTTATTGAAGAAATAGGTGTCCGCCATGTTCCTAAGCAAAATTGAAAGGGGATGTTCAGGGATCCACCCCCACCCACGCCCCAAAAAATGGATATATAATCCAGTGGTTGTGATGGAGAGTATGGTTGTAGAACATGCATCAACATGCAAAGGTGAATTCATGGATAATTTACGTAAAATGTCAAAGAATAAAATACACGAATGGGTGTGTTCACTGTGGAAGTAAAATCACTTGTTTCCAATGAAACTATTTATTTTGTTATGTTTTGTTTTGCTTTGCTCTAGTTTGTGTGTGTGTGTGTTTTTTTTTTTCCCCCCTCGAATGATTTTATTACTTCCTTTTTTGCTTTGACAATTCATTATTTAAGGTTGAGTTTTCTTTAAGCAGGTTGTTTATCAGGTCATCGAATCTGAAGATTTTTGGTAAAATAGAGGGTAGTGGTGGTCGTGGTTGTTCATTTTAAATACATCATATCGGTTGTATGGAAAGACATAACTTTTTTCACCTTTTTGTTAACATGTCATTATATGCCTATATATTTTTTTGTTCTTATATATACATATGCATGAAAATTTTTTTTTTTTTTTTTTTTTTTTTTGCATATCAATGGAATGAAAAAACTTACTGTTGAACATTCACGTCCTCCCGGTGGGCTTTACTTATGTATTCCTTCAAGGTATCCTGGAAGCATGTGAAACGAGTAGAAAAGAGAGACAATATAAGAAAAATTAAAAATAAAATTCTGCATAATGTTAGGAAGAGGAAGAAGATACATGAACATTTATTTTATATTTATTTTTTTCACTACACACAGATGGTGTAGGAAGTATTTAAGTGCAAAGATGACTTACGATTATTCCCATCAAATCCGTATTTTCCTTTTTAAGGTCATTAATATGATCATTCAATGTTTTAATTTTTTTCTATGAAAGGGATAATACGTGTGTGTGCATTGTAACAGATTTAGAAAAATATGTAAAATATAGGGAAGTTTTTTTTTTTTTTTTTTTTAAAGGTGTGTGTGTGTGGGGGGGGGGGGGGGGGGGGTGTAACATATGTAGTAGCTATTTTTGTTTAGGATTTACACTGAGGATGATCATGATTATTTTTTCTCCATTGGGTCTGCCATTAGAAATAGTTTTTTCATTTTATTTTGACCCAACCTTCAACTTATCGTTATCGATTTGTGAATCTATACATTTTTGGTATAGTTCCTCCAATTTTTTCTTTGCAAAATGAAGGGATATATGTATATATGTGGAGATTACACAAGTGTACGTTATGTGCATACATGTGTAATAATACAACATTTAGATAAGAAAGAAATAATTATATTCCTCATTTCTTTCAAATGGACATACTTCATAAGTGATAAGCTGTTCCCCATTGTGATTAATTGAATCATTCTTTTTTAATTCTTCTTCCTTTTGACATCCTTTTCCACTTGTATTGCCATTCTCCTTATAGTTATCATCACAATTTTTTCTATCCATTTTAGTCATTTCCATAATCATTCTATTTCGTAGCAATTTTTTTATTATCATATCTTTATACTCCATCTCCATTTTGAACCCATTATCCTCGTTAAAATCTGCAAAAAGAAATTAGCAAATGGGCGAAATAAAAATTCATTTTAGTGTTAAAATGGGAAATAAGAAATGTTACCTTTATTAGAATTCCTCTTATGAACTAATTCCTGAAGCAGGGTGAAGTGGTGGTAGAAATGGTTGTAGAAGCAAGGTGGTGAAGGATCTTCATGATAGTTCATTTGTTCATAAAATTTTGCAACACACACATTATCGAGACAACGATCCAAATGAAGAAAGATTATTCGGTAAATGAAATGTAGATTTTGCAAAAACGAGATGATGTTTAAGTTGGAAACAGTTGAAACACAAACTGATGAGCAAAATGTAGACGCATTTGCACATGAAAAAAAAAAAATGTTTCTAACGGTTCCAAGGTTTAGAATTTTAATTGCGCTCTTCTCATCGAAATCCTGAAAAGCATGCGTTTGTTCATGAAGCGTAGAGGGGGAAGACAAATGAACATGTGCTTTGTGATGCAAAAGGGGAGGAGCAAAAAATGGAGAAAGACAAAAATGACAACCCGGGCGGATAAAAACAATCGTTACGGGGAAGAGAAATTGTGCTTTGCTATGAATAAAATGAAAGGGATAAACCGAACAAGGAAAAAAAAAGTAAAAAAAAAAAAAAACGAAAAAAAACACCATCCACATTGCTGCCACATCGAAATGGTCCTTTTTCAGACTTACCTCCATGCTGTGTTTCTTAACGAGTTCCAAATTTTTTTGTGTGTCCTCCAACTGTGCTTGAATCAATTTCGACGAACACTTAAGGTCAGTATTTTCCTTAAATAAGTTAGCATATTTGTCAGTTAAATTTTCTATTTCTTTTTTAAAATCATCATTTTGTTTTTTCAACGTTATTATAAATTCATTAGTTTTGTCATTTCGATACTTTTTCTTATTTTTTAAATGTTTCAATTCTTCTTCTTGCAACTTGGATTCTTTTACCAAAACATCGTGTTTGTTTGACAGTATGAGTAGCTGCTCACTCATACTTAATATCGCTTCATCTTTTTCTTCGGACTCCCTTTTCGAATTCTCTAGCGCGTTCACTTTTTCTTCAAGCGTTCTTATGCATTCCTCTCTGCATAAAGGGTTTTCCCAGGTGGTTTCATCAAAAAAAAAAGAAAAAAAAAGGAAAGAAATCGAAAGAAATAAGTTCAAAGAAGAGTTGTACTCTCTTCCTCCCCCTCGGATTAATCTGTTCTGATACACATTTAATCAGAAAAAAAAAAAAAAAAAAGAAAAAAAAAAAAACTCCGGCCATAGCATTAAGAAGCTATTTCGACATCATGTTTGTGCAAACCATATGCACAAGTGAGAATATATATACACGCATTCGAATGGGTAGAAAAAAAAAAAAAAAAAAAAAAACGAAAAAAAATGTGTTCTTTTTCTTGTGTCTCCTCATTAATTCTGTCATGCACATGGGCAATATTTTTTCCTTTTTTTTATTACTTTTCTTTAATCTCGTTGTCGTGTCGATTTATTTCATATTCTAGTTGCAATTCCAAATCTTTAATTTTTTTTTTCAATTCCTCCACATTGTTATCGTTGTTTCTGGCATTTTTTTAAAAAAGGGCATGCGTGAACGGATTTGTCAAAATGGGAGACCCCAGGCGAGGAAAAAAAGAAAAAAGGAAAAAAATGTTAAACAGTCGACATATCATGTCTCTTAACTGACATGATAACTAAATTTACGGATCCTTCGGACATACCCATTCTTTGACGAAGGAGCCTTTTCACTGTTCCTTCTCGATGTATCCTCTGGATATGATTCTATGAAAGGGTCCAAACGAATGGCGGTATAGGCAATAGCGTAGTAATAATAGGGGTAGCAATGGAGGTAGTAATAATAGCAGTAATATCAGTAGCACGTGACAAATGATATACAACACATTTGTGCAAGGCGCATGTGTGTGTATTTTGATTGATACATATGCCACTCGAGTTGTCGATGTCGCGTGGGTTTGCAAATGTGTTTTGCATAAGGTTATGTAATACCTGTCGATTGTTCCATTAGTAATAAATTCGAAGAACGTGATGGTGTCAGTTTGAGTTGAATGACCTCGGCCGTTGTTAAATTGGCAAAAAAACGAAGAAGGAGAGTGTGGGGCGATGTCAAATCGCACACTTAGAGAAGAAGAAAGAAAAGAAAAAAAAAAAAAAAATTAGGAAGATTTCGTATTCTATAAATTAATCATATCCCGAAGTCAAATTAATTATTTACCTTCATCTAATTGGTTATTTTACTTTTTACCCTTTTTACGATTTTGCATTTTTTGCAACTTGTGCAATTTTTAGAGTTTTACATTTTTTAGAATTTTTCAATTTTAAAAATTTTTACCATTTTTATTTTATATTTTTTACAACGCATCCCACTCCAACGTGCTGCGCTTATTTCACGATTGGAAAATAAAAAAAGAAAAAAAACATATATTGACCATTTTTGAATGCTTGGAAAAGGTCAAATGTAGAATCCCCACAACTCGATATATAAACAAAAGAGGGAAGAATTTTTTATAAAAAAACAATAAAACAAAAAAAAAAAAAAAAAAAAAAAAAAAAAAAAAAAAAAGCATGCATATGCATATTCATATACCATATACATGGAGAAAAATAAAAAAAATTCATTCTCTCACATATATGCTTTTATTATAAAATATGTGCATACACGCAAACAGTTTTTTCTTAGTGTGGAGCGGACAATTATTTATTTTACATGTATACAATTCGTATGTGTGCACTTTTTCCTTTTTCTTGCTTCCACAGATTTCGTGATACAATTTTTTTTTTTTTTTTCTGCACCACAAAATAACTACAGGTGTAAAAGAGGTAAACTCTAAAAGTAATGAGTAGAAGAGTGTGGGGAAAATCAGCTGACTATATTTTTTACTCCTTCCCTACTACAAAAACGGATTAATCAATAGTACAGTTAAAAAGAGGAGATAGGAAAAACAAAACAAAGAATAAAAAAAACAAAAAAAAAAAAAAAAAAACAAAGAATAAAAAGAAACAAAATAAAGAAAGTCTCTTTGAGTGGCGCCTTTTTGCACTATAGCATTTCGCTTACGTCTGCCTTTATTTCTCGTCTTATAAATATTTATATTTCCCTGTTTATTTGCCTTATCTCATGCTTCTTTTTTTCTTCCACCAATCCGTGCAAGATTTGCCCAATTCGTCAAATACAGGTATTCCCCCACTACATATATGTATATATATATGTATTATTCACACGTTGCAAATTTTTTTTTTTTTTTTTTCCCCTTTTTTTTAATTACTCTGTTATCTATGCATGGCATTGTATATGCTTCGTCCTCCCATCAGTGACCTACCCATTTTTGTCGTTTCAACCAATCCCTTTTGATATTTATTTTTCACATTGTTTTTTCTCTCCACCAACATTTATGTATTCATATAATATACATACATGTATTACATATATATATTTAAAATGCCATATCGCATAAAATAACCTAAGGGAAAAAAAAAAAAAAAAAAAATCATAAAGGCACATTCATTTCAAGCACATTTTTAATGCTTTTACAAAGTAACCCATAAAACTTTGGATCAAAACAGAAAAAAAAAAAAAAAAAAAGAAGCAGAGGAATATATGTACTTACCAAGTTTATATACTTACATAAATGCATAAAATGAAGGAGTAACTATGTGATACTCTTATATAAAGTACATTATAAATTTTTTTTTTTTTTTTTTTTTTTTTTTTACCAAAATGTATATTTACCATCATTGAATATATTGTGTTATTAACCCTAACATCGGAAAATGAGACCATTTTCTCCACATGTATTGTTTTTCCATGTGCGTGTATTTTATACCTAGATACTTACTCATACATATACATATTTGCACATATACATCCATTTTAGTACACGTTAAATTAATAATCCAAAAACCTGAAGAGCGTTAACATAACGTATAGCCAAAGAGGTTCATAGAAGAGAAACATCACTCACAATCTTCACCAGCCCTTACACCCTCTAATAATATACTTTTTTTTTTTAAATTCATATTTTTGCATTACTATAAGTTTATGTTATCATTAGTCTGAAGCGTTTCATATAGTTAGAATTCATCTGAAATTAAATTAGCAACCCCCATGTAATTCATTATTTTATTTTATTTTATTTTTTTTTGAGTTCTAAAAATTAAGAATTTGTTTTACTTTCATACCCTGCCTTAATTTTGTTCATTTTCTTTTTTTTTTGCCTTTCCATTTTTTTGCCCTTCCACTTTTTTGCCCTTCCACTTTTTTGCCCTTCCACTTTTTTGCCCTTCCACTTTTTTGCCCTTCCACTTTTTTGCCCTTCCACTTTTTGCCCTTCCACTTTTTTGCCCTTCCACTTTTTTGCTTTTCAATTTTGTTAAGTAGTGAGATAACACGGGTACCTCCCCTTTTGTTTCGAGGAAGAACAGAAGAAGTTACATCGCCTCATAAAGGTGTATGTATTTGCACATGCATAAAAGTTCAACTTGCAATTGTCCATAGGTTGTTTACATACCTTATTGATTCGTACATATTGAAAATATTAGTACGTTAGAGAGGCATTTTACTGAGAAATTATTTCCCTCCTCTTAGAAAAGCGGTGTAGAACCCTTTTGTGCAAAACCCACGAGAACAAAAAAAAAGGGATAAGTAAGGACATCTATACATACCCAAGGAATAGAGACCTAGAAGTGTATATAAAAAGGTCAAAATGAAGTATGTACCACCTCATATGAGGGCCCAAGTAGAGGCCAAAGAAAAAAAAGAAGCAGAACAGGAAAAATTGGAACAGCTGAAGGAGAAAATCGAAAATGCAAAAGAAGAAAAAGACATAGATAGTGATAGTTCAACTGAGGGAGACGATTTTGAAATTGTACTAAACAGTGTTGTTATTAGTCAGATTGCGAAGAATAAAGATTTGAGAGGAGAATTGTTAGGTTATTATATTAAAAATAATGAAGAAAGTAAAAAAAAAAAAAAAAAAAAAAAAAAGGGAAAAGGAAATAACAACCAAGATGATGAAGATAATGGAATAAATAATAAAAATAAAAATGAAGCAGATTATGATGCAGAAGATGAAGAAGATGATGATGAAGACGACGATGAAGATTACGATGACGATGAAGATGATGATGATGATGGCGATAATGATGATAAAAAAATGAAAAAAAAAAGAAAAGATGACAAAAACAGTGGAAAAGATAAAAAGAAGAACAAAAAAAATGATTCTAAAAAATTAAACATTGTTGAAATTAACCAATCATTTTGTGTATGTAATATTGAAGATATATGTATTGATAAAATATCGAAGATATCGGACAAGTATCAAATACCAAAGCAAAGATATAACGAATTGTTAAATAATTTAGTTTTATATTTTAATAAAAATAAGTATGAAGAAGAAGGAGAAAAATATATAAGTGAAGTTAACAGTTACTATGATGATTACGTAAACATTATGGCAGAATTGAATTTCGAAACGACTTCCTTTGGATTTTACATCAACCTTTGTGATATAAAGAAGAAAGAAGTTCTTGCCACTCTCTTGCTATGCTCCTTAATTAACAAAAATTCTTTCGTTTTATGTTTTGGTGAAAAGTATGGAAAACTAATTTTCTCAGCATATAAAATAGATGTAGATGTAGTATTTGAAATTAAGAACCAAATTAAAAATGCAACGTTTAACCAATTTAATGATATCCTAAATGTGGAATTGAAAAAGAAAGGATTGAACAGTAAATCAATTTTACAAAGAATTCCCATTCGTATTAAAAATTCCATAATAAACTCATTATTTTTAAAAGTACTTAAGAACAAAAATAAAAATTTTACCTCCAGCACGGATTATTTAAATGCACTGGAAGTAGACACATTGGAAAATTATATTCACGACACGTGCAAATCTTTAGAATTGTTGAAAACAGAACAAGATAAAATGATTAAATACAAGAAGGATGTATTTAAACAATTGCAAACGCAGAAAATTTACCAAGAAAAGAAAAAGTTGGAAAAGGAAAAAAATAAAATTGAACATGATAATCAAGAAACAAACGAAGAAGATGTCAATATGCAAAACATATTTAAAAGCATCCCCCAACCGTCTTTATTATTTCCTTATGTGCTAACCATGAGCAATAACTTACTCAACGATAATATTAACAATTTGTGTAGTCACGCCATTGCAAAATCGTACTTGTACTACAAAAATGCAAAACCATGAAAAAAAAAAAATAAATAAAATAAAATAATAAAATAATAAAATAAATTAGAACAATTTAAAATAAAACAAATTAAACTAAAACAAATTAAAATAAAATAACATCTATTTGTCATTACCCTAGAAATGTAATAGACACTGAGCCTAACCTGAAAACACAAACGGAGGTGTAGCGATTATGCAAGGGACATAATCACTTTTCATATGCAAACTAGTACGATTCTGCATGTGTATTTTTGCTACGTACTAAATGTATATACATGTACATTCATATACGTTTACATCTACATGTATGTGTATATGTATGCTTTTTTTTTTTTTTTTTTTTTTTTTTATCTTGCACACACACTGCATACGAACCTTTTTGATAAATTATTTTTTACCCCTGTACCTTGAACAAATAGGAAAACCCCCAACAAAAAAAAAAAAAGAAAAAAAAAAAAATTTAGGAAATTTTTTTTAAGTCTAAAACTGACATATAGAAATGAGTATATAAATAAGTACGTACTTATGGGGGAACAACTTGTGACGCCACTTGGCAACGCATTGTTGAGTGTTCTCCCAAGGGACTTTATCCGATTTTGTTTTTTTTTTTAATCGATTTAACGAAAAAAAATGTGGAAAAGTTTATTTGGGAAAAAAAAAAAAAAAAAAAAATTCGTATACGTTTCATTATGCATCTCTCTCTCTTTATATATATATATATATATATATATATATTTGATGTAGGAAGGGGGGTTAAAGCTTAAATTGGGCGATCGGCCCTCCACACAAACAATGTTATCATGCACAACATTTAGGTGCAATAAATTTCTTATGTTTTTTTGTTTCATTTAAGCTTATTTTTTCTCTTTCACCTTTTTTTCTGCATTACTTTTTTTTATGACATTTTATCTGTTGGTGAAAAAAAAAAAAAAAAAAAAATAAAAAAACTAAATTTTGCTCGTGTATGTGTGTTCCTTGTCCATTTATTACGATGAACAGAAGGATCTCTTGCTCTTAGTCGTGTACCCCTCTCCTCTCGAATGTTGACAAAATTGATTGTCTGTCAAGAGGGATATATACGCACTAATATGTGATACATATAAAAAGGTGTTTCATGCAAAAGCAGTAGGATAAACAAAAACAATTAAACATTTTCGAAAAAAAAGGGAATACATTTGTGTGCTGGAGGGTAATAAGTTAAAAAAAGTTCTGAGACTTGGTCATTTCATCCAAGGGTGTATAGTGACGAATTCCTCTGCAGCTGTGGGATGTATTGGTATTGTTTCATCAAAATCTTTTTTCGTTGCATTCATCTTTAATGCAACTGCAAATCCTTGAATAATTTCATCGGCATTCAATCCAATTATATGTAAACCTTTAATTAATTCTTCTTTACCAACACATACTAACTTGAGGTATGTTTTTTCTTTCTGGGCTGGATCGATGTCATAAACTGAGAAGAATAGATTTGTAAATTTGGATTCATATATTTTTACATTTTCTTTTCCATAAGTTTCAATTGCTTCTTGTTCAGAAAGACCGATTGTTCCAATTGGAGGATGTGAAAATATAACTGTTGGGATGAGTTTATAATTTGTTTTTCTTGATTTGTTTAGAAAAAGTCTATCTGCTAGTAACCTTCCAGCATTAATGGCAACAGGAGTAAGTTGAACATTGAAATATATATCTCCAGTTATATTTTCTTTTTTATTTAAATATGGTTCTTCATTGTATAATTTTAATAAATGTAAATCTTCAATTTCTTGATTTTTTTTAACAATGCAACAATCCCCAACAGCATAAATATTTTTCACATTAGTTCTTTGATTATCATCAACAAGTATGTAATCATTTTTTGTCTTTATGTTTAATTTTTCTAAATTTAAATCCTCTGTATTTGGTGATCTTCCAACACAATATATGACGTAATCGAAATGTTCATATTTCCTTCCATCTGATAAATATATTGTCAAATTTTTTTCTTTTACCTTTTCTATTTCTTCTACATTTGCATGAGTAATAATATTTATATTATTTTTTTTCATATCATTTTCTAATTCATTTATAACTGATTCGTCAAATTTCCTTAATAATCTATTTCCTCTTGCAAATATGTAAGACTCGATTCCTAGCCTTTTAATAACATTTATCAATTCAACTGCTATGTACCCACTTCCCACAATACCTATTCTTTTGGATTCTTTTATTTTAAAAAAATCATCACTTGAAATTGTATTTTCGATCCCTTTCACTTGTGGAAATATTGGTTTGTTACCAACTGCTATGAGAATGTTTCTGCCTTCAATCACTTCATCTGTTTTTTCTTCGTGTTTACATGAAATGTTCTCCTTCTTTATTAACACTTTGTTTTCACTTAACAAACTGGCTTTTCCTTCGAATAATTCCACATTGTCTTTTTTTAAATTGTTTCTATATATGTCGTTTAGTCTCCGAATGTATTTATCTCTTCTCTCCACTAGAAGTGGTAAATTGAAAGAAAATTGAGTATCGAATCCGTAATGTCTTGAATTTTCCAAAATGTCGTGAATCGAGGCGGCGTTGAACATTATCTAGTGGGTTCAGGTAAAGGGGCAGGAAAAATAAAAGGATAAGATGTGCATAAAAAGACAGATGGGTAGAAGCTGAACCAAAGTGAAGGATGAAACCAAAAAGGGAGGGAAAAGGGAAGACAAAAATAAATACTCACTCATTTAGTTAGATCTTTATATACTGTACAACCATCACCACGACGCCCCCAATTTTAACATGAGTAAAATTATGGGATAGCATGGAAAAAAAAAAAAAAAAAAAAAAAAAAATGCACGAGGGCTTCTCCCCTCTTCTATAAACACGAATAAGAACACATGTCTATATTGGTGTTTACATCTGCATAGGAGTGAGGAGGAGAGAGAAGTTATATATCTTCTCTTTTTTTGTTCTTTCTCTCTTTATACCTTTTTTGGTACACAACCAACATTCACACATGTACCTCCTAGGTATGACTTTTCCACAAGAGCAACCTTCGCCTTGTTCCTGCAGTTGTGTGAATTTGGATTCATATAAATGTATGTTGTTATGCATATATACATATGCACACTTATTTGTTTCCTTTGGTATATATAAAGGGGATGCGAGATGAAAGAGTTATATAATTCACTCCTGGACAACCCTTTTGGGGGTATTTTTTTTTTTTTTTTTTTTTCCCTCTTTTTATTTATATGAACCGCTACAAGTTCATGCATTATCCTGTTGATAAACTAACTTTGCTGCCCTCCTAGCGGCGGCCATGCCTCCACTTCCACCTCCAATAACTATAAGATCATAAACCATACTTGGTTTTTTCTTTAAATTTGTTGAGGCACTTGTATTTTCAAAGTTGTGATAAAAACTAAAGCATCTTGTTAATTTTAAGGACAAGTTAAGGAGGACAACAAAAAAAAAAAAATGAAAATGCATGTATTTAAGCATATTTTTATATATATATATATTTTATTTTTATGGATAAGGGTTAGAAGTTACATTTAAGTTTTTTTTTTTTTTTTTTTTTTTTTTTTTTTTATAATTTAAAGATAGAAAATTTAAAGCATAGAAATATGCATAAAATTCAAATAATGTGATAAAATGGGAACGCGCGTTTTTGCTATACACAGAATCGTAAAAAAGCATAACTACATGCCAACATATACTTTTTACGATGCCATAAGCTTGGTTGAAAAAAAAAAAAAGAAAAGAAAAAAATTTAAAGCGCAAAATGGGAAAAGCAAAAAAAAAAAAAATAAATAAATAAACTTTTTCCCCTCATGGAATGAGTAATATCACCTATTTAAAATTAGTAGGAATCTCAGGGGCTTCGTTCTCATGGCTTCATGTATATTCGCTATCTATCACCTTGGGGAATTCGCATGTACATGCATTCGTACGCGTATTCGTATAAATATATATATATATATATATATATATATATACATACATACATATGTACACATATATATGTATGTATACATTTACCCTTGTGTTTCCGGAACGTGTGAGTTCAACTCACTTGATGAGAAAACCTTTATTTTATTTTTTCCCTATTTAGAAATATACATAATTGTATGCATATAATGGTGTGGAGGCGCAAACCTGTTGGGAAATATTCCTTTTTTTTTTTTGTTTTCGTGGGATGGTTATATTGATATACTATTTTTTCCGTCCCCTCGGTTACTTGTTAAAGTGCGAGGGAATATCGTTAAAGTTTGGTGGAAAAAAAAAAATAAAATAAAATAAAAAATACTTTCAGGGAGTGTTCAATGAACACAGGGGTAGGGGAGTTATTTTTAAAGCATGCACCACCACCACCACCCTCTATACAGCACCAAAATGTGCATCAAGTGATTCACGTTTTTGATCTCCACTGCTCTTGAGTCCGTTTTTTTTTTTTTTTTGTTCGCGCGTTTGTCTTTGCTGGTGTTTTATTGAGCTATTTTTATTTTTATTTTTATTTCTATTTTTTTTTTTTTTTTTTTTTTTTTTTTTTGCAAAGGCCACAATTTTTTTTTACGCCATTATATGTTAATGCTTTATAACAGTGCTGCACCATGTAAATATCAGTAAGTGCCTTTTAAACGCAACAACAGTGTGGTGGAAAGTTTAATGGTTGTAGTGGATACAAAATCAAGCTCTTTCTCTCTTTCTGTATCTCCATCTGGCCTCGTCCTCCGCTAGAGTGAAATGCCCCCATCGGTGTTATAGTAACAGTTTGATGTTATGACTTTCATTGGGTTATTGGTTAAGATATGGGAGCTTCTTCTTCTTTTTCTTCTTTTTCTTCATTTTCTTCTTCATGTAATGTTGTGATCAATACCGTCAATGAAGGTAATGTTTTCACAATCCGATTGCTGATTTAGGGTGAAGATACGCATATCCAGCACGGTATTGGTATTTAGCAAATTTTGTTTATGTAAATTTTGGAAGAAAGAAGAGTGCTTAATTCTTCGTTTATACTCATATATAGTTCCAGCTAAGAAATCTTCATTTGGAAGAAGATGAATTTTATTACAAATAATAGATGCCAAGTTTAGAGGTAATTCAGTACCGTCTCTACTTTTTTTTAAAGGTAAATTATCATTATATGGGTTAACCATATTTTTAAAAATGTCAAAATCAATTTTTGCAATTTTTATCCATTGAATACGAAAATTTCCACCTAATCTTTTAGTTATAGGACCCCATAAATTTTCATATAAATTTTTTATTGGCATAGTTATCATTTTTGCATATCCTTGAAAACCACCACTTTCATTTACTGAGAATAGAAAAATAATTGTATAATTTTCTTTAAATAAGTTGACAAATTTTCTCGTATTATTTTTTCCTGTAGCCCATACACCATATAAAATTGATAAATACAAATGGGAAATTTGATTACACTTAATAACAAAGACTTTTATTTTTTCACTTTCGATTATTTCATTGTTCAGATCATATACATTTGGGATGCTGTTCATAATATTTTCTTGGTTCCTATTTGCTAATCCGTTTATATTCCACTTTTCCTCATTACCACTCATTCTGTTATATTGATATATCTTTTCATTATCTCGTCCCATTGTTGCATTATTATCAACAATTTGCATCATCACACCATCTGTCTGACTATTGCTATTGTTATGGTTAAAGTTACTACCAATCCCTTTTTCATTATGTCTATTGTTACCATGTACATTTGTTCCTTTGGAATAATTTTTATAATGGTTTGCTTTCTCGATTTGGTCACTTTCTTGGTTCCAAGTTTTCACGCAAGTTGTGTTGAAAGTGGTGTCTGTTCCTACACCGCTTCCTCCTCCAGGGTAGTGGCGATGTGTATCACTATTACTGTGGCAGATATCTGTCTTGTTCACAAAAGAATCATTGGTTTGGACAGTGGGGTCCTGTTCTTTTTTCGAAATGTTGGTATAAGATGGTGTACTATTACTACTAATAGGAAGAAGTTGCTTTTCCTGGTATTTTTCTCCGCTTAAAACAATTAGAGCATCCTTCAATTTGTTCATATCATTGATTATATTTTTGTGATTACTATAGAGAGGGGTATACAAAGGATGATTAATTAATATATGATCCAAATAGAATTTTGGAAGAATACTTATAATGTTGATAAATTTTCTACTTTTGCTTTTATGAGATTTTCTACAATTATATCCTAAGTTGCAAAACCCTAATAAATAATTTACACATATATTTTTTTCATGTAAAAATTTTAAAATATCATCCAAATAATCGTCTTTATTTTCGTTATACGTAGTTGTATTTGCATTTTCCAATGTGTGTCGAAACATACAAGATCCTCTTACTTTATCAGCACAATAATTATTTTTCACAAAATTTTTACATGTAGGAATTTTTGCATAAATAAGTTGATGTAAATAATTGCAAAACAAATTTTTCATACACATATTTTTTATATAATGAATACATATAATTGAATGCTTTCCTTTTTTCTGCTGTATATCTACTCTATCTATTCCCTTCATTGACAACAAATTAGACTGTTCTTCCAATCGTGCTCTTACTTCATTTTCCAATTGGATAATGTGCTCATGATCTGCGTAAGGTACACCGTGATGTTGTTCATCATAACCATCATGTAGATTCCCTCTCGACTCATCTGACACCAATTTCAATTTCTCCTCCTGCATATTCACGTACAGTTCGTAGAGGTTTTTCCTCTTCTTCCTCTTGACAATACGCTTGTGGCTGACCATTCTTCTCGGGGTTAATTACCAGGATGAAACGCTTTTTCGCTAGTGCCTTCTTCAGTAGTGGCTCCTTTGACAACTTCTTAACTCTGCTACGTCTGGGCAAATAATTCCATTCGATTCCACATGAATATTGTTCTTTCCATTTATTAGCTTTCCATGACTAGAATTATTCAACAAAAGTAAAACTTGGTTTCTAGGAACTGTTTAAGAAAAAAAAACAATTTGATGATAGTATTTGGGTATTGTTTGTGAGGAGTCTATGAATGTACCGAAATTGTTTTCTCCCTCTACTGAGAGCAGAGTATTTTGTGTTTTCACTTAATGTTGTTGCTTTTTAATTCAGGTCTATGTATATATACATGTATATGCATATGTACATGTGGGGAGGGTTACTAATAAGTTGTGGCATGTGTATATATAATAATGTGTTTTCATGATCGCGTATATTTGTGTAGTTTCCTCAGTTTTTGTATTTATGCTCATGTGAGATAGCCCTTGATGTTGCACACATATGTGATCGTGAGGGGTACTACTCTACTATACTAACGCTGCACATGCATAATAATATTATATGCAAGACTTTTTTCTTCCTAATACATGGTTATTTTCCCCTTTTTATTTATCCTTTCGCATTTGCATGATTTTAGAAGTAAACATATTTTTTAAAAAAAAATTGCCCGAGATAGAAAAAGCAACATTTGTTCTTGTTTCTTGGGTAACTTGATATTTTTTTCTAACTTGATATTTTTTGCTAACTTGGTAATTTTTATGCTAACGTTTTTTAGCCATGGTTCGAAATAAATTCTCGAGAAGTTTTAATGCGACACCGGTTGACTCAATCCGCTTTGTCATGCAAATATTTTTTTCCCCTATGTTATCAATGTTTTCTTGAAAAATAGTTCATTTTTTTTTTTTTTTTTTTTAACATTTATAATTTTCATTTTTATGTCATTATTATTCCTCCCTGTGTTGATGAGATATAAATACCACGTTTCAGTGAAAGAAAATTAACAGCTGCTGCATTTAAGTATTTATTCATGTGTTCGCACAAGTAAAAGCGGTGCTTAAAAAAAAAAAAAAGGAGGGTGGATGGTGTTGCAGTTGTGTTAATAAATGGATGACTACTTATGGGTATAATATATATTACATGTAAACACATTATTTATTTATTTTTTTTTTTTAGTTATACATCTTTGTAGTGTTTTTCTCTATTCCTGATTTTCCATGATGAAAAAGCAATCAACCCCATTTTTTTTTTTACCATTTTGTTAGCGGAAATTTAAAATAAAATTCTTGTCCTTTTTTGTTATTCCTTTAACATTATCGGGTTATAAGTAAAAATTTGAAAAATATTTTTAATTGGTGTATGAGGTAAGCTGATGTGGGAAAATATATACATATGTGTCTATATGTGTACATGTGTACTTATGCACGAATAACACAATTTGAAGTTCGCACATGATAAGACATAAAATATGTAGTTCTTGTTATGTGGGAGCAAAACTGGGAGCGTCAATTTTATCCCCCCAATCAGGGATGCACATAAAGCTGCAGTGAAAAAGCGGCAGTGAAAAAGCGGCAGTGAAAAAGCAGCAGTGAAAAAGCGGCAGTGAAAAAGCGGTAGTGAAAAAGCGGCAGTGGAAAGGGTAGAATTGGAACCATTACTCAGATACGCACCCAGGCCCCTTTCTGGCGCACCGAAAAATTCATGGCCTGAATACATGTGCCAGTAGACATGAAAACTTTTTTCCCATTTTGAAAGGTTCCATTTTTCTTCAAATATTCTTTTTGTAATTATATAGTTATTGGGTAGGTTAAAAATGAGGTGTACAAAATGATGGGGCAAAAGAAAAAAATGACTAAATAAATGACCAAGTAAATGACCAAGTAAATGACCAAGTAAATGCGTAGATAAATAAAATAGACGTTTTTGAAAAAGAGTAAAATATGCGTATGGGGAGAAGTGGGGGGGAGGCAAAAAAAAAAAAAAAAGGGGGAAAAAGGTTTTTCCCGAAATATAGAAACATGTATTTCAATTAAATGTATAAAAAAGAGCACATACCTTAAAATTTCAGTCTCTTTTCCAAACATTAGGAGGTAAAAAAAAAAAAAAAAAGAAAACATATTTTATGCCTATTCAGGTGATATTTACAAGAATATTTACATCGGATTTCTCGCTTCTTTTTGGGTGTGTGAGTGGGATGGTCACAGTGCTGGGTTTAATTGTCTACAACTGCATTTTGTTCTGTTATGCCATTTTGATTTGGTTCAGCATTTGATGATGTATTCAAAGGACCTTTGAAGTGCATATTGGACTGTTGGTTAGGTGGCAAGTTGGGGGGGAAATTTGGCGGGAAATTCATTGGCATACTAGGAGGCATATTAGGTGGGAAATTTGGCGAAAAGTTTGGTGGAAAATTGGTGGGAAAATTGGGGGGGATGTTTAAGGGAATGTTTGGCGGCATATTTGGTGGCATAACTGGCGGCATATTTGGTGGCATAACTGGCGGCATAACTGGCGGCATATTTGGTGGCATAACTGGCGGCATATTTGGCGGCATAATTGGAGGCATAATTGGCGGCATGTTTGGTGGCATGTTTGGCAGCATATTTGGAGGCATATTTGGTGGCATATTTGGTGGCATATTTGGTGGCATATTTGGTGGCATATTTCGAGGCATATTTGGTGGCATATTTAGTGGCATGTTTAGTGGCAACATGCCCATCATTCTATTCCCCATTTTCTGTGGCATCATAAAAGAACCATTTGGTCGCATATTCATATGTTGATGCATGAAATTGGATGAAATTGTTGGTGGCATATTTGTCGGTAAGTAGGAATTCATAATTGGTGGAAGTGAATCGTTTGGCAGTTTATTTATAGCGTTAGATGAAGTTAAAGGAGAATTTAAAAATAAATTCGTATCTCCATTTAATGATGTAATATTGTTATTATTTTTACTAGTATTTGTCTTATCTAAATTGGATGAATTATATGGCATTACATGATTTGAATTTTCATTTCCTGAATATAAACTTAGGGATTTATTAGCTGCTATGAATCTTTCTGCTGCAGTTCCATGTCTCTCCCCCTTTGAATCTTTTTTAAACGCATATGATATATGTATCTTTTTATTACAGATAAATTGATTGTTCATATTTTCTATTGCCATATCACTTGACTCAAAGTTGTCATAGGATATGAACCCATGACCCTTTGATGTATCATCTTCGTTTCTGATTATTCTAACAGTTACAACTTGTCCAAATGATGAAAAAATATCGAATAGCATTTTTTCGTCTACTTCTTCATCCAAATTTCCAATAAATAAATTTGCCCCTACATCGAATGATCTTTTATCTTGCGATGCCTTGTTACATCTGAGGGGTTTTCCAAATAGTTTTGTCATATTCAGAACCTTTCCTGCATATTCACACTCGTATTCGTACTCATACTCCACAAATCCGTACCCTGTTCAAGGGGGAGGGAAAAAAAAAAAAAAAAAAAACAATGTTACAACAATGTAGAAACGGTGTAGAAACAAAAACTTGTGCAAAAACAAACAGATGAACTGAATTATCTACTCTGAGTATAAAGGATAATAATGTTAGTACCAGCATGGAATCCATTTATTTTATCCCGTGGAATGTGAACATTTTTTACGTTACCACATTGCATAAAAAGTTCGCACAAAATTTCTTCGTCCACTTGGGCATCTAAGTTGGCTGCAACAGAGGAAATGGTGTATATAGATATTTATGGATTCACTTATATTCATATTCGTACGAATATTCACACGTTTTTTTCATATTTGTGAGTTCAAATTACACAGATTTGTAAATGTATAGCACCAGGAATGTAAACTGCAACGGGGATACATGTATAAACAAACGGGGGAATAGGCGTGGGGGAAAAAAAAAACACACACACACAAACATATATACATACACATACACACACAAACGCATCCTTAACGAAAAGGGAAAAAAAAAATGAAAAAAATATATTGTGTACAATTTCAAATGCGAGGAAAAGACAAGAATATGGTTGTTTTATTTTTTTTTTTTTTACCTATATAAAGTGTTGCTTCATTATTTCGTTCATAGATGTGACTAATCTCCTGGCTCTTATGAGGAGCGAACATTATATAATTTTCCTATTCTTCAGTTATTCTCATAAATGGAATCAATTATTTTGTAAGACTGAAGGGCTTTGTTGTTACATATGTTTGGGCATATGTATTTGTAAGATTGTGCTCATACGTGTGCATGGAGCTCAATATGTTCATATATATATACATATATATACAAGTGTGCAAGTATGAATGTAAATGTATGTATTTTCTCCCTTGGCTTAATGCTATGGTCAGTGAGGCTTAAACAGAAACAAAAAAGGAAACAAAAACAAGAAAAAAAAAAAAAAAAAGAAGCACAAAATGTACAAAATGGAGGGATAATTTAATAGCTAGAAAAAAAAAAAAAAAAAAAAAAACAATAAAAATTAAGGCCTTTTAAAACGCTAACTTTTACTATTTTTTCTACTCTCTTTTTCCTTTTTTTTATTGAGTTTAAAAAAGTGGAAATTGTTAAAAAACATTTCGCAAAAAGAAAGAGGAAGGTTTACAAAATTAGGGTTTTATTATTTTATTTTTTTTTTTACTCGAGCTCTTAATACATATATACATGATATATATATATATTTATACGTTCCATGTATGTATAAAATTATTTATACAAAAGTATCATTTGAAAAAGGCAGCAGCATAATTTAAATAATACAAAAAAAAAGGACTTTCATAGATACATTTAATTTCTGTGGAGAAAAATGAAGAACGTTGCACTTTTCCTTTTTTTATACTGTTTTTTCTTGTCGAGCTTCTTCCACATATGCACAATTTTCAATTGTAGATAATTCCTAAAAGGCCTTGTAAAAAAAATCACGCACGTGAATTAACGATAAACGGGAAATTAAAGAACAAGGGGTGGAGGCCAAAGTGAGCACATAAATGAATGGGGTTGCACAAATGTAAGGGGAGAAAAAAAAAAAAAAAAGCAAACAGGTGTTCGACTAAGGAAGAAAATTTAGCAGTAAAAAATAAGCAACTATAGGTGCCAAAATGCACCATTGAGAAAATTTCTGAACATAAAAAAGGGGAAAAATAAATAGTAAAAAAAACAAAATTAAGCTAAATAGTACCTAAAAAAAAAAAAAATGCATCATGCTTTTGTCCACTAAGACTTCATTTTAAATGGACACAAGCCCTATTCCCTTTAAATAAAACACTTTTTAAAAAAAGGAAAAAAAGAACACCAACAAAATGTATATTTCTCGCCATTGTAGCTAGCTTAAATTGGTGGAAAAGATCTGTTTGAACCTAATTTAATGAAAAATGTGCATACCAATTTTTCCCTATTTTTTTCTCATTTTTCTGCTTGAAATAAACAAAATGAGTGATGAACTGGATGTTTGCCCTGAAGTAGTACCTCGCCGATCCGCTAGACCGTTTAAAAATTAAATAATTGAAATCTGAAAGGTGTATATAAATGTGTTCTAATTTGTATGCTAGTCTATGTGCTAATATAGATATGCACCAAAGTGGTTCTACGAGTTCAAATTATGCACGCACCTACTTGCGTGCAAGCAACATGTCGGTGCAGACTTTTTCTCCCAGTGGAGAGTAAAATAGGCACAATACATTTAACAGTCCGTCTTCACCCCATGCCGAACAGACAAAAACACACTCAATTTCGTATAATTTCAAACAGTTCGGTTTAACCATTTGTTGGTCTGTTCGACAGAAAGATAAAACAACTCTTATTAATTCCCACTCTAATTCCCACTCCCAGTGCTCATGCGCAAATATTTTCCAAGTGTCCCTCCTTGTCTTCTCATATTTAAACACATATAGGCACTACTTTCGAATGCAAAGAATGCGCGAATGGAAAAAAAAACACAAGTATATATATATATATATATATATATATATATCTTACGGGTTACCAATTTAGCAGGATCTTGTAAAGCCAATGAGTAACACACATATGTGCATTATATGTATATTTTTATTATTGTTCCATCGAATGACCACCAGATCAAATGACCATGGTATTCCTTTTTTTGGCACTAAATATGCAACTTTTTTTTTTTTTTTTTATTCATGTAAACGTTTCAAATTTATGAATGTTCGTCCCGTGGGCACAAAAAATGTGGTACGCATGTATGTATATACGCATGTACTTTCTTGTTTACATGCATGTATATATATATATGTGCCCATTACAGACAACAGGTGTTATGTGGATGCATATGCACGTTCACAGGTGTAACACGGTGCTTGCCAAAGGGTTTATCTGCCACTTACATATATTCCATGCTGTGAAATTCAAGAACATGGAAAAATAACACAATGTATGATAAGTTCGGATGGGACGCATTTACTCCCACCTGCACATTAGCATACATATACAACTACAGATGCAACTACAGATACAACTACAGATACAACTACAGATAGGAAAAACCGCCTGACTAAACCATGCTGACACTCTTCAACATGCGAGACTCCATGTCCACCACGCAGATATCCCTGAGTTCCTCCATCTGCAAAAGTTCCACCAATTTGACACAGTGAAAGACACTTTCGCACAACCTCTTGTTATAATTGCTTATCATTTTTCCCTTCAGTGTCGATATATTAATGCCTCTCTTATAGCATTTCAATATATCATTTAAATAAAATTTTAACTCATCAATGGAAGATATATAATTTTGCATATTTTGTCCCCTCGTGTTAAGAATACCCATTCGTGCATTCTCATATTTACGACACTGAGAAATAGGCTTTATAAAATTATTTTCATAAGCTATTATTTTCCTAGTGGCACTTATATGAATAATATGACATAAGTGACCTAAATACAATCCTTCAAAAAAAGGTAACTTTCTTTTTTGTAACTCTTTTGCCATGCCATATCTACCACCGGAAAATGAATACAATTTTGGATCTTCCGAATCAGCTATCTCCCTTAAATATTTTTCAAATTGCTTCCATAACTTTGGATCATATCTATCTTCTGAATCGTTAATAGAAAAAAAATAATCGCTATCCACTTTCCTATCAAGAAAATACACCAAACAATTATCAGCACAGGAAGAATTCACTTTTACTATGTACTTTTCTGTGTATAAACTATATGAATTTTTTATATTATTTTTTAATATATTCCTAAAATTATACTCATCTGCTCTTCCTTTTAAATTAATTATTAGAGGAATAATTCTGTCATCATATAAGGAGTTCAATAGCTTTTCTAAATTATGTTCATCTTCTTCTGATAAAAGTGCCCTCAAATCCTCCCCTGATATCAACTCTCGCACGCCTGGGGATTTTTTTTTACTCTTCGAGTTCGACATCATGCGTCTTTCCTGTGACATTGGTCTCTCGGTTCTTTCATAATCACAACTAGGGTTACCTTTTCTCACATTGTTACGGTTTACGCTAAAACTACTACGATTAACATGAACACTGAAGCTACCTCTAGTAGCAGATGTTCTTGATGTGATATTTCTATTCCATAGGGAATTCTTTCTACTATCACTGAACAGATTCTTCCTTTTTTGTATAAAAAAGAGATCATCTCCTTTGTCACAAAAAAAAGAATCCCTTTTCCCACCAAAAGTCATAGCTTCCTTTTGCTCTTCTTCTTCCCCTCTATTTTCATCTCTATTAAAATTTCGACAAGCCAAATTTTCCTCCCACTCATTTAAGAAATACCCTTTTTCAAAAACACCTACATCACAAGCATTTCTACTGGTGCTGCTGTCCACACCATTATAACATGTATTCTTCGATTTGGGGGTTATCACACTTTTACTTTTTAAAAAAATATTTACCTCATTTGGAGTTAAGCAGTTATCATTATTTACACTTCCATATCTATTATTTGCATAGGTATTCGCGAAAATTTTTTTATACTCAGATTCTTTTTGAAGGTACTGTTCATATGGTGTTGTTACATCCTTTTCTAGTGTCTCGATTAGGATACTTGAAGATGAAGGGATTGTCATGCGGCCATTTTGCGAAGCATAGTTAAGTAAATTTTGTTTATAATCCATAACACCACCATTTTCGCGACTGCCACTATTCTTTCTACTTAACAAAAACAAGTTTTCATGTATTTTTTTGCGTTGTGCTTCTTCTGAGTTATCACTTTTATGCATGTGTAACTGATTGTAGTCCTCGTTTTCGATGAATCCCTTAACTCCATTTGCATTAGTGCTACTACAATAAAATGGATTCATATTTTCACATTTCCCCTTTTCTAGCTTTTTAACAGGGAAATTACCATTCGGGACAAGCGCTTCGTTTTGTTTGTTCTTCATTTTTCCTCCATTTGATTCCAATAGAGAATTGTCATTGTTACTTCTACCACTACTGTGGCCATTGATGTAACTGATGGTATTACCATTGTTTGTCCTTAATTCCACCATAGGTGAAAAAGAGCTTGGTTCCAAAATTTCCACATCACCATCTCCAGTACTATGGTTTGGGTTCAAATAATGTTCATCACACCTACTGCTAACGTTGATTCCTTCCTCCCTAGAATTACTGATCTTATTCGCTACTAAACTATTTGTTAAGAATAATTTCAAATTAGCAATGTTGCTCTTTCTGGTGTTATTACTTATATTCGAATTCCCTCCGTTTTGTAATTTGGTCTTATTAAATTTGTTTTCTCGTGATTCTCTTTCTCGTGGTTCTCTTTCTCGTGGTTCTCTTCCTCGTTGTTCTCTTCTACGTGATTCTCTTTCTCGTAATCCTCTTTCTCGTTCTTCTCTCTCTCGTAATTCTCTTTTTCGTGCTTCTCTTTCTCGCCCTTCTCTCTCTCGTAATTCTCTTTTTCGTGCTTCTCTTTCTCGTCCATCTCTCTCTCGTAATTCTCTTCCCTTTGATTTATTTTGATCTCGTCCACTAATGCAATATTGTGGTACTTCACTTCTATTGTCGTTCATGTTAGAATATCCATCATTGTATATTTCATTCCTTCCCTTTTCGGATAGCAAATTAATAGAGTGACCAATACTACACCCCACTTCTCGCATTCCCGCATTTGAGCCATTAGAGTTGAAATTAATTGTCTTATTATTATGAGCACTGTTTTGTGTAATCTGAAGAGCAGCGTATTTTACTACGTCTATTCCATTATCATTCTTAAACCCATTCTTTCCCAAGTTGTTTTCCTCTACTATTCTATCTTCTTTAAGTGCATGATGATCCATTTTTATATTTTCTTCAAGGTCCCTGTTGGTGGCCATGTTATTGTCTCCTCCTTCGCTTCCTCCATTTTTCTTAACATACTTGCTCCTGTTATAATCATTTATAGCATCCATAATATATTCACTTAACAACAATTCATCATCCTCATTATCGAGTAGAAATTTTATCTTATTTTTTAATGCTTCAAATATTACATTTTTTTTTTTGGTGACACAATTTTGTATGGGCGTTCCTCTATGTATGTTGTGATGCGTGCTATTTTGCAAGGCACTCTGCTCGCTAACGTAGAAATTAGCAAAAGGAGCAGATGGATATTTTAAGTAATTTTTCCCTCCTAAGCTTGAATTGATGTTGTTCCCTAATGTATCCCCTCTTTCTAATTCGTTAAACTTCATAGCATTGTCATTCAAATCATTTGTATGTGCATCATGGATACTGTTCATCCCATTTGCATAATCGAGCATTATATTGTAATTATTCTGATGAGATAAATAGTTATTACTTATACGATCTCCATCTCCATGTGTTTCATCCCTCTCATTTGTGACATGCTGAAGAATGCCCCCGTGATAGTATGCAGCCTTTTCCTCACTAATTATACCTTCATCTGTGTGAATAACTAATTCGTTATTTATATTATCATTCCCAATATTTTGTGTCCCATCGTTTAATAGTTCTAATAAATTGTTGTATATATCTGAATTGTTATACTCCTTAATATTAAGGCCAGCTTTGGAAAAATTATAATTCCAGTCATCTAAAAATGTATTATTCGTGGAATGCATGATATAGCTTGATTGTCCACTGTTCAGAATATTGTTGTTAGGAAACAGCATACTACTAGACGATATGTTGTTATACTTGTTCTCATCAATGTCTTTTTTCTCTGGGCTTAACCCTTGCAGGCATGTTTCGCTCTGCACTTCTGTAATCATTTCCGTGCTAAAAACCATATTCTCTCCATTCGAGCTGTTGTTTTCGTAAATGTCCTTTTTGTAATCCCCTTCATTTATTTCAGAACGAAGGAGTCTTCCTTTTGTTTTGTGATTTTCATTTTCCTCAATTTTTTCTAGACACAACAAGATATTATCACCGTTTCTTCCTGAATTATTCAGTTTCGCACAAATATCTTCTTTTTCATTTTTGGACTTCATTTCATATGCTTGAGTAGAATCATCATTCAAGGGATTATTATCCTCTGATGTTGTAAAATCAAAGTGCACACTTTTCCCTTTTATGTAGCCACTTAAGAGCGGACAATTTTGCTCTTCCTTACATTTTTTGCCGTTTTTTTCAGCATCCAACGCTTCATCGTGTTTTTCCATATTTAGCTCTTCCTCGAGTTTTTCCTCATCCAACACTTCTTCACTTTCTTCCTCATCTGACTCGAAATTATTTCCAAAATAATTGCAAATGAATTCCTTATTATTACTGCTACCATGATCAAATACATCTTTTTCCATTTCATAGTGTTTTCCTGTATTACCTGGTTCTAATACTTCACTTTTGTCATTACTACATGTGCTCTTATCTAGCTGAATCCCTTGGCATTCATTATTTTCTGTAATCTCCTCCTGTGTAATCATGGGAAATAAGTTATCCTTTAAGGTACCGAAGTTTTCACATCTCCCAGATGGATTATTTTCATTTACAGAATCATCGACTGGAATTTCCTTCTCTTCGTACATTTTCTCGCACACCTCATTTTGCACATTATTATATTTTGAGAAACTTAACATTTCTTCATTTTTTGTAGAGCAGAAACCTACGTCGTCGTTCCTGTTAAATGAGCCAAAATTATTAAACAGTGATTTGCTTCCGAACATGTTATAATCCCTTTCATCTACACTCGTGTGTGTCTTTTTTAAGTTTAAATCGTTTACATGGTTCGTCAGGTGTGAGTTGTTAGCATCACTTGGGTGACTATAAGTTGCTCCCCTACAGTATGCCACATTTGGATCTTCCAATTTTGATGTCCTGCTTTGAGAAGTGCCATTTTGATAAATTTCATTTTCCATTACTTCGCTTTCATACGTATTATCTAATTCCCAATCCATGCTTAAGCTGTTATTTTTTGTATGTAAACGCGAAAGGTTATCACTGAATTCATTACTTTTGCTAATGCCTTTTATTTTATCTCCCTTTGATGAAACCGAACCATCACTTTTGTCTAAGTCAAAAATTGATGTTAGGTAACTGTTAATATAGGAGAAATTCTCTTTTTTGTCATCGGTTCCATTGGTATTTCCCATACTCACCTTTTCTCTTTTTTCTTCTTCTTTATATTTTATATCTTTAGTTGCAGGATGTGTATCTACACATTTAGAGGTTTCGCGCTCTCGCACCGTTGAGGTATTCTGTGTGAATCTTTTTATTATATTCTTCATGTTGTTTAGTTATTTTATTTTATTATTTTATTATTTAATTTTTTTTTTTTTTTTTTTTTATTTTAAAAAAATGCTCACTACAATGAATTCGTGACAGCACTATTCTTTTTCACCTTGAAGTGTAGTGGTCTATATTTTTACTCTCCAGGTGCGATTTCCGTATTAAAACGTATTTTAGATTTTATTTTGATTTTTTGATTTTTCTTGGATCACATTTGTGTATGATTATGTAATCTTTTACGAAACTTCAAACGATATATTGCTCTCATATATTAAATAATAATAAAATAGAGGTGACAAAACTGGATGATGAGCACGAAAGGATGTTCAACAATGTAGCATCCACATTACATAAGCGTAGTTCTATTGAACTCCTCTCCTATTTTACAATTTGTGTAAAATTGTATACAATGGCATAAAATAGTGTAAACCTGTGTATACTATGCAGAAACTTCACCGTATGCAAGTATTTACCATTGTGCATACGAATGTACATGCATGAACAAAAACAAACCCACATGAATTATTAATGTTTCCACCAAAAAAGCAATGCGTAAAAAAAAAAAAAAAAAAAAAAAAAAAAACATGAAAGATGTGCAGTGTTCCTTCAAATTAGAAGCGATGTAGTTATTTCTGCTAAAGGTTTAGCAGAAGAGAGCAAAAATATATTAACATCCTTCAATTTTTCAACGTCTTCAACAAACATGCATACATACACACTATATATGGTATATAAAAAAGATTATTTGAATATTAATAATTACGAGAATAATTGATATGATCTAACAAGTTCAACATTGCATTGCATATTAATAATGTTAATATTTATTCTCATAATACATTTGGTGGTATGAACACACAAAGTAGCATTTTGCATGAAAATACATACGATGTAAACCACTGAAAAAGGAACAAATTCGTACTACAAAACATAGATTAAGTCATAGATAACATATTAACATTTCAATGGACGTTTTAAAACTGTTTTATACTATATGCGACTATACAATACTGAATATATTTTATAAAAATATGCTTAGACACAATGTGGTAGTGTTAAAAATACTAACAATATGCATTTATAAGAAAAAAATGGGAAAAAGAAAAGAGGCAAAAGCCACCAAAAAGAGAAAAAGGAGAAAAAAAAAAAAAAAAAAAAAAAGGTGAAAAAATGATCTCTTTACTGTAAAATAATTGCTCGTAAAAAAAATAAAAAAAAAAAGAGAATTATGAATCTACTTCTCAATAAATTAAATGGAAGACTTCGTCGTTTTAATTAAAATGATGCAATTAATTTATGTTCGATGGATACACGTCACTCGATCACTAATCATGCATAAGGCATAATTTGAAATTCGTTAATTAGTAATTTGTATTAATATGCATGGATACACCACATATATGCGTACCGCAGAACAAAGGTCAGGCCTTTCGTTTATTATATAGCAAGAAAGGAAAATAAAAGATATGCAAAACTTGAGTGCGAAATGTATATACTTGTGCATGCATATATGTATGCATAGGCATTTTTGCTAAACAAGTCAAAAATGTATTTATTTTATTTTATTTATTTATTTTTTTTTTTCCCCAATGATGTTTCAAAAATGCAATTTAGTCATGTAAATAAAATGGCAAGGTTAAATACAACCGCAAAAAATGCTTCCAATTACATATTACAATGGTTGCACAGATAAGGGTACAGAAAAAGTGGAGAAAAAAAAAAAAAAAAGAAGAAAAAAAAAACAATAACTGAAATTGCTAACTTACTACGTTTTTTTCCATGTTCACTAAAGCAACTTAAAATTTGTAGAGCGTGTCTTAAAACATGCCCAAAATTGCATGTGTTTTTTCTCAAGCATATGTTGCATGAACAACGGGTTTATAAAAAAAAGTGAATAAATTGAGAATTTTCTATATTTTTTTGAGTGTATATATATATATATATATGCAAATGTTTATACTATTTTAGATAAGAGAAAATTAAAAATAGTGAAAACTGTGTTTTTTTTAATGGAAAATTGGTTAAAAAATGTTAAGTTAAAACCGTGAAATGGAAAAAAAGAGATAAATGTTTACAATTACTCCACATATATATAGACATTGTGGAATAAAAAAAAAAAAAAAAAAAAAAAAAAAAATGAAGTAAATAAAACAAGGAAAAATAAAAAAAAGCAAATTAAAACAGAATAAAATAAAATAAAATAAATAAATAAACACAATGGTAGAACAAAAGGGCTTGAAAAAAACAACCACTATAAAGTGATACTGAAAAGAATATACAAAATATTCTGAACATTTTCCTACCACACAAAAAATGTTATGCACATTTCTGCGAGAAAAAAAAAAAAAAAAAAAAAAAAAAAAATGTAGAACAAAACTTTTATTTACGGTTAACATTTTTTTTTTTTCCCCCCAAGATATGTAAATAGCTAACCATAGTTGTAAATTCTCTCCATTTTTTATCACTAGCTTTTGCAAAAAATTTGGAAATTAACATAACTTTGATTATTTGTACACACAATTATTTCATGCTACTTGTTATATTTTATTTTATTTATTTTTTTTTTTCTTACTACTGTGGCTAGTTAACTGAAAATATGAGCAATAAAAAAAAATATTTGTACATATATATATGTGTACAAAAAATTATGTGCAAACTTTGAAACATTACCTAAATTTATGCATATCTGTTGTGCCATTTATAAATAGCTTCAGATAAAGTTGCAGTTTATGAATAAAAATGGAACGATCAACGAGTCAGATCAGTAAATCGTGGAAGCGGAAAAATATGCAAATGTTTGTCATTTGCAGACACAAGTGGTAATGTATTTGTGTACAAACTGTTCAACGACTTGGCTATTCCATGTACACACTTGCATGTGTATAAGGAAGCGCCGCTGAATTAGACACATTTATTCTTGTACATAGGTATATATGCATGTGTACATGTCTATATATATTTTATCATTCCGTAGATCTTTCCCATTCTTACAGTACACACTTTTCCCAAGTGTAACAAACGACCTTCTTAGGAATAAATAAAAAGAGTACAAAAAAAAAATTTGTTACTTATAAAATGAACGGTTCATGTATGCGGTGATCCCTCACATGAACTTTGAAAAAAAAAAAATTCGTGATCACACATGCATAAATTCATTGATATATATATATACTTGCCTTATAAGCACAGCTCTCCCCTAACCCCATGTACACACATGCGCTGATCACACAAATTGTATATATATATAAAAAAAAATAATAATAAAATAAAAAAAGCGTAAAAGAGTTATTCACGTTTTGTAGCACAGCTTGGTTCATTCGAACATACCAAAAAATGCATTCCTCTTTAATGTGTACGAAATGGTATGTGCGCAAGTTATATATACATATGTATATGTTCATACACAAAAAAAAAAAAAACTTTATACAGTAAAAGAAACTTTTGATGGGTGATGAAACAAGTCCAAAGAACATACCACAACAACACTCATTGGAGAATCAAATTTGCAATTTGCGTATTTTCTTCATTCAAGTCAGTTTTAACCCTAACTGCATCCCTTATCTTTTTAATAGTGCCCACAGGTACATTTTCGCTCAATATGACATTATTGAAAAATGTTAAAATACGAAGTAAAATCGGCTGATCATTTGTTTCCTCAAATGAGGAAAGAATATGATGGAATCCCTTTGTTCGTATTAAATACATGGGTAAGCGTAAATCAGAAGATAACATGCCTAATGCTCCTGTTGAAGCAAAAACAGCTTTATAGTTTTTATATTCCATGGTGAAAGAATATATTATTTGCATATCTACAAAATTGAATTCTTTGTTTTTTTCATCTTGCTTTGTAATTTTTTGATATTTATCATATACATATTGATGAACATGCGTCTGAGAACATAAGTTACAGATGCATTCTAAACTTGCTGCTCGTATACAATCATTTTCCGATGCGATAATGTCAAAACACTTATTCCACAAATTTAAGTGCATAGCTTTTATGGCTACATTTTCGTCAATAGTTAATATATTTGTTATCGCCATTAAGGTCTTGAAAACTAATAATTCATCTTCATTACTCAATTCATCAATTAGTAAAGGCAAAGAATCATAAGCTTCATAAAAGTGAATCAATTTGGGATTGGTATAAATAAATATTTCACTTAAAGCTAGAGCACAATTTTTTTTTTTAGAAATGTGTTTTGAAGCTAACAACAAAGTTTTCAACCCATTATTAACAAGTACTAGCCCAATGTTTTTTGAATTTTTTACAAATTTAGATATAATCTCGCACACTGCTTCAGCTATGTTAGTTGTGAAAAAATTGGTGTTAATAAAATTATATATGGTGCTAATAATTGTCCCATTTTTATACCTAATACTGTTACTAGTAGTAGTAGTGCAACTACTACCACTACTGCCATCACCCATAGATATTATTTGTCCACTTTTTTCACTAACTTTTTTTTGATAATTTTCGTTATATAATAATAAGTTAATCAATTGATTACTTGTTTCTTCATCTCCATAATCATACATGAGATCTGTTTTCGGTTTCGCTCCTGTAGGTAATTTATCATAAAATTGCTCTAAGGCTTCAATTTGTTCTGGATCAAAATTTGATAAATTGGCTTTGTTAATTTCTCTTCTCCTCGCCTTTTCATCTGTTCTTGATAATATTAAATTATTGATAGTATTGCAATACAGGTATTTATATGTATTGTCTAATTTCTTTTGGTTAATGTCGTCTCCTACTTTTATCAGGAAAAGCAGTATGTAGTTGTTTTCGTCCTCCAGTAGCTGCTTCTTAAATTCTATGTGCAGACTCAAATAGAACAGCATTTCGATGACATCTTTCAACATGTTGACATCGTACTTGGCACATGGATTGGTTGTTCCATTTTCCACTTCATTCTGAGTCTCCTTTGTGCTTGCCTCTTGATCTTCCCTTTTGTCTATCAAGCGACAATTTTTTTTATCATTAGACAAAGAACTAGTCCCGGTATGTGCAGAACAGGTTGACAGTTCAGAAGATCTCTTCTTGTCTAAGTGCGTTGAATAGTGCTTATCAGAAGAATATCCGTTTGCAAGGGGCTGGACCTCTGGGGTATAATAATTTTGAAGAAACCGTTTCAACATTTCCTTGGCGTAGAAAAATAAATCAATGTTTCTGATGATTTCTTCTTTGAAATCTTTGTTATGCATGTACAGCTTGAATAATCCGACAAGCAACTTCAAAAAGTTTTCGTCATAATTGAGAGTTTTTAAGATATTTATATAAACGTCGATGTAACTATTTAACATAAAACGTAACTCTGCTATATTTAGGAGAAGCAGTAAAACGTCAATGTAGAGAGATACATATTTTTTGCTTTTTCTTCCTACTGAATTATTTATAAAATTTAGAATATCAAACATGTATTCATTTTTCCCAATTAAATAATTCAGAACAATATTTTTATCAACCAAGAAAAGACATTTAACTGATAGGAACCATTCTACACATATCTCATTTGTTTTAAAATACAAATTTATGCATTCGTATATAAGATCATTCATTTCTATATCTTTTTCACTAGGCCTATTTTTATCATATAATAAGGTAAAAATTAAAATTAGAGCGTATTCCACATCATTTGAAAAATCATCATACATACTTATACATTGCTGAATCATTTTTTTAATTTCGTGATTGATACATAGTGGGTGCTTATAAATGTCACCAAAGTGAAATTCGATAAGACTGTTGTGTATATCAAAATTTGGTAACAGTTTTAATGTTTGAATAAAGTTTAACTGATTTTTCTCCTTACTTGTGTTTTTTCTTTGTATGAAGAACTTTTTTTTTTTGCAAAGAAAAATTATTACGTCGAGAGCACTACTTGCAATATCTCTATTTCCACTATTTAAAAAGTAGGCATTAATTATTTTAACAATGTTTTGATTATTTATTGCATGAACGTATTTTACAATGTTGATGATGAATATTAGGGAGTCCTTAACTATATTGCAATTATATTCGTCTTTTTCAAATTGGAAATTTTCCATTTTTTTTGTTTGATTTTTTACATAGTTATTTATCCACTGTTCATCAAATAGTTCATGAAATGACAAAATCATTTTTACAAAATTTGTATCATAGTAAAACTCAAACTTGATGTCACTTAACCTGTTTATGCACATTTTGTTACTCCTTGATATCTCATATTTTTCATTTCCCTTTTTCATTTCTTCTCTTTCTAACTTGGACATTAATTTGTACATAATAAAAAGGCACTCCTTTTGAACCACCAAAGTGGTATTACTATGGTTCATGATTTTTGAAAATAATTCAAAAATATTTTCCCTAAGTAAGGTATGTAAACTATGCTTATAAATGCTGTGGATCATTTTAATTTTTTCCTCTTCTGTCGCGTTAACATCAAGGATTATTTTTTTGATCATGTCTATAGTGATCGTCTCTTTCTCCTGTTTTTCATCTTCCATATCTTGAAATATCTTTTTTAGTTTGTCATTTATTCGGCATATTTCACCATTTATATTGTTTCCACCCATTGCATGTGTTTCTTTTTTAGAAGCAGATTTTCCCATAGCAAGTACGACTTTACATCTTTCAAAGTACTGGATACATTTTTTATAATCCTTCAACTTTTCATAACACTGGCCCAATGTGTGATAACTTTTGTAATGTTCCTTATCGATCTCATTTATATACAAGCAGTATTCAATGGCTTCTTCAAAACGGTCTAAAAAATAATAACACAATGATATGTTGTGACATATATTTATGAAAAGATTCTTCACTAGGTGGTTCACATAGGTGCAATCTTTTTTCATTTCCTCCATTTCTGTATGATGGTCCGCTCCTTCTGCAACGTTTTCCTCCTTTTTTTCATTGTTCCCATTATTTCTACATTTATTTTGAAAAAATTGGACACAACTTTGAACTTGTAATGAATCAACTGGTCCATTGCATAGCTGCGAAATGGCGCTCAAATAAACACTTAATGCCTCTTCATATTTTTTGCACCTAAATAATTCATTCCCTTTATTTTTGGTTTCCTCCAATAGTTTCGTATTGACATATTTAAGTCTCCCTTCATCCATGGTATTTTTTTTTTGTTCCAAACCGCTTGCACACTCCAAAAAAAAAAAAAAAAAAAAAGTTTCACTTGTCTGGAGAAAAAAAGTTTTGGGGCTTCTTCTCTTCGTCCAATGGTTCGTGTGTTTGTTAAAAAAAAAAAAAAAAAAAAGTCTTTCCCGTTTGTGTGTTTGTCTGGTTGTTTGTTTGCTTGTCTGTTTGATTATCCACTTGTGAGTTCGCTAGTTTTGCTTTCAAGGAAAGTTAACATTTCTGGCAATTTCTTGCAATTTCTGACAATTTCTGACAATTTCTGACAATTTCTGACAATTTCTGACAATTTCTGACAACTTTTTTCAATTTTCCTTTTAAGTGTAAAACGAATTCGCAGGGATCATCTGTTCGCTGTGCATTGAAAAAAAAAAAAAAAAAATGTTCGGTAATTTCAACTCCCCCCATCCATTGCTGTTCAGGAAAAAAAAAAAAAAAAATAAAATAAAATTTCCACTTTTCATGTTTACAAAAATGATTTAAATCCACCACTGTCATATGTTTTCTCGGTTTAAATTATTTTATTTTTTTTTTTTTCCCCCCTCCATGTACAAAGTACGCATTTTTTATCTTAAGGGAGGATAAAAATCTGAGTATATTTATCTATGGATACCGTGCAACATTGAAAGTTTTGCATGTTGTTCTATAATAAATATTATGTTTTCAACAAATCAGTTAATTTGTCAATCCAACAGATGAAGTGTTCCCATTTACTGGCACATTTCACCTAAAGTATTCTATCCCAAGGATCATCCATTGCCAGAACATCAAATCTGATAAAAAAGTGTAAATGCAATACACGATATTGTTAACACAATGTGAGAAGAAATGAGAGGAAAAAGCAAAAAAAAAAAAAAAAAAAAAAAAAAAAAAAAAAAAATTACCTTTCTATGCTATTATACATATTACACGTGTATAAGTACTACACGAACAATTGTGCGAGTGTATAATGAATAATCAAATATAAAGGGTGGTATACTTATCTGTATGATGTCTCACAAAGGTGGGGAAAGACAAAATGGTGCATAAACTGATGCGAAAAACGGTGCAAAGGGCTGTACACACAATGACTTATACATGGTCCCGCAAGATATCCGAACAGATAGCCCAAAGGGAGAACAAAATAATTTCAGGAAATGCACACAGTGATTATTTTCCCTTTCCCGGAGGAGGGTGGGGAAACAAATTTAAAAACAGATTTTCATTATCAACGTTTAGAAAAGAAATCCATTGTAAGGATAAGCATCTCTGGTTTCTAGATATCAGAAGTGGAACTAATGGAACGAATGAAAGTAGTGGGAGGAGGGGTGTAGGAAATTGTCGCACAAGTGGCAAGTGCATACCGTTTCGGATTGAACAATTTGGTACTCTGAAAAAAGAGAGAAATGACAGGGAGGTGTGTGTGTATGATGACAAGAACGAAGAGGGATCCAAAACAACTCCTTCCTCGTCACATCATGTGAAAACGGATGAAAAGAATGGAAGTGAATATCAAAATGGTAACGTGCAAGGGGGAAAAATAGAAGAATGCGTATCAGGCCTTGTCCAAATGAACGAAGATAAAAAATTTCCCAACAATGGGGATGAGATGAGCATAGATGATGAACATAGGACACAGAATGAACTAGAAACAAAGCAGGGAAATGAAAAGAAAAGCAAAGAGTATATGGTGCTAATGTTTACTTGTAAGATATGCAATAAGAGGAGTGCAAAGAAATTTTCAAAACAAGCCTATAACAAAGGGGTTGTTATTATTCGCTGCCCTTCATGTGAAAACCTCCATTTGATTTCCGATCAGTTAGGCTGGTTCCAAGAGGGGAAAACAAACATTGAGCAAATCTTAAAAGATAAGGGTGAAAACGTCATTAAAAAGTTCTCTTACAACAATTTGCTTGAAATAGATGACCTGCTGAATGCGTACAAGTGAGTTCGCATAGGATCGTGCATACACATGCACATACATGTATATATATCTGCATAAATGTGTGTATATTTTTTTTTTTTTTTTTTTTTTTTTTCCTTTTTTTGAAATCCCAATTTTTCCAATATACTTAGTCGGCACTATTTTGTACTCTTGACATTTCCCCATTTGGAAGTTGTAGACATCTCACGTAAATCGTTGCGGAGGGAATCAAGCGAAAATGATTTCTTTTTTTAAGAAAAAAGAAAAAAACATTACTTCTAAAATGGTGTCTTCACAAATAGTACCGTAACCTGAATTAGTGCATCTGGATATGATCATTTTTCCCACACGTGATAAATTCTTAAAAGATTTGCACATCAAAAGGGGTAGTAGTGAAATATATTAGGGTCATGTATGAATTATAACGACAAACCTAGGAAAATATTTGTTTTTCCTTTTTTCCCTGCTTAGATTTCGATATGTATTCCTTCCAAAAATTATCACACAATTTGGAATGTTTTAAAGCATTCAATAATGATCGAACAACGAAAACCAAAAGTGTATGGAAACAGCTTATGTAGGATATTCCAAGTTATGGAAAAGACATGAAGAGATGAGATGAATAAACTTTTATGATGCTTGCTGAATGAGATGATACAATAAACTTCTATATGTACTCATTTCAGATGTAAGGCGAAAGTATGGCCATCTCCTTCCAAGGGCACATGATGCAAAGTAGAATAGAAGTTGAATAGAACAAAATGCTATACGTAGTTCTTAAACGTCTGTTCTTTTAATCATCTGTGGTTAGAACTGTCGTTCTAACAATATTTGGCATTTGAAAATTGTGGTTTCTTAAAGGGGACAATACAGGAAATCACCAACTCTTGTCATTATTAAAATGTTATCCAGTGTGCAAAAAAAAAAAAAAATAAAATAAAATAAAACAAAAGTTGAATGAGAAAGATTGGAGATATTTATGAGCTATTGCTTCATGTATCTTGCATGAGTGCGCGTGCGTGTGTATGTGTATTTATGTATGGCCTTCACAAATGTGTGCTTGATAGGAAGAAGCATATGACAGAGAGAGGAAACAGTATGAAAAGAAGAAACAAAAAAGAAAAAAAAAAAAAAAAAAAAAAAAAAAAACTATTTTGTTAAGTTATAATGTGATGATTAGTAGAGTCGCATTTCTTTTTTCCTTCAAACTGGTAAAGTTGATAAAAAGGTGATAGTATGTATATGCATACGTCGTGTAGCGCCCGTTACACGCGTACTTTTTACCCTCCTCAAACAGGGACCAAAAAAGGAAAAAAAAAAAAAAAATCATAAATAAAAAGGAAACAAAATAAAACAAAATGAAATAAAATAAAATGAAATAAAATGAAACAAGTAAAAATAAGAACAATTAAGCAAAATCATTATGCTCTAACTTCAGAGCCATAGAGGGGTAAGTGCCCGTGTTTTGTCGCAGTTTATATTTGACACACTTTTGCCGCGTCAATTTTTGGCACAACTTTTTTCACAATTTTTTTTCTTCCTTTCTTCTTCATTCATTTTTAGTTTTCCTCATTTTATTACCTCTTCGTATTTGTTCGTATTTGTTCGTATTTGTTCGTAATTTGTTCGTAATTTGTTCATAATTTGTTCGTAATTTGTTCGTAATTTGTTTGCAGATCAGGCTCATTTTCTTATTTTTTTTTCCTAATTTTTGTAATTTTTCCTCATTTTTCTCCATTTTTATATTTATTCATATTATTTTTTTTTTTTCCTGGCTCATAAAATAACCCAATAGGGTGTAAGATGATGTGACTGTGTACCTACCGCTACCACCCTTCGCAGTAACTTCCGGTTACCCACCCTTTTGCTGTGCAGCAGTTGTACCTGAGGACACATGTAAAAAGGGCACATTTATACCACTTTTCCTTAAAATAAAAAATCATATCAGTCTCATATAGAACGAGATTTATTGATTCTCATGTATTGTGTTATCCGTTAGATTTACACAGATATCACTTGATGTAAGTAACCTTGGGATAATTTCCGTCAAAAAGCATGTGCTGTCAGACAATTTTCTTCTTCTGAAGAATATTCTTTTTTTTCATACATCGACACAGAAACGAGAATTTTTTTTTTATATGAGACTCATCGGAACCATAGTGATTATTTCTATGCTTATTAAAACTGAAACGCTTTGTTATTGTCACATTTTTAGCAAAATAAATTTTCAACTGAAGAAGAATTCCCTTTTCAGTAGTAGGAGTAGTAGCATTAATAGCAGTGGTTGTAGTACTTGCACGAGGAACAGATTTGCTAGAGTGGGTTATCTTCAAGCTAGCCAAATTTACAAAAAAAAAAAAAAAAATTATTTTTTAGATGCGAAAAAGGTGAACATTCATAAAATGAAAATGAATGATACAGATATTGACACAGGCGAAGAAGGAGTAAGAAGCACTGAAGAAAGGGTGGAAAACCAAATCGAAAAGTGCAGCCAAGAAATATCTTCACTAATTGAAAGGAATGAATCCATTAGAGGAATAGATGATGTAGAACTGAAAAAGGAATATGAAAAGAATCAACTATTGTTAGATGAAAAGAAAAAGAAACTAAATCTTTTATTCAAAATTCCAAGTGAACCTTTAAAATTAGCAGAAAATAGAACCAAGGTAGAAAATTTAGCAAAGAGAAAACTTTTTTACACAAATTCATTCGAAATTTATGGAGGTTCATCAGGTTTGATTGATTATGGTCCATCTGGTTGTTTACTTAAATCAGAATTGGAAAATTTATGGAGATACCATTTTATTTTTTATGATGAAATGTTAGAAATGTGTGGCACTTGTATTACACCTTACAATGTTCTGAAAACATCTGGTCATGTTGACAGGTTTACAGATTTAATGATACGAGACTCTGTTACTAATGATTTTTACAGAGCAGATAAATACATTTCAGAATATTTAACTAATAAGATAGAAGAAAAAAAAAAAAAAAAACGGATGGATCATACACAGCAGTTTGGTGACCGAGCTATGAAAAAGAAGGAACATAGTGATACTATATCTGCATCTGCCCATGGGAAGGAGGGCGACATCACACATCCTGGTTCTGGAATGGCCACAACTGATACAAAAACCGATTCAGAAGATCCAGAAGTTGAGGAAATGGGGACCATCGTGAGAAGACTTGACGGAATGAACGAACAAGAAATAAGAGACGTAATTAAAAAGTATGACATAAAATCTCCCATGAAAAACAATTTCGTTGGACCGTTTCCCTTTAACTTGATGTTCCAGACGAAAATCGGACCAAAAGATACTCACGTAGGGGATTCGATTGATGACGATGTTGGGAGTGGGAGGAGCACCGAAGTGAAACCTCAAGAGGAAAAAGAATTTGCTAACGTTGCTTACTTAAGACCAGAAACAGCTCAAGGCATATTTGTAAACTTCAAAAAGTTATTGGAGTACAATGGTGGTAAGATTCCGTTCGCAGGAGCACAAATTGGATTGGGCTTCAGAAATGAAATATCACCAAGAAATGGACTATTAAGAGTAAGAGAGTTTGAAATGGCAGAGATAGAATATTTCGTGAACCCGAATAAAAAATGTCATGAAAAATATTACCTATTTAAACATTTGGTTTTACCATTATATCCACGAGACAAACAATTGTCTAGTGGGACAAATAATAGTAGTACCATATTAAATATAACAATAGAAGAATCAGTTGAAAAAGGAATAATACAAAATGAAGCAATGGCATATTTTCTTGCACGTACATATTTATTTTTATTAAAATGTGGAATTAACAAAGATGGTATACGTTTTAGACAACATTTAGAAACAGAAATGGCTCATTATGCTAATGATTGTTGGGATGCAGAAATATTAACATCTTACGGATTCATCGAAGTTGTGGGACATGCTGATCGATCTGCATATGATTTAAAGAATCACATGAAAGCTACAGGAGCAAATTTATATGCATGTGAAAAGTATGACAAGCCGGTGGAAGAAGAACATGTGAAGATAACTCCAAATAAAGCAAAAATAGGAAGTAAATTTAAAAACCAACAAAATTTGATATATCAGTGGTTAAGTGAGAGAATGAAAGACGAATTGCTAAATATTGATGAAGAGTTAGATAAGAAAAATTCTTACATTATCAATATATCCAATGGAACATCATCCAATTCACTATCTTTTGAATTAACAAGAGATATGATTAGTTTACAAAAATATAAAAAAAAAGTACAAGAATATAGTTTCATACCGAATGTTATAGAACCATCTTTTGGAATAGGTAGACTCATTTTCTGTATCATGGAACATTCATTTAGAACCCGCACATTTATGGATGATAAGGAAGAAAGACATTATTTGGCATTGCCTTACATCTTAGCACCTGCTAAATGTTCTGTATTAACCATATCAAACAATAAAATGTTCATTCCTTTTGTCAAACAGGTACAAATGATTCTGAACCAATACAGTATATCTTCAAAAATTGACAATTCAAGTGTGTCCATTGGAAAGAAGTATGCACGGACAGATGAAATTGGAATTCCTTTTGCTATTACAATAGACTTCCAGACATTGAAGGATAAAACTATTACTCTTCGCGAGAGGGATTCAATGTTGCAAATTCGGATCTCTTTCTCAAATGTGGCAGAAATTGTCACATCCCTCATTCGTCAGAATAGCACGTGGTCTGACTATGTCTCCCAGTATGGCCTTTTCACGCAGCAAAATTTGGACACATGAATTTTTCTCTGTACAGTGGGGTATGTATATCACTGTTTTGTACAATTCTTATAGCTGAGTTTGTACTCTCGTCAAGCAAACATGTGGGGGTGAGAGGAGAAACTAACATAAAGCATCTTTCTCCCATCAGTTAATGTATATTTTTCACCATTCATGTTTAACCTACTTCAAACCATGTGACAAATTACAATGTCGAATTTAAAAAAAAAAAAAAAAAAAAAAAAAAAAAAAATTCACGGCAAAAATTTTCACCACAAGGATGCCAAAATGGGGGATCATACTTTAGCACATGAAATACAGGCATCAGCATGTAAATTCATCGTGCAATGCCAAATCAGTAAAGTATAAATCCTTAAAAAAAAAATAAAATAATAATAAAACAAAGGGATGTGTTTAAGTATTTTCCTACATCTGTTTGTGAGGTCTCTTGTACATTTTTTTTTTTCTTTAATGCTACTCATATGGTGGTAGAGAGGTAGGTGGATATATATATATATATATATATATACTTTCCCGCTTTGTCTTTACCATGACGTGATTGCATTAGGGATCACACTACTGCTTCGCTTCCCAAACTGTACCATGTCGTCATATTTCTCTGAATTGGTTGGATCGATGGAGATGGTGGAGGCGAATCAAAAAGAGTGAAATAACGAGGGATATGACATAGACAAAGTCGAAGTGATACTTGAGCTTAAGTAAATTTAGAAGATTGTTATTGAAGAAGATGTAAAGCATTTTGATTTTTTCCTTGAGGGGAAGGTAATCAAAGAGCTGTATGCAATAAGCTGAAAAATATAAATCCATAATTTCACACATTAAAAGAATTGCAAGATTTGAGTAGAGGGAAGATTTGGCAGAATATCTTAATTTAATTATTCTTTCCATAAAAGATTTTAAATTTGTAAAAATAAAACATAATAATAAAATGGAAGTTATTGAAATAACATAATTCTCCAAATTAATATTTATGTGTACAATATGTAATACATTTTTTATATCATTTATAAAATCAATGTTCATGTTTTTGGAATAAAATAACATAAGTACATGTCCACTGCTGCATGTAGATATGAATCGATAATATATTTCTACCATGTATATAATATAACATGTTTTTATAATTTTATACACACACAAAATAGACATAAGGATGCCCAACAAGTACAATAACATACCATTAAATGATGAACTGTGATTTATTCTTATTTGCTCTTTTATCACTTCATCCAAGAGAAAGTATAAATTTTTCGCCATATATTCTAATGATTTTATGTCTTGAATTAAAATTTCCTTTTTTTTTTTCTTCTTTTTTATATTCCTCTTATTTCGAGTAAAGAAATCTTTTACGCTTTTAAAAGTTTTGTAAGATTTTTCAAAACTGTTGAACAGAAAATTAGAGATGTATCGTTTGTGCAGATTCCTACCAACATTGCTACTGCAGTCCATGCTCTCCTTATTCCTTCTAGAATACACATTTCCACTAGCACATGCGTCCCTCTTGTGAATAATATTATGTGGTAGTGTTTCGCAGTTTTGAAAGAACTTTTTAACGGAATAAAAGTTCTTTAATTTTGAGAATAAGGGCAAGTCCATCTTCTTCTTCGTCTTCTCCTCCTCCTCCTCCTCCACTTCATCTTCCAGAGCGTGAACATTCGCCATTTGAGAATTTCCAACATCGTAGCCCTCCTGGGAGTGGAGCGAATGGAGTTGCCCCTCCTCCTCTTGAGCTGTTTTAAAAAATATAAACCTACCCTTGTAATATACATGCTTTCTATCTTCGGTGGAGATTCCTGATTTGGTAGATCTCTTATACAGAGAGTAGTTATTATTGCTCCCAATTTTTTCATAGAAGGATGGAGAAGTGAAGTTGCTGTTTGATCCAATTTCTCTTGAATTGTAGACCCAGTACGTGGTATCGTTCGCATCGACGTGGCTTCTTTCTGTAGTTGCTTTTCCCCCTCTTGCATTATTAAGAAGCTTGGATTGTGGTTTCTGGGTAATTTCCATTTCACCCATGTAGTGATGTTCCCCGCTTATGTGTGTCTCGTAGAATTTCCCCAAGTCATGATGTGTTTTTTCTTCTACCTGCATCTCCAACTCGTTTATGCCTGATTGCATCTCCAATTCGTCCACTCTTTCATTCAGAATGGCCTGTAAGTCATTTTCCTTTTTCATAAACGTTTCATATATATCTTTATAAATGGATTTATGCGAACCTTGGTAGAGGTTGCATTTTTTGAATGGCTTGCTACAAATGTATTCAACATCTTCCTGTTTTTTACTGCTAATCGTGTTTCTATTTTTTTCCCTCCCTGGTATGATTCCCTTATTCAACGTCTCCCCCATGACACAGTCACAACTTCTTGTAGGAAAGTTATGAGAATATCTCTTTACAGTATCCACCTGAGTATGATTATAATCAATATGTGCATGCAGCGTTTCAATTTCATTATTGATTGTGTTACGGGAATCGTTGATAGAGTTGTTATTATCTCTATGTAAGGAATGCATATAAAAAGAGGAAGAAGTGTATTTTTTGTTTGGCATATTTTTATCGTAAGTACTGGTATGTATCTGTCTATGAGAAAGAGATTCCTGGAGGATGGAAATATCATTTTTATTTTTGGCACAGTAGTTGTCGAATAAATTGGGGTGATCATACAAGACAAGTAATTTTTTCTTTAAGGAGAGTTCATTTGTCACAAATTTTATTTTGTTTTCAATGATTTTAACCTTTTTAATTGTTACGAAAAAGAAGAAAATACTTATATTTGTGTAGGGTGAATATAAACTTGTAAATGCTGAAAGTGCACTAACTAAAGTCATACCAGTAACAGATATATAAATAAATAAATTCTTCATTAATTTAAAAAAAAAAAAAAAAAATTTATTTTTTTCATTATTTGTGTCATATTCTTCAGAAAATTCTTTATTTATAATTTTAAACTTTTCCTGTAATACATTTCCTATGTCATAAATGTCTGATGTCTTGTCATATATATCATTATTATTTTTCAAAGTGATCATAGAAATTTTATAAAAAGTAAACCATAGAAGTGGTAAAATGAGGAAACAACCAATCAAAAATTTACAAATTTTCTGCTTATTTTTATTTCGAATTTTTCTGTTATAATTTTTCATCTGTACAATCAGATCTTCACTTACATATAACAATTTTTTCATAAAATTTGTTTTATCATCATCATTATCATTGTCATTAGACAAAAACTTTTTTTTCTTATTCCTCATTTTTGCTAAAGTTGTGTAGAAATATTTAAATTTAAACAGACGATTTCCTGTATTTTCATCATCATAAGTAACATAAGTATAAATTAAACTAATTGGAATTATTAAATAAATAAATAACACCAGAAAAGCTATGTCGATATACCATATGAATAACTTTAATGTTGTCGTTATGAAGCCCAAAATTTCAAAAACAATCATAGACAGTAGTGATAGACATAGTACGAATGAACAAGAAAAAATTATTTTCACAATACTGAAACTGTTGTCAAAGTCCTTGAATAAATAGTTTTCAAAAAATACACATCCCAACACTGATAGTACCACGTGGTACATGCATAGGAATATGGCCGTTATGCTTATCATGCTTTTTTTTTTTTTTTTTTTTTTTTTTTTTTTTTTTTTTTTTTTTTTTTTTTGTTTATTCTCCCTCTCGCTCACTATATATATATATATATATATCTTCCCTCAGCCTGCTTCTTCTGTGTCATCAGTTTGGATGTGTATTGAACAGTTAGTAATGAGGTATATAGATTCCTCCACCTCGCTGCTGTAAATAAAAGTACAGGATTTTTGTCCAGGAAGTACACTTATATTAATCCTCATTTGTGTAGCACCAGACATGAGGATAATGCTGCTGAAAGGGTAATTTTTAAAATTTTATCTGTCTACTGTGATAAAGGAGCAGGTCTAAAGTTCTTGATAAGGTAGACAACCTGATGCTCTGTACATTTGCACTTGCATTCGCATCTGCCTGTGTATGGATGAGTTTTGTCTCTTTTTTTTATTTTACCTAATTTTGCTTAATTTGCTTAATTTGCTTAATTCGCTTAATTCTGCTTATTTTTCTTAATTTTGATTAATTTTTTTTTTTTTTTTTTTTCTTTTTAACATAATTAATCATTCAGAAATTATGAGTGGGAAAAGAAGCGGGGATTAATAAAGTTTGAAGTTTAAAGTTTGAAGACAGAAGGGATAGGGTAAAAAAAAAAAAAAAAAATAAAATAATAAATAAAAATATGAAGAAAGAGCGAAAGAATGAATGTACGGAGCAACGGGTAAAAATCAAGTAAAAAGGAAATAACAAAGTGTATGAATAATAAAAGCATAAATAACATCATTAAATGGGGGGAAAACGGGGCTAGGAAAAAAAACATCCAATTACACCTAAAAAACCATCATGCTTGAGGAATAGAACATCCGGAAGTAATACATCCTTATGAATTTCTTCTCTGTATGTATGCTCCTTCAAAAAAAAAAAAAAAAAAAAAAAAAAATGGAAACTTTGAGACGATATGAGCATCGCCACATTAAGGACATGTGTGCATTCGCATGTATATCAACAAGTAATTCTATATGAACGTGAATGAATGTGTGGAGTGGGATTCGAAGTTGGGGAAGTAAAGGAAGTAGGAAAAATAAGGGACGTAAGAGGAATTGAGGAAGGTAAGGAAAAGTGTATGATCGAAGCTGTACAGTGGAAAAATACGTTAATGTGGAGAACACTTATTTAATTTCTCCACTATTTGCATTTCCTCCATTTTGTATGCAAAAAAAAAAAAAAAAAATGTAACAAATATAGGTACAGTTGATATATATGCACAAGTGTAGCATATAAAAGCGACAAGAGAAAAGTTTTTTCTCTTCCTTTTTTTTTTTTTTTTTTTTTTTTTGGGTTTTCCTACTGAATTGTGAAACTGGCACTGTTTTGAAGTCATGTTTACATTTCTTTGCCATCTGCATGTGGAGTGTTCAAGCAAAATAACATTTTTAGATTCTCCCACAGCTGGATTATTCTTGAAGGGGGTATAATTTCCTCCTTGGTTTTTCTTGTAGTGCATGTAATAGTAATGCACACCTAGGGTTAGCGATTCCATGATGCAATCGTGATTGCTTATGTATTTTCCAGAGAAAAAGATTCTGCAGGAAGAAGCAAGGAAAAGGTAAAAAAATTACAAAATGAAGATAATTTGTGGTTCTCGTTCAAACAGGTTTAATCACAATCAACCCTATCCACAGAGAACAGGGGTAGAACATTCATTTGGTGACATAAACACACAGAGAGTGAAAGAGATATTGAAAGAGAGAACGAAAGAGATATTGAAAGAGAGAACGAAAGAGATATTGAACGAGAGAACGAAAGAGAGATTGAGAGAGAGACACTGCAGTAGCAGTATATGCATGACTTTGTTAAAAATGTGAAAAAAAAAAAAAAAAAAAAAAAAGAACCTGCGCACGCCATGAATCCGAGCTAGCAAATGAACCAGATAGCCAATATTATATGAAATCATCGTGATGAGGCTTTTGGCCACATGTTGGAAAAATTGCTCCTTTTTCTCAAATTGTTCCTTTTTCAAAATATTACTGAGGAATCCGAAGCTAGTTGCCAGTGCCTCATTCCCCTTCATGCAAGCACTACTGCCAGCTGCGTCCTTTTTGATATGTTTCACTTTTAGGTCAAAGGGGGATGAGCACGCAAATGTACGTGATGCAGTTGCAGACGGTGCAGTTGCTAATCTAATTAATTCTTCGAACGAGATTTTCCCCAAAATCATTTGTGCCAATCCCAAAAAGGTTCCCCCTCCTATGGCTGTTCCACCAATTCTTCTATAGCAGTTAATTCCATTTGACAATAAAATGGAAATGCCTGATCCGATATTGGCAATGATGAAGGATTCATGTGGTGGTTTCAAATAAACAGGTACTTGTGTTTTTAATAAAAAATCATATCGTGCTATAGTTTTTTTTACATTAAAAAGTTTATAAATTCCATTCATTACGCAATGCATCTCGTCTTTTCTAATGCAGCGTAAAATGAGTACACCTCGAAATGTTTCCTTTTTTTCACTTTCTTCCTCTTCATTTTCTATTTTGTTCTCTATTGAGGTATTATTTGTCATCTCACAACATACCTCTTGATTATATGTCTGCACGTGGAAATGATCTTCGCCCTGTTGCTTATCTACACGGCCATTGTAATAATAGATCTCTACCGTTTGGAGGTTTGCAAAAGAATCAAGAAAAGTTTTGTTGAATGGAACCTTGTCCTTTGAAGTAGTGATATTAGTGGATTCATCTTCCTCCTGCAACACAACTGTTAGTGTGTGCAACTTGGAGTAGTAATGAAACCTGGATACAAAAAAAATGAATTTCTTCTGTAGGGAGGCATTTATCCGTTGATGGAATTCATAATTGATGATTTCATTAATTATGTGAAAGTAAAACTTATAGGAACCTCCCCCTGTTAAAAGGATTTTTTTTTTTATTAAATAATTTTTAAGTAAGTAGTTTAATGCATCTCCAAGTTCATTTATTTTGAAAAAATGGACATGCAAATATTGGTTGTCTTTTATTTTAATTTTTAAAGATATATTATCATTTAAAGCCTTTTTTCCATCATAAATGTATTTGTCATTTAAGTATGCAACTTTTATTAATGTTCCACCAATGTCAAGTGCACATGTATTCAATTGATCATTCATATTCATGCAATCATTCATAAATTCGTACATATAATCTTTTTTTATTCTTTCAGCATTAACCAATTTCTTCTGTTTTTTTTTTTCTTCCTCATGTGATGCTTCCCATTTCTCTGAACAGTTCTTAGTTAAAAAATTGCCTTTTCCAGTATTCAAATGTGAAACACTCATTTTTTTTTTTTTTTTTTTTTTTCTAACTTATGCGTAGCTATATTTATTTTTGTAAAGGGGGAAGCAAATGAGATTTCCCCAGTTTTACATAATCAAGGAGTGTCTGATGTTATTTCAGCGCACTCCTCATCACAGTGCTGTACGTGTGTCACCACGAGCTTCTTTTACATACATGTACCTGCCTACCTATGCATATAAATATATATACATACATATATAGATATGTATATATGCACAGGTAGATATTTCTCCTTTGCGAGTGTTTCTCCCTCGTTTGGGGAACAGTTCCTTGCAGCTGCACCAAGCTCGTTCTGTGACTCACCTTTTTAAACGTCAAAAATGTATTCTTATTCTTAATCTTATTATGATTTTTTTTTTTTTTTTTTTTTTTTTTTTTTTTTTTTTTTTTTTTTTTTTTTTTTTTTTTTTTTTTTTTTTGTGTTA